CGCCGAAGGCGTTCCTACACAGAAAGTTGGCGCCAAAACGATTACCCGGCTAATCAAGGATATAGTCATTATCACCACAGCACTCAAATCGAACTATTCGATTGCCAATAAACTGATCAAGCGTTCTCGCTCTCCAAAGTCTTCTGAACCTTCTTTGATGAACTTGGTGGTCCTGAGCGACGACTCTGCATTTCGTCACGTGTTTGCATGTTATCGTAATGGTCTAGTTCCTTATCGGCAAGGTCACTCTTGTCTTACATAAGACGTTATTACATAATCTGTCAATTAGGCAGCTCGATTCTCCAACCTCCCACTGGCGGGCACGCTGCACGCTGCACGCCGCACGTCACAGGCAAAAGAAGGAGACAGTCTCCACTCTCCTCGACGCCGGCCAGTACCTGGCCTTCACTCCATTGCTCCAGCGCCAGCCTCCAGCCACGGCCAGTCCACCGAGCTCGCATCGCACAGCAGCACTGCCCAGCCGGTCCCCAGCACTCGCCTCAACCTGAGCTAGCTACCTTACTGCTAACCTGACGGAACTCTATCGTCAGCCTTCCAACACCCCCCGGACCTCACCTCGCACCCTTTTCGCAGCCGCGCGCGCCGACGACACACTCCCGACCTCTGCGTTTCCATCCATCGCGCAATTGCTCCGCCCTCGATCGATTCTCTCCGACACTGTCGTCTGCCCTTTCCATCAATGAGCCCTAACTGAGAACCCTGCGTCGCCTCGATCGATAACTACCCCGCCGGTTCGACTTCGATATGTCTGCGACTCCCGTGCCGCCGGAAGACCAGGCACGCCTCTTAGAGGATGCCCTGGTCGCGGTGCGCCAGCAGACGGCCCTCATGCGCAAGTGCCTCGACACCCCAAGCAAGCTCATGGATGCCCTCAAGTGCTGGTACGTCATCCCCGTTTGCCGGATCCCCGGGAGCTCCTAGAGAGCTTGGCTCATCCTCCCGATAAGCTTCAATCGTCGAGACTAACCGCCCAATCCACCTCGTGCAGCTCGACCCTGGTTTCTGAGCTGCGCACAAGCAGCCTTGGCCCGAAACAGTATTACGAGCTGTACATGGCCGTCTTTGACGCCTTGCGCTACCTCTCCGTCCACCTCCGAGAGAACCACCCCGTCAACCATCTCGCCGACCTGTACGAGCTCGTCCAGTATGCCGGCAATATCATTCCGCGCCTGTACCTCATGATTACCGTCGGCACCGCCTACATGTCCATCCCCGATGCGCCGGTCAAGGAACTCATGAAGGATATGATGGATATGAGCAGAGGCGTACAACATCCCATTCGCGGGCTGTTCTTGAGATATTACCTTTCGGGCCAGGCCAGGGACTATCTGCCGACAGGAGACGGCGACGGTCCCGAGGGCAACTTGTCCGACTCTATCAACTTCATACTCACCAACTTTGTCGAGATGAACAAGCTCTGGGTGCGGCTGCAGCACCAAGGCCATTCCCGCGAGCGCGAACAACGGACAAGAGAGCGGAAGGAGCTTCAGCTGCTGGTCGGGAGCAACATTGTACGACTTAGCCAGCTCGTGGATCTGGAGACGTACAAGTCAGGCATTCTGGCGCCTCTGCTGGAGCAGGTTGTACAATGTCGCGATGTCCTGGCACAGGAGTACTTGCTCGAAGTCATCACCCAGGTCTTCCCCGACGACTTCCACCTACACACTCTAGACCAATTCCTCGGAGCCGTTTCACGCCTTAATCCCCACGTCAACGTAAAAGCTATTGTTATCGGCCTGATGGACCGCTTGTCAGACTACGCCGAACGCGAGTCCAAGGACGAGGCAGAAGGTGATCGGGCCAAGCTGGAGGAGGAGGCATTATCAGCTCTGCTGGAGAAGACGAAATTGGACAACGAAAAGACGGGGGCGCCAAATGCGCCAGGTGGAAGTTCGGGTGCCATTGGCGAGGCAGGAAAACCCATTGACCTCGACACCAACGGCGCCGCGCACGAAAGTAGTGAGAACGAAGCCCGCGCCGCAGAGGACCTGCCCCCTCCGGAGGAGCCAGCTCCTTCGATCGCCGACACCGAGGCGACTGCCGTGAATGGAGAAGGAAGCGAAGCAGAAAAGGGCATTCCGGAGAATGTGCAGCTCTACGAGATTTTCTTCAGCCAAGTCAAAAACCTGGTGGATGCGCAGCATCTTCCCATCCCGGACACAATAGCGTTGCTTTGCTCATTGACAAATCTGGCACTCAACATCTACCCCGAGAGGCTAGACTTTGTGAACCAGATTCTCGAGTATGCCACGATCAAAGTCAGGGAAAACGCAAACAACGCTGATCTCCATTCTCCTCCGGCCCAGCAAAGTCTCTTGGCCCTGCTGCAAGCGCCGCTTAACCGTTATCTTTCAATCTTCACCGCGCTCTCTCTTCCCACCTACGTGCCCCTTTTCCAGTCCCAGTCGTATCCGACTCGCCGCGCTGTTGCTGGCGAGGTGGCTCGCACTCTTCTCCGTGATCAAACACGGATTTCGACCCCCAGTCAAATGGAGAACGTTTTGGAAGTACTCAAGGTGCTCATTAAGGAGGGCTCCCAGACACCTTCCAACTATCCGGGGGTCGCACAGCGTCGCGCTGTCGAAACCGACGAGACCATGGAGGAGCAAGGATGGCTGGCCAGAATTGTCCACCTCATTAATGGCGAGGACAACGACACACAGTTCCGTCTGTTGCAAATGACCCGCAAGGCTTACTCTGAAGGCAACGAGAGGATCCGCACGACGACACCCCCGCTCATCACGGCCTGCATGAAGCTCGCCAGACGCTTCAAGACGCGCGAACACTACGAGGACAACTGGGAGACTCAAAGCAACGCGCTCTACAAGTTTATGCACTCTGCCCTGAGCACTCTGTACACTCGCGTCAACGGAGCCGGCGCGGCCGAGCTTGCTCTGCGTCTGTTCTGCGCATCCGGTCAGACGGCCGACATGACGGGCTTTGAGGAGGTGGCCTACGAGTTCTTTGCTCAAGCCTTTACCGTCTACGAGGAGGCGATTTCGGATTCCAAGGCGCAGTTCCAAGCCGTCTGCGTGATCGCGACGGCGCTACACCAGACGAGAAACTTTGGCAAGGAGAACTACGACACACTCATCACCAAGTGCGCCCAGCATGGCAGTAAGCTACTGCGAAAGCCGGACCAGTGCCGTGCTGTCTACCTCGCCAGTCACCTGTGGTGGGCCACGCCCATGGCCGTCAATGGCGAGGCCGACGAGACTGGCGTAAGTTTGGAGCGCGCACCTGACCAAGCGATACTCGCTAATTCGTTACAGCTGTACCGCGACGGCAAGAGAGTGCTCGAGTGTCTGCAGAGAGCCCTGCGCGTTGCCGATTCTTGCATGGAGACGGCAACGTCGATTGAGCTGTTTGTCGAGATTCTCGACCGATATGTGTACTACTTTGAGCAGCAGAACGCGGCGGTAAGTGCTTTCCCCCACCAGTCGATGCTGGCATGCTGCTGTCAATGTGATTTTTTGAGAAACTGACATGGCTACAGGTCACCACCAAATACCTCAATGGCCTCATTGAGCTCATCCACTCCAACCTCGCCGGAAACCAGCAGGACTCGGCCTCGGTCGAGAACAGCAAGCGTCACTTTTATCACATCCTCGAAAGTATCAAGGGTCGACAGTACGACGGCATTGTCCTGTACCCGAAATGAGCATCGTTTTCTTTGGATCTAGTGCCCCTCCCGCCGTTATTAGGAAATGGGAGGGTACTCTTTCCCAATCACCATATATGACGACACACCTTACGAGAGCAGGGAGAATGCAAGAAGGGGGATACGAAGAGGAAACAGGGGAGAGTTTCTTAATTAGCAGCGAAGGAGGGAGAGCATTGCGGGTACGGAGGACCTGATTGAAACTTGGAGACCGGGGCAGAGAGGGGGGGAGAGGAGGAGGGGGAGAGTGAATGAATGAGTGAGTGAGAGAGAGAGAGAGAGAGAGAGCAAGAAAAAAACGTGTTCATACGATAAGCGCATGCAATGAATTGGAACAAGACGAATGGTACCTGTGGGTGTGGTTGTGCACAAAGAAACGGATGAAAAAGCTTTGCATGTGTCTTGTAGCCGTGGTTGTCAATACCATGAGTCTATTCTCCTACCTGTCCTTTTGAAGCGATTCAAAGTTTGACTTTAACCCCCGCCCCCTTTTTTGAAGAGTCACTTACTATCGACATCCTTCATGCCCCTCGTCGTCGCCAATTCTGGGTACGAATACAGCACCAGGTTCCATTTCAGGGTTGCATGTAGATTCATGGGCGTACTAGGATTTCGCGATGCTCGAGAAACGCAACAAGGGACCGGGGGGGGGGGGGGGGAAATACCCCATTTACACTACTTCGTTCACAGTCTGAAGCTACGTCTCCTCTCGGAAAAGAGCTGCTTGAAGTATTCGCGACAAAGTACACCCTCGGGTCGTCGCATTACTGGCACACACACGGATGCCGAGGTACACACACGCCACGGACCGCGGCGGTGTAAAAATTCGACTACTCCAGAGGGGGGCCAAAAAGAAAAAAAAAGAAGGACCTATCGTACGTCGGGTAGCATTAACAAGAACATAACATGTTTTTTTAAAAAAGGAATTTAAAGAAGAAAGGAAAAGAGACTTTCGAACATGGTAATGTTGTGGTGTAAGTTAGTAGTAATAAATCCCTCCCCCAAACTCCTTGCAATGCCAGAAACCAACAGTATTGTGAAGGTAGGTCAGGCTTCGCGATACTACTTCTCAGTACCTACGCAGAGCCACCAACAACCCCCCACATGGACCCCCCCCAAAAAGGCGTTTTAAACTAAAGGAGAACAAAATGAGGAATGGGAGCGCGCAGTCCCTTCGTACATGGATGGTGTCGTTCGTGCCTTCAAAATGCGAAACTTCAAACACACACACACACACACACCCGAACCTCCCATGGAAAAACACGGGAAAAAAAGAAAAACAAAGACTCAAACAAAAAGAGGTGGTGGTGATGTGGAATCAGCTGCTCTCCGCAGACTTCTCCCACTCCCGCAACATATTCGTCGCGTTCTGAATGATCCGCGCCGTCTTCTCGACGAGCTTGTTGGCGAGCTCCCAGTTGCCCGCCTCGACGGCATCGCGGATGGCGGCAAAGGTGACGGGCTTGTTGCCGGACCAGGCCCGGGGCCCAAAGATGACGTGCTTAAACTGGGTGCGGTCGGGAATCTGTGCGGTCCCACGTTGATCAGCATTCGGAATCCAAGATAAGACAAGCAAACAAGGGGTTGAAAAAAAAAAAAACCATGTCACGGAAAAACGGAAAAGGATGAAAACGTACACCACCCCCCTGCTCAAGATCTAGCAACGCCGTCTCAAAGTCGGCCATGCGGCTGTTGAACTGGATGCGCTTGTCGCCCATGTCACCCGACTCCCAGCCGCCGCCGCCCATGACCGTGCTCTCCCACGTCATCTCCCACATGGAGAAGCCCTTGATATTGACCTTGACCCCCGCGACAAGCTTCTTGAGAGGCTCCAGCGAGAACTTGTCCTGCGTACTCGCCCCACTGTGCTCGCAAAAGTTGGCTAGGTCGTTGATGTAGCGCTCGATGCGCTCGCTGTAGCCCACCATGTCGAACGGTAGAATCGGCTTATCCGCGAGCTCGAGAATCAAGAGGCCGACAATCTGGCCCATCATGACGTGGTACGCGAAGTCCGGATCTCCGATGCGCTGGACCCATTCGTAGTTGTCGTAGCTGGATTGAGCGGGAAATCGTGCACCCCTGAAGCCGAGATCAAGAGAACTGGTGCCAGCAATGTTCTGGAAGGGGACCCAGTCGCCATCCATCCCAAGCTCTTCTAGGTCACCCTCTCGTTGATTCCAGAGATCGCGGACTGTCGCGTTCAGACTCGCGTCAAAAACGCGTTCGATAACGCGGAGGACAGCCTGTTTGAAGACGGGTGATCCGGCCGCGTGGAACTCGCTGCCTGCTACGGCAGAGTCGAGGTTGATATAGGCAAACGCATTTTGTCTTAGCAATTCGTCGTTGTGTTCAACAAACTCGGTGGAGCCAATCATGTTGTACTCCGTGGCATCCCACGACATGAACTCGATGCTCCGAAGAGGGCGCCAACCTTTTGAGACGAGCCCGCCAAAGATGCGTGCCATCTCAATCAGCACCGCCGTGCCCGAGTGAGGCTCGGTCGCACCAAAGGACCAAGCATCCCGGTGATTTCCAATGATGATGGACTTCTGGTCCTGCTCAATGCCTTCGATTTTGCCATAAACGTTCCAGATGCCCTTCTGCTCGACAACGTCGTTGTCGTTCTTAAGCCGTACGATGGGCGAAGAAAGGTTACCGGTCCACCACTCGGCGATGTCAGGAACGCCTCCTGCCCATTCCTTTGGCACCTGCTCACCATGGCCTTTGAGATGCTGCAGTAAGATCTGTGCGTCACGCCACGCAAGGGGCAGACTGGGGATCTTGGTCAGACCCTTGCTCTCATCGGGCTTCATGCGCGGCAAGTTCTTCTTGCTCTCCCAGCCAGGCGTCAGGGGGTCACCTAGGACCCAGTTCGATAGCGCAACGGAGCCTCTCTGGACGCCATCGGCGGGCATGAAGCGGCCGTTCGGTGCGACATCACCCAATCTGAAGCCATCGTCCGCCGGGTCGCTGTAGACGATGCAACCTGCAAAGCCGGCTTCCTCTGCAGCCTTGACCTTGAGAGCCAGGTTTGCCTGCAGACCGTAGTACCGAACGAGGGCGATGGCGCCCTTGGTGTCGATCCCGTGATCCGCAAGTTTCTTGAAATCAGATCTCGCACCGTAGTTGGCGTATATCAAGGGTCCCTTGACGTCTCCAGACTTGGAAAGGCCGTGGAACACAAAAGTCTGATGTCCGGCTGCTTCCCCGCCAACTTCCTCCTCCTCGAGCTTCGCAGACCACTTCGGCTTCCCGTCATCGCCCAAAATCTCGACAGCACGTCCTCCGGCCTTTGGATAATTCATGTACACGTAGTATTCGTCAACGTTGACGTAATCCAGCCCGGCTCTGGTGAACATGGACTCGACATCCATAGCCAGAGCATAGTCGCCCTCGGTTCCTGCCATATGGGCGTATTTGGTGTAATGAGCTACCGACGCTTTCAGTCGGCGGGCCTCGACGTTTTGTTGCACGTACAAGCGTACGTCTTCGGGGTTGAAGCGCAACCCGCCGTTCATGCGCCTGGCCATGCTGGTGAAAAGATCGCTCATGAAAAGTGCGTAAAGGATGCCCATGACGAAGACAACTGCAAAAACCCGGGCAAAAATAATTATGGCCGTCCGCGCCTTGTCCTTGTCCCATTGCGGAAATGCGAATCTCGGCCTCGTCGTTGTCGCATTCGCCTCGTTTGAATTGCTGGGACTGTCGCTCGAGCCCGAAGGCAAACGAATTGTTGGACGCAAATTTGGCATCCGCCATCGCCAAGACCACTTCCAGCGTGATAAGGAGAGGGCGAAGGGTATCCGTTTCCCCCATATTGACGAGCGCGATCTATCGTCCGGCTCCCCTACCTCGAGCTCTTGCATCTCTCGACGCACGTATGCCGTCTCGTCGCCATCGTCATCACTGCCCCATGAGCTATCTTCGTCCTCTGTTTCGACTGTGGGCGGCCTGTAACCGTTCGGGCGCCGTGATGAAGTCGCGACGCCGTTTCTGTGTAGCAGGGACTGCGACTCGGTTTCGGCCTGAGAGCGGTCATCTAGCGGGGAGCGCGGGGGTTGCCATTCGGAGGGGTCGGCCGGACCGCTTGTGGCGAGGGCCTCGTCGTAACTCGGGATGGGCGGTACGGATTCATACCGGTGATCGCGATCCGATGGCATCGTCGCAATCGTCGGCGCCCGGTGGCGGGAATCAAGGGAACAGCGTATATAGCGGAAGTCGGTCAAGGCCGTCTATCGGCATCCGTACAGCAACGAGGAAGAAACGAGCGGTATCGAGTCGGTCGGGTGAGGGCGGAGATGGAGGGAAAAAGGAGTGGTGGAAAGGCGCAGCAACGCACAACGCAGTCGAAATACTATGACGCAAGAGAAGGGGTGCCCATGGATGCTGCTGGTGAGCAGGCAGACATTGACCGGATCGACAGGATTAGGGACAGCTGGATGGTGAGGCCGGTTGCAATGTCGAAACCGCAGGCGACGAGTGAGCTCGATGGAGGTGGAATTGACTCTGCGGCTGGCGATGTCGAAACACGGAGGTTCGTGATTTGGCATGGATGGACATGGCGGTGCTGCTTTCCCGTCTTCCGTGCGGCAGTGGGTGGGTCTGTCCCCAGGCAGGTAGTTCCAGTCTACTAGACAGTGGCCACAGCCAGTCCAGCCCGGCCCAGTCAGTGAGTGCAGCCGCAGTCAGTGACTCGTCCACTGGAGAGTTCCCTTCTTCCCAGGGGCTGTCCAATCAGAAGTGACCAGTGTCTTTCTGGGCAGTAAATCACTGCTTACGTACTCAATGATTACCTAAGAAAAGATAGCTTACGCGGATTCGTCGAAGACAAGGAAGCCTCGGGACCAATTCGAGGACGGAGCTGAGTGATGACATAAGCGGACCCTTGGCAGATCCGATTATGTCATCAGCACCGCCACGCTTGGCTCCTTCTCGGCTGTCACTTCTCCAGAGCCTCTCTGAATTAGGTTCCCACCCCTCCCCCCAGCCCCACCAGCACCCCCACCCCCCGGTCCTTCCGTCACACCCCTTCCACAGCTGTGAGCCAGGAATGGGGAGATATCCCTGCCGGCCCCTTTCTGATGACGAGATTCCCCACTCACCCCCTGCTCTCCACCGATGGCCACCGGTTCCCAATTTTAATGTGACCCAAAGACCCCTGATGCTTTCTGGTGCTCCATCTCTCAAAACGCAGTTCGTTCTTCGGGAACCGGGACTTCTGCACGGGTCTCAGGTCGGCCCGGCCCCGGGATCGGCGTTCGACATCCGGGCGAACCTGATCTGCCGTGACTCGCCCCGGCGATTCGTCGAGCCAGCCCCGGGTTCAGTGATATCGCGGGAATGGATACCGCTGAGAGATGATTTTTGACTATGATCCGATGGTCAGATATGATTAGATGTTTGGAAGTGCTTATGGTTGCCGATACTGCCGCACCAGTCTCCATGAACCACGAAAGTCTGCCCTAATACGTGCTTCACTAGTTGGGGGCCCAGCATCCTCTCTGTACTAGGCCTGTGGACAGACCTTCTGCGTCCACACCTCCTTCTGGCTTTGCACTCACAATCTCTTTCTCAAGCCACCTTGGAGCTCATCACAACGTTTGGCGACGTCCATTACCCACGATTCTCACTCGCAAGTATGTCTGCGTGAATTGCTAATCTCTACAACCAGCAAGGCATCGTGGACAATTGCAACTCCCCGTTTGCACCACTCACATACCGACTAGTTGAAGCCATCTCCTGACCAACTCGAATCCTCACTCGAAATGTTTCCGCTCGAATACATACCGCTTCGCGATCCCGATCCTGGAGCAGGTCCCTAGTGACCTTGTTTGCCAGCCCATCCGGAACCACCCAAATCGATCGATGTCGAAGCAACCACCATCTCTCCCCGAACACTTCCAGAACCCTACGATCCCTATAAAAATCATTATAAAATCGCAAGCTTTCGCTTGTTCCAGAGTTCCAGACTTTAACGCTGGCACAGTGGGATTCCCCAGAGCAGACGCTTGCCGCCGCCAAGTATCGAATGCCTTGCGCGAATTTTTTTGCCGTGCAAGTCGCCAAACTGCCAAAACAATTTTGCTTTTCGCAAAACATCGTCCATGCTTGCTTCCATCAGTAGACAGACGTCCTTTAGACTTTGGCTACTATTGCATGACGTTTGCGTGACTTTCTAGAAAAGTGTCCCTTTCGGTGACACGAACAGTCCGTTCTTGGAATGGGCGATTGAAGATCGTGTCCCCAGACAATGAACGCTGTACGCAAACGAACACAACATTGCGAAATCTCCAAGTCATCCATCACTCGTACAACTTTCGCCAGGTTGTGCCTGATAGTCACAGCACAACGACGCGATTGTGCTGTCTTACTTATTTCTCGAGTGGCTGATCTAACGCGAAGCCCCAGATTTGAAGTTTTGAACCTGCCGACTCTCATCAATCCGGGCATCGGCTGTTCTTTCTTATCCTTGGAGACACCCGCAGCCTCTCTAACTATTTTCCCTCGTTTCCTGGTAGTTTGCCTTTTATTTCCGTTGCATGGCGTGACTATTCTTGGTCTGCCCGAGTTCCCATTGCCAGGCCTTTGGCGCCGCGCCGTTGTCCTACCAGGCGCTGCTGTTCCTTGGCCCTGGGAGGACCACGGTAACCGATTTCGGAGTGGCGGACTGCAGATTTTTTTTGGTTCCGGGGTAAACAAAGGAACGCCATGCTTTGGTGTCTTCACCGGCCACAGTCCGCCTGCTCGAGCCTCGAATTGCCCTGTCCATATGCCCTAGAAAGACCATTTTCCATTACTTTAGTCTGCTGAACCCCAGAAGCCCTCGGCATTCGCATGCCAGAGCCTTTCTGGTTCACTTTCTGGTGCGTCGGACTCGCGGCGCGGCGCTATTATCATAGGCATTCTCGGGGTTCGTCTTCCGCCACACAAGACTTTGCTACACAAAGTGCGAACTAAGCACCGAAGGTAATAATTTTCGAATGATGTCTGCGCAACCTCTTTCTCTGAAGAATGCGCGAAGGGAAGTGGCATTGGGACCAACTAAAAAATTAATTGTGGGAGATTGGAAGTTTTAGACACCACTAGGCCATCCCTTTAGTCGCGCTCTCTCGCGACATTGATCACCCGCATACCATCAAGTAGCCTTAGCTTAGGCTCGTGGAACACGCAAGAAACAAAACATGCAATGTCTTGGCTAGACTCAACTGCCGTGGAACGTGAACCGCTTCCTGTCATGAAGTCCTCGTGAGACAACATCGTCGGCGTTCAACCCGATTTGGACAAAAGCGAAATTTTCAACCCCGGCTCGTCACTAGACTGCAAATCCAATTGCTACAAAGAACCATTCCATGCGTCATCATAATCAATATTCGTCTCGTTCAGCTCCAGCTGTTGTAGATGCAGACCTTTCCGCCAATGTTCCAACACTCCCCAAGCAAATTCCAATGATCCAACGCCGTGTCAAACTAAGCCTGCAGCCCAAAGCCCTCGCCCCTTCATACCCTGACGCCCTTGACAATCGCCATCTGTACCACATCATTGCTCATCAAACACGCCAGCTCTAGCGTGATCGCATGGTGGAAGTACGCCGCCATTGTCCCCGGGTGGCATCCCGCCTCGTTCTTCGCCGACTCCGCAATGAGCTCTGGCAGCGTATGCCCCAGCTCAAGACGCCCGATAATCAGTTGATTCGCTTGGATAACCAGCGGCACGTCGGGGTACCAATCTATCCCAGAGTCCCGAGGCTCTCACGTCAGCGGAATCCATGCCAAAACGAGTAATAAAAGAGGGCAAATTTTTTTGGGTTTTCTGCCGAGCCACCTCGCCCGCGATGGCACGCTTGCTCGTTCTCGGCCGGCGGCCCGGGTTCTCGCCAAACGAACCTCGGTCAAAGATGAAATGTGTCCTACAAGCCTGTGAGCATATGCTTGGTGCTTTGCCTGCATATGTTTTCTGCAGCCTTGAACGGATGGGGGAAGGGGGGGGGGGCTTTGCTCACGTTTCCTGCAGTCCCGCCGCTGACGCCGTCAACGCGCTCGAGCGACTCGAGCCGCTCCCGTTGCTCTGTGCTCTGCCTCGCATGTTTGATGATTCCATGTCTATTCACGCGTTTTCTGTACACGCCCGGCGATCATGCAGATAAACTGCCTTTTTTTTCACGAATGCCCGCAAAAAGTCTGGGGAAAACAACGGCCTCTATTAAATATTATATTTTGGTCTCTTATCTTCTGCTCACTTGCGGTATGTGTGGTCCCGTGTAAAACGTTCGGTCGTGAGCGTGTTTGAGCAGGTAATCGCCTAATCAGGAAAGGGGCCCTTTTTTTTCTCTTCTTCTATGTACACCAACTCAACGCTCTCCAACACGAGTTGCCGTTTATTTTCTCAGCCCAAACAGTATTGATTGGCCACAACTGCCAATCAACTTGTTGGAGATAGTTGGGGAGTAGGTTATATATGCTTTTCCACTAGGAATTGCCACCGATTGCAAATATTGAATTCGGCTCGTTGGGGTAGGCTCCGCGTCCGCAATTCGATTGTATAGGCTTTTGAAAACATGTAGGTTACGAACACCGCTGTAAAGCCGAAATACGGCCTTATTTCTAGCTTTACAGACTCCGTCGCTTGTACGCATAAGTTCGATAGGGTTGGTTCGCACGTGGCTTGATACAAATCTGTAGACTAGAAACACCGTCAGCTCTGCCATTCGATCTGTGATGCGCAAACTTGCGGGGGGAAAGGGGGGGCGAAGGTCAAAGCATGGAACCGTCCAGGCTTCCAGGTTGTCGTGAAAAGTGCTGATTCGTTGACATAGTCCGCAAAATGACTGCCATTCTTTACGTTATTTCCCGTATTCGTATTGTGTCAAAACCGTGGTAAACATTTGCGAGACACTTGTATAGGACATCGCGCGACTACTGCGGTTGTGAGGATCACGTAGGGATCTCTAGTCTGCGCCGCGGAAATGCGGTTTCTTCGTTTGACAAACGCTAAGATGAGCTACAAGTCTCATTATTAGAAGATTCGGGAATCCCAAGTTGCGTAGAAGCCAATCTGGACAACTGCTACAACCAAATTGCGCTATAGCCGTCGATGATTGCAATGTTTTGTACTCTCGTCCAAAGTACGGCCAGGAGCTGATGAGCCACATTCGCCTCTCCACGAGCGAGAAGAGTGGGAAGATAATATTCTTTGCACTTTCAACATTCTAGAACAGATAATCAGCTCGGGCTTCAAACGCACGCAATTCTTGCACTGCCCAATGAAGCTGGGCGGAAAAGTGTCAGAATTAGCTGTTAGAAGATTCTACTTACGGTTGGCCAGTATTGCTTTTGCCCGCTAGAGCCAGCCAGATTTGCCAGTGACTCCCATCTATAAACCGTCATGGAATTTCGAAGCTATTATGGAGGAGGAAGTCTCAGCAACTTTGTAGTCACCGCAAGTTATATATTCGTCTAGTCGCGCCGTCAATCAATGTGTGTTTTTTGCTAGCTAAAGACAAGTCACGGTTAGCGAATATTCTTGCGATTTCCAAAAGTCTATCCTCAATAGCATTTAGACTTCATTTAGGGAAATTTGTTTCTACTCACTGATTTGATCTCGACCTCTTTTTCCATCAACCTAGCCAGCAAAATGGTAGCTCTTGAGCACTCTGGTAAATTCTAGAGATTGTTCTTTCCAGCCAAACAGCTTCGCCCCAATTCTTGGTTAGTAGAGCTGCCAAAATTGAAAACAAAAGCATTGGACTTCCAATGCTCTTCTTCGGCACGTCGGAGTTGACTCTGTAGACTACTGCGCCATATCGGCGAAACCGCAGCTAGTCAACGCCAGCAACTCGATGCAACTCTGACCGTCGTACTACGACTGCTCGCCCTATTGCATAGTTGTGGCCCGCAACTTGAAACGAGGCTTTTGTTATTCACGCATCGATTCGGATCCTGGTTTTCGGCCAATAGGGGGCTTCCTGCGAGTTGTCCCGACAAAAGGCGTAACCGGCGGGAACCGCTTGGATATCATTGGCCTTTGACTGCATGCCAACCCCGAGTTGTCCGTCGAAGCAATCGATGAGACATCGATTGCCGGTGTGGCATACCGGCAGTCTGCTCCCGGCGGGAGACAGATCGTGATTGTTGAGTGACACTGCTTTTCAGCTTTGGAAACCTGGCGCACCTGTTGCTTGCTGACCTCTCTTGGCCAGGTTAATGTTTCTTTTTCTGGCCGAATAGGAGATACGGCCGAGCCACTCGAGCCTGTTATTCGCTCCTGCATGAGTTGTTGGGTAGCAATCCCATCGATGGCGGGGAGCCAGGCGATCCAAGAGACAAAGTTCACAACCTGCTTGGGCCCGAAGTCTTTGGGCCAGGGCCGTGCCAGGATGAAGGGTAGTATCAGGTGGTAGAGAAGAGGGGGGTTTGTTCAGTCGATGGAACACGATCGATCGTTGCAAAAGTTTTTCTTGGGTTGACGAACGCTGTATCTTTGGTGATGCCGGGGTGGACCGGAGTGAGGGAAAATTGGTTCACGCTGTAACAAGTTAGCTCAACAGACGAACGTGGTTGTGTCTATAGGCTCCTGGCACCACATAGTACAGGGCTCCGTCACACAAAGCCAACGTCCTGCCTACCCTGCAGAATAGCATTTGGAAGACTGATGTGGACACAGGATGGGACACGACTTTGTTTTACATTTCAGGATGACAACTGATTTAGCTATGAGAACAGGTGGATTGTCAGGTCCAGGCAGACGTTGCTGGCCGGTGCATGCTGGCGAGCCTCGTAGTCAGGGGGGAGGGGGTAGGGGGGTGTTCTGGCAGGATAAAGAACCTTTCTCTCTCGCTGTTAGTGCCCGGCGGCGTCTCCGACGAACTTCATAGGCGGGATCCCTAGCACTACGATCACTAGACTTGTACTACATAGTCCCACCACTCTCAAACGTGTTCAATGGCTCTCGTTCTCGGCAATTTTTAGATAGTTATCGAGAGCCACCCGAGAACACCAAAGCGAAACGGTCTAAATGTGCCCTCTTTTTCGGTGTCCGTCCGTCAAAGCGGGAGGTGGGAACAAGGGGGAATGGGGAGTGCGGTGGGTGACTGCGCTGGTGTGTCTGGTCAGCCCCGTCTTCTGGAAGTGTGGGAGGCATGTCAAACAGGCGGTTACACAGTCACCAGTTCAAAGTTGTCGAGGACCATGGGACGCCAAGGAAGACTGCCAAAGACTGGCCAACCCAAGTTGAGGGAAGCACCAGTGCGGTTCGATCTGCCCAAGAGGTGTCAGCTCAAGAAAAAGCTACTGCCCGTCTCTCTTGCCCTGCAGTAGTGTGAGAGGATACCTGTCGCAGGACCTTTTGTGGAATTTTGGTCAGAGCTGCGTGTGTCTATCTACATGTGGCCACCGCTAAGAGTTGCCTCTATGAGGCGTGTCTGTGAGGGCATTTGCGCATCGACTAGACATGGAAATTTCCCTACTGCGATATGCCGATGTGTCAAGCGCGGGATGGATCAGTGGTGAGCATTGGCATCAGCGCCAGTAGGAGACTAGCGGTTGAGGTACGGGACACGGTCTCATAGGCGCGGGAAAACTCTCGAATGAGGCCTGAGAGGCATGATCACTCCCTAGCTCGTCAAGCCATAGACTCTGATTCTGGTCAGAAGATGTGCGGGGGATTTTCAAGATCATCGGTCGTCCACCCCTAGTAGGTACTCTCATGTTGGTTATTCTCGAACCCAGGTGGCTCTTTAGCACCCCCTGATCTATCCCCCCTGAGTTCTCTGGGATGATGGTACTGGCGCAAAGAGTCACGTTTCCACGCCAGTCGATGACGAGCAGCGTCTGTTAGCGGGCCACGGACGCCTAACAGCTGTCAAAGGTGCTTCCGGACCTCGACATGAGGAATCCAGAAAAACCGTCGAAACTCTGAAGGCGACGGTCTAGTCGACACTAAGATCACAATGCGCCACAAGAACAACCGAGCCCCTAGGCACGATTAAATTCGCAATTCAGTCCCACACCCACCTATCTCGCTACCGCAGACATCGGCTAGGAGCTAAACTTTTCGGGTACGAGATTCCCAGTCCTAGCAGCAACAAGAAGACGGGGGAAAGTGGATGTAAATTGGCTCCGTGACCGGGCAGTACTTATCGTCCAAGGAATGCAGCGCCGTTCGCCCGGTGGACTCTTTATTACGTCAAGATTTCGTTACACGCTCCGTCCCTGAAGCGTTGAAGCTTATCAGGCCTGGTACCGGGACACAGCGATGACAAAACAAATAAGGCTTTCTCCGCCCTTCACGAGCGAGAACTTGGGAAGGGTTCCTTCATGAGCCTCGGAACACACAGGGCTTTCCGACCCTGACTTCCCTGTTTGACGTTCCGACGCCTCAGTCCCACGGTTCACAGACCGCCGCTTGGGAGTGATGCCTTCAAAGCTTCGGGACAAACTCCAAGAAGGGAGAACGGGCCAGTCCGCCGTCCCTTTTGGCGTTCTTTTGGCAAAAAGTAAAAAAAGTTCTAGTCGAGGGACGAAGAAGAGAGTTTTGGGAGGGAAATAGGGCAAAGTGAAAGTGCGGATTGGGGAACGGCGGCCAGAGCTAATGTAGTTCGAAAGCATTGCGATTCAAGGCGCATGTTCTAGCCGCTTTAGGGCAGGGCGTTGGTACAAACCTGGAACCCGCTAGCTCGACACGAACTTTGCGATTCAGCGAGCCTGGAGGACTAACGGACGGGCAGTTGGGACACACGGATGGGCTTATTCAGACTGGAATGTTGTGTAGATCAAGCGAGATTCATCTGCCGTAACGGGCTAAACGTCATCAGCTCTCGGTCGGACTGCCACCCCCCCCCCCCACATCTCCTTCCGCCCCTCTCTAGAAACATCGACTCAGCCGCGGAGAAGGGAGAAAAGAATGTTATCAGAGACTCGGATGGTGCGGCGGCTGTGTTCCCTACCTGTCTGTGGATGCTTAAACCGAAGAGGATTGGGAACAAGGAAAGGCTTGCGATCAACAACCTGAAGCATCTGTTCGCGGACGTACGCATCTGTATCTCGATCCCGAAGACTAATCCTAAAATCGTAAAAACGTGATCGGTAGTTGCGAGTAATGTTTTCTTTTTCTTTTTCCCACTGGAACATGATCTGGGTCTTCTTCCCTCCCCACCGCCAGCCACCACCGGTCGTTGGCGTGGGCTCAATCCTCCCGTTTCCCGTCTCGCCCTAATCTTCGTAGTAATAACTTGTTGTCCCGCTCATCCCCCTTCTCTCCCTATCGTGCTGCGTTCCTATACCGGCAGCACGACTCTCCACAGAGACACTCCTTGTCCAAGCCGCGCCAGTAGCTCCCAGAGTAATCCACCGTGATCTCGTGCCCCGCCTCGATGCCCTTGCTCACCAGGATGATACGCTGCGTGCTCATCCACACAAACTGCTGGAACTGCGCGTTGGACTTGCAGCTGTGGTTGACGAACCTCGTAAAGTTGCCCTGCCGCCCTTGCCAGATCTGATAGGCCCGTACGCCCGTCGAGCTGTCCATGACGTCCATGTTTTGCAAATCCTTTGTGATAAGACCGACAAACTCTCCTATGGCCGCCCCGCGCTCAAAAGGACAAAGGGCCATCAGCCCGTTGTTGCGTCCGTCCGAGGTCCGGAATACCTGCACCGGACAGGGGCTCCGACGCCCGGACCCGAATAGCGTCGGGAAGCAGTAGCACGAGTTGATCTTGGGGTCTTCGGACTGCTCCTGGCCGCACGAGTGACACGTGTGCATGCCCTGGACGCAAGCCACGGCGTTCATCGGCGGCACCCACCGCGGGTCGTCGGTGCCCCACGCGCTCATGTCCATGACGGAGTGTTCGAGCTGCTCGAAGCTGAAGTAGGGGTCGTACTCGAGATATGTCGACCGGAGCGGGACCGGGTCGGAGCCGTCCTGGCGGACGACCCAGTCGTGCGGGTGGCCGCAGAACCGACGCTGCGCGCCCTCGCCGACAATCATGAGTAGTTGGCGCCACGTGGGATGCAGCGTGTCGGCGGCGACCTCGATCCGCGGCCGGAGGCATCGGAGTCGCTGCATGCTGTCTGGGTTAAATCCGACTCGGTATTTGCAGAAGCGGTAGAGTCCCATGCCGGCGAAGACGAGCGCGGCCCAGCCTCCCGCGTCCTTGATCTCCTTGTAGCCGCGCCAGATGGCCATCTTGTTCCGCAGCTCCTTCTCGGACCACCCAAAGTCGTTGCACGCCTCAATAAGCGCCGCCTTGCGGCGCTTGGTGGGGGACATGCCCGGGTTCGTGATGGCGAGCAGCTCGACGTACGAGTCAAAGTGCTCGATCCACCGCGCTTGGACAATGACCTCGATCGAGCGGCACGCGCGGCTCGCCTGTGTCACCTTTCGGCAAAAGATGTTGCTGCGGTTAAACGTCCCCTCCATGTCAATTTCAGTCAGCGTGCCGTCCGCCGAGGGTGCCTGCAGCAGGCCGAGCTCGAGCTGCTCAGGGACGTGAATCTTGCCCGCGTTGTTAATGGTTGCCGTTGCCGCCGTCGCCGTGAGTTGCCACTGTTCGAGGAGACTCTGTGGATCCAGGCTAATGCCGCCATGGATCTGCTCCCAGACGCTGACGACGAATTTGTCAATGGAGGACTGCTGCGGGATGAAGACGACGTCCGTTTGGATCTTTGTGCGTTTAGGGAAATTGTTGGCAATCTGCATGTGCCGCTGACTGTTTGGCTGCTGGTGCTCCTCCTCCAAAACCGACGCGGCTCCCCGGGCTGGTCGTAGGGCTCCAGTTCCCCTTCTTTGAAATAAAGCATTGGCATCGGTCTCGGGCGGTAGCTGCGGCGGTGCTTGGGATGGCGTCCGTTGTGTCCGAACATAGGCCCGGCTGGCGCTTGACGCGACGTCGTCCATCATCATTTGCGGGCTGATGGTGGGCGGCGTCGGGTGGTCGATGGTGTTTTCTCTTCCAGCATGGCTCGCGTTCGGGCTATTATTTGCGCTCTGTGATATAATGCCAGACAAATCTACCATTTTCTGTATATTTGATGGCGGTGATTAGCAGAAAACCCTCTTGTGCCCAACCAACCACCCACCCACCCATGGCACAACACGGGAAGGCAGTGAAATAAACCCCAGCCGGACATCAACTGATGCTGAGTCATCCACTCTCCATCTGTCTTGATTGGACATCTCCGGTCAAGTGTAGTTTGGCTCTGTAGAACTGGAGAGTCCTACGGGCAGCAAAAGCTGGATACTTGCAAAACATATTCCGCGCCAAAGCCGGTCCAGCCTGCGATGATAAACATGGAGATGCAACTTACCGAAACCACAGGAGAGCGGGGTGTTTGCCCCTGCATTCCGGGCTCGCCGTCCTGGATGAAAGCCTCAAATCGAAGTACCGGGTTCGTAAGGTTCCCAGACGAATAATCCCGCAGGGTTTCCGCAAGCTGGTCTAGAATCACGCGGCTGAGACCCTCTCGCAGAGTGTCCATCTGCTGCTCCGGGGACGTCATGATCCAGCGTTGGCGGTAGGGATCGGTCGGCGGGAGAAACACCTTGACGGCAAAGGGATCTTGTGCGCGCTGGAAATCAACTAGTCGACGCTTCGACACCATGTCAAGACGGGTTGTCTGAGGTATATCGAAATATTCGACAAGAATTCGTTTGCCGAGGGTTAATGGATCCAAAGGGAAATAAAAAAAAATAGACGTGTCAAAAGAGATAGCCTAAAGAAGGACTGATCGAAGCTTGTCTCTATCGTTGTCAAACGTTTGATTACTGGGTATCATAGTTGGCCTGCGGGCGGGTAACGGCACCAGGCATCATATTCTAATCGAGGAGTGTGGGAGGCCAGCACAGTTTTAACGGCGGAGAAGAGAAGAGGACGCAATGAGTGATATTCAGGGTCCACCTTCCTGCTCTGGAGGTGGGGTCAATTGTGCCAAAGCAAGGTGAGCCGAGCTTGTCTTAGTCCCTCTCCTCCTCCTCCTCCTCCTCCTCTTCTTGGGTGTGTAGACATGTATCTATGGCTGAGTGGGTGTGGGTGGTGTAGGTCCTGTTGTGCGGTGGGTGTGTTGCGAGTGAGCATCAGCCGAGAGACGAGGAGCAGGTCACCAGAGTCTAGCCCATCAAACGCCAGCCTAACCTGGTCAAGCAAGGATCGTCTTTGGGCAGACAGAATCGAATTGCTGCGTGGGCAGAAATTCCCGAGGCGGAAGGGGGGGTGGAACTGGGCAGAACGATCCGCCTCGGTATCATACACTTTTCGTCGCTTGTCTTATTTGTTAGCGGCGCCATCACAGCCACAGTTGAAAACGGCTTGACAAAAACGTTTTCTCCTCACGTGTTTTTTGCTGCTACGGAACCATGCCCGAGAAACGGGCTGTGGGGAGCAAGGGGAAGGGGGGGAGGGGGGAGCCTAGTGATGGGTCTGCTTCTCCTCTCACAGACTCTCGCAACTTGACTCTTTGCAAGTTCAAGTTGTGACGCTTGAACCCGAGTTAACCATTTGCATGACCCAATAGACTGGTTAACAGCCTGACTGACAGGCCGACTGGACTGATTGACTGACTGACTGGTGTACCAGGGGCTGCACACACACACAGAGAGAGAGAGAGAGAGAGAGAGAGAGAGAGAGAGAAAGAGGACACATACATAACACGAACAGGGGTCAACCTTTGGAACACAAAAGAAAAAGGCGTCATACAAATAGAGTTTACATGGCGTCGGCTAGCCGACGTCATACCCGGTCCGGTAAGGTTGCCTGGAAACAGCCAGTCTGAGCCCAGCCACAATTCTCGCTGTTAGGGCCACTATTCAACCGTCCGTCTCCGTATCTTCTCTCGTGGACTGTAGACCGGGGACCGGCTTGTTCGCCTCGGCTTTTTTTTTTTTTTTTTTTTGGCACCTGCAACCCCAAGGGAAGCCTGCCGGTGGACTCTCAAATTGCCATCAAATGCGCCCTTCGGGGGCAGGCTCAAACCTTATTGTTATCAGTAGAGCCGCCGCTAGATGCCAAATTCCCCCGAACAATTCATCACTATTTCTTATGCCCTTTTGCGGGCAGCTTTGGTTTCACATGTCTCTTTTAGGTCGCTATGAATCTCTGGCCAGGGCAAACAGGAACACCCTTGACATCGCGAGCCCACCTCCCCCCCCCTCCCTACCTTCTCTTTCCTACCTATCCGTATGTGCAATCTTTTACATACATTCCTGTCGTGTAATCTCCCGCTGGCATGCTGAATGCTTGGCGCTTGAAGCTTCCTATGTATAAGTGAGAAGTGATAGTCACCATAATGGCCTGCCTATTACTATCCACTTCCAATCGGACCGCTCCGTGATGTGTATTTATTAAGGTTCAGCTATTCCACGGCGACCTGGTAAACGGAGGTACTGCCAGACAAGAACTAGCCAAAGTTGCCCTACAGAGCACTTGCCGGGGAATCGATCGAGAGGGGCTTGTATCCGTATCCGTACAGGTAGCTGCTTTCCCCTTAAGGTGTGCGCAAAGCTAAATGAACCAGCTTTTCAGGGATAGCGAAAACGAATTACTGTGAGGTCGAACATCCGGCGAACCTTCTTTGCGCTTCTCGTTGACTTGACAGCTCATGCGCTTAGTTTGGCTCATGGCGCTTGTTGCTTCCCTTGCGAGGAAACAGTTGCGAGCCGACTCTGTGCAGAGCAGAAGAAACGGATCACTTAGAGGTCCATGTTTCTCCTTGCTGTTTCTTTTGGTCAGAGTTTTTTTTTCCCACACACCCCCCTCCCCCCTCCCCCCTCCACTTCTTCCCCTTCCCCCCTTGTGACCCTTTTGGGTTGGGAGATCTCGTGTGCTTGGACGAAGTTGCCATCGGGTGTCCCGAATGCAGTCTGTCTGTGACGCCTTTTAAAAGTCTAGTTTTCGGCAATTCGTCCTTTGTAGCCAGGCGCACAGGGCTGACCAACGGTGTGGCAGAAGCTACCACTCTGCTGGTTCAGTTTGACAGTTCATGCAATGTCAAAGATTCGACAACATTGAGCATATTTGCATTAAGCCTATTACGGTAATCAATGTTCCGGGTCGTTTTTCTCTCTCTCCTGTTTGTTCGGCATCTCCCGAGAGCCAATCGATTTCGACCGGTGAGTCTTCTTTTTTGCTGCTAGCTCATGCTATATTTTGCTAAAGACGACTGGCTCCTCTTACTCCTACACCATCTTTGTCCAGAATTGTCATGCCTCGTAATGTCATAGCCCAGTGCTTGCGCGCCCTGCCAGGAAAGAACCTTTTCGTAAGCCTAACTACAAAACGGAAAAAGAAGAAAGACTACCAAAACGTCAGAGTAGCCTGTCATCCAAACTCGCCTTACTCGGTCCTTTTCAGCTTTTCTTGATCAGATTTAGCGTATTTGCAAAGCTTGAGGAACGGTTCGCAAGCCAGCACCTCTTCGGGGCGGATGGTGAGCATGCGTCGAAGGTTTTCTGTCACTGCAGATTGGGTCAATAACCTCTCGATCCTTTTGTCGATGCACTTGGTCGTAGACCTGTAGAATGCCCCGGCTCGTCTTATTGCGATATATGCCCGTCGACGATGCCCCAGGTCAGGCCGATGCCCCCACTACCATGACGATCGTCAGCACAACCTGCGCGCTACAGGCGACGGAAATTACCGAGCAAAATGAGAAAAGGGCATACAAGGGGTTGCAGAGGTGTGCTGCGTCTACAGTGAGCAAAACACCCGGCCGGCAATCATTCTCTTGGCTAACCGTGAATGGACCTCGTATGCACTGATGTCGACTAGCCTGTACCCGTCGGACTTAGGGTGTCCAGGTAATAAACTTCTTAAGTCCTAAACCTCTCCGGCTGCCTGCCGAGAATCTCATCGGACGTCAAGCTCCCGTAGCTTCACCACACGTTACATGTCACAAGCCGTCTTGGTGATTTTGGCCGCCATGAACCAGGTCTTTGAGCCCAGAATGAAGTTGGAGTCTGTGGAGCCAAAGCGGCCAAAGTCGTAGTAGACCTGTGAGCTCATCAATCCGTCGACTTTGAAGCACGCGGACAGAACCACTTAGACAACGGGCCGAATGAGTTGAGGGTATGACCTACGTTTGCGGCCACGATCTGCTCGTCCCATGTCCTACCAAGGAAATTCGTTCCCAGACAACAATCGCCGCACAATGCTGTTCGCCCCTTCGCACCCAATAACAAAGTCCGCAAAAAAGCTGTGACTTGTCCCCTGTGTCCCCGTTCTCCAGCTCGATCCAGGCCCGAGAATCGTCCTGACCGATGGCTGCCACCCGATGATGAAACAAGTACGTGACTGATGACAGATGCTACTAGTGAACGTAGATTAACTGCGCCATGTTGCACGAGGGCAGTGCAACCATGCAATCTGGGGCATCAACATCAATCTCGTTGCTGATGCCCGCAATGCACACGTTCTCCCTTCCTGGGTTGCGCCATACGACCCCGTCGGAAAGAAACCCGTTTTCCCGAAGGTCGCACCCCAGATCAGTACGATTCAAGACCTTCATCGCCGGGTGGAGCGTAGTGTGTGACTCTCGGCTTCTCATCGAGCTCTCCAATGTCTGCTCGACGATCGTAACGGGAATGGCGCCCCGACCCAGCAGCAGCCCCGAAAGCTACACTGCAGGGCCGGCCCCGACAATGATAACCTAAACCGCACGCTCAGTCAAAGTTTGATAGTGGACGGGTCGGTGTGTTTACGTTCCTCAGCCCTGGGGACGTGGTTAGCTAGTCAGTATGCTTGTCAAAGAAGGTTCGGTCACTCGAATGTAATCGGGTTACCACGAAGAAAAGAGGGAGGCTGTCGGGGGGTTGGGAGGGGAAGGCTCGGAGGGTCCATTCGGACGAGATTGGTGTTGATGATGTGTATGGTTCGATACAGTTGGTGTTCACTTTTAAGTTGGCTATGCCTCGGTACAGGATCCGCTGTCAAAGTAAATGAAGGTTGATCAGATATGAACTAGTTGGAAGTTGGAAGGATGATACGCTGCTCACTGGCCCAAAGTCTCAAGTGAATTCGGCATGATCCCCGTCCCCCCGCGTCCGCCACCGGCGCGGGCACCGGAACCCCTCCACATCCAGGATGAACGCTCGCCGGGCTTAGCGTCCACAAACACCCGTGGACCCCACCCTCCATCAACCAGCGATGTAACAATGTGGTGTGTGTTCCCCACATGGGATGGGGTCCTATCTAGGTAGATTGCCCTAGTTTTCTCTTCATCAGGCATCCAGTGTGGCCCCCAGATTGTAGCCCTGACTATTTTCGGCATGGCTGTATTTAAAAAAAAAAATAAAAAAATCGAACGGTTTGCGGAGTCTCTGTGACAAAAAAGCAGCGAGTTAAACCCCGCAACCGTCGTCCCGTCGGAAAGAGGGGCCCTGTGAGGTAGGTGGTAGCGTCTTGAGAGCCGGCGCGAGCAGGCATTTCCACTTACATGGCCATGTACGGAGGTATCCTCACACATACGCCCGTATGCACAGAGGGATCCAAGATGCTGTCAAGTCTGGTTGGGCGAGTCATATCTCTTCGATTCGGGGGCGGTAACAAGAATAGTGGGACTTTGGGAAATCACAAATCGACAGAGCCTCCAGTAGCCAAAACTTTGGAAGTATTGAAACTACTGCAGAATACTAACTAACAAAAGTACTGTGGCGTGCATGTGCCTGGTACTTTGCAAGTGCAACTATCTTAGTTTACTAAGCTTATCCTGCCGGCAGCAAGACAAAAGAACACCTTATCCAACGTCTCCGAAGGAACCGTGTGCAGAAACTCCGCCTGCTCCGTTCGTCTACGGAGCTTGACGTCGACGCTATCAACTTCTTGGAACATCCCGTATGGTCCAAACGCTGCATAGCTACCCAGCTCCCACGGTTCCTTGGAGTGAAGGAACCTGATCAGTGACCTGCGCATCTGCTCGCCAGTCTTTTGTGCGCCGGGGGAAAAGGACAGATCGAATCCACCAAATAGAAAAAGCAAATCCACCGCGTGATGAGCTCCATTCGAAGGCTGCCAAGGATTGCACTCATCGACGAGATATCGGTAGGCGGGTCTGTTCGCTGCCCTAAATAGGCGAGCAAGATTCTCCGCTGGGAGGAGAAATTTGTAATCGTTGATGAAGTCCAACGCCCCTATCTTGCAAGAAGAAGGTCTGTCAGGGCGAATGTTGTAGAGTTTCTTAAGCGTGTCCTGATGTTCGCCAGCATAGTCGAAAGCTCGAACAATGTCGGCAACATCCATTTCCCAAATGCCAGCCCGCCAGAGAACGGCCTGTTCGTAACGGTCGATTAATGAGACGGAAGACAATTAGCTCCAAGCGTTGAGTGTACATACCTCGTCTTGAACGTCACCTATCATTATGCTCTCCGCAGCCCCTGTTGCCGTTTCCCACCCAAGAAGAGTAGGATCCACTTGGAGGAACCACGAATGTATTCCGGCTAGTTCCATAGCTTCCACCAGTTTTTCAACAGGGGCTGTGCTCAAGTCAAAGTGACCCAGTGTACGAAGATGACTGCGGAGCGTTTGACGCAGAGAAGAAGCCTTTGCCTCTGTTTGAGGAGGAGAGAGGTACAGCGAGCCGGAGGAGAGAATAATCCTCCTGATTGGAAGGCCGGCCGCCAAGTGGGCGTGGCAGTATACCGCTCCAGCACTTTCTCCAGCCAGTGAGACATCATTCTACGGAAGCCCGTCAGTGGTCTGGCGCTCTTGGCAGAAGGGAGCGTGACTTATTACAGGGTCACCTCCAAAATCCGAAATGTGGTCTTTGACCCAACTCAGAGCCAATGATTGATCTTTCAGGGCAAGGTTGCCGGGGCTGCTTTCATCTCCGAACGCGAAGATATTCAGTCTATACTGAACTGTCACGACGATGACGGGGTTTGCCAAGAGTAGGGAATCTTCCACTATTCTTCTCGTGTCTAGATTCACGGTTGTTAGTGGCTAGTAAGTGTATGTACCTATATGCTAGCGCCAAGACGATACTTTTCATCCAGGATCTTTGAGCCCGGCTGAGGGGACATAGCGGAGGACAGGGCGCACTTCGTACCGCATACCCCAGAGGCCGCGCTGCCAAAAGTAACTGCCTGTGATCCGCCTGAGATGTCCGTGTTAGTCGAAAACTCGGCCCCTTTTTTCCCCATCGACAAGCATACCGTGGATCCAGACCAAAACAGGCAATCTTTGGCCGGTCGGCAGTTGCTGTGAGTTGGGCACCGTAACGTCCAAGTTGAGGCATCGAAACTCGTCTTCGGCCTCATCCGGCAGCCTGTGCTCAAAAGGTATACGCAATAAGTGACCTACATCAACCTTCACTTGAGGACATCGAGGGCTGCGATCACAAGAAACTAGTCAGCCTTGCTTCAGCCTTCATCTCTCTCAATTGTTCAGACCGGACGTCAAAAGAACGTACCCAAACTCAGTGCAGTTTATCTCTTGTGGCGAGATCGCTATAGGCCCGGGTTCCGCAAATCGCGAAACAATGTTGCCGTATGGGATGCCTCTAAATTGTACGATCATCCCCACGTCAACGCCAAGTAGAGTTGAACCCAGAGATTTGCTTTCCAATCTATAGGCCATCGTTGTTTCAATAGCATAGCATAGAAGGAACAGAGTTACGCTAGTTCTGACAGAATATTCGACTGTAATCCGAGCTTCAGGCCATTTCCGTAGGACAGGAGACAACGGATGAAAGACCAAGTGTCAGTCAGGTGGAGGACACTGGACGAGTAACAATGCATGTGGTTTCTCCGCGGCCATGAAATCTGTCTTCGCAAGTCGACCCCGCATCAGGTGACTATTTCCGCGGCGATCACGCACGCATAGAACACTCACTCCCCTTCTGCTTCGACATTGAACCGCAGCTGAGCTACCACTAAGCCACAAATAAATCTCGTGAGTAATCGCTTTGAATTACTGATCAGGAATCCCGATGATCATTCAAGGCTCACAGACATCTTGAGTGGGTGTTGTGCCAAGAGTAGACTTTGAAGCAACAAGTGTTTGGTGTCTTAATCGCTGTCGGAATCGAAGTCCAATTCGACCGCTGAGTCAGTGGATCCAACGAATCCACCGCTCTGGCCCAAATAAGCCGGCATACGATTTCCGGCCTGTAGCGCCAATCTCCTACTTTCACATTACGCATACGCAGTATCATCAGAATACAATCCTAATTGAACCTAATTCTTCGTCGCCTATCCAACCGTACGATTGATTAGCCTGTCATATACGATACCGGCAATCGCAGATTCAAAGAGTATTAAGAATCAATATGTGGGGGACATAACAATTTGAACATGCCGGAGATACGGGAGATTCTTCTAGAGATTGACGAATACCCCCGAAATGCTTGGCAAGGATCCCCTCGCCTGGAATTCTCTTTTTGGTCTGTGGAGTGTCTATTGAGAGACCAGGAAAGCCCCCCAAGCCTCCAGCAGCGAATCTAGCCCAATCTTTTCACCCAGCTCGAGCAGCAAATCATATCGTGCCGGGTTTGCCCCGGCCTCCTTGTAAGCTCTCGTCCCATCTTGGTACAGCATCCGCCCGCCAGCATCTTGAAACGGCTGCCATGGAGCTTGACCATGAACAAAGTCAATTATATCAGTGAGAAACAGTTCGGCGGACTTTCGCTGCGTGTCTCCGAGATGTTCGTTATAGTTTTGGAATAGGAATGCAACGTCGAGGACATGGGTACTGTAGCCCCTGAACGGTCCTTCCCACGGGTTAGCCTCGGCAAACTCTAACAAATAGGCGTCGCCGGGAAAGCTTTTGACGAATGACTCTGCCGGCGCTCGAAATCCAATATCGGAGGCGAATTGCAGGATTCGGATGAAAGCCTCGTCGTCGCTTGTGATGTCACTAATGCCGTATGCCTGCAGAATTTGTCCAGCGCTGTCGACATGGTGCGACAGAGCTGCGTTGATGATTCGAGTGAACGAGGCTGCGATGTTCTTCTTGCGCTGCAAGAGACCCATAAACCCAAAAATGCTCGCCTGCGTGATTGGTTATTGACATTACGCCGAGAATGTGGCCGAAATGTTGATGGAACTTACATCCAAGGGAGCGTATCCGACCATGACAGCTTTGTACGAGGTTGTCTCGGGAACTAGCTTCCCAGCTGACGCTGTTTCGAAGGTCGGAACAAACGGAATCGTGGCCTCATCCAGGACCGGCAAGAAAGGAAGACTTTTGCCAATCTTCAAAGACAGGTCTTCGGGGGATGCCCTTGACAAGATCCTGATACGTTCACCTGATCTAACATCTTCAGCTCCCAAAGCTTTGAGAACGCCATTGTACGCCTGCTCAGCCACTCCCAGATCCAAGGGTGCGAGCGCAGGCGGAGAGCCCCCCAGGATGATGAGTTGAGACGCAAGAGCCTTTTCAGAGTACAGGAGGCGGCTCGCCGAGACTAGTCAAAGTCAGAATTGCACCTCGGTGTCGGAAGTCGAGACCGAAGGAAGTCGAGACCGAAGGACGTCGAGACCGAAGTACGAGACTTACCACCGCCGGCGCTTTCACCAACCACAGTCACATGCTGAGGATCACCCCCGAACCCAGAGACGTATTTTCCCACCCATTCCAGCGCTATCCTCTGATCGTGATGGCCTTGGTTGCTCTTGAACCCCGCCTTGCGGAGTTCTTCTGATGTCAGAAATCCGGGCATCCCGAGGCGGTAGCTATTCAGCCAGGTTAGTCGAGAAAGTTACAACGGCTCGTGTGTTTATGTTGAAGACACGCCATACTTGATGTTGATAGCGATGAGAGGCTTTCCAATCTTGTTTGACCATTGCACTATGCGCTTGGTGTCATATTGTGGCCATCAGTTGGACCCGGTGGCAAACCCTCCGCCATGAATGAAGACCAGAACAGGGAGCCGCTTCGAATCATTGCTATTCAGGGGTGCTGTGAGGTTCAGATTGAGACATTCCGTCCCCGAAATTCCCGGAAACTCAGCTGTTGGGATTGACTTCTGAATGATGATGTGTTCATTCTTGACCCCTTCCGGATCGGAAATGGCTTGCGGACTGAGAGACACAGTGTTATCAGTGATTTGACATTGTCGAAGAAAATAAGGATATCGTACCCATGGTGTGTAGCGTTCGCTCCACTCCCATCGTACTGAACAAGCTTCGAATTGTCGAACCAGTGCTCCAACGTAGCATACTTGAGGCCGAGAAACTGGATCACGTCGTCGGACGCTTGGCCCTCCACTTTCCCAATGATGGGGTGGTCAAAGATTTGTACCGTCAAAGCCATTTTCTGAATTTCAGAGCTTATGGGACGTCAGTAACCCTGACAGTTACTCGGAAAGGAGGTGAAGTGAGGGATGGTGGGTATAGTTTGGTCGGTGGACTGGAGGCAGCTAGATTACGATGTTCTCGCAACTGGCCGAAGACTTAAGCAAAGCTTTTAGAAAGAGAGATCATCAACCTGAGGAATCGAGTGTCTTCACAGATGCCTCTACCGCTAGATTTCAAAGTCGTCAACAATGCCAACTTCTTTCGTTCAGGGTGAGTAATCGGATGACTCGGAATAACTCAAAACGACTTCATGCGATGTGTCTCGTCGCTCCGTTGAAGCTGCTGATAGCTGCCCCACATTACCCCGCATGGAGTCTTACCAGCCGTGCCCACAACCAGCTTGATAGCTCTCCACATTGAGTATTGGCTGAGAGGATCGCGTCAGCAACGTGTCAAGCCTCCAACAGGCCGTAAGCATTGGCTACTTTACGAATGTATGTTCGACAATGTTCTCGGCGCAAACTAGGGTTTCTGATTCACCTATGGCGACAGCGAAGCCCCGTGCTTGCTTGGAGTGTTATCTTGGAGACCGTAGCACAGCGTCCAGCTCATGCCGCTGGTACCGTGGCGCTGGTCCGCCTCAGTCACGCGTGTTATCGTATTCGCTGTACTGCTCTGACTACGCTTTGATCCACGTCACATATCCTCATGGTGATGAAGCCATGTCTTATCAAGTGCTGACTTTGGGCTGATCGCGAGATTGATTGGCTAGGACTGCAGGTTTTTGGTCGCAGGGCATCATGGCGAAGGATCTTGCCTGCACCGCACAAGATTACTCGCCCGTTTCTTGACTACTGATCACACACCAGCGGGAAGACAGACGCTGGATATAATTCCTAAAGCATAATGCAGATTCGGTCTTCCAGGATGCACTATTTCTATGGTGGAAAAGCATGTCCAGCAGCCTCATTTCTTGGTCGTATGCTCGTGCCAATCGCTCTAAAACATCACCCATGCGGACCGTGATACCCCATACCCACACCTTACAACTCCCTGTTAACTATCGGCTGACTGAATACATGGGCAAGCACGTGAGCTTGGAATGTGTAGCTTACATCTTGAAGGAGGAGACTGCAAGTTTTGGCTAGGCCGGCAGCGATCGACGTGCTTCCGTTTGCACCATAGTCCGCTTCCTCAAGGACGTCTTTCATCTTCTCAAGCAGACCCAGCTCAGCTGCACTTGGTCCGATACCTTTTCGCATGTCTAATTCGATCGAATGCGCCCACTTGGTGGTGAAGAGTGCTTTTCAGATTAGCCTACCCCTTTCATCGTCTGAATACGGCTCGGCGGCACAAACCATTGTCCCACGCTACCACCGCGTGCTCCACGCTCCATCGGAAAGCAGCTGTTTTTCGTACGAGCATGTGTCCCATACGCATTGGTATGACGAAGCCTTCCAGTGTCTTCTCGATGGCCTTGAGGACATGCACGTCTCTTTCTACTTTCGTGTTGGCAAATGTGGCGACACAGCTGTCAATGGTACTTGGATCTTCGGCGAGTAGACTGAGACGGTCAAACCTCGCCGTGTTATCAAACAGTCGAATGTGAGCGGCCCTTAGTATCGCTTGTGAGCTGAAACACAGCGACGGAATATTGTTGTCGTCCATGTCCTCAAGCTGTGACACTCTGGCTTGGTTCAACAGCCCGCAACACCTGTCCAATGAGCTTAGGCCATTTGTGACAAGTGAGTTTCCCAGAGCATGTTGTCCAGTTATTGATCGAAAGGATTAAACGGACGAGGTTTGTGAGACCTGGTGAAGTTGCCATGTGTGCACGAGTACGGCATCCATCAGGACGAGCGCGGTGAATGGCGAGATGTGATATGATTCAAATCTAGAATCATCCGTGTTCTCATATAAGACGTCTTTGAGAATGTCTTTGGTAGTCCTGGAGTTCCTCTTGCTGTGGCTGGCTCGCAACTCTCGCCACTCGTTGGCCGATGACGCATTCCAGAGGTTTTCGTCGTGGAAGTGTTCGATCTCAAGGTCCTGGCTGGCATTGAAAGCTGGACTGAGGCCGTAGATGACAATGTTGACTGTGCTCGCCACGTAAATGGCACCGAGCAGCCTCTTCCATGATTCGCGTTGCAACCAAATCTGCCCAGGTCGATTTCAGGACATCTAGGTTTTCGCTTTTGAGCTGGTGCCGGACCTTTGTGTACAGCTGCAGAGTTATAAGCATTTGCTAAGGGAGGCTTGTTAGGCAATGTGAAATCTCTGCAGGAGCTTACCAAGGTAAAATAGGTATTCTCCCCTATAGACCGGGCTGCCAAGTCGTTGTCACCACTAAAGGTAGCAAAGAATGTTAACAGAAATTTGGTTTGTAAAACCCCAAGCGGACAGTCTCTTGTCAGAATCTTGACAGTGATTAGTATTACAATACGCGTAGAACATGTGGAGTGACGACCAACCGGCTCGATCAACCGCAGCGCAAGATCCCATAGACGACGTGCTCGACAACGATCCAGGCGGTACAAGGCGCCAATACTACACATGGCAAGAATCAGGGGGCTGGGAATATCATCCTGTGCGATAATTTGTAGGTGAATGAGCGGTAGATGACAGTGATAGCACTCCACATAACTGGAGAGAAAACTCTGACAAGCTTTCAAGGGAGGTATGTCTTTCGATATGTCAGGACCGGTCAACCGCTTATTCACATCTTTTCACATTGAATCATGCATATGCTGGTCCATGGTTAATTTCAGCTTCGGCGTTGGCTTATTCTCAACCAGGCGAGGAAGGTTGCGATTCGGAGCAGCTGGGGACTTTTGTTTTATGGCGCCTGCCGCAGAATCTATATCTGCTTGGAGAGAGCTCCTATCGAACGAACATGGCTGCTCTGGGGTACTAATTATCGACTCCTTTGGGGATCCTAAATCACAGTCTGGGCTCAACGATAACCCCATCCAGTTCGGAGCATCAAGTAACCCAAAACCATGTGTGAAATCAAATATCTCTTCAGGCATTGGCAATAGCGACTGTGCAGTTGGATCTGCAAGGAAAGAGTCCAATGACCCAAGAGCTGAGCCGCTATCTGTAAGCGGAGGGTGACCGTTTGGTATACAGTTCCCGTCTTTGGTCTCTTCGGTGAGTTGATTTTGTAATCGACCAAGGCCCCGAGGCGTCATGCTGCCACACGGCTCGTTGGGATTGGCGTCGAAAAATGTCTCGAAGATGTCTGTTGGACTCGAACTAGAGGCATTGTGAAAGTACAGAGGAGTGAAAACCGCCTCTCCATATGGTCGAAATTGATGGGCATCTTGCAAGCTATCCTTTGACTGTGTTGCAACCACGAGGCTTTTCGAAAACAGAGTCGATGTACGAAAGCCTCTCCTGTGCCCGTTTCCCAACGAGGGCTGACTCAAAGGAGTGCCATACGCACGACAATGTCGTCTGAGAACATTCCTTTCACTCGTAATCGTTTTTCCGACAACGCATCATCAGCGAATTTCCTTTTGTGTTTCGCGATTAGCTTCTGGTCGATGATGATGAAATGGCGCTAAGTTGTCTCGGGGAACCTAACTTTCTTGAATATGTCTTCAGACAATACTGACAAGCATAAGGCTTCTCGTTGGTGTGACTTCACTCGTGACGGATGCAGTGCTCACTGCGTTTGAAGATTTTTGGGCAATAGGCACATTTGTAAGGGCGAGCAGCACGACGAGCACGCTTCTCTCCTGCTTTGCTGGTCTCGATCGACGTGGAAAGTTGCTTCGTCGCGTGGGCGGGCAAGGATGCGGCAGAAGACAGGGGGAACAAATTTTCTCTCAATGACGGGTGAAACAGCGAAAATGGTAGCTTTGTCGATCAGGTGTATGACGGGCTTCTCGAGAATAATGTAAAACGAGCAGCATTTCAAAGACGCTGTTGAGGAGAACAGGGGGAAGGGACTGGACAAGGACGAATCAGCTTCTTGGAGTCTCCGAACTCCAGCCAGACCGCACCGTCACCGAGGATCGACATGGCGCCAAGACGGACACGGATACGGTGAGCACGCGCGGCCCGATCAGTAAGTCATTATTAACTCCTTGGTACTGCGGCAGTTGCGGAGAAAAATGTGGGGTTTATCGCATTTGTGTCCATTGGCAGTGAGAACATTGAATCTGAGAGGACTTTGTCTAAATATACCAGTTACTATTGGCCTTTATGCCCGTTTTTCCCATGCAGACGTGTGACTCTTGTATGTCACAGCTCGGACGAGACGCACCGAATGACTCGAAAGATGGAACATGGGCGGATCACTCTCCGTTAGGTCCCGCCGCGCTCAACTCCTATGCTACCACCATGCCCTTGGTGTCAACCTTGACGCTCCCCAAGTAAAACCCAACCTTCTCTGCTTGGGCCCACTCAGCTGTGAGCACTTCAGCACGTCTGCCATTACGTGGAGTGAACCGGGTTTTGAAGGGTTTGGGAAGGGTATTGATACCCGGTTCATAAGCTTCATCGGATAGATCTATCGGCAGTTCTTTGCCATTCGGATCCAACGCCGGCTCGATGTTGAAAGCCCACAGAATTTTAGCCAATGTGATGAACAGGCTATTTTCAGCTAGGTGCATGCCAGGACAGATGCGCCTCCCTCCGCCAAAATCGAAATGGTCACGAGCTTGGGCGTCACCCTGAGCGGCATAGAAGCCCGCCTTCTCAGGATAAGCCAGGTAGCGTGATGGGTTGAATTCCTCGGGATCGGTCCATTTTTCAGGGCTGAAGTGCAACACGTATTGCGGGATGGCGACGACAGTATTCTTGGGGATGTAATAGTCCTTGTAGAATACGTCCGACGTGGTGTAATGAGGGCTTCCAATTGTAGTGACCGGCCGGATGCGGAGGATCTCCTTGACAATCGCTCTGATATACGGTAGACTCGGTTCGTCTGAAAATGTTGGTGATCTATCATCGCCAATGACGCGCGATAATTCCTCGTTTGCAGTATCCTGGACGCTGGGGTTCGCAGATAGATATAGAATGCAGCTGTTCAACGCCGACGAGGTTGTCTCAGAGCCGGCCTCAATCATTGCTTTACTGAGAGTTAGTATTCCGCCGGCGATTTCCAGAACAGTCAGAAGATCTTTCACTTACAGCCTGCAACAAAACCGGCTTGAACATCAGTGACACCAAGTTTCTCAAAATCCGACTCCATAAACTGTTTCACGAAGCACTCGGGGGCTTTCTTCTCAGCCACTGAAGTCTTCAAGTCATTCCAGTAGAGCATCCAGATATTCCTCTGCCTTTCGTAGGCACGAATAGCAGCAGGCCGCCACCACTGGAAAAACCATGGAAGATTGGCGAGCGGAGGAAACATGTCAGCGATGTATGCGCCAGGTTGTGCAACTTCGGTAAAGTCTTTCAACAGCTGGTAAATCTGGCGCACATCGTCGCAATCCTGCTTTTTAGTTAGATACATTTCTATAGAAGAAGAATCGATGAGAGAACAACGACATACCCAGGTAGGAACACGGCGTCCATATGTACTAGTAAGCACAACTGATGTGGTGTACCTCCGCACATGCATATAGAAACTTTCTTGATCTGCATTATCGGTCGCGATGTCGTAGATAAGTTGCTTGGCCTCAAACTCTTGAGATGGTTTGTACGTGTCGGAAGCTTTTGGTGTGAGCAGCTTGTGCACAATTGTCCGCAATTGCCGCCATTTGCTCCCATAAGTCAAAAGCAGGAGTCTGTTGCCTCCGGAGAGAAGGTCAGATAGCACCGGCATTGGCGATCTTCCAGAAGTCTTTGCCGATTGTTTGTCAAATATCTCGCGTACCGCGTCTGGGGTGTTGACGAAAACCCAGTTCTCCCAGCCAAGGCGAACTTTGACAATCTCGCCATAATCTTGCGCCCATCGCTGAAGTTGTCGATGTGGTGCTGATCCGAGCTGGAGCGCGTTACCTACAAGAGGCCATCCCTTTGGTCCTGGAATAGTCCTGTACCCCTTTGGAGTCGCAGCTCTTCCTCTCTTGATGTACAAGTGAGCCACCAGTATGGTAACTGAGAGGCAGCTTAATAATTTGAATAATGACATTGCGTTTTACCACGTTTTTGGAGCAATCAAAGTCTGCTCTGATGGAACTTGATATCAGATCGTGCAGATGACAATCTAGTAGCTATTTGTCACAAAGATTTTTTGTTCGCTAGTTAAATAGACAATATGCACACCACATTGGAGCACGAGCCCTCGGCGTCACCTTTGTCAGTCATGACAGAGACACCACATCCCCGCACACTAAGGGGGATAAGCCCGGATAGAAATCTCGTACGAGTGGTCTCAGAACCTCCCACTTGCGAATTGCCGCAGAGGGCGTGTGGAGTAGCTCCGCTACCTCACATAGCTCTATGTGGGGTGAAGCTATCCGCACTTGGAGAGGGGAGCATTCCTTTATAAAAGCGTGGGATAGCTCTATTGACCCATCGTCGTCGTGAAGCTCTCAGCATTGAACCCTCCTCGCATACGTAGAGCTAGCTTCACGTTACAATGGCAGCGCCAAAAATTCTCAAGCCGAAGGACTTCCAAAACGCCTTCCACTGGGCGGCGACGCAGCAAGACGGAGCAATTCCCTCGTTTGCGACCCGTCCTAATGATCCGTACACCTATCAGCCTGGTTTTAACAATAGCTTCGAGTCTGAGGCAATCGCCGGCACAATTCCGAGGGGCCAAAACAGCCCGAGAAGCATTAGATATGGGTTGTATGCCGAACAGGTGACGGCTTCGGCCTTCGTCGCCCCCAGGCATGCGAATAAGAAAGCCTGGCTTTACCGGTCGCGGCCAGCTGTAGCTCATCAAGGATTCGTGAGTATCTCATGTGGCATTTGGCTTCAGATTCCTGATGTGTTGCTAATTCTGCCTCTCGTAGACCGACCTTCCCGATAACAAGGACACTGAGTCGACTTTCATCCCCATCAACCCACGAGTACACGTCTCACCAACTCAATTAGCATGGAAGCCTTTCCCGATTCCCGAAGGCCAAGATCTGGACTTTGTCAATGGCCTCAAGACTGTCGCCGGTTCCGGAGATCCAACTCTTCGAGAAGGCCTCGCTACTCACGTCTACCTTTGTAACAAGAGCATGACAAAGAGGGCCATTGCAAACTCGGACGGCGACTGGCTCATTGTGCCTCAGCAGGGTGCTCTAGACATCCAAACCGAGTTTGGTTTCCTGTATGTGCAACCGGGCGAAATCTGCGTCATCCAGCGCGGCCTTCGCTTCAAGATCAACGTTGAAGGGCCGACCCGCGGATACATCCTGGAGATTTGGGGTTCCAACTGGGAGCTTCCCGAGTTGGGTCCACTGGGAGCAAATGGGTTGGCCAACGCTCGCGACTTCTTGCACCCGGTCGCCGCATACGAGGTGACGAAAGATGATCCTTGGGACATCGTGTACAAGCTCGGCGGAAAGTTCTTCAATAGTACACAACGGCACTGCCCCTTCGATGTCGTTGCATGGCACGGAAACTACGTCCCGTTCAAGTATGATCTCACCAAGTTTGTCAACGTGGGCTCCATCTCCGTGAACCACATCGATCCGTCCATCTTCTGTGTTTTGACTGCCAAGTCCCGAGACCCAGCCGCGCCTCTGGCCGACTTTTTGATCTTTTCTCCGAGATGGGATGTCGCATCTCACACGTATCGACCGCCCTACTACCACAGAAACTGCGCTTCTGAGCTGATGGGTCTGATCTATGGCGAGTATGGAGGCCGGTCCGACGAGTTCCAGCCCGGAAGTATCTCGTTCGAGTGCGGATTTGTGCCCCATGGCGTGGCATACGAGCAATTCGCTGCTGCGTCCAAGGAGGACCCTCCTCAGATGCAGATCTCGCTCGGTTCCATTGCCTTTATGTTTGAGACGAGCCGACCTCTCACAATCACCGACTATGCCTGGAACAGCAAGGAGAAGCACGAGCACGACCCCAAGATGTGGGACGATTTGGTGGACAATTTTTCCCAGTTTGAGATTGATCCAAGACTTTTGAAGTCTAACAAGGCGAACAATTGGACTTGAATGCGGTGGAGTGACAAGATAATCTTAACGATTTATGTTTTATATGTTGCAGCGGCTTCCTACCGGAGAAAAGGCTAGCATAGAATCAGGACAGGAAACGACTGCTTGGATAGCTAGGCGAGACAGACCGAGTGATAAAACTACGTGCTCAAGAACCAATTGAGAATAAGATAAGCTAATCTGTCCTTTGTAGTGGACAGCACGCCGAAAAGTGCGCAAGTGACATCCACTCCTGCGGCCATCAGAGACTACATGTAGCCTGCAGACTCAGACTATAGGGTTGTAGAATCTCATCCGATTCTGAGGATCCCATTTCGCCTTCAGCCCTCTCAACCTTTCTAACCTCCATTCATCCCATCCATAAATGGCCTCGAGTGACTCACTCCCATGGGCATAATTCACATACACCCGCAAACGCTCTGGCTCGTGGCTTGCCTCTAGCAGATGCCCTCTGAATTTCTCACCGTATTCCTGAGCAAGTGCATCGAGAGATGCGTTGGGCTTGTACATGATGTACGACGTGACTAGGATATCATCATCTCGATGCGGGAAAGCCGAGACTTTTTCGTCGACAGCTTTGACCCCGTGAGTTGAGTATCCCTCGAGGAGGAAGAATGACCCGGCGAATTCTGGGTTGCGGTTCGACATGTCGGCAATGTCATCGAAGACTCTCCGGACAGCAGGCAGATCGTACGTTTTGAGACCGATGGGATATCTCAGGCCCGTATAGCCCTTGGCGCACCCAATGCTGTCGCTGCTCATAAAGGTCAAAGCCGCCAAGTCTGGCATCGGTGCTCGGCCGGCTTCGACGTTTACGTGATAAATATCGTAGAGCGGCTTCGCGTATTCTGTGGAATTTTCGAAGGGGCCGTCGTAAATAATGGCGTACCAAATTACTGGCTGTTTTATTTTAGCTGTCGCGAAATGCCACTATCCCTTGGAGGTTGTGTCATGGGGTCGCGGACTTACTCGCTTGGGGTCGATCTCTGGGATGTTGACGAAATACATCCAGTGCGTGACTTCCGGAGGCTGAGTCTCCATCATCTGGTTGGTTAGATCGAGGACCTCCTCAAGCTTATCGCCGAGGTAGATGAATATCTGGTAAGACCACTCCGTGTTCTTGATATCGTGGATTCGATATTGCCACTCAGTGACGATACCAAAGTTGTGCCCGGCGCCCCTCAAGGCCCAAAATAGATCAGAGTTTTCATCATCAGAAGCTGTGGCGAATTCTCCATCGGGAAGAACAACTTTGGCCGACATGACTTGATCCGAAGCCAGACCATACTGGCCCTGAAGCCATCCGTGACCGCCTCCCAGAATTGGGGCAGACATACCCACGCATTCGCAAATTCCGGTCACTTTCCGTGGTCAGCATCAAATTTGAAGGGCGTCGCAAACAACTTGATCCCTTACCTGTTTGCTTCCCTGCTGCCCACAAAGTGTTGACAACCTCCTTGACATTTGCTCCGCCTCCAATCGTCACAGTCTCGCCACTCTCGTCGATGATCACCTGGTTCATACCACGAAGGTCTATGGACACCACATTTGTGGCTAAACTCAGGGAATCAGTGGCACCGTGGCCCCCAGACCTAGCAAGAAAAGGGAGGCTCTGCTCATTTGCATACCGAATCTGTGGAGATTCCAGTCGTCAGAAATGTGATACAAAAAGCGCCTAGACCACAACCCATAGAACATACTGTTGCTTGAACGTCGTCTTCACTGAACACGTTGACGACAACTCCTATGTCTGGTGCGTGCCAGTCACGCCATCTGCTGGTATAACTGTGGAAAAGTGGCCCGTCAGGGAGAACGACGGATGCGTTAGGTGATAATTGTGTGGAGAGATGTGCCCACGAGGCTGCGCGTTGGGGCACTAAAGATACCAAGCCAAGGCGGCCGAGGATGTTCTGTGATGAAATTGTTTGGTTCAGCGCCCAGGAAAGACCAAAAGCAAGCACTTCCATTTTCTCTTTTGAGTTAAGAAGCCAATGTTCGGATAGATATGTAAGGCAGATCAGAGCAATTATCACCATTCGTGCCGTGGCGTTGGGTTTTAAGGAACCCCGATTGCTGACATCACGTGCGTGCTCAGAGATGATGGGTGAGCCACGAGCTAAGTGAAGCGTGCGGAGTAGGGGATGCCGTCAGGACGAGCTTACACCTAAGTAGATCCTCGTCTAAGACACTAGATACCTATGCTGTCGACAGACGATTCAAGATTTGTATCGGTATCTCATCGTACCTTGAGGAGCTTTCCCTGCTTTTCATGACGGCTGGTCGACAGGCACCTCAATATCAGGCAGTCACCCTGATATATTCGAAATTTAAAACATTGCTGAACTACTTTGTTGTAGGTGAATTGATTATACAACCGACAAGCTGACAAAATCACACGAGTGATACCTGTACCACTATGCAAACAGCGAAAGCTCGAAGTTGAAAATGCAAACTGAATTTCGTTTTTTAAATAATGCAAAGAATTTTTTGAAAAGGCGTAGAAATAAATCTAAGAATACAATAGCGGATCCTAATGACTGAAAAGTGGACTGCTAGGACAGCCAAATATGCCTGCCCAGATAGCAAAACTGTCATCCATCATGGTGCTCGGCAGGCTCTCCCTCGTTTCCCAGAAGACATCTTCGGCAGTCTTGTCCATGGAATTCGTACGATCGCATCTCAGTGCCAAGTCCTAGGTTTGTCAAGCATTGATTCACGCTCCCTGCTCGGATGTCACGAGCGAATAATGTCGAGTCCGAGGAGAGACTCGGCAGTGGGGAAGAGACCCTGTAACTATCTTGTAGACAGCAAGCTATTCTCGTGCCTCGATTCTCGCTTTAAACACCATGATCCAAGTTCAGGTCATCCTATGTGCATGTCTTTCACCCTCGATACTTCCTTTGCTAAGGCACCCAGTGATGGTTGTTTGGGCGCTCACCCGGTGAGCACCCGTCATCTTGTTGTCTATTACTAACTCCTTCATGACCGTATGGCCGATATCTTAGTTTTTTCATTCCCTAGTGAGTCTATCTTGTTCCCGCAATTATGTATATAATTATCTCCAAAGCCTAGGGGGTCGTCCGCCTGTTTGCCTCGCATATTCGTTCTGATTGCTTGACTTTCTCTTAAGAAGAGAACTTACTTGGAAACAGCCACAGCTCTAAACGATGAATACAGGAGCTTTCGGTCGGCGTGATGGTACATCTAGCTGGTCCCGCGCAGCAAACGGAAATATAGCCAGTTGTTGATGAACGCACATATCAGGTGCCCAAATGAGGTGTAAGGTAATCAGTGGTCCAGTACTGCGATGTTACCAAATCACGGTACCCCAAGTTCCCCAACACAAACGATCAAGGTTGCCGTTGACAAGGAATGCGCCAATCTCAACGATCAAAATCGTCTAATGAAGAACTTAGTATAAGATCTCATTCCGAGGACACACGGCCTTTCCGTCTGAACCATTTTGAAATAGTGTGCCCCTCATAAGTTCAGTTGCGGTCCGGACCGGGGTGTCTTTCCAAGGGCACAAATATGACCTTGCATTGGCGGTGGGTCACAAGTTACTACCTTAGTTACGTCTGATGGACTATGAATAAGATGATTTAAGCATCTCATTGGATTGGATCTAATTTCAAACTTTCTAGTTCCCCGTCGTGTGCTTTTTTCTTACCCTGTGAGGTGTGGTTTTACTCGCCTTGACGCCTTTCTACTAGACTCGAGATAAGAAGCCGTTTCCTAAACAAGATGGGAATAGATGAATCCCTGCTAAATATATGCCTCTAGACTACATGACGAAGTTTCTTGAATAGTCGGTACTTGCACATCATAAACCCTAATAAAATGCCCTTCAATCCTTGACCAAGATCATAAAATCCTATCGACTTCACTCGAACCTCTAGCCCTCGTGACTCCGGAGAGTGATCCGTCTACACGGCCCTTCCACACCTTCCAGCGCCAACACTCAACAACCTTACACGTCAATATTTCAAAAACAGAGGTCACCGAGAAAAAGGCTTCACAACAGCGATAGAAGAGTCCAACTAGGTACAGACTCTGGGTAGGTCTGGAATGATTGTAGAAAAAGTTTTCTAGAATGCTGTTCTACAATTCTCAGAGGAAAATAGGTATCAAAAACAACGAGAATAGAAACACGCTCCATTCCTAGGAGGAGGAAAAAAGACCCATGCCTGATCCATCCCATTAATCATGCCCATTCGCAACCTGATTCCAAAAAGGGTAATACAAACAACATGTGAGAGCCATAAAACTCCGTGCTCGCAATAACTTGTGGCTGGCCAGCTTTCAACGGCACAAACTCCTCTGAAACGCTTCCGCCGGTGTCCGCGACCAATGCCGCACCCCCCACTCCCCTCCAAAAAACAAAAAAACCAGCCGTCCAAACTGCCGGGATGAACAGCACCCGGAAGTATCATACAATCTCTCTCACCGGTCATGGGCCCGGATTGGCTAGCCAGTAACTCTCCTCACCCAGAGCGTCGTCGGCTCGTACTCTGCATTGCGATCCATCCTCTTGTACGCTCTGTGCAACTTGAGGCCAATCTCGTACTCCTCTCGTTGAACCTCGGCGAGCTCAACTTTGAGGGCCTCCACCTTGCGCTTCTCGGCCTCGCGTTTCCTAAGAACGGCCTCGCTAGCCAGAATGCTGTCGGTCGGCATGAGCTCCGTCATTTGTTTGATGGCCTGGTTGATGTTGATGCGGCGGTTGCCCAACGACTCCAATCGGGCGTTGAGGTAGCCCACACGATCGTTGACCATGGAGAGCTCGGTCGGCGGCGGGGGCAAGGCTTTGCTAGTAGACCAAACCGACTCTGGGCGGCTCGAGCTGCTGTACAGACTGGCAGAGCTCGTTCTAGGCAACGGCTGCTTCTGGCTGGGCAGCTGGGTCCGGGCAGGTGGCGGCGAAGTGTTTTCGTTGAAGGCGCCCGACATGTAAGGAGACGACATGGAGATGACAAAGGGCTGATCTGGGTTGATGGACGGGCTGGTGGACTTGAGTACAGGCGGTCGCTTGCGGTTCATTACACCGTCCTTTTGCTGCTGCGGTGGCGTCGGGAGAGATGGCACCGGAGGCCGATCCGTCTCTGCAGATTCGCGAGGCGTGTCGGGATCTGCGGAAGTCTCGTAGGTGGTGACGCTGAATCTCGAGGGAGGCTGAGCCCAGGGGTCGGTCGGCTTGGCAAGTGCTACTGGTGCTGCTTCACGCTGGGCTGCTGCAGGAACGCGAGGCGGCGACTTTTCGTGACTGCTGGCGAGTGCGTGGACAGTCTGCTCCGAGTAGATGCTCGAGGAGTAGGAGGGCTGCGGAGCGTGAAGCGCTTGCGAGTTGGCAGGAGGAGGCTTTCTTCGTATAGCCTTGTCGAGGCCGAGATGTGCATTAGGGGCAGCTGGCAGGCCCGTCAGGGATGGGGGCTGTCGCTTCGTGACCTTGGCGTCAGTAGTGGCTTCAGGCGTCGCATGTACGGGCGATTGGACTCCAGCGCCGGAGTTGGGAGGGCTGGGATACGCTGACTGTGCGGGTGGAGGGGTGCGAGCGGCGGAGGGAGAGGACGAGGTGGAAGCAGTCAGCTGGCGGGGAGCATTGAGCACAGTTCTGATGGTCGGCGTCCTTGATCGTGGTGACGTTTCAGATCCCGAGGGACTGACAGGGGACAGTGGTGAATTGACACCCGCGATGGGCAGCCGAGGCCCAACGGCGGCGCGTCTGGTGCTCTTGGGCGGAATATTGAGAGGTGCTGCAGGCTTCGTGTCACGGACTGGGCTCACGATGGGCGCTCGTCCGCTTGCACCTCGCCATGGTGGGCGCTCGTCAATGACATCGGGTGCCGTCGATGACTGAGGCGGCGATTGCGGCGATTGCGGCGGCTGTTGCTGCTGCTGCTGCTGCTTTGGGCTTCCGCCGATGGGCCTCAACCTTCGCAGGCGGTCACCAAAGGATTGCTGCGCCTGTGGTGCGTTCTGCATGGCTCTCAATGCGGCCGGGGACTTGCCGAACTGCTGACTTGATCCAAACTCCTGGGCGTACTCTTGTGGTCTGACCTGACCCGCACGGCCCGTGTTCTGGGACGTGGGTTCGCCTGTCATGTCATCCCACTTGGTCTCGCGCTGGATCCGCAGGCGTTGCTGGGATTTGGTCTCTCGAAGGGTGTGAGCGGCAGCTTCTTGGTTCTTGCGACGCTCGCGGCGCATCATGGGGATATTTGTCTTTTGCTGAACCTGGTGATGATCTGGTTGGTGGTGGCCGCCGAGGTCGAGCTGCGACATGTCCGGGCTCTCATCCATGGGAGAGACGTTGCCACGACCCTGCGTGGGGGTTCTAAAGTTGAGACACATGGTTAGTGGCTGACTGGTACTGATTCACTATCCAAGAAGCGAGACGAGACAAGATATTCCACGTGGGTTTTAAGAGAAGAAGACTTCTCAGACGAACAGCACGCTTGTTTTCTTGTGTCCGAACATTGCCTTTTGAGGGGAAGTGGTCAGTTTCAACTCACCCATTTCCGTGAACTTCCATATCAGGAGAGCTCGGGGGCGAGATGTCCGCCACAGCGGAGGTGTACGTGTTTCGGGCAGCCACGTTTGCAAAGTCTGGCGAGATGGGGGAGGTGTAGTTATCGCCGTCGGAGTAGATGGAGGAAGCAGGGCGCCAGACGCCAGAGGTATCGCGGTAATTCTTGTAGAGACTGAGTGGGGGAAGGAGGTCGTCGAGGGTGCTGCGGGAGCGCGGCAAGTTAGCAAGGGCGACGTGAAGAGCGTCTTGGAAGGTGTCTTGAAGGGTAGTGAGATTGCAAGAGAAGGAGGCGGAGATGCTGGCGACGTGGTCAAGGTTGCGAGAGAAGTCGCGATGGACGAGGAGCATGCGCGAGGACGAGGTTGCCGCTGCCATGGCGAGCTATCGACTGACTGGCTTGAGCGCCAGTGAACCTCGAAAACAGCTTCGTCTGGCCGTTGTTGGGGAGGCTCGAGTGGCGGGCGCGTCCTAGTGGCGGGCGCGTCCTCGTTGCGGGATTGCAATTTTGGGGATTTCGGAGATTTTTGGTTTGAGCTTGAGTTTGAGCTTGAACTTGACCGCGCTTGAGCTTCGTCGACGCCGAGGAGGAGCGTGGGAGGCGCGCGAAAAAAGTCAACTTTAAACCAGGCAGGAACGGTCGTGTGTCCAAGCTCCAAGCTGCAGCTTCGCGATGGTTGAGGTCCTTTGTGTGGTGTGGTGTTTTGTCCCATTTCTTCGCCCTCTCCCGCTCCTTCTTTTGCCTCCTCTCGTCACATTGCATTGTACTCTTCGCATCAAACATGGTGTAGTCGGCCTCGGGTGGAAATGGAAAGCAACATGACCCGACGCTACATGGGGCATTGAATAACTCACTCTTCAGCAGCACCACTCTCTTCGAGGGCGAATTTCTGGATGCCACCGCGTCCGAACTGGTTCTCGTTCCTTGGGGTCGTCGCTGTTGGATCAGGGCTGTTGACGTTATGCTCGATACCGAGTCCGCCGCGGGGGTTGCGAAAGTTGTCGGGCCAGTAGTTCCGGTGGTGCAAGGTGCTCGTCGAGTTGTGCTGGGTCTCGCGGCGGAGCCTGTTATAGTTGGCAATGGTGTCTCGACTTCGAGATGCTCCAGATGTTGAAGCTGGCGGCGGTGGTCCTCCACGTCCGGGGACCTGGTACTGATATGGCTGCACGGGTTGGTACTGCTGGTGTGGACCGGCGCTTCCTCCTCCTCTCAAATGCACCGTGATTTGCTGTGTTGTTGTCGTCGTCGTCGAGGACGTTGTGTCTTGGTGTAGGAGTTGGTGTTGTGGCTGCGGCTGGGTTGCGGGTGATTGGCGGTGGTAGGGATGAGCTCCAATGTGTCCTTCGCGCGGGTCGACAGAGACAGGCCCGGATTTGAGTAGATTCCTCTCGCGCAGCTGCGGCGGCGGCGTCAACTTCTTTTGAGGGCTGCCCGTCGTTTTCAGGCTGCTCGTCCGACGGCCAATTGCACCACCAGCACCAGCACCTGCACCACTGCCACCTTGGCCGTAGCCGTTTACAGCGGCAGCACCGATGGCATCGTTGGTACCTGACCGGGACCTTGATAGGGCGTCGGTCCCCGGACCCACCCTGGCCTCTAATTGCAGGCCCGTTATATCGGTTGGCCCCGCCCCCGCTCCACCGCGACTTTCACCTGAAGAGGCGTCCCACATCTTTTTTTTCTCCCCTACTGTATAAGGTAGTTGGGTACCTTTGGTGGGTGCTGGGCTGCTCTTCCCGACCCAAGATCCTTCTCTCTTAGGTCAGCTTTTCTTAGCAGTGGTGTTAAGAAAGGCAAAAGCGACAGCCGACGGCGATCAAGCACCGCCGTGCAATTTCCCTCCAGGGGTCGCCCGTCTCTCCACTCGCTCTTTGCTCGAGTCTCTCAGACTCTCAAACCACGACTCGGCCAGAGATTGCAACCCCACCAACGCGGTGCACCCAACACAAAGAGGAAGCGGCTTGAATACGATGCGACGCGGAACAAACTCTTCCCTTCGTACCCTTCGGCTTGCTGAACCTCTGTCGTCCTCAATTGTCGCAACGGTTCCGTGGTCGAGTTGGTGCTGCTGGCTTTCTTCACTCCTTTTCGAGATTCGAAGGACGGGAAAGCAAAGCAAATTGCTGCTCACACCTGGATCTTTCTCCAAAGGGGGGAGACGGACACAAAAGATGTTAAATATCCTTCGGCGACCGAAATGACTCCCGGACCTCGAATCTGGAAAACCCCCAATGGGGAAAACACTGAGTGACACACTTGCAAACACTCCAGACGCAGGAAAAAGGAACAGGACTAAGCAGTCAATGACAGCCCGCCGCGCCTCTCGTCCCTTGTCTCTCTCTTACAGTCGCGCTGTCGTCCGCGCTTCACAACTTGAGTCTGATGTTTCGGATCCGCTCCCGAATAAGATCGCCTTGAATATGCTTATTGCTTTCGCATGAATTCGTGGTTTCTTCGACCCGGAGAGAGTTGAAGGGGGGGGGAATCCTCGTTTCGAACGCTGTGACCGGCGATGGGCTCGAGTGCGTGCGTGCACCTGCGGTATCCTGGACCTGGACTTTTTTTCTTCCTTTCGAGGATTGATATTTCCAAGTTTCTTTCTTCAACTGTACATGGGTTCCATTGCCGATATGGACCGATTCGAATAATGCAATATAGATTCCTGCTCGTCTCCAAGTCGTGTTCAAATTCGGTGGGGGTGGCTACAGCCGCGTGGTCCGATGAGATCTCTCAGAATCCCGAAATGCTTTCCTCGATGCCAGCGGGGACGCAGGGAATAAAGACCACAAGAGGCTGGCTCAGTGTGTAGACAAAATAAAAACTGGAGATCGGTCGTGTTTCCAGCCGATGATGATATCGGGAAACAAAACTCTGGACTAACCAACACGTCCAAAGCAAGGCCGTCGCAGAGGCCAAGTGCCGTCCCCGTTTTTGGGACTCGGGATGATGGGCGTGGCGCGGAGGGATTCGGGAGCACAGGCTGGCTGGCTGAATAGGGTCATCAACGAGTTGGCGAACCCCACGAATAACAGTTCAACAATGTCAAGAAAGGATGAAGGAGCCCTGCTTTTCGGATAACAAGTGGCAACAGGCGAAACAGACGAAAGGGAGAAAATTAAGAGGGGAAGTAGAAACGAGCGAGAAAACAAGAAACATCGAGGGCTTTAAGACCACAGATCAACGAAAACCAAGAAGTTAATCACAGACGAGGTGACGGAACTACACACTACTCTCCATCATCTCCACAAGAATCACGACCCGGCAGTTACCACTCGTCCCGCGAAGATCACCAAGCAACGGACCTGTACCTTACATGCACCTCACCACATACCATGCACCTTGAACGTGGATAGGGTCTCATCGGGCGTCCGTCTGGCACCACCTCCCTCCCTCCCTCCAGCCCACCCGTCCCAGGGCCCAGACACTGACGGGACATTGAAAGCCAGTCAGACTTTGGCAGACGTGCCAGACGCCGTGTGAGAGAGACAGAGAGAGACAAGAGACAAACAATCAGGGACAGACAGACATCAGTCAGACTTGGAGCTAGAGCCCTCCTCGAGTCCCGCCCAGGGGTCCGTCCGCCGCCCTCCAACAAAGTCTCAGCATCAGACGACGGGCCAACGCCTCAGCGAAATGACGGGGGGCCTTTCCCTTTCCCGAAGACGTTCAGACGTGGTCTTTTTTCTTTTCTGCTTGGATATGCTAAGAGAGTGCGAACCGCTGGACCGCAGCCTACATGCAATACGCAAACCGCAGCATGCAGACGCGGGAGGCAAGATGCAGGCACGCAGGCACGCAGATGTTCAAGGTGAGCGAATGAAAGCCAACGTCCAACATCTTTCGGGGGGTGGGGGGGACAAGGTGAAGGCTATCCGGGGGCTAGCGACGCCAAGTGCAGTCCCCGGCCGGCGCTTCATTGGATACGACTGCGCCGGGAATTCGGGGAACGGCCTCTCTGGCCCCTCCCCTTTCCCCCAATTTTCGCACGTCATAACCCAGTCGATGGTCCTTGGCGACGAATGTTCATTACAAGAATGCAGACTGAACGGACCGCATGCGAGGTGATGAGTTTTGGAGCGTGCGAGCTTGTCCTGTCAATGAGTGTATTCACCAGGGAGTCGTTACACGAGTGAGCCTCGTGGTATGGTGGCACAACGCGGATGAACTCTCTTGATTCACGCATGATGGGCGGAAGGGAGCGTGAAGAACAGGGTCCTTCACCTCAACGATACCTAATTACTGTGTAGTAACCGTACGGATAACGTGAAAATGTTTCATCGTTTCACAAAATAAACATCTCACCTCAATCCCACCACAGTCCCCTCCAATCCAACATCCGACCCTACCAGTGTCACACCCACTAACCAGAACCCCCCCGCACACCGTCTCCACTCATCAGAGAGCTTGTTCTAAGTCGCAACTCTTAGGAAGAAGGAAAGAAGGGGGGGGAGGGTCCCGACTCATCGGCCTCGAGTGGCGTGCCGCCGTGCCGCGCCCCATCTCAATCATCTCAATCATCTCACATCCCGCGTGCCGGCGAACCATTCCAAAGCGCCACGTTCACAAAATAATTTCCAGGGACCGTTCCTGCGTTTCACATTGACCACTCACACCCCGTCTCGATACCCTCGAATCTTTCTTCACACCTCACCACCTGATTCTTCAAAGAAGTCTCTCAGCCAGTCAGCATTCTGTCTCTTGAGTGAATGCCCGAGAGCCTCTTGATTCGTCACTTGCCCCCCTCCTGGTGCGATGAATAATTAGTCAGTCAAGTCAGTAATTGAGTGAGTAAGTATCCGGAAAGTGAGCTAAAATTGGGAAAAATAAAGCGAATGCGAGAAAGGCAAACGACGACTCAACCCTCTGCACTTCTCACGTTCCTCCCCCCAAAACCTCAAGACCAACACGCCCAATTTCCAATTCTCACCAGCATGAGGCCCCTCGTAGCTCTGGACACTCAAAAAAAAAAAAAAAAAAACGTTCAAAACACGACTTGCAGAGTTTAGGTCCAGCAGTCCACTGGATCCCCAGTCTCTCACCAATTTACAAAGTCCAACATACCCGCAGTGTACAAATATATCCCAGAAAATGCATGTAACCTCCTTCATCCTGCAATGCACAACCGCGCGCCGCAGCACCTCTAGCAGCTGCCATCCTCGGTGAAATGAAACCCGTCCGTCTATCCGTCCGTCCAAGCTCTCTCTCTCTCTCGCTCTCTCTTTCTCTCTCTCCAAGGTATGACGAATCATCTCCCGGGTCCTGACACCGTCCGATCGCCCACGCACGTACACGGGTTCAGCACGCACCACCCGTCACCCGCCGGCCGTCCTCCACAGCCGACAAAAACGCTCGAGACCTCGCAGCTCTGCTCACGCACATATTAGTACATGACCCTTTCGCATACACGACCCGTTCCCCCATCTGCACGTCTTCACAAATAGAACTCACTCTCTATTTATCCTGTTTCGCTCTGCAACCCCCCCAAGAAGCCAAAGCTTTCTTTTCCCGTGTCATCCTATGGATAGGACATGAAAATAATCACGTCCTGTTTCCCCTTTGCCCCCCCGCCCCGGGGAGTCTCATTTAAACTTTTTTCCCTTCCTCTCCTCTACAGCTCCAAAAGACCTCCTCCAAACCCCTCGCCCCGAAATGGCTGGCAGTTAGCTGCTCGTTCTCTCTCCGAGTGCGAATTTATCTGCCCGTCCGTCGTCCATCTACCTGGGTACCCAGGTAAACTAACGAGCATGGACCTTCATTCTTCGTGTCCATGCGCCAGCACATAAAGTGAAGGCAGGTCTTCAATGCCGACCCTGCATGACTGTCGATCACACGTCTCCAGCCACATCACAAGAAAAGGGGACACGCACATGTTGGTAATCGTTGTCTTAATTTGCAACGAACCTTGAATAATCTGCTTAGCATCTGCTTTGCCCGGCGGTCCCATCTATGCCCATGCGCGTCAATGTCCTTTTCAGGCACGCCTAGGCTCCTGTGAAAGACGACAGGTATTGCAATCCCCATGACAGAGCAGAGAACGCGAATCTCCTACTTAGAAAATTTCCCCTTTGCCTGGGGGTCAACCAATAAATCTCAGGAAAAAAGCTTTGCTAATACCTCAGCGCCTCCCAAATACGTCCCAATGCCAGTGCCGAAAATAAGAAAGCTGGGGGGTATCCGAATGGTCCCTCTTCTCGCAGAGCAATGCTGATGTAAAATAACCGCAAAAAACACACGTGCGTTGAGTCGTTGACACGCTCACTCTTCTCCACCAGAGCTAGAATCTGACTCGGAAGAGCTATCGTCGTTATCTAACTCAATGGGAGCTCCGGCATTACCACGCATCTGCTTGAGCAGCTGCTCTGCCGTCATCGAGGCACTAGACGACGCCCTAGACGGCGTGTTGTCCATCGACCCTTCGTCCCGCGCCGCAGACCCGACCTTCTTCGATGGGCTAGAGACGTGCAACTCGACTCGGGAGTTCCCCTGGGAGTACGTCAACGGTGGCGGCTGGCTGGCCACCGGCTGGGAGGCCGCGGGGGGCTGCGGCAGGGCCGCCGTCGGGTCCTGCGTCGCGGCTGTCGCGTTGGAACCGTTGAGACCGTTGGCCATATCCGTCACTGCGACCGTTTGTAACGGCGTCAGTGATCGCGGAGTCTGCGTCGTTGACGCATCACCCTGGCTGTTGATGCGTGCTCGCTTATCGGCATGACCGTCCTTGCTCGGCGTCGCCATCGTGCGCGGGACATCAGCAGGCATGCCAATTCGCATGCGCTCCGCCTCCATTTCTTCGCGATTGCGTCGCTGGCGCAGTTTGATGCCGTACTTCTTCCGGACAACAGACTGCTTGGTTGCGTACGAATTTTTGAAGCCCGCCAACCTCTTCTGCAATTCATCGGGGTCACCACCGGCTTTCTGTGCAGCATCGATCTTCATCTTGAATTGTTCCTCGGCCAGCCGCAGTTCGGCCTTCAGGGCCTCGATTTGATGCGATGTAAGATGGGCCATGTCCTTGGGTTGAGGAGTGCCTAAAGGAGCATCCCGCATATCAATGGGCTGAGAGCTGGAAGGAGCACGCGGCGTTTGAGCGTTTGGAGGCATTGTGGATATGTACGTCGGCGCGGGGCCCTGAGTTCCGGATATAAAATTCGTCGGGGTGCTGTCGGGAGCGGGCCGTTTTTGTGGAGGATTGAGAACGAATGGCGGTAGGGACGACTTCGGAAGGGATGCAATGTTATCCTTAACGACTTCGCCAAAGTCGCCACATACTTTGTTAAGCATGTGGTATTGTAAACCAGCCATGCCGCTGAACCTTTGCGCGCAGTGAGGACACATGTACGCCTCGCTAGTAGACCTTGACAAGAGAGATTCCGTGACACAGATCTTCTTCTTGACGTGCTACTAATGTTTAGTTTAGTCTTTATCAATTATGCGGCTGAAACTTACATGAGTATAGGCTGATACTCCTGGGAAGGTCCGATGACAGCGTAGGCATTGCGGATTCGAAGGGTCTGCCGGCTCCAAAGGCTGTGTAGGGAGCCCTTGCTTGCGGTTTATACTTACAAAGCTGTTCGGACCAAGCACGGCAACTTGTTGCTGCTGCTGCTGTTGTTGTTGGGCAGGAACCGCGTGGGAGCCTCCAGGTAATGATGGGATGACATGCTCATTCTCGACAATGTCTGCAGCGTCATATCCAAGCCTTTCCGCTCGAGCCAGAGCGTTGACGAGTCGTCTAGCTTGGATGGTGGGTAAGCGGGCCACGAGGGCCCTGTCGAGGAAGTCGTCCGAGGCTTTGGAGAGAATCTTGTCCGCCAACTCATCAATGTCAGTTTTGCTCATAGAGTCGATGAGCTCGTGTTTCCCAGCCGCCAGAAAATTTGCGCCAAAGTCCTTGACCGCTCTCTGGATGATTCCCACGTCGGCTTGGTGTATGGTTACATTCATCTGTGCAATGGTTAGTCATTGATGGTTCATTACGTGAAAGAGCACCTCAGTCCCTCCCCCCACAACATGTGTTATCCACGACTTGTACTTACAAGGAAAGACAGGTGGTAGGCCGAGCCGAGCAGGCACTTCTCGTAGTTGTCTCGAATCGCTCGTCGGACGGCGTCCGGGTCGGACTCTTGGATGGCGGCGCATAGCCGAGTATAGTCTTCGGAAAACCGCTTCGACTTGTCCAAGTTACCATTGAGTTGGGGAGACGCTGGCAGGGTTCCAGTTCCCTTTGATACGTCAGAGGCAACGACCGACACGGCCGGGAGCGTGGCTCCGTTAGCAGCACCAGGTACAGGAACAGGCACCGGCGTTTGCTTGGTGGCAGCCGGAGCTTGTTGCGACAGGGGAGGGAAGGAGGCTGGAGAATGTGAGTCGGTGCCAACACGGCCACCGTTGTCGTTGGCATTGAAGTGGTTTGCTGGCAAAGCTGGCGAGACCGATTGGCGACGTGGTTCGGGGCCGAAACCAGGCTGGCTCGCGACACGGTATTCGTTCGACATAGGCGGCGGCTGATGCACCATAGACGATGCCATTGCAGACCACGCTTGGTTGATATGCCTCAATTATGACTACCTCTTGTCAAGCCAAGACGAAGATGATGGTTCACTGGCGCCACGCGAGGTGATTTGCGAAGGAATGCCGTTAAATCCCTAGGAAGTGAACGAGGTCGTGTTCAATAGACCGAACAAGCAAGCAATTTGACCGTCAGCACCTGTGTGCAAGTGTGCGCAAAAGATAAGCCGCTCACTATCCACGATTTGACGCGTCAATCTATCGTTGAACGCGTTCTCTTTTTTTTTTCTTTTTTCCCTTTTTCGGTGGTTGTTGTTTGGTCACGAGGTCGCGATCTGCTGCGTGGTCGTCGAACAGTGTACCTAACTGTCGTTGCGCAGAAGAGTGGGCAGATAACTGTCGTTATGCAGAAGAAAAGCGGGCAGACCTGGCGTAGCAGGGGTTCGTTAAGTAAGAGCTGAAAAAATTAGAAGGAAAACTTAGGGCCTCGGGGAGGGACCACGTCGTGATTAGTGGAAAAGTGTAATTAGCGTGACTAATTTAGAAGGAAGGGGCCCCCGGAAGCGCCGCGTAATGGCCACGGAAGTTGCTATTATCTTCCTAGTGAAATAGGTATAGACGACCCACTCCTGCCCTCTACACCCGTTCTGATTGGAGCTGCGCTTTATATCGCATTAGTGCACATTGTAAAATATGGAGATCAGGGATAGAGTGTATGGGTCACAAGCTCGCCACGGCCTGCACTGTGCAAATAAGACGCTTAGAAGCCCTTATTTAGGTCATTAATTAATAAGCAGCAATTAAGTGTCCACATTACTCGTGAGTAAATTTATTGCTTTTCGCCACCTCCTCAACTGTGGCTACTATGCTTCATATATAATTACGGTGAGAAATAGTACTTTTGATTTTATACTTGAACACTTGCTTTTGAATATTTATATATATATAACTGCTGTATTTGTAACTACTACTTTTTTAAGAAAATATTTATTATTAATGATTAATTAAATAAATAAAAGTATTTACTTATTATTGAAATGCTTTAATACTTATTAATTATAATATGATTATTTAGTATTAATAAATAAAGTTATATGTAAGTCATTATCGAATTATGTTAATTATGTTAATAAAACATTTTCTCAAAGTGATTTAGTATATTTAGTTTTTAATATTAGCTTACATAAGCAGTTTTGCTCATTCGATTATTATATATTAATCTCTAATTTTCGTAATTTAATGTAGTGTATATACTGCTTACTTAATAAAACGTATAAGAGATATAATAAGGTGTAGAGATATGTGACAATACTTTTGAATGTTAAATTGTTTAGTTTCACGAACTGTCGGACATCGACCATGGGAACTGGAAGGTGCCATTGCGCTGCGAATCCAGAGCAAAGTCCAGAATGTAATTGCAACCAACGTATTAATAGGTACTCATAACTAATATCCAGCCATCTTAAGTCATCACGCCCAGCCATCCGTAGGCGCTCGCAGCCCTCATAACCCATCCCTCGTTCCCAACCAGTATCATGAGAAAGTCCGTTCCCAGCCCAAGGGGTATCATTCGATCTCGCACTCCCGCGCGCCCGCCACTGCTTTAAATGTTCTCGCCGATACACGCCAACATCAACCTCTGGTAATCACCGCTCGTCTCGCCCCTGATCCTGCTCGCCAAGCTGCGATTGTACCTTGCTTGGTACGCGCCCTTGACGTTGGCGAGGAAGTTCTTGTCCCAGTGGTATTGCACGACGCGGGCGACGAGGAGGTGGTCCTTGGTGCCGAGCCCAGCCATGGAGTCTTCCAGGAGCTTGGCGGCGTGCATGTACTTGTCGACCGCGTGGCGGAGCTGGAAGAGGAGCGCATCCTCCATATGTCCTGAGAACTCCTGTCACGTAAAGTTAGCATTGCGTGCTGTGTGCATAATGGGTGGTGTTTGTCTTACCTTCTTGATGACTTCCTCGAGCTTCCTTCGGAATTTTTGCTCGTAAGCCTGGTTGATGGCGCGGATCTGGTTGTCATTGCGGGTGCTCAGGATGCTGCAGACGAGCATTTCATCTGTGCCAACCTTGCCCTCTGTAGCTTTGTACAGCTCCATGACATCTGAGTCGATCTGCTGCGGCACGACGGGCGCCGAGTCCTCTGCCCTGTTGGCACCGAGGACGATGAGGAAATGTCTTTCCGTCTTCATGCTAAGGTCGCCTTTGACAGCGTCCTCCAGGCGTCTTTTGAATGTTTGCTGATATGCGCTCTTGATCGCCTGCATATCGGCGTTTGACCGGCCGAGGAGGACGTCGTTGAGAACGCTCTCCTTTGTGCCAACCCCATCCATTGCCTCGTACAAGTTGTAGATATCAGAGCGGAGGGGGCCGCGTGCGATCGAGACCAAGCCCTTCTGGAACCAACTGCTCGTCTCCTTCTTGATGTCCTGTTCGAGATCGCGTCTGAAATTTCTGTTGAACGCCGTTCTGATCGCATCGATCTGCAGGGGGTCCTTGGTAGCCAGACAGTGGATCAGAGCCTTCTCGTCAGTGCCAAAGCCCTTCATCGCATTCCGCGCCGTCGTGGCGTCCGGTGTGGCGTCCCACTGGATAATCTGCGGAGCGCCATACCCCAAGGACGCGGGCGTCGGAGGTCCATAGTGCTGCGGCGGAGGAGCGCCATATGACTGGTTGGGCGGTGCGCCGTAGCCTCCGGGTGCGGGAGAGTGTCCTCCATAGGGCGAGGGAGGAATGGGAGGAGGTGCGCCGTATGCGCCGCCCTGGGGCGGATACTGGCCCGGCGGAGGGCCTTGGGGAGGGTAGTGTCCGCCCTGAGGAGGATATTGGCCCGGAGGAGGTTGTTGGTAGTAGCCACTTTGTTGCGGCGGTGCACCATACTGACCGGGTGGAGGACCCTGAGGAGGAGGATATTGGCCTCCCTGAGGAGGATAAGGTGATCCGCCGTAGCCTCCTTGAGGAGGCGGCGGGTACTGCTGGCCGTAGCCTTGGCCGTGCGGCTCTAGATTGGTGTCAGTATGTGGGGAACGAACAACTTGGATGCACAGCGACGCAGGATGGGACTTACGAGCGCCGTAGCCGTATTGGCCTGGGTAGGACATTGAGTTCTGGAATGCGACGCGCAGAGGTGAATCGGTTGTCGATGCCGGGAGAATCGGGGCCGCGCTTGCGTCAGAGGGGGCGGGGTATTAAATCTACCTGAGGGAAAGGTGGACCGCGTAGGTGTTCTGAATGAGTGCGGGGCAACACAAGGTGATGAGATGCAAGAAGACGGAGGGTCGGATGGCAGAGTCGTGGACGTGACCGGGCAGCGTAGTTTGTTTTAAAGCTTACATTGCGGTGGAAAGACACGACGGGGTCGCAGGCAAGGTGACGGCGACGAGACCGGTGTGGCTGTGAATCTGCTTCTGAGGCAAGAATTGCGTGTTTGGGCGCTTTGGGGTGGGGGAATCTGGATGCTGGATGTGATCCTTTCCGGCCGTCACCTGCTTCCTGTTGGTGGTAAGAGCTTGAGCTAAGGTGGTAGATCGAGTCCGACCCGAACGCGGAGCTGCTCACAGCAGAAAGCTAAAACCAATGGGCTGAAAGGACAGTCTGCCCAGGCAGGTGTGGTGGCTTAGTAGGCAGGCGCTCAGCAGGAAAACTCAACGTCATCAACCAGGAAGATTAAAACCGATTTCTCGGCGGTGCGGGCAGTGCGAAGAGATCCACAGAAAGCGACCAGAAGATCCAACTGTTTCCAAATTCCAAGCCACCAACCCTGTTGAGCTGTTGTTTGCGCCACATAGATGCGTAATCGAGGTCGCACAGCCAGTTGCCTCGGGGTTTATTCGCCAGAGCTGCAGTCCGATGCAAATCTCATGGCGGGTGAGGCATTGAATCGAGGTGTCAGGAGAGATTCGAGATTCGAGATGTTGCAGAGGTAGAATTAATACGGATACAGAGCCCAATCGCAAGCAAATCCGCAAGGTGTGATCGACGGCGACCCTACGAGATGACATGCACGCTGGGAGCTAATTAGAGCTACCTTGCCCATGCACGGTTATGGCGTGTGCTACTGCCACTGAAGAAGCTTGCGAGGTGGATCGGGCAGATAGAAGCGCCAGCAGTGGGAGCAGAGAGTCGGAGGGTTCGTCCGGAAAAGGAAAAGGAAAAGGGAGATGCAGGGGCAAGCCACAGGCCCTGGTCCCGACGTCTGCACAGCCACTTGCTGACAGATGGCTCGTGAGATTCGTGGCTGGTGGCTGGTTTTCCGTCCGCTGATTCCACAATGATGGTTCCCACCTCGAGAAACCGACGTCGCAAACTTCCATTGCAAAGAGATGTTGGGACGTGGTTCGACGAGGTGCGCCTCCAGCCCGGAATCTGAATGGAAACCCCGTCACCCATAACCATTTACCGTCGATTTTTCACTCCTCAACGTGGCTCCTTGCGAGGTCTAGACGCCGCTATGTCGAGTCGCTCAGCTGAGTTGCAACAGCAACAGGAACGCGGGTGGCTGGGCAGCGGTCCTTCACAGTCTCCCATTGGCCATACTGGATCCACCACGGCAAGCTAAGCGAGCCGTTCAACCCAGCCTGTGCCTGGCGTGCCACGCGTGCCTGGTTCCTGCCCACCTCCCGTCACCTTCCTGGCCAGTTGCTCCCCCGCCATTGGTGCCGTTGTGTCCCTGGCCAACCAGCGTGCCAGCCTACCTACATGTACCCACTATGGTAGACCTCCATCCAATCCCTCCATTCAGTCCCTTGGAGGGAACCCCTGGATCGTCTGCCAAATGGCCTTAGAACCTGCACTACCACCGTCAACTGGAGGCATTTGCAGCTCCCAACCACCAACTTTTCCCTTCACGAGCTTTTCCGAGCTTTCCTCACCCAGCCATCTGCGTTCGCTAGTGCAGCGCAGTAAAACCATCATGGCTCCCGCACATCCTTGTTTTTGCATTTGCTTTTGCTTCTCCAGTTTTTGCTCGAATACCCTACAGCCGCCTTTGCAACTATTCGTATTCGATCGACAGCGATATCCACCATCTTGTCCGTGTTCGTCGTTCATCCTGCAGCAGAGCATCTATCAGTCCTGTAATCTTTGAGAACCAGACATCAGCCGACCTCTCAAAAACATTACACCGCCAGCAGCTGCTGGCTCATCGTGACCAAGATGCGGCCCTCTGCTCCCCTCCCGCTGCTATTATCCGTCTCCTCAGCAGCAAACGCGATCCCCCTCATCGATCGCCTCCTACATCTCCGTGGCAGGAATCCAACAAAGACCTACTCGGTTGTCAATGTTGAGGGAAATCCCAGCAACGACCCGCCAGTCGTCACCATCACAAGGTCGCTGGTCCAGACGACGGTGACGGAAAGCGTGACGGTATCCGTCCCTCAGATCACGCCTCCGGCCCAGACAACATCTACAACCCTCATCATTGTGAACGTCGATGGGACTACCGACAGCGGCCCAGTGACCGTCACCGTCTACCCCAGTGTAAAGCCTACCCCTGGATCAACACCCTTGACGTCCACGACGACGGTAGCAACACCACCACCAGCCGCCCCTCCGCCGAGTTCTACTGAGCCAGAGCAGCCTTCGCTTGCGCCGTCAACTCATGCCTCGGAGTCTTCTCGGCCGGCGGCCTCATCATCAGTACCGCCTGTCATTCCTTCGAGCATTGGCAGCCCTTCATCGAACCCGACACCATCCTCGAGCGCCCCTATCGTGGTGCCTCCTTCGTCAACCGAAACTCATGCTACCCCGACTGCGTCTCCGTTGCCGTCTGTCAGTTCTTCTGCGGGAGCAGTCGAGCCTCCTCCGCCAACGTGGACACCCGTCTTCCCATCATCTCCATCATCATCAGCTACAGCACTCTCCAGCTCCTCCACGGCCGTTGTGGTCCCTCCTCAGTCATCACCAACATGGGCAGCTCCAAGCGAGCCGGCATCAACGCCACCTGGGTCATCAGCGATCGTCGTCCAGCCTCCCCAGCCAACAGCAACCCCAGTCGTACCGACATCTTATGTCGCTCCTCCAGTAGAGCCGTCATCCGTTCCTCCGTCCAACATGACATCGTCATCATCAACCTCGACGACGCCAACATGGACCTCTACTCTGGTAACAAGCACGAGTATCTCAGAGGCTCACACTCCCCTGACTCCCACTCAGGTTTATGAGACTACCTACCAGACGTCATGGGTGTTGACGCCCAGCCCTTTCCCTCAACCATCCACCTTTGTCACTAGCACCCTCAGCGTGACGACCCCTTCCCCGGTCCCGGCAGCTAGCAAGAGCTTCGATGATGGTGACTGGTCTACTAGCAAGTACCCTGAATGGAACGGCACCGCTAGTGCGACCCCACGCTACCGCCGGTGAAGCGGAAGCATTATTTCTTTCTTTTCTTGTTACTAAAGAGATGATCAATGTCTAATGTACGGTTCGCGTGTTTCGCATATCCTCAGCATGGCGTAATTGGTTCTTCTAGAACATGGGAGGTTGTTTGATTTCACTAAGCATGGGCAGCAAGTGCGAACGAGACCTGAGAAACGACGCATCATTCGGGGCCAAGGGCTATCTCGGACAGTGGGAAGAGAGCTCACAGCAGCACATACCAAGAGCTGGAACGCGCTGGCATTAATGGGTTTCCTAATGCTTAATAATAAGATAGAACTGTAAATACTCACCAAAACTTGACATTGGCTGCTTGATCACGCGAATGTGTTATCCTTAGGCATCTTCAGACACGGTGAGCCAGATTCTTTCCGATTTGGTGATCAGACACGACGCCGAGATCGTTCGCTCAAAGAGCTGTGGTGGGCGTCTCAAACATGAAGAGCGATGTGCCGCTCGGTGCGCATATCAGGAGTATCAAAGCCGCAAATACATCCTGACATACCATCAGATAGGTAGGAGATCAAGGACTAACAAAGGCGTTGCAAGTTTCTGGTCCGTAATATAGCGAGCCCTAAGCCCAGTACAGACTTCTCTGTCATGGGACTATGTCTCTGAAGCCAAATTCAACCCGCCTCCAACCGAATGCAAATAAGCTCTTGAAATTATGACCACCAAAGACTCTTCCATAGAGGGAAGCAGACGCGCCAACGGCAACGACACGACCGTGTAACACACCACCACCATACCCACCGCGCCGCCCGGCACCATCGCGGGGTCTTTGCTCGTTCTCGCCGGGGTATTCATCCTCAGTATCGGGGGCTATTACCGTGTTGCCCGGCTTGTTTCGAATCCGACGGGCGGCGGCTGCAAGGAAGAAGCTATCCTTCGATTCCTCGGCCTCACTTGCCGCCAATGCCTCACCCGGGATGCCAGTGTCATTTGTGGCGGGCGTTGGGAGACACCAGGTTGGGCGCGGGAATGGCGATGTTGTTTGATGCCTGGGTACTGTGGATGATTGAAGGAAGGGTCAGGGGCTTGCGCATGAGCGAGGGACAACTTGCATTCGCGGACCACGGCTTGCTCCGACCCCTCACCTTATTCTGCGGCATCAGAGTATAATGGTTGAATTTTGTTTGCCTAGGTCCCCAATGCCTTCTTCCTCCCTCCTGCTAGGGTAGAAGACATGGACACAGGTGCATTACTTTTCCTAGGAGGGCTTCGGCACTAGAAAATCTCAACTTGTAGGAACCACTCGACGCGAGAAACTCCTTCCTTGGAGATTTGCCTGGCCATTTCATCGTAATCAGCCTGCATCTCGTGTCTATGGATTGATCAACATACAGGCGGAGAAAGTCGGGTCAGAAAGATTGATAGATAATCGGACGCAGCCCAGCATGACCGCAACAACGCCGGTACCCAAAGGATTTCTTTTGCCTCCAAATCATTATTTACAATGCTACATGAGCATCCGCTGGCTAGCATTCCTAAATCTGTCAACATTCCGTCTCCCTATTGGTGCGGGGAGAGGAGTAGCGCGAGCGCCGCGGTCGCGCTACCCAACTAGCACCAATGCGAGAACACGTTGGACATCACGAACCGGTTCGCGGATTTCCCGGGATGCGTTCTTCCTCTGCTCTGTTTAGCTTCCCACTTTGGCAAAAACAGAGGTGCATCCACCCACCTCGGGGAACCGAAGATGTTCGCCGTGTCTTGCCTGGGGTTTTCGTGCTCTGAGTCGGGTTCCTGCAGGATTACGGGCCTCCTCGCAACCTCTACACTCTGTATAGGAGGGGGGGTGACTTGAGCCAAGTCTGTGCCGATGAATCTGTGCCACAGGCTCCCATTTATGCATGATCGGGCCGGAGAATTTTAGTGCAACTAGGATGTAAGCTTAAGAAGCTGTAGCTAGGCCAATGATCATGACCAGAGGTTGGTAGGATCCATGCTATTATCCTCTCCTGCTGCTGGTTTCGTGCATGCAAAGGATGCAAAGCTCAAGGTGAGTTTCTGGCTCGGTGAAGGAGCTAGACCATTGCAGACCAATAGCAAGCCTACACGTCCTATCATGACCACTCCGGTCGAGCTGACAACTCAGCGACGGTCTGATGCCATTCTGACGAATCCAAGTCCCGGACAGTCTCACGGCGCGAGCAGCTAGTTTCTGAGATAATCCGGCGGGAGGGGGAAAGAAAGAGGTTTCGACATGTGTTGACAGTCATAGTCTCATCACAAGCCTGTAGGATGACAGTGGCTTCAAAGGTTGTAGTAAAGGTGACCATTGATCAACTTCGTCATTGCTCAATCGGTCTGTCTGCCTGCCTTAGTTGACTGGGTTGGCCTCGGAACCTTTTTCGGCCTTCTCTGGAGTCGTGAATTTAGCTGCAAAGGGGATGGAGAGGAGGTATATAGGGTATTACTTGGCTAAGTGCGTGGGAGTTTGTTTGCGCAAACTCACCTGCTCTTCCCAACCGTCTCTCGTACACGACCCATACATTGAGCGCAACGAGTCCGCTGCTTCCTAGACTTCTCGTCCCAAACTCGGGACCCTTATCTGACGCTCCTAAGAGTATTCAAAGGCTGTTTCACATACATTGTTCGGAGCTCTTCATAATGTTCCCACGCCTCCAACCATGCAGACGCAAAAGCGTCCTCTCGATCCTCCTCCTCTTTTTCCTGGCCCTCCTCGTCGACCGCGCGTCCGCAACACCGTCTCCATCCCTAACACCAGCAGCCAATACAGGTGTACAAGACCTCTCGCACCTCGCCATCGACCCCGACGCATCCTGCGACGGATACGAGGGCCAGTGGAACTGCCTCTCGGATACGTTCCAACACTGCGCCAACGGGACGTGGAGCGACGTGCTCTCGTGCACCGGGACCAGCAGCTCCGCCGATGAGGCAGCCGAGCCTTCCTCGTCTTCATCCATCTGCACGCCCATTGGAAGAACGGATATCGTCGATTTCGACGGCGAGTGCAACGCGGCTTGGGCCTGGGGCAACGGTGGGAATTCAGGCTGGGGCGGCGGCGGCACCTCGTGCAATGGGAACAGGTGTTACTATGGCGCTGGGGAGAGGCTGGAGGTTTCGAGGTGGGTTTGGTCGTTTGTTGGCATGGTCTTCGTCTTGGGGGCGTTGTGAAGCGGGCATTGAGTGGCGTGAAGGGGAGGGATACGGTGGGCAGGGAGACATGTTCAAACTCTTGTTTGTCAAGGTGTTGAGCATTTCAGGAGTATACATCCTTCACTGTATATGTGACCATTTCTTTGCATAGACGAGCTTTCTTATCAGTCTACCCGAAAGGCGTTTCCTTACCTGCCACCTAGCCCCGTAGAGGCATACGGTTTCTTCTCGGGATGTTTGGAATAGCTGGATATTACCGGAATCCGCAATGATTCGCGGGGCAAACAATCCTCATAAAACACTAGCATGATCAACAATACACCGATTTCACTCTGCTGGCAGCCAAGTTGTTCAATGTCTTTTGAACTTTTGGTAGACATGGCATCGCAACAGCGATCCTCTGCCCGTGGAAAATCGTTAACAGACGAAATAAGCTTACCCTGAACAACGAGACTCATTGAGGCTGACATCAATTCATGCGGCAACCCAGATCCGACGGTCCACAGATCGACGACCTCCGGGAGGCAAGTTTGCGCTATCGTGACGTCACCCATTAGCGCATCACCAGATCAGGTTCAAGGGAGCTAACGACCAAGTCATGATTATATTTAATTGAACGAGGTAAGTAGTATCACAAGCTTCTCTTTATTCTTCTGAAACAATCCAAAATTAATCACTCGATAACCCAATCCATTGGACTATCCTCAAGAAACTTGACAGGTACCTATACCAACCGTCGTTATGGCCGCAAACACGAATACTGCCACGCTCAATGCCGAGACCGCCGGCGGCGCAAACGCCTATGAGAACCCCAACCTAAACACAACAACCTCTCACGCTGCGACAACTGGTCAGGACCCAGCGACGCACTCGACCTCAAGAGCCGCTACGAGCACCATTGGCGGCGGAGATGCGCCGACAACGCACAGTGGTGGCATCGGGCAGCAGATCAAGGGTGCCTTTGCACAAGGACACGTGAGTTACAGCCAGATGTTTGTCGGTATCGAGACGGAAGCGCTATGCCCTAACTGACCACGAATGCTGGGGTTGTAGGGAATGGGAGAAGTGATTCGTGGAAAGTTCAACTCTGCGGTTGATACCGCGGCTGGCGACCCGCAGGGCATGGCGAAGAACAAGAACATCACCACTGGTGGCGAGAGGGAGTTTGCGACCAAGGACTTTGTGAAAAAGGGAACTCTGGACAAGGCTTTGTGAAGTTTTTTCTTGGGGGGAATTGTGTGACGAGGGTAGATGGGCTTCATGGACTTTTTATGATACCAAATGATTTCGTACGTGTTTGTCGGGATGGAAGGCGCAGAGGGCCATGTATTGACCACATGCTGATATCTGACTACAATGCTCTGCAAAGACTTTTAAACAAAAACATGTCTCTCGTCTCTTGGCGTTCCTGTGTTGTTCCGCGTCGCCTTCAAACCCGAACCCGGATCCCTTGGTGCATGCTGGATCGGGACTTGGCCAGCCTCATTCTTATCACCATTAGGTGCCTTGAGTAATCCATATCCAAGATTCAGCGGTCTGAAATCTTTCGATATTGTTCCGAGTCTTGTTTCGAGTCCCCTCCGTTCCATCTCATCCAGTTCTGGGCCTCTTGTTGCTTCGACAATGTCAGAAATCGAGTACCCTTGAACACTCCGCCGTTCCCCCGGATAGCTAAGGCGCTGGTCATGAATCTAAGCCCAGCCAAAGAGGTCAGAATACCATAAACGCGCAAAAGTACATGTATAGACGTACGATAGTGAAATCGTATCGCCGGGCGCGAACAAATGAGCGGATAAAGATAGTCAGTCTTCGACCCGACCCCCGTATAGTAATTGAAAAAGTACGGATCAGACTTGTGACTGCTCGTATTTTTCTAATAGCTAAAAGAGTCCTAGCTGAGAACCTCAATCTTGCCACCGTAATGCCCGTCCGTGGTGTCTTCGAATATGAAGTTCAATGTTCGCACCCCTCGGCAAGTTGTGTTTTGAGCCGCGTGCCCCGCGACAGTTGGGAGAAAGATTGTGGCAAGACAGGAAAGAATCGAAGGGTGAAAAGTAATCTGCCAAGCAGAGTGATAAATATATAGATAAGTCTTTCACGTGTATGTTCCATCTCTTAGTGAAAGTTGTGGGCAGTTTCTATGTTGACATAATGAATATTTTGTGTAATAATCCATCCTCATACCCCTAACATCGTCAACACAAAAAAAAGTCATTTTTGTATACTGTAGATGAGGGCTGGCTTGGAGACGCTGTAGATCAGTTCCCGGTTTCTGGCTTTGAGGTTGAAACCGTCAATCGTTTGCTTGCACCGTCTGCACAGTCGAATACTGCAGTAGGGAATTGAAGGTAATAAACTCCGATATACAAGCTGATGCTAACTGAAATTATCGTGCCTTTACTTATTGGACTAACCTCCAATAAATTTTACCTTTTGTTGAACTGTCATTTCACTCATCATTGACGTCTTGAACTAGATGTACCAGGAAATATCTTGCCCAGTTTCTATAGTTCGAAGCACGCAGCCCAAGCAAATGATTCAAAGGCTGAAATAATCTTGTTTGCCATGAAAAGATTCATTGTTTCTTTGATGCCATTTCATCAATCGATCCAGGTCATTGTCGAAGTAGAAGAATCATCTAAAATCCTTTGACTTTCCCCCGTGTTCATGTATTGGGGCGTGGTCAAGGCCATGACGTCCACCCAAGATTTCCCATCCGTCATCCTTCCCAACCATCCCCCACGGTGGTTCATTATCAATGACTTAAGCCTCCTCCACGTTATCATCATCAACAGACTCGGTGCCGGGCACGCGCCAGTCGCAGGCGCAAGTGCAGCCCCAGGAGACATTCTCACAGTCAAGGTTGCGCTGGTCGTAGCGAAGCTTGCCCGAGCGGTCGCATCGGTATTTGTAAGGGCGGTACTCGCACCAGAGCTTGTTGGCGGGGCAGACAATGTCACATTCGCGAGCTTTGAGGACGGGAGCCTCATTCTCTGGGTTGATCTGATTGACCTGCTCTTTCTTGGTGAGGTCCTGGCGGATCTTGTGGGGGTTGAGGTTGGGGCCGGCGGCGACGCTGATGGCGACGGCGGCAGCGCCAGCGAGGAGAACTGTGTTTTAACGGTCAGCCTGACAATTTGATGGAAAGGATAGAAGCATGAGCTTACCCTGGAATCTCATTTTTGCGGTCGTGATGCGTTAACGCTGGTCGTGGTTGGTGGTAGGAGAGTTGAAAGGAAGTTTTCACGATGAGTGAGGGCTGTGGGAGGTGAGTTGTGGAAGGAGCGGTTCTGGTTCACAAGGCAAATGGTATTGAGAATAAATACTGAAGGATTATTCCATGAATTATTTTGAATACCCGGAATGGTTCAACTGTTTTCACTCACCGCCCTCGGTGCCGGGTTGCAGATATCAATTCCAAGTTGGCCAAGCTGAGCAATGATGGAAGGAGCAAACCATGATCAGCAACCCCGGATGCCTTTGTTCCTTCCTTGAAATAAGCTAATATAAACCTTCGAATCTGTGCATTCCAACTAGGGCCTATATAAGTAAGTTTGGATTCTGCTCAGGATCCAGGTATGGTACTTACATGTATGCACATAATGAACGATCGTATTGCACGTTAGTCAGCCCTACAATCAATCATTAGCATGGACAGACCGTAAACCTCAACATGTCTAGGACATCACTGGCTGTTGAGTTGGACTATAGCCTACTGCTACTCTAAAACGTTTTATTGGATTATGGATGATATGAATAAAGCAGCCTAAGCCCCAAGGTTCGATCCGCATATCACCTCTCGGCTTCGATGAAGACATAAGCTGCCGAGATGAGTGTTGTTGCTCCTCCAACAGATGCTAGGATTGCCTCTTTATCTTGAGGACGGTGTGGAGTGTTTGCCAGGCAAACAGCGAGCCACACCAGACAAACACCATCCATGGAACACAAACGAAATGGCGCAGTCAGGGTACACAGTGCTCCTGAACACACGCGCCATCTCTTTCACAACTAGCCTCGATGGCCCAGTTGCAAGGTCGGCAACCCCAACTTCTTGTTCCTCGCACTATTGACGGGTGCGTCATACAAGGAAGAGCAGTTCATGAGATGATCTTCATGTTGTAAATACCTAAACTTATGTCTAGAGCGACGCTAGATACTATTTGCGCCTCAAGTATGGTTACAGTTGTCAGAAGGAGATACACGCTTTCTAATGCTCCCACAGGACCCCAGTTCCCCAAAGCAAACCAACCAAACCCATCAACGCCTTTCATCTCCAGACTTTCGTATCCCAGCCTGACCGAGCCATGCAGTTTGCTCGTCCAACCGGTTGTAATGCGCATCAATCACCTCCTGGTTCAAGTAATTCAACCGGTGACCACACCGCGTCCACTTGACGTCGTGCGCCGTCGCCGAGTCATCGCAACACCCGCCCCAACAGTCCCCGATGCGGTCAATCACCGGCTGGAACTTGGCCGCCTCGCTCCGCCGGCTCCGGTCAATGATGTTGAGCATTGTCGGGATCGCCACCTCGTGGAAGACGTCCGCGCACCCAAAGACGTGCGCCAAGAAGATGAAGTCGGCAAAGAAGCGCCGGGGAATGTAGAAGATGTCGGACCAGCCCACGCAGAACTCGTCCTCCTTGATCGTGTAGCCGCGGTTCATCCGGAGGATTTCGCCGTTGACGGCGACGGTCTTTTCGTTCCACTTTTCGGACCAGCGCCACCACTGGGGGTACGTTTGCCAGTCCGTCATGCACATGTACCGCGGGCCGTTGCCATCGTATTGCCGCGTGTTGTGGGATGTCGGGAACCAGATGGACTGGCGGTTCTCGTCGACCCAAGCCATCGGGTCGATCCAAGAGTCGAAATGGAAATACATGAGGCCTTCGATGTCCGGTTGCTCGTCGAGGATGAGCTTCATCGTCCGGGCGACTTGCAAGTAGATCGTCTCAAATTGTGAGTATTGCGAGTGGGTGAGGTTGTGGTAGTCTTCGGGCTTGTCCTCGATCATCTCCGGCATGGAGATATGGACGGTGTGATAGAAGGGCTTGTACTTCATCAGTAGGGGCACGCGTTCCATGCGCTTCGCGTTCCAGCGAATCATGGCCAGCGTGTTGCTAAAGGGCGAAGCAGTGAGGTTGCCGGGTCCCGTGGTGATCTTGAACGGTTCCTGCTTGTCCGTAAAGGGTGTGATGATTTCCACAGGAGGCGTCGAGCATTTCCCGTCGTCTCTCATGACGAGTCGGTACTCGGGGGTGTGCGGGAGCTCTGAAAGTGTTGCGTAGGGTATGATGCCTGCGCTTAGAAAGCCGGCGACAGTAAGGAGGCCGAGCTTTGCTTTCTACGTGTGGGTCAGTTTTGGCCTTCTCTCAAGATAATCGTCGAGTCAACCGACCTTGTAGGACACTGGCGGCGCCTTCGAGGGCGGGCCATCATCCACCGGGAACGAGCTACTGTATTCTTTCAAGGGAGCATACTTCATATATGCCAGCGAAGCGATGAACATGAGCGCCGTGCCTGGTATGACGTATATGCTGTAATGAGACGAGAAGAAGCGCGCGGAAACAAGTAGCAACACAACGCTGGTGAAGTCGTTGACGAACCACCTCAGCCACGAGTCGACCTCTGCGACACGTTAACAATCTTCCTCGGAAGCTGCCAGTGAATACAACCTACTCTTTTGTGCAACAGTGCTGATCAACGCCACCACGGTGGTCAGGAAGACCACCGACAAACCCTTGCTGTCGTAGCCGCCGAAGAATGTGGGTTCGAACGAGCTGTACAGTCGCACAAGCGCATGCACAAGCAAGTTGAGGATCGCACCGAAGGCTCCCAGCACCATGTTTGCCCCGTTCGGGCTCAGGTCGGTACCCTTTAGCAGCTTCTCGCCGTTTATGTCGGCTAAGGCGCTGAAGCTGGCTTGGCCGACGATGCTGAAGTAGAGGGGGAGCGGGTACGTCGATGCCCTTGTGCTGTGTTGCGGATAGAATTGGGAGAGCACCAGGCCCGAGGTCTGTATACTGTTTAGCGACCCTGTAGGCCAGACCCAACCTGCTTCTGAAGCAGTTCACCTACCTGGATCAAGAAGGCCATCCATCGGGTGTTTGGGCCTTTCAGACCAAATGCCGGTGTGGTGAGGAGGCCGGCTGCGACCGCGATGCCGCTCTTCGAGATGGCCACCGTACCTGGATCGCTGACCAGGTAGTTGAGAAACAACTGGGACATAGGTCAGCTTTTGCCTCATCCAAGGTTGCGCGAGCGCCAAGCGCTCTTCAGGTCCGTACTAGGTTGTTGCTGAGCATTTGCAGCAAAGCAATCCTCATTAATCCGAACCTCAAGTCCGCGTCTCCCCAGACATAACGCCAGAGCGCTGTCGCGCCTCCCAGGCGGCGAGTTTGTCGAGGTTCTTTCTCCGCGGCGTGCTCGCCAGACGTCCGTCCGTCCTCAGCGCCGAGATCCAACTCCTCCTCATACTCCTCCAACCTATTGTCCAGCGAAGAGTACTCGGCGCTGGCACTTCGTCTGCGAACCTCGCGTTCCAACAAAAGGGTCGCAATCAGAAACCGCAGGAACTCGGATATCGTCAAGCTCGAAGACGGGGAAAAATTAAACTGCCCTCGCTCGCGGGAATTCCAGAGGTTGATCGCGGCGCCGACCTGGAGGAGCAATAGCCCGAGCGCGGCGAGACACGGGACCAGCCCGGCGCCACCGGATCCGGCTACCACCATCGCTCGGCGGAAGATGGACCGGTTCACGGCCATGGCGACTGGAGAAAAAAGAAAAGAAAGAAAGAAAAAGGAGTGTAGGCGGCGGCGGCGCAAGCGAGCGGCGGTCTTTCTCAATCGCTTTCGATGTTTCCTACCAGTTTTGACAAGAAATCATGTTTTCGTAACCACCACGAGTCGAAAAGAAGACTTGCGCGCCAGGAAAGTGAAGAGGACACCGAACGCTTAGCTTGGCCCTGTTTTTCCCCTTCCAAAATACGAGTCGTGGCGTGGGGGGGCGATCAGCGTCGCAAAAAGGCTCCCCTCGGCCTCCCGAACAATCGCAGGGCGGTTCGCACGGAATCTGCTGGGGGCCAGGTTAAAACCGGGGACGAACAGGGGAACAGAATCGAGCTCGAAAGTTCCCAATCTGACTACGCGGCGGACGCGCCGGGTACGAGATCGTCGGCTTTGGGTGCGTGGAGCAAGTACCATGTGCGAATGGGGGCAGCTTGGCCTCGGGATATTCTGCGAGGGCGGTGGTGATTTTGAAATCGTATTTTAATAGTATCGTCCAAATGAAACCTCTCTCAACCAAAGCTTAAGTTGCTAATAAGAATAGTATTATACACATTTAGGGCGAACTGGGGAAGAAAAGCATCCCCTAGCATGGCAGACACAACTCTGGCACCGAGTTAATTAGCTCGGCTGTCGCCTGTTTGCATGATCCCCGTTGTTCTGGGGGTCAGACGCAACGCCAAGTGGACCGATGAGCGCAGAAAAGCATCCGTTTGTTAAACCCTCCGATGTGGGCGCCCGGCAGTGCTTGATTGCAGTTGAGCTTTTGCCCGATCAGTTAGGTGATCACGAAAGAGGGGAGGATCTGGCCGCAGTACATTATTTTCGGCGCAGCACCAGGTCGGATGAGGGAGCCTGAAAGTCGGGTTCGCGGTTCACGAGCAGAGAAACTTTGCCAAAGGCTGAGAGACTTCCCACCTTCTAGAGCCAACGGGTTGGCGTGCCGCGCGTCCTGTGACATGGTGTCCTCAAAGGCCAGCCATGCAGAGTAAACTTCAGGTTGACAACCACCACACGAGGGATTCATCCAAGGCTGCAGATACGTGTGTCTCTTGACACCAGGCTCGCCTTATGAATGCGTACCAGAGACAGGGCACGTGTTCGGCCCAAAAATTAGAACTGGCTTTCCACATGAGTCGCAACGGCTGTCACGGAACTGCACATCTCATGGATACAGCCTGCTCCAGAAAAAACAAGACCGGCTCTTCAAATGTGGCCCGGCCGTGAGGGGTCACACTCCCATTGGTCCGTCTTATCACACAGCGCCAGGATCGAGTTCCCAATTTAGATCGTTTGGAGGGGCCTTCCGGCTCCCCTTGGAGAGCACGGTTCAGCCATGTCGTAGCCGTGACGGCACGCAACGCTCACAGGGGGATTGCGTTTGCTTGACCTGGCTCTGGAAGCTGATCTGAAAAGGTGGGTAGGCCAGAAAAAGCAGGGCGGCCGATGCTGGTCCGTCCGTCTTCGCCTGAACTGCGCGGTACTGACAAGCGACGAAATGAAGCGAGGTGCTCCGCCGCGTTGGGACGGGGGAATTCAGTCCGCTCATCCAAAGATCATGTCAAACCTGTCCTGCTGTCCTACCATGGTAGAAGATAGGTAGGTGATCAGAAAGGTGTTCTGGACTTAGGGGGCCGTGAGGGTATTGGAAAGAAACAAGAGTTTACTTGTAGCAAGCCGGACATTCCAATCGGGATCTGACTTGAAACACATATGCATGTTGACCCCTACTGCAGCCAAGTTTACCGCGAATCAGAGAACAAACATGTCTCCGTCACTTGGTAGGGCGCATGGCTAGTGTGAAATCCTACAAGAACATCCAGGGGCGGCTATCCAAGATCTAGCAGAATTGCCACCGCCAATTGGGCAAGCTGACTTGGCTGCAGGATCTAGCTGCGGGACTCCGCAAGGGACCGGCCAGATGGAGATGGATTATCCGGTGGCCTGGATACGATGCCACGAGCTTCCGTTTTTGGTGCTTCTCCATTTTGGTAGCAAGTATCAGGTTCAAAGTCCGCCGAGTTATTCACGACTTTATGAGCAGCGGTTGATAGGAGCATCTTGGTATCCGGTCACGATTCGCGGATGTTCAAAAGCCAGGCTTCTATTCTTTGCCCGTACAGAAGCTGCCGCCGTTTCTGTGGCCAATCCAGATGAGATATTGATGAACTACCAAAGACAACGGCACTACGGTCGAACCTCCCGTTTGCCATTCCATGTCCAACTCGGTTGACCGATAAGCTCGACTGGCGCGACACCTTCCGCGCGTCTGACTGGTGGCCATATCACTGGACTCAACCAAGGTAGGAGGAGCCATCTCCCGCGTTAGCTGAGAGACGGGCAGCGCTAGAAGTTTTCTCTCCGTCCGAGTAGTTCAACTTCAGCCAAGCACACTCGGCATAGTCCAAGAATTAATCCAGGGATCAATCAAGAGAGAGAAGTAAAATCTCATAGTGTTCAGCAAAACCACGGCCAATCTTGAAAGGCCGGCCGCCGCTCCAATCTACGGGTATCTGCCGGTCTCGCGGGCTCGGCCCCGTCCTCCGGGCCCACACTTGCCGTAGAGGGCTGCTTCTTTTTCGATTAACACAACGCCAACTCAAGGGCTCAATTGGCAATTTGTCTTCTTCATTTCCAATACGTTGCCTTCATGCCGATCAGTCAAGCGGGCTAGGGTAGATTGGAGAGATTTGTTGCCCCTCAAACCATCCTATGGTTGTCCCAGGTATCCGTACACCACGGGATATTCTGTGCCTTCTTTATCCACACATTAATCGAATAAAGTACTTAGACACCATGGGTAATAAGGGGGAATGTGGTCCTGGTTCCGACGAACGGACCGTACCGTCCTCTGATGCCCCGCTGGTCCGCTAACCTTCAGAGATTATGGAGAAATCACGAGTATGCACACAGCGACTACGAGCTTCGACTGCGGGCTTGGAAACGACTACGGTATTTGAATCTTATTCGCACTTCCGTCGTTATTATTTCCCAGTAAACATATACAATGTCAGAGTCTGCATGGTCACGGTCCTTCTCGTAGGCCACTGAGGCACGAAGGGCCCAGAACCGCGTCAGAGAGATGTGGATATCATAAGTTTCGTCTCGCGAACCACAGGACAGGATGGGGGGAAAGGGTTCCAATTCTCCTCCACAAGATTCGATGAGCGGAGAGCAAAGATTCTGGTTGAATCTTGGAGAAGCCTCCATTTCAAAAGAAATCATGTGGCCTTCATACCAGTTCGGTTCAGTAACCGCCATCTCCCTCGCCCGTGTGACGCCAGCAATGTATCTGGCTCTGCCTTTCTGATTCATTTACCTCATCGTCATTAGGATGGAGCGGTAATCCCAGAAGCAAAAATTATGCCTGTCTTGGCTGTTTGATTCACCCCGAGATCCAGACTCGGCAGGGTCTGGACGAGCTGACGAGGCCTGACGCTTCATGCAAAGTCCAACCCCCTCCTCATCGCGTCAGTCACCACAAAATCGACGAGTGTTTTGGCAGCGCATTTTTGTAAGTCTGCGTAGTGCTCTTTAAACTTTGACTAGAACAATGAGAATGCAATGGTTTGAGATATTGCCAGTTGAACAATCCTTCCGCACCGAGGCGGTTGAATGCTCTCATTTGAGATGGCATATGATCGACTGATCCCTCTGCACAAATGTTGCATTAGCTGACGCGGATCTGCATTTGAGCACCTGTCTGGTCTCTTTTCTGCACAGTGATATAGCGTGCGCCTCGGAATTTTGTGAAAGGAAAATGAGTGGTCGGCGGATTCGGCGATACTTAGGGGGTTCAAAGGGGGTTGGAGGACGCATGCATACACAAAGGACTCCTAGATGGGAGCTTGACGCCACATTCAACCTTTGGAGTACCTCGACTTTTCACTAAGAAAGAGCTGTTGTGTAACGTGTTCCCCCAAGACTGACTCAAAACTGGCAGGTCTAGCTAGTTGATCCTGCATCACCACAAGCCCCTACCAAAGGGGTGGAATCGGTTCCCAATGAGGTGAGCCTCTCATATCCTTACTCTCATTAACATCCAAACATTGGGTAGTGCTTCTCGCCATCGGCCCGTATCCTGGATCTTGCAACCTTGCCTTATGGTCTAGAGCATTGTTTCGATCAACCTATTTCGAGACCATCACTGAGGACCGCCCGAGGACCGGCCGACATTAGCCTACTCATATGGACAACCCCGGCAAAGGCGTTCCCGTCCCCCATGATGGAGGTGTCCTCAAAAAGGCGAAAAAGCAACAGCTAAAAGAGGAAAATTTCATCAACCCGCCACCGTGTGCCGCAAGATGAAGCTTACACCTGGAGATTTGCTCATGACGGGGCAGAGCGCGCCTCTGCTTATGTGGGTGACAGAAAATGTGATAGACACAATATCACCAAACCCCCGCCCCCCCTATTTCATAGTGGCTTGCCCATGCTGCCACCTCTACTTTTCCTACCTAATACATGAGGATTATTTTGAAAATGATTTAAAACTGATTAGGTATCAATATACTTCGTAACATGAAACTATACATGGTCCGCAGGTTGAGAAGAAAAAGGCAAGTGTGGTGAGTAGTTTGTGTGTATCACTTTCTTTGTCTTTGCTGCTTTCTAATCCTGCACTGGACAGGCAAGACTCTGAATGCCCACTATGTCTCCAATATCTAGAGCGTTGCACCTGCAAATGTACGTCAACTTCTTCTACCACTTCATGGCTTGATTCATATGGGTTGAGGTATTTATAACACGACAACACGCAGCTGAGGCCCAGGTATCAATACGTTACATGGCTTCGCCCCGGCATTACATAACTCACTGAAACCTGCCCTATCTTAGTCCGGCTTCCCCATCCCTAAATCGTCGAAGGCTGAGCTAGTGACGATCACTGTCTTGGCATCCCTTGACAGCGGCACTGGCGCGGATCACCTAATAAAAGGTCCCGATGATTTGGTTCTAGGCCTTGGTCCTTTCTGGGGAAATTTCACCAAACCTTAAGACGACCCGCTGCCAACTAGACTTGCTTGAGTTTGGGGCCGCGACCTTTTTCATCCAATGCGACGACGATGGCTGCAATCGAGAGCAACGGCCCTGTTCTAGCGGGAGTCTCGTGGTTCCTGTGCTTCTTTTGCGGGGCCTTTTTGGCGTTACGAATCTACGCAAAGTTGAGTCGAGGGCAGAAGCTGTGGTGGGACGACTTTATCTTTTTATTCTCGTGGGTACGCGCACGTAAACTTCAGCGGGGGCACCTTGTCTATCCGATAGTTCAATTCAACTGACGTCAAGTCATAGGCTTGCAATTTCTTCGACGCGATCCTCACCCAGATTGGCGTCGGCCTCGGTTTCGGCCGGCACTACTACGATATCATGCCCCAAACCAGGCTCTTGACAATGGCCCTGTACACTTCGGTGGGAGCATCAATCTCGTGCGTTGCGTCGACTAGTAGCAAAGTAGGATTCGGCGTGACTCTCCTGCGACTCACGACAGGCTGGTACAGGATATTCGTCTGGTTCGCAATCGTGACTCTGACCATGGTCATGATTCCTAGCGCAACCTTGTCGTGGCTAAAGTGCACCCCCGTAGAGAAGTACTTTAACCGGCAGATGGAAGGCACCTGCTGGGACAACTCCGTTACGCTCTACTACGGCATCTTCAACATCACGTGGTGCGCTCTCATGGACTTTGCCTTGGCAATGGTTCCCTGGAAACTGATTTGGGGGATGCGGCTAAGGAAACACGAAAAGCTCGGCATCTGCTTCGCAATGAGTATGGGTTGGTTGTATGTCAAGTCTAGCGTCGACATGTCCTCCTGTATGCTGACCTTGATAACACAGAGCAGGTATTTGCACCATAGTCAAAGGCGTCTATCTCGGTCAAGTGGAGCAAGTTGATTTCTTTTGTAAGTCGTACGCCCACCGCCGAGAATACCCCCCTTTTCACGTTTCTGACAATGGATACAACATGTAGTCTATGGAAAAGATGTAACTCTCTGGACCGCTGCAGAAACAGCCACAGCAATCGTAGGAGCGTCGATTCCGGTCTTGCGAGTGTTTGTCAAAGAGAAAGCATCTAGGCTTGGCGGCGAGGATGAAGCCGACCATGACAACAGCAACGTAAACCCGCATAACATGAAACTAAATACGTACCGGAGCACATTGACCTCTACAACGGCGACAAGCTCCTCAAAGGCGACGAATGAGGCCAATCAGGATAGTGCCCCAAGCATCCAAAAGAGCGAAAGTTGTCTTCTAGTGGATATACCCGATTCCAAGCTTCATGGAATCGTGCGAACTCGGAATGTGGATGAAGAAAGTCAAGGCGAATCAGGAGACGATCGATTTGATGGCACTGGCCACAGCCAGGAACAAATAAGGTACGTAATCGCTATAGAACAATGACTCTTTGTCTAAGTCTTTGTCTAACTTTCCATTAGGGACGAGCAGGACTTTTTCGGAAGAGCACTGTGATGGTCCAAAGCTACGAATGGAGCCAGGGTGTTGTGCAGGAGCCACAGCCACGAGGACTCTATCGTACATCTTTGAATGAGAGCAACAGCGTCTCGACTCAATGGCTTGAGAATGTCTGGAGCGTCTCACCTGCGGTAAAAACATGAAGTAATGATAGTAATGAGAACCATGAAGCAATTTGACTAGGCGAATTTCTACCTTTAGTGACCATGAGGCACTGGCATTTCTTACCGCTCAATTACCTCCAATGACATAACTATCTGCCCGAGCCAACAGGATATTAGGCACAAATGAATATAAGGAGCCAAGCATTTGTTGTTTCTAGTATCAGTCTACAATTTCACTTGTCATCAAAATTCAGCTTCAAAGATCACAAACTAGTAATCTCCGGAAAAACTGCCTTCACAATCTCATCGTCTGAGACCCCCGATTTCAGCAACCAACGAAGACCTTTGAAAGCATCAACATTCGCCTTGACCGCGGATTTAACTCCGAAGAATGTGTGATACCCGTGGGGAGCGCCGGGATACACGTCCAGCCGAGTCTCAACATTGTGAGCTCTCAGGGCTCTCTCGTAGACTAGCCCGTCGTCTCTAAGGAAATCCAGACCCCCAACCTGCAGATGTGTCCGTGGCATCCCGACATGAGGACTGTTAGAGTTGAATGGCGAATAATCTGCCGATCTGACATCAGGTAGGTACTTGGATTTGAAATGCTCAAAGTCTGCTTTGTTAAGCATTGGGTCCTTGGCATTCTGCTCCCTTGCAAAAAAGAAATTCTTATACTCGGGAGGCACGATCTCTTCCTCGAGGAGAAGCGGAGCCATGAGCCAGACACCGGTGAGAGGGGCCTTGAGCACCACGGTGCCATCCACCGTCTTTTGGGCCGTCACAGCCGCGAGGTTCGCGCCAATGGATGGGCCTCCAATGATAAAGCCTGCACTCAGGTCGACGTCTAGTGTGTCGGCGTTCTCGGCAATCCACTTGAGCCCGTCTTCTACATCGTGGGGCGCTGCGGGGAAAGGATGGGCTGCGTTCAGGCGGTAGGAGAGGCAGATGACCGTTGCGTTGAAGAGCCGAGTCAAGATCTTGGCGAAGGGGTTCTGGTGATGACGATCGCCTCTGATGAATCTGCTTCCATGGAGGAGGACGATGACGGGCGACGACCTTGCGTCCTCTCGCGGGTATGGTATGTAGATGCGGGATATTGACTCGCGACCATCGCGCATGGGGATTTTGACATAGTGCTCGAATACTGTGTCTGCGACCGAACCAAAGTCTTCAACTCGCTGCCAAGTTTTGAGGTACTGGAGTCTGTGTGAATAGCCAGGTTATTTCATGTTCGGGAAGATTTCTCCAACCTTTTCGATCTCCGGGCTGGGATAAGTAGTCAGCCAACCATGCGCCAGACACGTGAAATGTAGCTATAAATGCTCACTCAATGACACTCAAGGCAGCAATCTTCTCCTCTGTATCGTACTCCATCGTATCGACAAATGCGTTGGTCTCAAAATCTGATGAGAGCTTACTTGCACCATTCAAGGTCCAGGTGAAAACGTGTGTAAGTCTTGAATCGTCGGGGAGAAGACGGTGAGGAAAAAGAGAGGACTGGGGAGTAAATACCAACAGCGAGCGATCAGCTTTTAAAGCCAGTCCGTATAACCGACGTGAACGCTTCCAGCAGGGTCAGAAGATTGAATATTTGTCTAGTCTCAAACTTCAGCGCTCCGGGCCTCGTCTCGGCACCAATTGTCCGAGAATAGAATGTGTTCGCTTCGATGATCGCCTCATGGGTATAAGAGCATTGCTCGCAGATGGATCGAAACCCGGTCGAACAGTCTTCTTTCACTGCAATGAATCATCCCACATTAGTCGTGTAACCATACGAGAATGGCTGTCTGTCAAAAATCGGCTCAACGGTCTGGCTGCATTTGAGGTTACATCGAAGAAATGCAGGTTAGACCCTGTTCATGGAAAGCAAGTCTTGGCAATGGTTTGTGCCCTCACAAATGCAACTTCAAATGGGGAGCAAACGTCTTTCTTCCGGACAACAATATCTGATTAAATGGAATACTTCTCTACTCCGTGATACTTGAGATATGGGCAGTAGAACTTTGCCCATAGTAGGAGCTGGGGCTTATTAGGTGAGGGCATGCTGCTGAGCCGGTGTAGCTATGATATGATTTGTCTGATTGGTCCTAGATACCTTGTCTGGGACTCAATGTTTCTTTGTAACTGTCCTTTGATCCGATCAAGACTCTTCAAGAGTTTCTTAGAAGAGATTGGAAGAGAGCACCAGAAAGAGCTGATCCAGTCTATGTGCCCTAGCACACTTTGCCTTTCACAAGCAGCAGACGACAATGACTTAGTCTGAGTCTCAGTTTGAATGATGGAACAAGACTTGTTAATACCCAGGAGTTCTGTTCAAAGATGACAGGCAGAGTCTGATGAACAGGAGCTAAAAATACTTTTATAGGTCAACTCTGGAAGCCTCCCGCAACTCATATTGAACCCACTATCCCCAACGTATCATTCTCAAATCCAACGCTCCGCAAAAAGCTCATCACCAGCAGCTCGAATGTTCATTCGTGCTACTCCATTTGCAACCAGTTCCAAACCGTAACTATGTGCAATTACGTCCTCATCGTCACCAAGTGCCGCCAGTGCGGCCGCACAATCAGCTCGTCCCAGTCCGACTTTGTCTACTGCCCATCTTACAAGAACGGCATCGGCTGCCAGGTTGTTCAGCGAGACTGCCACACGCAGCTGATCTGCTGCTCTAGCTGCCAGCGCGCCTACCATCTCGATTCTGCCATCAACGATCTCGCCCTTGTTGGTGACAAGGAGTCTGGTTCCGATTCTGAGGATGGCTCTGCTCCGTCTCAGTAGTATGATTAATCAAAATTGGTGAGTGGTTTTGCCAACGGCTTTTGAGCACGTCTTTCCATGCTTTCGGGCTTTGTGATGCTTCGTTTTTCGTGTTAGTCTGTTATAAATTTAGGCTTCTTCCCGCAAACTCAATCAATCCCACTGCCTGCCTACTTTTGGCGCCACAACTTGTCGCCTATATTTGAAGTCATCTCCAATGTTACGTGCACAGTGGCACTGCTTAATGGGTGATGCGCTACAGCATAGTTTTGTCTTGGCTTCAAGAAACCTCAGTACAGCTTGTCGTTGGCGCCCGCTAAACTAACAGCAAGGGTCTAGTCTATTGGATGATTACGTGACGTGAATGGAGCTGTATGGATGCATCTCCTTACAACCGGACTCAGTAAGCGAATTAAATCGGCAAAGTGGCGTTGACCTGAAGGCAAGTCCCCAATCTATCTCCCTCCAGCCTCGACGTGGCATTAACGACGTACTCCTGCAGCGGCGACGTCCCGCACTTGAGACCTAGCACGAAAGCCCCTGCAAATGAATCCGCAAGCTTTGGCGACATGTGTACGGCGTCCATCGGGTACCCCTCGACGGCCGCCTGCGGGCCCTGCACCTGGAGGGCCTGGGCGCTGTAGTTGCCGTGCGGGACGTAGTAGATGCCAGCCGCAGGTCCGCCGAGGGACTCGACGACGTGCCACGAGTACCACGAGTAAATGGTCGGCGTCCACGAGAAGTTGCCGGCTGAGTACGGGTTGACGGGGGTCGAGGTCGAGATGACTACGCGGGCGCCGAGTGAGAGGAAGGTGGTGGAGGCGTTGCGGAGGTAGGTGGTGTAAGTTTGTACCACTTCTGTCTGGTTGCTGCGATGAATTAGGCCATTATCCGTACTTGGCAACCCGGGCTTTTATCAAAATTCATAAACCTACTTGAATATTACAGGACAGACGTTGTCTCCAATACCAGGGCAGTCAACTCGGTTCTTGACTGTATCGTTGATTGGATTCCCGGCTACTTTTGTCAGAGGGCTTGCTGCATTATCACTGGGAGGAGTTATTGGGTATAGTCTAGATACGTACGTCCGTCATTGTGACCAAACTCAATGATAACCCAGTCACCAGCCTTGACCTCGTCAATGATCCGCTGGAATCGGCCTTCTCTCGTGAAGGTGCGTGCGCTCCGCCCGGCGTATGCCGAGTTGTTGACCCGGATCTTTGAGGAGTCGAGGGAGTAGTGCAGGTACTGTCCCCAACCCTGTGTGCCATTGTGTCCGCCGTCCGGTGCCATCGTGCTGTCGCCAGCAAGCCAGAGTGTGTGCCGTTCGTCGACATCGGAGCGCTCGGTGGGCGCCGAGAGCGCCGATCCAGCTCCCAGGAGGAGGGAAACCAGAAACAGCTTCATTGTCGGATGAGTTGGCGCGGTTGAACAAAGCCATGCTAGGACGCCACGCCTCTCCCTTCTTATTGTTCTTGAGGCAGCGATGGTACCAGTGACAGCGGATCTCGGTATCCAGTGCCATTTAGGGTGTCTGGGATGTCGTCCACGTCTCCCCGCATCGAACCGAACTGGCAGACCTCTAAACTGGCATTTCCCCGCGTATTTCAGGGGTCATTTGGAGGGGGAATTAACGAACGGCGGGACCGCTAAGCTGAATGAATACTGGTGGACCGTTGCTCAAGTTACTATGTACGCACGAGTGGGAAGGCAACTGAATAGCCTTTGACGAAGCGCTCCTCATTCGTGGGAAGAAGGTGGGTGAATTTCGACTCGGGCCAACAGGGGCCGAGTCGACCGCTCAGTGGGCTTTCGGCCGACCGTTTCCCGAGCGGATCCGGGCAGATGGATACATTATATACCCCATGGGGGAGGTAATCGGTGAAGGGTCCGTCTGATCCGGGGTTGATAGGTTCCGTTGAGCCCGGAGCTCTCCAAGTTTCTCGTGCCTCTTTCGACAAAAGCGGTCCATACTAAATCTATTGCCTTTCACTGAGCGGATTGAGCCAACACCACCCACATACGATGCAGGGACTTGGCTTGATATTGACGAAGAGTATAATGGCAACTACCTCTCATCAGGCAATTTAACCCAGGAAGTTGTGGCCCCCGACATGGTCTAGCAATTGGAAAATCAATAGAGATCCATGGGATTGTCCAGAGTATCGTGAGGTCGGTTCTAGCTCCGTGGCTTTGACCTGATGTGGCCTCAGATCTATTTGACAGCTTGTGACGCGACTCGATCTTCAAGGTTGGATTTGATGGATTGCGATAGCCGGAATTGGGATAGAAATGAGATCCCAAGCCATCCGTTGGCGAATCCGATTTTTGATTCGAAATGAATGGGCAACGACATCTCCTCGAAGGTTCTGGAGGATAGGTTCCTTGGTGATTGGACCTCATCCGCCAATAACGTGAGTCTCGTAGTCTTTGATCTTGAACCAGGCAATAGATATATTTTTGTGTAAAGGTCGACCCAAAGCCAGGACTGGCAGGACCAGATTCCATATGCAATTAGCTAGCTTCATCGAAAATGATGACAAGTCTGCTTTCTCATACTTGAATGCACGATCCCAAGCCAAATGGGACAGGCCGTTGCGGGAAACTCGAACACTGGCGCTGGCGAGATTTCCTGTTTGGGCATTGAGCTCGTGCTCTGACTTGGGACCTCGGACGTGTTCCTGGTGGGGTTGGAAAACATTGACTTTGGACATGACAGAATTGAAACCCGACGCATTCGGCTGCGGGGGTTCTCGCGGGTCGCATTTCTTGCCGGGGGGAGATGCCGGCCGGGGGACCGAACACGAGGTGAGGCTCCATTTGGAGGTGGGTAAATAGACACTAGATTCAGGTCTGGATGGCGCATAGTTAAGTCGGCAGCAACTTTGTGGCTGAACATTACCTATCATGAGATTCATTAGAACGGCTGGACAGATCAGAATGCAACGTTTGCGCTCAAGGTATTATTTGAACACAGAGCTTCCATCTGAGCGCCGCAAAGGATACGATTAATTCAAGTGACTCGTGAGTTTACACAGCCACCACAGCCCAGCAATTACAACCAAGGGCAGCATTTTCCTAGATTCCGAGGCGGCTGAATACGACGAGGCATCCAATAAAGTCAGAAAAGGGACGAAACTGGGGGAAAATGGCATTGAATGACACGTACTCTGCTTGATACATGCAGGCAATGGGGAAGCTGAGCTGAGCTGAGGCCGCATATGCTCACCTATGCCTCGGGAGGACAACAGGCGCACATGCCATAAAAATAGAACCCGGGCCAAGGTAGGTATGCAATGCAGCAGAATCAGATGCTTTCAAGGCGTCGAAGAGCCAAGTCCAGTCTCATCTGGAAAATCTGCACTGATGCAAGGTGCTGCAGGTGGCCGAATAAGAAAGAGAGGGTCGCTCAGACAAAGCCGACAGGGGGCAGGTCAGAAAGACTGACACTTGACACAGCGACACCCGTGGTCTGTTCACTCTTTTGTTCACGGACTCGACGTATGAAAGAGTGCCCTTGTTGCACATTCTTGAAATTCCCAAGTGGTGAATATTCCTCTCCTTCCCCCACTCAGTACAAATACCAAGCCAAACAACCAGTGACATTCCGTCCAGTGACGTCACAAGCCCGTGATCCACAAATTCAACCGGAGCACCGGAGCACCGGTGACCCAACACGGTCGCGGGCACCTTCCAGAAACGAAACATCCTTTTCACCTCGCTTGGAGTCAGCTACTACCACCCAGCTCCTGCCTACTGACCTTATAATTCACCTTACCACATTACAGTGCTAACTGCGAAACTCCACCAGCAGCCGAATCGTCACTGCCAACAATCTTTACTCCAACAAGACCGGTCGAGTGAGAAAGACAGGCAGAAGGTGATCTAGCAGTAGATGGCCTGTGGCGCATCATTGTGAAAAGTTATGGCGTCCCAACAGACCTCTGGCCTCACCACCGAGCAGGTCAAGGCCCTGTTCAACATCCTCACCCACTTTGAAACGTATCACGAAATTGAAGACTTCAAGAAACCAGAAACCATTTCCGACTATGGCTACCCCTTTGCGCAGAGCTCCAAGCCCGGCGAGGCCGTCACCTACGCCCCCGAGTCCTCTGCTCCCCTGCTGCAGTCCCTTTTCACCAGATTCACCCTGAAGGTGCCGGGCGTCTCCTCCTTTGTCCCCGAGTTCTGGAACGTCCGCGTCCAGAGCATCCTCAAGAATTTCGCCGAGGCCGAGCTGTCCGAGAGCTACGAAAAGGGCGCCCTGGGTACTAGAAAGACTCTGGCGACCGCCTCGTCTACCGTCATCGAGACCGTCGCGCGAGGCATGATTGGTGGCGGACCCTACAGCGACCCGGCGACCCGGCTTCAGCAGTACGACTTGGAGAGGGCGGAAGACCTGGCACAGGCGTGGGATGATGCTATGCATGACCTCGTGTACGGAGACCTTTGCGACAGCTTGTTTGACCACCTCGCCGAGACGGACGACTTTGAGTCGCACTCCCCAATGACCCAGGCGGCCAATCAGTACATTATTGTCCAGTCAGTATTACTTTGTGCGAAGGGGATCTAGAGCTCTGGATAAGGTAGATTCACTAACACAAACTTGAAATAGTCTGGCTGGACTAGTCCACCAAGTGCTAGTCGTCTCTCCCGAGGGTCAGTATCTCGTCAAACTCATGGAGCAGGTGCATAAAATGGTGCCATACAATTTGGTTAGGCAAACACTAAAGGTCGGCAACGCGGCGACAATGATTGCCGGCATGATGAAGATCTTTCTAGCCAAACTCAGCGTCGGCTCCGTCTCAAACTGGTTTGGCCTGACAAAGGATGCCGCCGACGGAATGAATCTTATGCAGAGGTACGCTTCCCCTAAGATCAAGCAGAGGCTCGTCACTAGGCTGCGACATGGCAAGGCTGACAAGACTACAGGATCATCTCCGTCATCCTCGGCTGGGACTGCGCAGACTTCAAGAAGACGGTTGACAGGATTGCCAAGGACAAGGCCAGGCCAAGCAAAGGCGCTCTGGAAGCCATCAAGGCTCACACCCAATCATCTCCAACCGAGCGCGAAGTCACCCGAGCCATGAGCGCACAACAAGACAAATCCATCATTGCAGTCATCCTCGAAAACGCAAACCCGGTCCTGCTGTCCGACCTCACCGAGGACGAGCACACAATGTGCCTCGAGTACTACGCAGCGCTGCTGGCCATCCGCGACCGGGAAGAAATCATCAGCATCCTCTGCAGGCAGAGCCCAGATTACCTCACCCAGGCGGTCCGCGAGGCGGTGGCCGGGATGGACCCCATCATCCGCGCCGTGCACAACAAGGTCGACCTCTCGGACCACGTCAAGGACTACCACATGTTCTTCGAACAGCTCATCGCCTGCAGCAAACCGAAAAAGGGAAAGACAAAGGACGACCCGGAGACCATGCCCACCGTGGAGGACTACGTTCATTTGTGCAAGAACAACAAGCACCTCCTGTTCAAGTGGCTGCACGCCGTGGCCGGCAAATGCCCAGAGGTCATGGACCAGTTCAGGGCGTGGGCCAAGGACTCCCTGGTCACGTTTAACAAAACCAAGACCGGCGGCGCGAGCATCGAAGAGCAGCTGGGCAACATGTTCAACCAGGTTCCCGACAACAGCAGAGCGGCTCTCCTCCCCATTATTGACGCGCACGCCTCGTACCTGCGGGATCTGGAGAAGCTTTCCTTGACGCGGATGCAGACCATCATCGAGGACAACGAGGCGAGCATGGCCGGGCCCGGTGTGTACTTGGTGCGGTGGCAGAACCTGATGGACGAGACCCTCATCACGCCGGTGACGCCCGCCGGCCCGGTGCGGCTGGGCAGAGACGTCAAGGGGGCGGCGGCCGCGCCGCCGTCGGGCAAGTCAGGATCTGCGTCGAGCGATGTCGGCGAGGTGATTGCGATGGTCCGCGACATGAATCTGTCTTCCTTGCCGGAAGCACCGGATGTCCAGCCCGTCATCAAAGCGTTGGCGCCCAGGTTCAAGCAGATGCTTACAGTAGCGTCCAGAGCCAACGGTCCTCCGACGAACTGGACGAACGGCGCGGCCAATGGACATGCTGGGCCGAGTTGAGAGCGGATGGAACGTGCGAAGGCTCGCCGACGAGTATTTCGATATGTTTCTTTTTTATTACTTATTGTTTGGGAGGGTGCGGGGATGGTTTATCTTTCGGTCTTTTGGGGTGGACTAGCATGGTGTCACATGGTGAACACTACAAAACGATTTACATGAAGACACGGAGGAATTGGCCTGGCGTTTGCGGGGATTGGAATCAAGGTTGGACTGGACTGAACGGCAGGCGGGGTAGAACACTTGCTGTAGAACAGAGCGTAGACATTGAACAGACATGTCGCCCAGTACAAATAGTATCGCGGTACACGGTGACAATGAAAGGGCTGGGAAGTTAAAACTTTGTAGGCAACGTTGAGGGATTGGCAAGTCAAAAGCTGTGACACATGTGGGCGAAGCTTATCCTACCTTAGTGCTCTTGCATGTACACATGTATCTGTTGGAGGATACATGAACCTACCTGACCTAACCAAGGTATCAGGTGGCTTTTGGCGTATGCTGCCCGTATCTTTACGGATACTACCAACAGAATACCTAGCCGTAGCAACCATATTATACCGCCTGCATCCCCTGAATAGGGTTCTGTTCAAAGTAACTTGACAAGCATCACACGAAAGGAAAAAAAAGTCTCTGCTCGTCCGCTACTCTCAGCCAATCTCTGGATGTATCCATCAGTCCACGATTCGAGTCTGCGTCATCCATCCTGGCACAGCCTCGCTTTTCCCTCTTACACTTCCCACTGAACAATCACCCACCAACACGATGGGCCACGTACAGGCAGATCATCTTGGCAATACCCATGCAGCAATCAACGGCCAGCAAAATGTCAGCAAACCAGCAACCCTGTCATCCAAAAAAGAATGCCAACGGCAAAAGTTTGCCGCCAGGCCATGCCAAGTCAGGTAGCTCGTCGAGATCATCTGGCGTCGCTAACCGATTCGATCCCTGTCTAGCGTCGGAGAGGCGGCGCACAAGGGGATGTTTAGACGAATGAGCCGCCGACAGCTCGCTTCAAATATCCCCCACTCATTTCGCCTTCGTCAAAACCTGCCCTAGCCCGGGCTGCCTCCCCAGTCGGGCCCCGACTCGAGTTTCCCTCCCTTCCAACCTCGCCCGCCTCAACTTTCCCTGACCTTATTTTTCCACATCCTCGTCTTAATTCCCTTGATATTTCAGTCAACTCCCACTCGCAACACATCAAAGCACCAGATCAATCCCTTCACCCTTCGTGGTGATCATTCATAGCTCCTATTCCTTAAAGGCACCCGTCTGACAATGTCTACGACCACAACCACCGCCCAACATAGCCCAATTACAGGCATAGACCTCACTACCCTCACCCCCAGCCATGACCCGGAATCCCGCTCTTTTTCCTCCTCGGAAATCAACGACCCTTACAACCTTGGCACGCACATCAAATCCGACGCCGACATAGTCCAACTCACATCATCCGTCAACACGGACAAGAAGCCTCGAAAGAGTAACAACGCCACCACCACCCGCAGACGCATCATCCACCACAACTTCACCCGCGGCGGCGCCAGGGACGCAAAACTCCAAGAATTCTACCGCGCCCAAAACACAAAGATTCGCGCCCTCCTCAAGAGCGTCGACGACCACGAGCGCGAGGCTAAAGAAACCCAAGGCGACAACAACCTGAAATACCAAATCGCCGTAAAGGGCAGCCTCGCCGCCAACGTCGTCCTCTCGGCCCTGCAGCTCTACGCCGCAATCACCTCGGGCTCCCTCTCCCTCTTCACCACCATGGCCGACTCCGTCTTTGACCCCGTCTCGGGCATCCTCCTGCTCCTCTCCCACCGCGCCGTCAAGAAAGTCGACACGCAAAAGTACCCCTCTGGCAAGTCCCGCATCGCCACCGCCGGCAACATTGTCTTCTCCTTCGTCATGGCCTCCGTCTCGCTGGTCCTCATCGTCATGTCGGCCCGGGACCTGGCCGCCGGCTCCGACGAGGAGACGAACGCGTTCCACTTTGCCTCGGTCATTGCCGTTGCCATTGCCTTTGGGACCAAATTCTGCCTGTGGCTGTACTGCTGGTCCATCAAGGACATTTACTCCCAGGTCGAGATCCTCTGGCGCGACCACCGCAACGATCTCTTCATCAACGGGTTTGGCATCTTGACCTTTTCCGCGGGGAGCAAGATCAAGTGGTGGATCGATCCCATGGGCGCCATCCTCTTGTCGTTTCTGATTGCTGGGTTGTGGTTGCGGACCGCGTATGAGGAGTTCCAGCTGTTGATTGGCGTGTCCGCTGAGCCAGAGTTCTTGCAGCTCATCACTTACATCGGTAAGTCCCCCCGCCCCCTACTCCTTTGTCAAAAACGAAAAAAAAAGGGTCTGATGGAATCTTGTGTAAAGCCATGACCCATTCTCCCGAGGTCAAGCAGATTGACACCGTTCGCGCTTACCACAGCGGACCCCGCTACATTGTCGAGATTGACATCGTCATGGACCGCCATGAGAGACTGGAGATTGCGCACGATGTGGCCGAGGCTCTTCAGATCAAGATTGAGAAGCTGCCCGGCGTCGAAAGAGCTTTTGTTCACGTTGACTATGAGACTAGCCATAAGCCTGTAAGTCTTTCGTCTGCTACCTAGTACATGATTGAAGAAGCCATCGTGTTTCTCTAGTGTTTTTTACTGACGCTGGAAATGAAAGGAACACGACTTGAAGAAGGACCTCTGATAGCTCGACCCCCAGTACTTTGATCGCCTTGTGAATGACTGTACAATACCGATAAAAGCCAAGGATACCCTAGATCAAATCCTTCGTACATACCGAATATACACAAGATTTTGGCATGATAAATTCACCTGCATCCAGAGACTCACATCTCTCCTTGCATGAGAGAGATTCAGGGACAGGCTCCAAGACCTTGTGTATGTATATGATGAGTATATCAGAGAGTGCTCACATGGAAGGTTCCAGCCTTGCAACTCTTGACGTCAGGTATCCCATGACTTTAGTGGCAGCAAACGCTAATCGAAGCTGATAGGAAGGTGCATTAGCCTTGGACATCTTGCATGTTGGCATATACAAGAAAAGCGGCGTCTTGCTTATTTTAAGTGCAGTGACTGAGCTAGAACACAGGAGGCAAGTAAGCTGACCTAAGATGACCTGAGATGGCCCGTCGAGTGACCCTGAAGAATGCTCTTTCACGTTGTGTGATTGGATGCAGCGGCCGTTCGGTTCAGTAGCCTCATACCTATACCAGGTCAGCCGCAATCTGGTAGCTCGTAACTGGAAACCCTTGCTTATAATCACCCCACCATCTGCTGCGAAGAACTACCTGGAGGTATTTAGCGCTGCCTCAAGCTGTAACGTCGGATTAGGCTGCAGGATTACTCGCCATAATTACTGCTTAGTTTCCCCGCCCACGCACAGCTCATGTGTCCGCCTGGCCGCAAACCAATTATATAGACATCAGCAACCAAGATTCCTTCTTCTCATTGTCATATTGAAGTAACGAGTTGACTCACACCAGAATCAGCCATCGCGTCAACTCGTTGGAGAGATACCCAGATACTGCTGGCCTTGAGCTATTTGGTACAACAGATTTCTACCATCACCGCCAGTTCATTACTCCGATCTCTTGCTTTCATTAGGAACACGTGGCACGATGAGGGACCAGGAGCCATCAGACTCACCGGGCAAGAAATTGGCGGCCAGTAGAGAAGGATCCATGGATGAGATCTGGGCATCCGCAGCCGAGCATTTTGAGAAGATATGCGGCGAGTCCCTGAAGAAAGGCGAAGTGAAGAGTTTCGAAGATGTACAGAGACAAATCGAGAACAGCGGCAAAGCGGCTGCCAATACCAGTCAAAGCCCAGAAGACAGCTGGGACACGGCGAAAAGCGTCGGTTTGAGTTCTCTCAAGTACCTCAAGATGTTGGTGGGAGCTGCTTCACAGGCCTCTTCATTTGTGAGTCTGTCTGAATCTTGTTGTTGGCACAATGCGAGTTGTAGTTCGCTGACACCCACAGATTCCCATCCCGGCTGTTGCTAGCAACATCACAGCCAGTGCGCTGTCTTTTGTCTTCGACATCCCTCAAGCCATCAAAGGATATAACGATGCAGTGGATCAAGTCTTCAGTGAAGTTTCGTCGGCGCTGTCTCAGTTCCAGATCTATCAAGCGATGGAAAACGTCGACCGACTTCTCATTAACCAGATCAATCTGGTTCTTCTACGCTTCGTTGAGGTTTGCGCTCATGTAATCAAACACCGCCAAGGTCGCAGGCGAGACCGCGTCTTCCAACGAGTTAAGTCCATCTTTGACAGCGACACAGACTTGGCCGGTGCTATGGCGAGTTTCAAAGGGGCACTGCAAGGGCAACGCGATGTGGAAGGGACTGTCACCCTTGCCGTGGTGGTGGAAACGCAAAAGGCGGCGCAGGAAACGCACAAGGGCGTCCAATCCCTGACGGACGACGCAGACCGCACAAAGACGCTGACCAAGATTCGCGACAATTTGGGCGTTCAATCGACGGTCCGGCTCGACACCAACACCACCCAGACAGTGACTACCATATCGGACAAGTGTTTCAACGGCACGGGTTCATGGATCTGGACGCACGATGCATACGTCCACTGGACAGCATCCAACGAGAAGGATGTCTTGGTTGTGTCTGGCCCCGAATCATCCGGCAAGACATCAGTCACCGCCCTCATCACCAAACGCCTCGAGGAGCAAAAGGGGCGCACCTACGTTGCCCACTATTTCTTTCCCCCCAGCACCAAGAAATCCGAGAGCGACAAGAATCCTGTCCAGACGGCGCTAAAGTATATGGCTTTCCAGATCGCCCGTGTCGATGTCACGGTGCAAAAGGCCCTGAGCAAGGCATGTGACGCCGGGCCTGCCGCATTCCGTCGCTCATCAAGCACTGAAAACTTGGAGAAGCTATGGTCAGACCTCAAGATTGGGGCACCCGGGTCGGGAGCCACGTACTATCTTGTGTTTGACGGGCTTGAGAATCTGCACCAAGATCAACTAAAGATGCTCCTCGAGTTTGTCTTTGGTTCTCGGTCGAGAGAAAAGCCGAACCGGCGAGTCCGCATCTTGGTGAGCGGTACGGATGAAAAGCTAAAGACTGCTTATCAGCCGAACTTTGATGCGGCGCTCAAAATTCATATGGAGAAGGAGAACGAGCAGGATATGCGGATTGTCATCCTCGAGTCCTTGAACAAGCAAGGTGTGCTCCCTAATGCCGGGACCAATTCGGAGCAGCGGAAGGCAAAGGAAAAGATTCTTGAAAAACTTCCGCAGAACGTTAATGGAAGGTACTCAACTTTCCAACCTCAGCTAGACGGAGTGATACGTCTTTTGAGCACACGTATGGCCACGGTACAAGAGTTGGACCGCATGCTTGATCAGTCAATGAGCAGTTTCGAAGCGGCAATCAACGATCTACAGCGGTCCCTGACGGCTGATGAAATCTCGGAGCTGAATGAAATGCTTAAATGGGCCTTGTTTAGCCACGAGTATCTTTCTTTGGAAAAACTCGAGTCCGCCATGGTAAGCAATCCTGTTCAAACTCGTCGCTACGAATGAGCTGACACGGAGCAAAGAGGCTGTATTCGGGCATAGAATCTCTCACGTCCCTCGAATATGTGATCAAGAATAAATACTCAGCTGTGTTGATGATCGAGGATGGTACCGTCTATCCTCAAGACGGCGTTGTGGACTATCTTCGGACAAAGAGGGAACTTTCCAATCGCTCGTCGAACTTGAAAGACCGTCCTACCATAAGCATGACCATCACTATCAACAATGTTGATCAGGAGCTTTGTGGGCACTTTCTCTGGGATCTTGCAGACATGGCGATCCGGGACAAGTTCAAATTCGATTTCAACAACAACGCCTCTAGTGCCTTGCACAGCAGCAGCCAGCGTGTCATCTCAGTGGACGAGTTTGAAGCCAATCAAACCATTTTGACGCGAGCATTTGACTACTTGAAAAGCGAGCCCAAAGAACAGACAAAAGAGATTGGAGAGTATCTCATCTGCTGGCTTCCCTATCACCTGAGCCAGCTTCGACAACTCGAGGACGAAGACAAGGGGGCGTTGACGTCGCATGAACAGGCTGAGATTGGAAATAACTTGTACACCTTGTTCAAAGACGATGCGGTCCTCAGACGGCATCGAGCATCTTTCGAAGAGCTCTATTGGTGGTCAGACGAGATGATGGACGTTCAGAAGTGGTTGACCGACTCAGCCATCGTACGAAGGCTTGACAAATCGTGGCGCTCCAAGATGGAGCGGGCGCGTTATCCCACTAGGGGATATCTGAAAGAGCTCGTAAATATGGTGGTGCGAGGATTCCTGAGAGATAGGAGCTGGAGTGTCCCAAGTGCTTGTCGGTGGCTGAAGGAGTTTATGGCTGCGGTAAGTTTTTATTTTGAAAATGAGAAGCATTGCCAACAGGACATTTTGTATACTGACACCCTTTCTACAATAGGATAAGGACAAAGTTGAGAAGCTTCCGGGCGTGTCGAAACCTGGCGATGGTGACGTGAACCCAGATGATGGCTCGTCGCCTTCATCATCATCTGCTGGCTCCAGCGACGAGATAGACTGGGATATCGCGAGCAAATGGTGCCAAGACGTTCTCGGCTTGTCAGATGCAGAACTCGATTCACTTTGGTATGAAAGACTTGCCGAGGCATCCTCCTGGGTGGGGAACGATCCCGATCAAGCGATATCGCTCTACCAGAGAGCCATTCAGCTCGAAAACCCAAGCTGGCGATGTTACCACGGCTTGGGTGTGACTTACTACAATCGGGACCAGTCAGATCGGGCGATTGAACAGGTAGAGCTTGCCCTCAAGGAGGCAGAATCGGAGAAGACGATGCCCAAGCCGGGTCCCCAGGAAATTGTCGAGTTGCACTTGTTGTTGGGCAAGTACAATTATGAGGCAGGGAATATGCCCACAGCGGCACAGCATTACTCGTTGGCGTGTCAAAGCGACGATACCGAGCAATCGATCACAGGACAATTGGGACTTTTGAAGGCGAATTTGATGTCTCCAGATGCCAAAGCAGCAACGCAATTGCTGAAGACTATGCTTGCTCAAGAAGGCGGGGAGAGCAGGATGAACGACATTCTGAAGAAGATAGCACGGGACTCTGAACACGACACTCTGGCTTCAAACTTGTTCAAAAACACCAGAGAAGATCCGGTACTGCTAGAGAAGATGGTCCGCGCAATGTACTCAGCCACGCAGAAGTCGAATCCGCTAGATGAACGCAACACCGAGCCCTTTGATTTGGATGCGCAATATGCCGAGGAAGAAGCCCGCGGTGTGCTGCTCTACGACCTTGGCCTCGCCGCCTACAAGTATGGAATCTCGCTCGACGGAAAGGATCACGTCGGCGAAGCCCTGCGGCTTTGGGCCGAGAGCCGAGACCAACTAGCGAATGTCGGCGGCCGCAACGCCTACGTTGCGCGAACAAACGCCTCCTCAGCTCTCGCGAACCACTACTTCTCGAGCCAAGGGCAGGGAAAAGACGAGGAGAACCTCGAAGCGCTCACAAAACTTGTCAACGATGACTCGAATACGTATGACGACTCTCTCGCGGGACTCCTGGCAGTTCTGCACGCGTCACGCGGGGAGAACCAGAAAGCTAAAGCGGTACTCAAATCACGGGCCAGCCAGGCTCTGCAAATACTCTCTGACGAAATGCCCGAGAATGACCGCTATGGCTTCTACATTCTCCAGCAAGTGATGAAGAGCTATCGAGACTTCAAGGGTGCCTTTATCGCCCTGTCTTTGCGCGGCCACCCAGATATCGTGACGGACGGGATGAAGTTTGCAGCCGGTGACGTTACGGAGGATGGAGTGGTGGACAAGGAAAAGGTTTTAGAGATTCTCACGGCGCTGGCCAAGGAGACAGTTCAGCTCGCCAGGACCAACGTGCCAGACAGCGCATCACAACTCAAACGCATCCAAGTCGCCAAAGAACACGTAGACTCCCTTGTCCTCGCAAGTCAAGCCAATTCCACCCCTGAAGCCAATCCCAGCGATGAAGACAAGGCGGCAATTTCGAACGGCTCTGAATCTGCGACTAGCGTTGCCCATCGCCTCCTCCAGTCACGCATATCGGAACTATCCAATCTACACACCCCCAGCATCAACTTTTCGAGCAGCTATGCCTGCGATGGCCGTACCCCAGATGGCAAGAGGTGCGAGAACGAAGGGGATTTTGACCACGACTTTTACCATTGCGTCTACTGTTGGGACCGGGACTTTTGCCCCGACTGCCTGCCGCGGCTCCGTGATCCCACTTCCGACCTGATTACCGTCTGCAGCGCAAACCATCAGTGGATGCAGAGTCCGCGACAGGGAGATGAATTTTATGCAGGGCCGAGCGCGAAGAGTGTCCGGGTGCCAGTGAGTGTAGAACCAGTCAATGGCGACGCGAATATTTTACGTGCCTGTTATGCTGAGCACGGCGGGGAGGAGGTCTTGGTCGAGGATTGGAAGGCGAGCTTGGCAAGAGAGTGGGAAATTCCACTGGATGAGATTAAGGGCAGCGTGGCTGGGTTGGATACGCCTGAGAGATACGCCTGAGAATGAGGGAAATACCAAGTCGTGAAGGAAAGGAGCACGACCTATGTGCGAGTTCTTGTTCATGAACATTTTAGTGCCTACATGTACATAGGTTGGCGGTTTACGGCAGCTATCAGTCAAAAGACTCCTCAGCATCTTCAGAATTTTGTGAGGCGACACCGCGGGTCAGAATGATGAGGCAACAGATAAAGAGTCCGCCAGAGCTGTCTCACTCTTTGAATGATTTCTCGTACATTGAGTGCGAGGCTCGATCGATGTGAGCCGTTGACCCATTGTTCTAGAAGGTAACATGAGGATGAGGGTAAGATTTATAACATGCACATGGTTCTCATGGCAACTAGTCGACTTTCTCAAGCTATAATTGTAACGATCATTTCGCTTGTTACACTTTAGGCCTAGCGACTTCTCCTCAATGGAAAGCGAGAGAATTTTCCCTTGAGGTAGGAAACTTCTTACTCGCCCCAGCCAACACCGTAACCGGTCCTATGCTGCAAAAACGGGCAAGACGTACAAAACGGACATCCACAGGCACCAAAGCTTCGCAACAATATCGTCAGATTTCTCGTCTCTCCTCGCGACCGTCAGCCCGGCCATCAAGACTCCTACTCCGAGAGGAGCCGCCCAGACCGCCGGCTGGAGCTTCCAGAACAAGGGACACGCAGTAGACCACAGCATGACCATCACGGCCAACCCACCGCGAGCGACGCCCTCCCCGTAGAGCAGTGGAATCGTCTTCCGACCCCTAGCTCTATCTCCCTCCATATCGGGGAAGTCCAACGCTTGTACCGTGGTGGCAATGACAGCGCCCGTCACCCCAATCCATGCCCATGCCTTCGGCAGGAGATCTCCGCCTGAGAAGACTTCCAACGCCCCGGCGCTGAAGCACATGATGCCGCCAGTATTGATCGCGTTACGAGCCCAGATGTTGATGCTGCTGCCGTCGAGATCGTTATACATCCACAGGAGCGTCATCATAGATATTGTCGGTCTGAATCCGCCGAGTACTGCGCTTACTCCCGCCACCAGAGGTATCATGCCCAGGAGAAGGCGTTGGGCTTGCTTGGGCGTCAACCGCTTCGCAGCAAGCGGCCGCCACGGTTTATTATGCTCGTCTTCAAGAATAGAGTCTGCAAGCCGCTGGTTCGAGATTCCACAGACGATGAGGTTGAGCCATATCCACAGAATGGCCAGAGGTAGCCTTTGCAGTGTTGTGGATCTTGGTTCGTCGAATGATGTCGTGAGTGATTCGCGACTCAGCAGAGCTGCTGTGATGAAGATGATTTGAGGTGCTAGTACGGTCTTGATGTCGCTTCTCGTAAACAAGTAGAGCGTCTTTAGATGAAAGGATGCGCTATGTGCCTGGGAAGGATCAATACGATGCTTACGGCGACTTTGCGCTACGTCCAAGCGGAGAGGTGCTCTCACCAAATTCCAACGCTTGGTTGCATATCTGTACATGTAAAGTTCAGGTGCGGGAGCAACCGGAGGCTTTTCGACCAAGGCGCTCTTCTCGACGACTGTCATGGTGCCTTTCGTGCTACAAAGATCATCTACCAAACCAAAATGTTGATAAGGGTTCGATCTGTCCCTAGCTAACCGCTGCTGCCAACTGGACGGCGGGAATGGACCTACTTATTGAATCAGTCGCCTGCCCATGGGCGTGGGGAAGTCCGCGCAGAAGACTGGGAGTCGGCCTCGGCTTCAAAGCCCAAAATTGTTCAATGTGACGCCATCGTCTGATAATTGCAGTTTCTGTGTGCCTCGCAATATTGGGAACTAGATCCCGGCAAGAGACGATTGGAGAGTTTGCGAAAGGGGGCCGAGTTACCCGAAATTACGGGACGCCTTTCAAAAGAGGAAACCACTGGGAGACATTTGCCACGGGAAGTTCTTTTAAACTCAGTCGAATCCTGGTACAAGATTTCGGGAAGCTGAACTCTAGTGTACCCTGTCGCTTAGACGAAGGCCGGACTAGCAAACGTAGCAAGTCTCGGCCTGGCCGCAGCACATCCCTCTTGAGTTAAATCGGGCCATGTTACGTATTTCGAACAGCTCGTTAACCTAAATTGTGGAGAGCTGAAAACTCCGCGGCCTCCCATGAGATGACGTGTATGTTGTGGTGAAAAGCTTCAGCTCCCAATTTCCACGCCACTGTCTTGTTTGGTCTAGCCCTGCGCACTATAATCCTCAACACCTCTTATCTGCGAGCTAAAGGGCTCCTCTTTGTTATCGAAAAATATTATTGAGTGCATATTGAGCCATATCCCTTCTCACCGCCCTCAATCCCATCGCGTGCAGCTGAAGTCTTGCTTTGTGATCAATTGCCAGAACTTCCGAAGCACAAAAGATGGAGTTCATGGAATCATATCAAAATTGAATACCTCCCTGCTGACCCTGTTGGCAACAGCCGGTCGCATTTTGGCTGCGGCAGTGTCATCGGACAGGAATACAAGACATGACCCCTCGAGTTGTCATCTTCCAGAAGTTTTTATGCAAGTTGCATATCGCCCTCTAGCATTATTTATCGGCAAGACTACTCACAATCCGAAGCAACGTGGCAATGACAATAAACCGTTGGCATACCCCATGCAAAGCTCACGCAATGCAAAAGCCAGGAAAAGCTTACAGTCTCCTGCTGTCATGGTGTAAGACGAGATAGACCAAGCCGTCTGGATGGTCGTTAGATTTGTCCAAGCTTTCCATTTGAATCAGAGTCCGATGACGAGGCTTAGCACCAATGGTAGGAGAATGAAAACCGTGAACCTCGGACCAGACCAGCCCAGCTCAAGCTCAATCGAATATTTTCCCTTGAGTACGTCATAAGATTTGTTATTGAGTTTCTGGTGGATCCAGTTCGCCCAGGCAAGCGCGACATGGTCAGGGACGCGCCATTGTTCGTATGTATGCAGAAGCAATTGCAAGTCTGCAACGCCCTTGCTGTCTAGACTGACACGTGTATAAGTCCCGTCCTCAGCATTTCACAATGGATGCTCATCGTTGCCAATCAACATTGTTTGAAAATGAAAAAGATTTATTTTACTGCTACCCAGACATTACTAATATTATCCAGAGTCATAATTCGTCCATCGTATAATTCCTCCACAAAGTTGTCTACCCATTAGCTAAAGAATTACGCCTTCACCGGAGTGATCTTGGTGGACGACTTCAAGTTTCTGCTGCTCCAACCGAGGCTGAGGGTGAACTCGCCCTCGGGGATGCGCCACTCCTGTGAGACAACGTCCCAGTAGCTGAGGTCGCGACGCATCAGCTCAAAGCCAATCTTCTTGGTCTCGCCGACGGCCAGGGGCACCTTTTCGAAACCGCGGAGCTGCTTGAGAGGGGTGCCAACGGGGGTGGACTCGGGGAAGCTGACGTAGAGCTGGGGAACGGCGGCACCCTCGACGTCGCCGGTGTTGGTGATGGAGACGGTGGCGTTGTAGATGGTCTCCCAGAGGGCGGGGTTTCCGCCGGGCTCGATGGGGCGCTGCTCGGGGGCGGCGGTGATGTTGTCGTCGACGGGGCTGGCCTCGAAGTCGGCGAGCGCAAAGGTGGTGTAGCTGAGACCGAAGCCGAACTCGTAGCGGACCGGGATGTTGTGAGCGTCGAAGTAGCGGTAGTCGACCTCGAGCTTCTCGTCGAACCAGCTCTGCCAGTCGTACCAGCCGGTGGTGTTGATGGCGGTCGTGGGCGGGGCGTTGTAGTCGGTGCCGTTCAGGGCGATGGTGTAGGGGAGTCGGGCGGAGGGGTTGACGTCGCCGTAGAGGACATCGACGAGGGAGTTGCCGGACTCCTGGCCGGGGAAGTGGGCGGCGAGGATGGCCGTGACGTTGGGGTGGTCAGCCCAGGGAAGGTCGTTGATGCCGGAGGAGTGGGTGACAACGATGGTGTTGTTGCAGTGCCTGGCGACGTTCTCGACGACGTCGTCGCCGTTCCAGTCGACGCTGAGGTGCTGGCGGTCGGCGGCCTCCTCGGCCCAGGTCTTCAGGAAGACGAGGCAGACCTCAGGGGCCTTGGCGACCCAGAGATCGGTGATGTTGGACTCGATGATGAGGGTGTTGTTAAGCCACTGCTGGACGAGAGCACCATTCTTGGAGGCACGAGCCTTGATAGCCTCCAAGGGAGTGACAAGGTAGGTGAGGCGGCCAGTGCCGGAGCCACCACCAACAACAAGATTTCCGTACTCAAAGTCGTCTTGGTTATAGAAGCCCTGGGTATCCTCGCCGGCATCGTTTCCGAAGACGGCGATGGACTTGGGGGCCTTAAGAGGAAGGGCCTTGTTCTCGTTCTTGAGGAGGACGGTGGCGGCGGCGCCGTGCTTGCGGATCAGCTCGCCGTGGTTCTCGCGAACATCGCGGCTGCTCTCGCCGGTCAAGTTGAACTGGCGGACCCAGGTGGACCTAGGAGAGAAGGTGTTGAGGTCGCCGGTGGAGGGGTCGACGGTGGGGTAGTCCTTGTCCTGGTTGAGCCAGTAGTAAGGGGTCATGATGCGGACGATCATATCATCGACACGGGCGACGTTGAGGGTGCCGTTGTTGACTGCGGTGGTGACGTTGCCGCCGAAGAAAGATCCAGAAGGCCAATCCATGCCGTATGTGCCAAGTCCACCTGGCATGTCCATATCAAGACCGGCCTCAATGGCAGCAACACCGGTGTGGGTCGCTCCCCAGTCGGACATAACATAACCGTCAAATCCGAGCTCCGTCTTCAAAAGACCGTTCAGAGACTTGGAGTTCTGGCAACCGTATGAACCGTTGATACGCTGGTAGGAGCACATGAAGGAAGCAGCCTTAGCCTTGACAGCGTTAGCAAAGGGCCAGATGTAGAGCTCGTGAGCGGTTCTGTCGTCGACGTTTGAGGAGATAGCCTGCTGAGCGATGTCCGTGGAAGTGCCGTTGGGATCAAAGGTCGGGTTGCGCATAGTTTCCTGCTCGTTGAAGATCCAGTGCTTAGCAGTAGCCTGGACACCGGCATCCTGGTGACCGGTGATGGTCTCCTCCATAGCGACACCAGTCAGATACGGATCGGGACTGAAGCCCTCCCAGTTTCTGCCGGAATAGGCACTGCGGCCGAGGGGGCCAGCGACAGGGCTTTGAGAAGAGGTCAGCAAATCTTTGGCAACAACGGAAAGAGAGCCACGAACCTGAGGGCAACGTGGGCACCCTTGGCCTTGAACTCCTTGCCCATGGCAAGACCTCGCTCGTAGAGGATATCTCTGTCCCAGGTGGCTGCAGCAGAGACACCGGCGGAGAAGACACTGGCGTAGTCGGCGACACGGATGGACAGGGGACCATCCTGGAGGCAGAGACCCTGGAAACCAAGACGAGGGATGGCGACGATGTTTCCGACGCAAGGACCGGGTTGACCGGTGACCATGTCGGCCTTCTCCTCGACTGTCAGTTGAGAAACGAAAGCCCTTGCCTTGGCGAGGGCATCCTCCCAACCGGTACCAGTGGTGTTGGCTTCACACTGAGTTAGGTTCTCTGAATCCAAAGTCATTCATATTTGTCAAGAAACTCACGAGAAGGATATACTGGCTCAGAGTCTCCGTAAGGACCGAGGATGGTTGTGTTTAATGGCTGAACCCAGCTGAAGGCATCTTCAGATCGGCTGCCAGTGTCATACGCCTGGGCGTTGACTGAGGGTGCCAACAGAAGGCCGGAGAGGAAGAGGGATAGAGCTGCGGACATTGTGAGATCCTTGAGCTGTTGACTGGCGCTTGTGTTGATCTCAAGTCTCTTCGATTGGGGGTTACATGCCGTCCTTTATATGCTACCTGTTCATCGTCGGCAGCAACGTCAGTCCACCATACCCTCGCACGCACATTCTGCTCGCCGATGACCTGGATAGCCCCCTCCCGCAACGTCCGCGCGGGTAACAGAAAAGTCGGGGAAAACCTGACCATGATCGCGCCTTCATTGGTAATGCACATCGTCATGGTCCGGAAGTCGGCCCCGCACCGGTTGACACTCGAAAAACCGTACCAAAGGCGCAAAGGTGGGATATTGGGCAGGGTAATCAGCCGTAGATTTTCCAGCGACCCAACGGCTAGGCCTAGAAGGTTGGTCCAGCTCAACCGACGGCGAGGTCCGGGCAAGGCTCTGCCATAGACGTGGGGGAGAGGCGGAGTCTTGCCAAGTCCCCCGTCCGATTCCAAGTGACCATACATCGTCATATGGCTTGTGGGGTGTAATTCACATAAACGGCGGGCATGACTAGTCATAGAATCGCCGGAACAGCTGTTTAGCAGGAAGATCGAGTCATTGGGCCTCTAGAAGCATCGACACGCTCGACAGCTCAGCTCTCTTCACCGCCCGGCTTCCAGAACTACACAGCGACAACTCCGCACCAGGCCGACTGCTGAACACCAACAGGGGCGCCATCGACAAGCGGAATGAGACGAATCGTGTAAACACATGGCGCACCTGACTGTCGGTGTTTCCGCCGTGGCATCAGAGTTAAGTTCCGGAGAACTGCCGCTGTGGGCGGGACAACAATGACAAGGAACACGAGCCAATATGTGGGGGATGCGGATCGGGTGACAGCTGGAAAACCTGGAGACTCCAAGCTTTTGTTTTGTGAGCGAACCCCGGTCCGGACGCAACCCAGAGCTTGCCTACGGTACCAGCTTTTCAGAGGCAGAAAAACCGCCCCCGGCCTGATCCCAGCCACCCCCGCCCCCGCTGTCAAGGTGAGTGGACACTGGGACAGACGAGTTTGTGTGGAGGTCCGACATTGCGCCGACACTAGAGGGCCAGAGACGCAGGTTTTTTCCTCTCAAATTTCTTCGTGATGGCGGTTGGAGTAGCTCTTTAGGGGAAGCTCCTCACGATTTCTCATGGTTGAGGGAACACGGGGGGCCAAGGCCGTGGAACCGGTCGCCCCAAATCGGAGAGAAACCATACTTCTTGACTCTTGTCCCCAGTTTCCCCGCACACCTAATCGGCCCTGTTCTTCGTCCTCGGGTCATGATTTACGCTGAAGACTGAACCTCGTGGCCCGCGGAACATGTCATAGCGAACTCGAGAAGCCTGCCGCCGGATAAAGAAATGACGGCCTTTGAGCAGCTTGATCGGCCGATTAGCGCGAGGTCCGGTCTTCTCGCCAAGAGCCCGCCATGATCCATGGGAGAGAAGCCGCTCAACACGCCGAAGACGGGAAAAAAATTTTGCGTACCAGACTACCGACTCCCAGAGTCCTGGTATGAGAGGTCTCGTGAGCGGCTTCTACGTCATGATAATTCCACACCCGGGAGAATGCCGGCATTCGGATAGTGTATTACTATATACAGCAATTTGTGGGATATCCAGGCCCCATCAAATCACCGTGCCACTTTCCCACTCCTCCCAAGCAGACCACACCCATGGGGAAAGAGTTGAGTTTTGTGGAGTTGACATGCAAGTATTGGAGAACTGGACCTCTACCGCCTCTCAGGGTTTGTCAACCCTCAGCTTGGCTGCCATGCGGGGACCTTGACTTTTGTTTGCCTGTCAGGCAGTTTCCCACTTTTCTTTTTGCTCGTGAGCGTCCTTCGGAATCCGATGCTGTCCCCATGATGGAATTGTGGGTTGGGAGGTTTGTTTTCCGAGCTGGGGTCAAAGTGCGAAGTGCACAAGCGTCGATCTATTCGGCCCTTTTCAACACACGTTGGAAATTGGACGCGCAGCTTTTTAACCATAACCTCATGTTACGGGGTCGAGGTCACATCATCCCACGGTAGAGACTGCCTTGGGGTTGGAGTTGAGCTCTGTTGACAGTGATTTATTCCATAGCCGAGGTCAACCTCGGTTGAAGGCCGTGCTGTTTCCGCGTTCCGAGATCGTGAGTGCAATGTGGGGAGTCAACGGCGAATCGCCCGTTGCTTACGCTACTGAATCAAGAGTCATTGTTTTTCTCTCGTTATTTCAGGCTCCCACTTTTCTGTCTCGTGAGGTGTAAAATTTTTCCAGTCGGACTGATTCGATACGATTACAAGGTTCTGAGTTCAGAGGGAAATGAACTTACTTTGGGTCGCTAATCACGCTATAGTCAAAGCATTCTACATTCACAACAACACTCTACATCTCAGCGGATTAAACCCCTATTTTGCCGTGAGGATGACAGGAAGCCTTCTTTCGTGGTCTCCGGCAAAATTTGGGCGACAAATTTGAGGATTCTGAAGAGGTGCATCTATGACTAGAGGTAGGGAGCGGTGTCTCATGCGTTACTTCCAATAACTCTACGACCGGTCTTCAATTAGAGACCTATTCGTGTCATACAAAACTGGCATGTAGTTGTATGTAGTGTGATAGCAGACATGAGTGCCCCGCTGAGGCTCACTTTGTTCTTGGCTGAATGGTGTCATGTGGCATCTGCGAGATCATTGAATCGGATCACTTGAACGCTGCCTACAGACTACCATTGGCGTCGATCGTTTGCGGCTCTACTCAGGACGGCCGTCATAGTCCCATTTTATTCCTTCTTAGGTAAGGCCATAGTCGCATGAGCAGAAGCGCGAATGAGGAGGTTTTGTTCCAACCTCGTAAACACCCACGGTCTGATCGACAGATGTGAGCTTGATGAGTCGGACCTACTCTCGTCACAAGTGGGAACCCTGAAGTTGGCTATCACCATGATTTGCTTAGGAACGGAAGCTTGTGAGGACTTTCCGTTCAGAAATTACCAACCAGGCTGGGGTAAAGAGAAACAAGAACATGCTTACTTTACCTACTCTAGTGGGGAACTATCGTCTGACTAGTGGAGTACAATTTGTTAAAAGGTGGATATACTTCGAAAGTTCCTTAAATGGAATGGTCACAAACTTTACCTTTCTTCATAATAAAGTTAGCTTTCATACTTATATGTAAGCTTTAGTACATGTATTGAAAGCTTCCACTGGGGACATGTGAACTTGGTCCATTGTGCTGGAAAAGGATAGCCAGATTTCCTAGAGCTCCAAGGAGTGTTGAAATGCCGCAAGTACCTTATGCAACCTCTGTTCAAAGAAAACTGTTAACATCACAACTATATTTCGAATCATTGTTTGACATTATGAAACTCAATGCGAATTTTGTCATCTTATGTCTGATGGAAAGGCCAGGCCTGTATACACGGGCGGAAAGCGGCAGCCAGGACGACTGCCCAAGTTGGGTCGTACACCCTACCTTTCGGGACTCACTACTTACATTTACTGAGATACTTACTTATGTAAACGCTGATTGATTCTTGCTTGGCTGCAGTTGAGTAGTTTGTGGGTATGACCCAGATGTCAGGTTGGCACAAGCCAATCACTGTGATATTATCGCCATAATTTTCACCTTTTTTTTCTGAATTTCCGAACACGTTATGAATTAGGTCACCTACTTGATGCAACTACTGTTAGTCCTGTTCATTGTCCTGCATATTTCCGGCGGCGAGCAGGTTGTAGACTGCTCTTTCGTAGCTGAAATTGAGCTATCCGACATTTACTAGGTTATATCGATCAAGAACCAACAGTTCAGTTCAAATCAATGATCGCGGCCTCCTATCTACCTTTCACTCGACCGACTGCTGCATCCCTAAGTAGTTTGTGATCAAAGTTGCATATAATTCATTTTGACTCAAGTTTCATTCAAGACCAGCCTCATCGTGGTTGGACATTGTTATCTAAAAGAATGCTGGTAATTTGCGTTGTTGATTTAGTGTATTGAACCGAACGGATAAATAATTTCCAGCGTATTGCGTACCATGATTCGGGGCGAAGCTGCCGCTCATGCATAAACCGCACAGGACTTTGCTATTGCTTTGAAGCGCTCAAGCCAAGGAATCCTTGGCCTCCTGGATTATGACGTCGCTGGCTTTCTCGGACACCACGTACAAAGGCAAGGCAATGTCAATCACCGGGATCTTGGGGGAGACACTTGCATCAATCACCCAGAGGCCCTGGATACCGCGAACTTGGAAGTTCGTGTCGAGAACAGCCATGATATCATCGTCAAAACCGATGGGACAAGTGCACGAAGCGTGGTGTCCGTCTTACCGATCATGGTTGCTTCGTGCCGGTCCTGCATGTTGGCGCCAACACGTGGGAAGCCAACAACAACGGGGATCTTGAACGAGTCAAGCTCAGCTTTTAGTCTTAAATCATCGAGCTTCAGAAGCTGAGTTGCGTTAAAGGAGCCAGTAGAAACGATGACTACAAGGGTGGCATCAACGCTGCCAGAAGCAGTTGAGGAAGCCGATCCCGAGTGGGGTCGTCAAGGGAAAGGCTGGAGCCTTCAAAAGTCAACACCAACCAACTGCGCGCGAATTGTCACCGCTCTTATCAAATCGAATCTTGATAACCTAAAATTTTTCAGTAAGAGAAATGCTACGCCAAAGTCAAGCAAAGTATGGACAGAGAAACCTAAGAGAGTGTCGAGCTTGATATCAAGTTGATACTTGCGCGATCTATCAGCGTTGACCGCGTTGGCAATATCCCATATCAAGTCTCCCGGGCCCCTACGGATGCAATCAGTCATCGAAAGCGGAACATGGTATATTCCAGTCTTGCTCGTCTGACCAGGGGCGTTGAGCTCAAGAGGCAGCACTTGGCCAAGGCCAGTGACTGAGCTGAGCGCCAGTCCGAGAAGGCTTTTTCCCATGGCAGTAGCAGCAGAAATGATCAAAGATAGAATCTTCTGGTCTTCAGCCGCGAGAAACAGAGATGTGAGACAAGTACATGTTCTCCTCTATCTTTTGGAATTACGAGCATACGTTGTCCAGGTTTCAGGTATCGTCGTCGGTGAGCGTGCCGATGTTGGACCAATCACTGTCGTGAGAGTTGACGTTGATCAGTGCATTGTGGCGGGAACAGCCTCTCAACTTTCAGGCGCGATAGTACCAGACACTGAGAGGGGTTACTTCAGCGGGAGGATCAAGTGCGACGTAGAAGCTGCCGTCAGGTATCTCATTTGTCATCTTCGAGTCCCTCTTCTGTTGGCTGAGGTCCGGGTAGTGGTTGACGTGGTTCGAGTTGGATGAAGCACTTGATAGCAGCTTTATCCCCCGAATGAATCACTAACAAAGTAGTTCCATCTTGTGTTCTCGAACTCAGTGCACATGGAGTGAAGACCCGGGACCTTCTATGTCTAAGAGTCGCTCGAATCTCCTACGACAACAATCAGCAACATCGTGGATCCGGCGATGGCAAGGTTGACCGCAATAGGGCCACCTCCAGGACACGAGCCAACGTCGACATACTCGTAATTGCCAAGAGTGTTGTTAGCGCCATGTCAACCGATGAAGCGGTCATGACGAGGTTGCTGCTTTGCAGTCTTCCATGGGACAGCCCTTGTGAGGAAATCAGCTTCTTAGGACTCTTGGGAAACAACTTGGCGTATGCAGACTTACATGGCAGAGGCCGAGTCAGCCAAAATAGTAACGAGTGTGAAAAGGAGTGAAACGCGCATCTTGAGCGCTTGGTAGACTGCGGTAGACTGCGGTTTGGTCCAGCTGAACTTTGATCCCCTTGCCTGGCTTGCCAAGTATCCCGATTATGGGAGGCAAGTGTATTCAACTCGATCGAAAGTGCCAAGCTTAAAAGAATTTCTTCCGCAGCATCAGTGGTGAAATGAGAAAGCTCAATAGCTTCGCGGGAGTGAACTTGGCTGATCTCACAGGCAGTGTTATAAATCTCACCAAGCTTTTGAAGGGCAACAACCTATTGTGCTCTATCTTTAAGATTTGCATACTGTGTCACCAGAGTCATATTCAATCATTTCCTCCATCATTGAGGCGCCTCTGAGGGTGGTTACCGACAATGTCGGGGCGACTATTCTCAATCTGGCTTGCCCGGACTTCAAAGACATGACTGTGGGCGGAAAGCGGCAACCAACGTACTAGGGTCAAATAACCCAACCCCCCTTTGCCTAGAAATGGCGTTAACATGCAATTATGAGTCAACGACTTATAACTTAGTTCCACTCAAGTTGTACGGGTGTAAGCCGTATGTTGCTGTGGGCATCAGCGCGTAACCTCGAACGACCTAGCAGAATGTAACCGCGGGCAAGTTACAGTGGGGTGCCACAAGTTTGCGTTCAACGCACAGTATCCCACCGAAAATCCCCTAATATAATAGTAAATAAAAACATAACTATAACTCGAATTAAAAAAATAAAAATAAAATTTTTTTTTAGTTAGTATTATATATATTAAGAAGTTTTTAATTATTTTCATTAAATGTTAATAAAGTTATGCAAGATCATAATATGCGTTTTAGTATTGAGTTTTAATATAGTAAGTTATAGCGCACTTTAAGTGCTAATCACATTGTACTACGTAGAGGCGTTTTTGTTTTCTTTATTTTCATTATTTTATATTATTATAACTTATTTAAAATAACTTATTTAAATATATAAAAAATAACTTTAGTATATTTTATAAGCGAATAAATTTTAGAAATTTTTATATTGTTATATTAATACTTAGGTTCTTGAGATAATCAAGCTTATGTAAATAGTAAGTTAGTGGGTTTTGTGTGGCGCACTGCTAGTTGAACGCAGACTTTTGGCACCGTTCTGTAGAACCCCAACTTTAATCCCACAGGCTATGGTGGTTTTTACGAAACTGTCTCTCGACATATCGACAATTGAAGCCGCAAATTTTGGTAGTTTGATCCACGTGTTTGCGCAGCAGTGGCGACCAGCACACCTAATCAGCTGGGTTCTACGCCGGATCCTGATGTTGTTCACTCTAATGGTACGTGTAAACAAGTCCCTGACAGGTGATTTGATCCCACTCAAGTAGGCGCACAGCTCGCATGTTATGTTTGGGAATTGGCTTATTACACACAAGACTAGTCAACAAACTTGGCAATGATCTCACAGACTCTTTGGTTCTCATCATCATTTCATCATTCATCTTCTAATCTACATATTCAAATCACACTTTTTGATATCTTACAACTTTGCATGCTTCTCGTTGACCAGAACGTATCTGTAACGAGCATGACCAGCTTCCATGTCGACAATGGCCTTGTTGGCATCCTTAAGCGGGCGCTTCTGGACCCAGGGCTTGACCTTCTTCTCGACGGCGAGCTCGAGCATCTCCTTGATGTCAGAGGGAGAGCCAATGCCGCTACCACCAACCTTGATACCGCTGGCGAGGAGGGTGAAGGCGTTGATAGGGGGCAGGTTTCCGCCGTCGGGGGCACTGAAGATTGTTAGTCGACAGTCAACGTCAAAGAGACAAGACTGGGTGAGAATTTTCAACTTACCCGACCTGGATGTAGGTGCCGTACACCTTCAACAGTCTCAGGTACTGTTGCAGGGGCATCTTCTCGCTGGAGACGGTGGAGATAATGAGATCGATGCTACGGGCGTTGGTCTTGGACCAATCCTTGTCATCATCGGTCGCAATGTACTCATCAGCTCCCAGCTTGAGAACCTCATCCTTCTTGGTCGCCTTTCTGGAGATACCAACCACCTTGTCGGCGCCCAACGCCTTGGCAAAGAGAACCGCAAAGTGGCCGAGGCCACCAACGCCCACGATACCAACAGTCTTTCCAGGCCCGCAGCCGTTGTTCTTCAATGGGGAGAAGACTGTGATACCACCGCAGAGCATCGGCGCGGCATCTTCGGAGGGGATGCCCTCAGGGATCTTGATGACGAAGTGTCCGTTGGTTCTGTTGTAATCGGCGTAGCCGCCGTAGGCCTTGCCCTCGTCGTCGGGGTAGACGGAGCCGTATGTGCTGACGTTAGAGCGGCCACAGTAGTTCTCGCGACCGATGGAGCACTCGGGGCAGTCGGACTTCATGCAGGAACGGGCCTGGGCACCGACACCGACACGATCGCCGAGGGTTATGTGCTTTACGTTCTTGCCGACGCGGACGGCCTTGCCGACAATCTCATGTCCGACACAGCAAGCTGAAGCGCACACGAGGTTAGCAAACACGGCACTTGTCCACCAAAAGAACCCGACAATTTTGGAGTCGAGGTGGGGTAAGTGGGAGAAGCGCAGAAACTCACGATAAGGTGTCTCAGCCCAGCCCGAGCGGAGCATATGTAGGTCAGAACCGCAGATGCCGCAGTGGGAGATCTCAATGTCGACGTCGTCCTCAGTCCACTTCTTGGGCTCGAACGCGCCCCATTCCATCTTTCCGTTGACGCTGTCGGGGGTGTGACCCAGCCATCCTTCGAACTTGATATCAGACATGATAGTTGTGGTATGATAATCTGACGCGTGTGATTGATCTGCTATTATCGGAATCGGTGATCGTATTCCAAAGCTTGTAGAGCACGTAACAATAAGATCGGGCCCAGGGTGAGGGGAACTGAGTTTATGTATGAATTTTTGAATTCAAAGCATTGATTCCGTGGTCCATGACGGCATCCACACGTCCCGCGAGCTAGGGCCCATTTTCTTTGCTTCACCATGTCATCAAGAACCTTCCTAACCGGAGCTAGCTGGAGTTAAGACGGCCCTACATCGAATTTAAACACTTAGAGAGCGTGCCGGCATATTTACGGAGCCGTTCGACGCCCAGGGGCAGCTGTCAATGCCGCGGAAGTGTTCGTGTTTTGGCAGATTCTTTGGTCTGGCCTCTCGGCGGTGTCAAGCTTCTTAGCTGTGCGACGCTGGTGCTTGAGCCAGAAGGGCCTAGCTTCGCCCGCCACTTCAGATGATGACGCAGAGAGAGGGGTGAATCTTTCACCTCGGTGGGGTTTCTTTCATGAGCACGGAACTATGTGATTGGATTACCTCCCTTCAACCCCCATACCTCTCTCCACGGCTAGAATTCCGAGTCTTCCTTTGCCCGGGGGGGCACTGCCTGAGTCAGATAAGCTTCGGCATTCATGAGAACTTGTCTGACGTTTTGTGCAGAGGCCTACGATTTTGTGGATGAGTAAATGCATACTAGGGTAATATCCGTACGCTTACTCCCGAACAAGAGTCCAAAGAGTGGTTCCATTCTTTTTGCTGCAGCCTGCTTACGAGGCGCTGGCAGACATTCTTAGCTGTTCCTAGTTTCCTTCTTACTATGCAGTAAGGTGCTTATTGCCGATCGTCCGGTACGGTGCTTCCCACCCCGGCGTGTCATTCGATCTCAACCCAGAATTGCCTTTGAAGCTTAGCTCTTCTTTGTGTTACGCCGCCTCCACAGGATCATTACAAATTCATGGGGCAATCGGCGATAGGCGATCAGGAGGGTTACTGTCGGCGTTAATCTGCATGACATCGCTACTTAGTACTGGCAGGTTTTGATTAGCGGTGAAGCTTGTTCCAGGCTCGTGTTTCTGAAGTGCAGGTAGGTTTTGCCCGCAAGCCAGCATACACACCACTCCCGGATTTAAGCGTACTCTACTTTCGATGACGAGCCGAGGTGCAGCATGAGAACAACAAACCCAATTGATAAGCAAGATTCTATTCCGCACAAGGATGACTGATGGCAGTGATAAATATAGCTATTGGGGAGGCCACTACAGGTCGGTATAGGAACCCGGGAGCAAGTTGTAGATTCTTTGGCCCAGAACCCTTCCAGCCCTCCCGTGTGGATTTTGGCCGCGCAAGGACATTGAGAAGACATGAAATCATTGGTATCTGCGACTATGGACCGTGACATCAATGGTTACACAAAATGTCAAGCACTTTCAGTGTCTCATTGAAGGCACCACCAACGACTAGAAGAGTGCACGATCAAAATGTACAACTTTTTCAATCCACCATGAATCGGCGGTCTAGGTGGTACTATGAACATGAAGAGGAAGTGTAAACACTTCATTTAACCAACCAGGCCTGCACCAGCAACCCGGACTAAACCCACCTCCCCCTCGTCCGACCCGAAAGTGCCGGCCGGCCGGACCTTTGTCGCAGCGCCTTGCTCAAAGGCCGCGAAAGAACGTAACGCGTTGAAGACGATAACCTCCCTCAGAGACATTGAGAGTAGTAGTCATTCGACTTCGTACAGACCCAAGGCGACTGGCAAGTACTCGGGCCGGTCCAACCAATCCCACCACACTGGCCCCAACGAACCTGCCCCGTCCCAGAGGCGGCCGTACTCGAAGTCGCGGCAGAGGACGTGGTCGTCGTGATCAGGGTCGTCGCGCGACTCGTCGTAGTCGGAACGCTACTACCAGTGGGAGCAGCAGCAGCAGCAAGGACAGAGGCGACGGAGGTGTACGCAGGCTTCTTGTTAAAGCTCGCGTCCCAGAGGAGAGCATCGCCGGCGCCGCTAAAGGTCTCGGGGATCCAGCTGTACTTGTCGGTGAAGCCCCAGATGGTGACGCCCCTGCAGCCGATGACGTCCAGGCACGAGCCGACGACGTTGGCGTAGTCGTTGCCTTGGGTGACGAGGGCGGCGCTGGAGGCGGGCAGGCTGGAGTGGCGGATGTCGAGCTCGGTGTAGGCGACTTCGAGGCCGAGGGCGGTGAACCGGCGGAGGACGGTCGCGAGGGCGCTGCGGCCCGGGGTGGAGCCGACGATGAGGTGGCCCTGGAAGCCGACGCCGTCGATAGGGGCGCTGGCGTTCTGGACAATGGTGACGGCCTCGTAGACGCGGTCAGTCTTTGCGCCGTTGTACTCCAGGTTGTAGTCGTTGTAGTACCTGGGTTTTTGCATTAGTTGATGCCGTCAAGCGGCAGACGATGATTCGGGAATTCTGACGTACAGCTTGGCGATTGGATCAGCAGCCTTGGCAGCTCGGAAGGAAATGGGAAGGAAATCGGTGCCGAGCACGGTGTAGAAGACGCTGGTGCGCCAGCTTCCGTCGTCGGCTGCAGCTTCGTTGACGACGTCCCAGGCGTAGCACTGGCCGAGGTAGTGCTTCAAGACGTTGGAGATGTGCGTGTTGATGACAGCGGTCAGGGTCGCCGCAGTCCATGATCCGCTCGAGACCCAGTTTGGGAGTTGAGAGTGCCTGATTCCTGGTCAGAGTTGAGTATGACAAGGGCTTGGAACTTGAAGCTCATCTACCATGTCAATGTGTGGCATCTCAAGATCTGACCGTTTGCCTTTGCAATGTTGGGGACCTAGAAGAAGTTTCCTCGTGAGTACACGCTCTTCCGTATAATCGAAGTCGCTGCGAAGCGAGAACTTGCGGAACTGTCACGCACAATATCTCCCGAGGTGTAGGAAAAGGTGTTTTGAGTAGGCTCCGTATACGCCCACTTTTGTCCGTTCTCAGGTACCAAAGAGCCGAATTCGCTGGTGTTGTTAACGATGGCCATGTAAGCGGCATCGTTAGTTGTGTGGCGCTCATCGACGGCCGTACCGAAGTACTTGAGCCCGGCGCGGACGGCAAGGGTGTTGAGCTGAGCCGACACCAGGCCGGAGCCGAGCAAAACCGCGAGGACAGCCTTGGCGTACATGGTGGTCGACTATGGGACTTGTGAGTCGAAGATCCAGGGAATAGTCGCACGCGTCTGACAGTTAGAGTGCAATCTCGGCATGAATGACATCCATCGTGTGGTGGGCACCACAGACTTATACAGGATCTTGAAGCACTACATCGCAAAAGAGGCGTAAATTAGGGTCCCATTGAATAGCCCTCACCGTCCATTCTTGGCTCTCATCGGGTTGGCTGAGCGTTCGACATGACCTTTTGTTGGAATGGTCCTGGATTCTCGAATTTCCCACGTGGGGTGTGGGTGGTATCGCCGGCCCGATGGATGTGCTTCCCGCCGCTGGTCACAGAAGCAAATATTGGAAAGTTGTCGTAACAGTTCTGCGTCCAGCAGCCCGGATCGCCTGCAAAGGCATTCATCCTTTTACCCGGAGTACCCTCTCTCTCAACTCGATCGCGTCATGTGTCAAGAACCCTTGGATGTCTCGCTGCACCCAATAGGTAGGCCACTGGCCGCGCAAGTCAGACGGAGCAACAGCAGCAGTGCCGTGGCCATGTCTGGCAAACTTTCTTGGCGTGCGGAGGGTGTTCCGAGAATTTCTGTGCCTGGGCTAGCGCGAGGGGGAGAAAGTGGGCATCCGCCTGCGCCATCACCAAGGTTTCCTCGCGGTCGCATATGGGCGCGGGGTTAGACGCAGCGGAAAGAAGAAAAGGCTATCAGATTAGAAAACGGCTGCCATGATGCTCGAAGGGTGCCGGTCGGCGTTGTCGAATTCATGTCAAGTTTGGGTCCGGGATCCGGGATCCAACAAATTTTCACCAGTATTTACTATTCTACAAGGGCGAATCTAAATTTCCAGGTTCATTGAACGAACGCCTCTGTAGTCAGGGAACCATGGCTATGGGAAAGTCAAGGAGTGGCCTAATGCCGCCGCATTCCCATATTAGCCTGAATATCTCTCGTTTGCCTTCCTGTTAGAGTTACATTGCATCAGGCGTACAATGCTTGGCAGGACAGCAAATCTGCAGGCGCACACACGCTTTTGAGGAAACGGAGAATGACAGCCAGCGCCGCCTACCCAGTTACTACCAAGTGCAGACTCGGGGAAGCGGTAAGCAGCTGAGAGTCTTTGCAAAGATCCGAAGTCCCGTCATTAAGTACCCCCTTCTCCAAGCCTACCTAGCCTGAATGCACCAGCAGTTTCTCCACATCGCAAAAATCTCTACTGCAACTACTGTCCCCATTTTCCAAGTGCACACACGCCTTCGATATACTAGGCATTTCAACAAAATAGCTACCGTCACTCCGGGCAAAATATTAATGATCAGTGGGAGGCTTGAACTCCCGGCCTTGGCATTACACAACATTTCAGGTGAAATATTAGTACCACGCTCTAACCAACTGAGCTAACCGACCCGTTTCCGAGTTGCGAGTTATGGGTGGAGTTGTGTTCAAGATGGGGCAGGCTGCCTTCGGCTCCACAGGGGCAACTCGATCTACGTTGCTTGTAGAACAACGAGACACAATCAACGACAAAGAGACTTCAACTTGTCTCTTGATTTGATCTTAGTTCTTTGAAATGTCTTGATTTATTGCAATCTTTATGGGGGTTACCGCAAAAGGTTTGGACGAATAGTATGGACTCTGCCAGAGTTGTCTAGAGCTTGAGCGGGAGCCTTCAGTCAGACGGAATGCCCTTGTTTAGTCACAACTCGAACACTCTCTTTCACTTCAAAATTGACTTGAACAACTCCTTCCCCTCTCGTTATAGAAGCTCAAAGAGAGATGCATGTTTTTCTATTTAACCCAGCCAGAGCGTATACTTACAAGTAGACTCAGAGGTAGGAATCGCACCACTGTCTAAATTCAGCTTGTTTTCGGCGCCAAGTTCGACGAGAAAGTGAAAATTCCCAAGACTGCGCCGCCCACAATGTCGCTTCAATCTGAACGCGCTCCGTCAGAGGCACAGCGTCTTTCGGCCAAGCCAACGCTTCCGGGCAGTCGGCGTTTACGTCGTCGCCCTGGTAATTATTCCTTGCGGGTTTCAACTCGGGGAGTGGGCTTTGATGCAGCGAGCCCTGCAAAAGACGACAATGATGCCGGATATCGGGCGCCGCTTGCAAATTCCGGTGCTGTCCATGATTGCCCCTCCGACAGATCAAGTATCCCATCTCGGGGGTCTCCCCGAGGCCGTCAGACGGTTTCGGAGAGTCGCACCCTTGGCCGGGACTCAAGGCACCCATCGCGCAGCGATTCATCCTCTACATCTCTTCGCTCGCTAGGAATAGACATATTTCTCCGGGATGGCGAGGCTACGCGCTCTTTACCTGAGAATGTCATCCCGGAATTCTCAAAAGTCAGCAGCGTTTCCGGCAGTTCTGAACTCCGACTCCCTATTTCCCGGGTATCTCCTCCGCCTTCGTCCGGCGAATTTCGAACCTGGACCTCGAGTCAGGACGAGCAGCAGGCTCTTGAAACGGCTGCAGACGACCTAATTGGTATCTATGGATACCTTAGTTGATTTGTTGGTTTGGGGAACATGGTGGGGTTACTTGGGCGTTTGGTTGGTCATCATCTTGAGGATTTGAATGTTTACAATTCATTTGATGAAGAAAAAGCTGTAAAAGGCTGCAAAAACAAATATTTCCTCTAATAATCGTAATATCTGATGGCATCGAACTACCCCATCAATGCCATTGTGAGCGGAACTACGTGTCTAAGTTGACCTAGCCCATTAAGGCCGTCAAGTATTCTAAATGAAGCGAACATTAGTGCAGTATTTGTGGCTCAGTGCCGCTTCGTGAAGCTCAACTGGCACTCATCCTTGAGAAAAAGTTAGTTTAGGCAAAGTTGAACGTTGAATCGTGACCAGCGACTTACCATGGGGAACAATGTAGCAAACACCCTAATCTCTTCCGACTTTTCTGTCGCATGATGCTTCCAGTCGATCTCCAGCACCGCCTTGCCAATCATGGCAGCCATAGTCAGCGGGACATATCTCCGAGCTAGACAGTCGTGGGATCCGGCACCGAAAACCAGCCAGTTCTTGGTTTTGGACTCGGCGTCTCCGGTAATCCACCGGTCCGGGTCGAAGAACTCGGGGTTGGGGTAGACGTTGGGGTCATGGAGAGCCGGGTAGCAAGATGGAATGATCATCGCTCCCTTGGGAACGGTATATTTGGGAGTGACGGGGAAGTTCTTGGTCGCGAGGTAAGGGACGAAGATGACGGGCGGTCTGAGGCGGAGAAGCTCTTTGATGACGGCGTTGGTGAAAGTGAGCGACTCTAGCATGGGGAGATCAAAAGGCTTGGCGCAGTCGCCACCTCTCGCTGCCAGATTCTCTTCCCGGAGACGTTCAACGACGTCTGGGCGCTGCGCGAGGACTTGGAAGAGCCAGGTCGTGGCACTGCTGGACGCATCCTGCGACGCGAAGAGGAAGGTGAATAGCGTCTCTGAAATCTCCTCGTTGGTGAACTCCCGAATCATGTTGGAAGGCCTCACGGCATCCGTTTCGCCAGCGGCAATCTTCTCGCGGTACCTGTTGGACTCCATCATGTGAAGCACCCAGTGGTCGACAATGGATGTCGGTGTGGCGCCCTTGGCCATGTTGGCCTTACACGCCGCCGCGCACTTTGCAAACTCGGTGTGCACCTGATCGGCCACACGCTTGCCGAGCCAGACTTTTGTGCCTGGGATGTACATTGAGAGGGGGACGTTGACGAGCTCGAGGGCTGCGGTGACGAGGTAAAAGTCGTCGGCAATCTTCTTTACTGCGTCTTGCGAGATGTAGTCGCCGAAAAAAGTGCGGCACGAGAGCGCGCAGTTGATTTCGCGGAAGAGAGCCATGTAGGCAATGGGGTTTCCGTGGTTCACCTCGCTGGCGGCAACGAATTTGTCAAAGTACTCGCCCAGCACCTTCTCGTGCACTGGTAGATATGTGGCCATTGCCTTGTTGGTGAACAGGGGCATCAAGCCTCTCCGGTACTCTGCATGTTCTCTGCCCTGAAGGAATACCCAAGCTTTGTGGCCGAGAATATCTCTGGCGATGGGGACGATGCAAGGCTCGGCGTAGGCTGGAGACTTGAAGACCTTGTGGGCAATATCGCGATCGGAGGCGAGAACGACGAATCTGCAGCATCGAGTGTAAGTGAAGTCCTCTCTTCGGTATTATCACCTTGATCTCCATTCGTAATCCGAAAAAGCTACATACTTATGGAAAACTGATACGCAGCTGAGAGGACCACTTGCCCATTGTGCAAGATATTCCTCAAACTTGGGGTGTAGGGCTTGGATGAAAGGTCCCATGAGGGGGATTTTGAACGCAGGTCCCGCGATGGAGCCTTTTCTCTTGAGGTACATCACTAAACACTCCGTCAGCTGGGTCTGGTTTCTTGTATTTCATCCAAGACTTGTTCATACCCTGATCGTACACTACTACGCCGAGAAAAAAGGTGACGAGGTACTGCCAGGCTGTCCAGCCCGCAAAGAAGGCCGGCAACGTGCCAGACGGCAGAGATGTCTCATTGGACCATGTTTGAGCTATCACAGGCTGCGTAACAGGCGTGTTGACGATTTCTGAAGCCATCTTGAAGTCTTCAATGGCATTGCAAAAGCGTCTTTCTCAGATCCACGAGAAGCAGCCAAGGGGTATTTCATTGCCCCCTTTTAAGGAGATCGGGGGGCCCATCAAACCGCCAAAGGGGTCCTTCGCCTTGCGTATTCGTATACTACCAACACCATCGACGACAGTCTCATTTCAACTCTTCTCCCTTTGGTTGGTCCAACAAGAAGAACATCGTTCGTTTTCTCATTGCAGTCCCGGGAGACGCCAGCCCTGTGAAATCTTGGCATCTAACTGACCTGCGGAGACTAAACCTCTTTTGGCAATCATGTCGACGTTTGTCAGCGAACAAAACTGGAGTTCGACAAGGGGAGACCCTGAGAGGACCGAGCAGCGAGATCCCTCGCGATTGGAAGTGCGGCGACTAAACCCCTTTCGGCCAGGGCACCGAGAAAAGATAGCAACAGGCGGAAGAGCGAGCTCAAACTTGTACGGATACATACGGATACCCGGACGAAGCTCTCAGGCCATTGTCTCCACCATTGGATCACTTTCCTCTTCACTCCTTTCATATCACCACACGCGGCGGATGATCGACTCACTCCCAGTCCTGCCTCCTCCTCCTCCCTCCCCTTTCCCCCCCCCCCCCCCCCCCCCCCCCCCCTCCCCCCCCCCCCCGCGGCGGCTTCGACCTCTCCCCGGGCCGCCTCCTCCTCCCCCCCCCCCTTTCCCCCCCCCCCCAGTCATCTCGCACACCATGCGCCAAACCCTCCGCCGGTCTTGTGCTGCGTGTGCAAAGTCTAAACACAGCTGCGACCTCCGCACGCCACGGTGTTCCCGCTGCATCAAGCGCAAGGTCCTGTGCGCCTATGCCAACGAACCCTTGACGGCATTGACGGCAGCGACGGCAGCTCCCGGGCCGGCGCCCGGGGGTGGTGGCGGCGCAACATCATCGCCGGCCCCTCCGCTGGACGGATTGGGTGCTTTGACAAAATACAGATTCGGATCTCTTGATCCCTTTGACTCGTATCCTCAGACCAGACTTCCACGGGAGCAAGTACAACGTCTCATTCACAGCTGTATGCCCACTACGGTCGAAGCCATCAAATTGGTTGACAGTTAGCTCATCAAACCCATGTAGTTCTCCACAAGATCGCGTTCGAATATTACCCGCTAGATCTGAACGCGACGTCCAATCCATTTCTTGTCTCCTGGTGGCCGCTGGCTCTAGGTGATCCAGCTTTATTCCACGTCTCTCTGCAGACAGCATGTCTTGACGAAGAGTTATTAGCGCAGAAGGGATTCCAATCATCCGAGATCCTCATGGCCGATTCCGTCGCTCTACTTCGCCGCAAGGTCCAAGATGACTCGTTAGCTATTCAAGACGGGACCATGAATTCTGTCATCACTTTGGCAGCAATCGAGGTGAGCTTCAGCAAGCTCTTCTTGGCCGGATTGCCAATATAGTCCGAAGCCTCTGCAATTTTATTAACTGTCCATGCTTCAGTTTGGCAAAGGCAACAATCGAGTTAGCGAAATGCACGTAAATGGAGTAAAGAGACTTGTTAATATGAGGGGAGGCATCAATTCAGTACGACAGACTAGTCCCCTTACTGCAAGGATGGTCAGCTGGTACGTTGAAATTGCCATGTCGGCACGTCCAAGATCTCGTGTTAACCGACTCCGAAGGGTGTCGATGATTGTTACCGGTCTGCCTCAGTTCGAGACGCAGAACGACGCAGGTATTGGCGACGGCGTGCCTGCTCCTCCAGAATGGCAAATGGACCCCACCGTTTTCGACAATGAATTGTCCCAACTTAATGCTGTTGAGATAGATAACGAGGTCAAAAACGTACTGACAAGGCTTGGAAGTATTTTCTGGCGAGCAAAGAGAGTACCACTCCAGCCAACGCGACTACATGATCTTGCTTGTTTCGTCATACACCGACTCTTGCTCTCAGCGCCGGGCACAACAGAACCTCATTCGCCAACCAGTGAAAGCATCCGACTCGGTATCATACTCTACATGTTCATCATTCAAGGACCGACATATTACTCCCATGCTGTCATTTTCAATACGACCGTCAATCGACTCATGGAGAATCTCAAGGAGCTTGAGCCATACGCTCACTCCCGCAACACCCTCTACATTTGGTTCCTGACCGTAGGCATGGTTGCCTCGCACGGAACAGAGCACTACAGCTGGTTGACTGACAGGGCGAGAACCATCATGTCATTGACGCCAGTAGAAAGCTGGGATGGTGTGCTTCAGCACGTCAAGAGCGTTCTCTGGCTAGAAACATTACACGGTGAAGATATTTTCCGACCACATTGGGATGTCATTTTGGCGGCCGAAATACCGCGAAGCCAGCCGAACTTGAGACTGAGCCAACCACCCTGACGGAAATAATAGAGTAGACAGATTAAAACAATTCAGCCAAACTAGACCATATAATATTCACTTGTTCATGATAATCCGTTCTTTTCACTGACTCCTCTCTTGTTTGGCGTGGATGACCATGCCTGTTTTCAGCCTTTACTCTCAACAAGCGCTGTGATGTGCAGTCAAGGCAAGAGAGTTTTATGTTCCATTTCATCAGGACACACCAACTACCTTATACGGGAGTTAGATGAAACAGCTTGTATTAGAGAAATTGGGTCCATCGCCTTCAGTTAGGCCCTGATCTTTTGGAGTCTTGAACCAGATGTGTTCCGCCACGGTGACCGCAGTCTGGAGGCAGTCGTTCTCGCCTAGATGGAACGTAACAACTGGGTCAAGGTCTAGTGCGCCCTGATGGACTATACGCGGAGGGGCTGTTTTTGATGCAAGACCTTGTGAGACACTGCCATTCGTCAATAATATCTTCCTAGCGAAAACTGTGGACTGTCTGTGGGTCTTGAGGGACGATGAATTGAAGGCTTTGACTCTCACCTTGACTTGTGATGAGAGTAAGCAGATCGTGAAGCATACATGTACTTTTCGCAACTTGAGAGTGGATGTGTGGGCCGTCTAGGGGGATGAAGAGCTTCTCAGCTACAAGGAGGTTGAGGACGGCGGCTCAATGTATACCGAGTCTTCAGTGTCAGCAAAACTTTTGGATGCGGTATTCGCGCAAGTTTAGGTAATAAGGGGGGGGGGGGGGCAGGAAGCATGTCCATTGAAGACAAACTCTAGCTAGACGTTCTAGTTAGCATGCATCTAGTGATAACTCGACTCATTGTAATTCTGCCGCCGCTTACCGCTATTACGTCTAAGAATCGACCAAAGTTCACTTTTCATCTTGCCATTCAATCCATTCTATCCATTCTCGTGCACTTTTTAGCCAACGTAATAGAACCGAAAGCACAACTCAACTCTCCAGAACATGATTACGTTACCGAAATCATACAGTTGCATCGACGAGTATGCAAAAGACCTCATTCAATTCATCGAAACACCGCTGGTTCGCCAGATTACCGGTGACATCCACGTCAACGACGCATTGATCTACGATGCATGGGAAGCCTTGCCCACAGAGTGGACATCCTGGTGGATATCGATCCCAGATCACCGCATAGCTCAGCAAGACTTGATCGACAGCATTGAAGAGCTGGATTGCTTTTCGCCCTCAATCGACGAAGCGGATAAGGGCAGTCTGGACAGACAGCTCCCACGCTTACAAGATCGGCCAGATTCGCTGTCCAAGTGGTTGAGCACCATCCAGTCGCTTGCTCTCACGCGAAACCAACGCCCTGGCAAAACCATTGCCCTGTCAGAGATCCTGACAAGTCGCATGAAGACCAAAAAGAGTACCGAAGTCTCCACCGCTGTATCTTACATCCAGTCCGTCTGCCAGGCCAACAACATATCCCACGTCATCGACATGGGCTCAGGACAAGGCTACCTCTCCGTAGCCCTAGCCTACCTCTTCCCAGATCTACACGTGCTAGCAATCGACGGCAGCGCGTCCCAAATAGCAGCCTCAAAAGCCTGCGCAGCCAGCCTCGGGATCCCCGAGAGCAGGATCCAGCACATGCGGCGCTACATTGACGGCACGCCACCGCTGGCAGCTGAACTCGCCGCCTGGGCCGGAGAGGAGAGGTGCATGCTCGTCGGCCTACACGCGTGCGGGAACCTCTCCGAGCACATGCTGAGATACTTCACGACGGTGCCGTTCATCACGTCCTTGGGCGCAGTGGGGTGCTGCTACAACCACATTGTCCCACGTTCTGCCGCTTGTCCGGATGGGTTCCCCATCAGTGCAAAGATGAGGGAGAGAAACGTCGTGCTCAGCGCTACGGCGCTGATGACGGGCTGCCAGGCGCCGAATAACTGGGAAAGGGCGGATCCCAGTAAGGAGGAGTCTGTGTATTCAAAACGGCGCTTCTACCGAGCTCTGTTGGAAAAGATATTCCACGACAAAGGCATAAAGCTTGATCAAGATGACAGGCCGGTGTGGGGCGTGCGGAAGGGGGACATGGCTAGCTTTACCACGTTCGCACGCAGGGCCGTGGCATGTCTTGGCGTTGACGAGAGCAAAATCAGCGATGCTGACCTCGTGGCTTATGAGGATAGATATCGAGGTTACGAGGGCAAAGTAGCGATTCTTTGGACTCTTAGTGTGCTGTGCTGCAAGATTGTTGAAAGTGTGATTGCTCTGGATCGATACTGGTTCCTGACGGAGAACGGAGGGCAGAATGTGGACGTTGTGCCAATCTTTGACTACAAGATTTCGCCACGGAATCTGATGCTTGTGGCGGACAAGGGGCAAAAACATAGACCAGGAAGCTATCCAGATGGATCTCAATCAACATGCGCAGAAAAGCCGTACTAGACTCTTTTTTTGTTCCTGCTTCTGATACTGTCGTGACGGGTTGCAAGTAGACCGATCTCACTGTATCACCTTTCACAGTTTGAATCTGAATATCACGCGGTGAATGGAGACGTAATTCATGTCATTTATCGCAGACAATCTTGCTATTTCCGGCACGTGTCAAATACATCTAATCATTGAGGAGTCCGCCGCAATGAACAAAATGTATCAAGGATTCATATATTTACAACGAATATGACCAACAGCCTTGTAAAGCAATCACATTCGACGTGACTCCCTCCAACGGAGACCTCCAAGCTCCCCCCTTTACACAGGGCGCTCCACATCTACAGCAGAGCAAGAGCAGCGAGACCGCAAACGCTCAAAGCAGCGAAAACGTCCACAAATGAAGCGCGTCCAGCCGCGGCGGTCTGAATCAAGGAAGGCGAAGACTTGCCCGGAACAGTGGGAGAAGACACCGGCGCGGAACCGTTCGCAGTAGGAGTAATGGCACTCGCAGTAGGGGCCACTGTGGTGCTGGAGCAGGCGGTCGGGGTGATAAAAAAGCCATTGGAGCCAAAGGGGTTGTAGCCCAGGCAGCCAGCGTACTGAGCGGCGCAGGTGGCGCGGTTCGCCTCGGGAGCGCCGCGGCACTTGTCGTAGGCGGCGGCGCACTCGACCGGGCAGTCGGACGCGGGTGCGGTGGGGGTTGAGGCCGAGGCCGGCGGGGTGGTGACCGGCGCAGTAGGGGTCACGGGGGTGCTGGAGCAGGCGGTCGGGGTGATGAGAGAGCCGTCGGGGCCGAAGGGGTTGTAGCCCAGGCAGCCGGCGTACTCAGCGGCGCAGGTGGCGCGGTTCGCCTCGGGAGCGCCGCGGCACTTGTCGTAGGCGGCGGCGCACCCGGCCGGGCACTCGGGGTTCGGGGGCACACCGGTCGGGGCCGGTCCCGGGTTGGTGACGGTGAGGGTGTAGGTTTGGTTGCCGTGGTCGATGACGGTGGGCTCGGGGCAGTCCGTGGTGAAGACGGTGACAACGGGCGCGTCGGCGACTGGAGAGCCGATTGTGAGCTGGGCAGCGCCGAGCAGCAAGCCGGCCAGGAGGTGAGCCATGGGAGAAGACATGTTTGCTCGGCTGGGAACCTTGGGTAACAAACGAGTGTGAGACTAAAGTCAAAAGTCAAAGTCAGAAAACGAGTGTGGGTTGATTTGGAAAGAAATTGATCAAGGAAGAGGATTTTGGCCAGCTTTTATAAAAGCATCCTAGTTGAAGCTAATTCTCTTCATTAAACTTTACAAATTTACCTCAAGTAAACAACCCATTTAGTGTGGATGACTAAGGAGTAGTTCGCTGGTCAAGCTCGGATCCGATCCGGTCTGGATGACAATTGCATTTCCGTTCCGCCCTTTGTTGCGTTTGCCGTGCATCGTTTGCCAGCAAGAATTCAGTTAGTCGTGTCTCGTATTCTGTGCTCCCTCTGAGAACTTGGATCGTAGTTTCTCGTATTTTCGCTGGTGCTCTAACCGCCGTTGTACTGGCGGATCGGCTAGTGGTGCTCTGCTTTGTACCTAATCAGCTTATCTTAAAAACGCCAAAATCTTAGCCTTTTCCTGGGGAAGCCGCGGGAAAAGGGGGCCGTCGCGGTGCCACAGTGGCGGAATGTACGCCATCTCGCCTAAGGTAATCCAATCAACCGCATTAATCGTGCGCCAGTCGGACTTTGTCTCAACCCAGAATGCATCTCGACATGGTATGTTCTGCCCATACTAACGAGTCAATGCCATGTTCCCCGATACTTTTTATTTGGCATGTCCCCGCTGAAATATCATCGGAAAAGTGTCAAGGGAGAAGACGCCTGATGCGTAGTTTGTCTTGCTGAGTTATGTCCTTGAGGAATGGCAAAGGGCCGAATGGCTCCCTCCGACTGGGCCACATTGGCGGCCGGACTCAGAGGATCATGTCCAAGATGAATTCAGGCTCATTTTTCTGGCAAAAGTACTGTACTACAGCGACCTGGGAGATTGTCGCGGCTTACTTTTGCGACTGACTCCAGCTCAAGCCTAACGAAGTACCTTAGTTTGAATACAGATAGAACTCGGAGTGTATAAAGAATAAGATGGAGTGTGTCCTATCTGGATCGTCTACCCAAGAATACTCTACGTAATGTCCGTCATTGTCAACATGTAAATAAAACTGTATTAAAACTGAGTGATTCGGGATTCCTTGTCCCGTATGGGCAAGGAAAGGGACGAAAGAGCGAACAGGAACTGATTAATCATCTCGCCGCAGAAACACTCGCAGCAATTGAAAGCGCCGGATCGCACACTGACATGGAGCCATTGATCAAAGTTTTGGAATGAAATGACGTGTGATGCAGAGAGAAATTCAATATAAACTAGATTGGATGCATCATGCATAGCCAAGAGGGGCTGTCCTATCGCCAGTACTCATGAGCCAGAATGCGGAGAAACCCAGTCATTGTCTGTCACCACGAAAGCCTTTCAATGAGCTGTCGCTAACAGTCGAGACAATGACATTAATATGTGACAATGGTCTGTCACTGTGTACCCTCAACTCGGTTCGCAGTCCGTATTCAAGCACAGCTGCAAGCTCTCACAAATACACGAGATCCATAATCGCCCCAAAAGGCGTTTTTCCCATCCAAAACTCTCGAGAGAAAAAAGCAAAAAAATGCTTCAAGAGCCCATATCACAGTCAGAACACCAACTCTGAGAGCGATCACTCACTTCCTCTCCCTCAGGTGCACCTTCATCTTCATATCGTGCCTCGGCCTAGCCTCCATACCAACCATCTGGAAAGCCAAATCGCCCACCTTGTGATCAATATCCATGTACTCGACCCGCTGCGTCGTCCCATTGACAATCGTCTCGAAATCAAACCACCGCACCGTGAGCAACAACATGATGCGCAGCTCGTCCATGGCCAGGTCCTGCGCGATACACGCCCTCGGCCCGCGCTCAAACGGCCGCCACGCAAAGCGGTGCCTGTCGTTGGCGTCCTTGCCCAGGAACCGGTCGGGCCGGAAGCTCTTGGCGTCCGCGCCCCAGATGTTCGGGTCCATGTGCGTCGAGTGCGCGCAGGGGATGACCATGAGGTTCTCGACAGGCCAGCGGCGGCCGTTCCACTCGAGGTGCGTGGTTCCGGGCGGCGCCTGGCGGATGGTGAAGCCAATTGGGAAGAAGCGTAGCGTCTCTTTGATGACGGCGTTTGTGAAGTCCATGTCGTTTGTCTTTTGCGGGTTCGCGATGAGCATCTCGACGGTGGTGTCGAGGTCCGGGGAAAAGTGCTCGTCGTGCTCTGCGCGGATGCGGGCGACGATGTCGGGGTAGAGGGAGAGGAACATCGTGACCCAGGTGAAGGTGTCGGTGGTGGTACCGTGGCCTCCGAGGAGGAGAGCCTTGAGACTAGTCAGGGGGGTCAGCGAGTCACACATATGAAGCGTAGAGGGGGGAAAAGAAAACGTACTTGGTGACAGCGGTGTCGATAAACTCGCCGTCGAGACCCATGCCCGGCCCGCTCTGGATCCTGTCGAGGACGATGCGGTCCAGAACGCTCTTAACCTGCCGCCGCGAAGGCAGCTCCTTCTCGTCCTGCAAGATGCGCAACCTCTCCTTCATCTCCCCGGCCAGCGTATCCCTCACGCGGTCCTTGAGCGCCTGCAACTTCTGCTGCGCCTTGCGCTTCTTCCACGGGTTGCGGGTGCCGATGAAGGTGGTGGCGGGGTTAATCGAGTTTCTCAGGTCCTCGAGCAGCGGCGACCCGGACCTCTGCGCCTCGAGCGAGACGCCAAAGATAATCTTGCCGACAACGTCAAAGATGGTCTTTGCCGACTCCTCCTCCATGTTGAAGGGCTCGCCCTTTGCGGCAAAGGCGCGCAGGCGCTCGTGGAAGATGAGGACCTGCTCGGCAATCATGCCCGCCATGGGCTTCACGTAGGTCGGGGTGAAGCCGGAGCCGACCATGCGGTGGTTGTACTTCCAGCGGTCGCCGTTGGAGGCGGCGATGCTATCTTTGCCGGTGAAGGGACGGAGGAACTTCTCAATGGTGGGATGTTTGGGGTACGGATTCGTGGTGAGGACGAGCTGGGCGGCGTCCGGGTCGGTGATGATGACCTGGGACTCGACAAATGGCCACATGTCGACGTAGAATATGCCGCCCAGGTTGTACTTTTGCGCCATGATGGTGTAAATGTGCTGGGGGTGTGTGAAGGGCGGGAGGGTCGCCGCCAGCTCCTCCCAGATGACGGTGTGCGCCCAGATCCATGAGTGTTTCGGCGGCTGAGGCTATAATTCAAGACAGAAGCACCAAAAGAGTCAGACTGTGATGTTTACTGTGATGTTTACGAGCTGTGTGTGTTTGGGTGTCTGTGTATGTCTTCATGGGCGCCTGCTTGAGACATTGGGGGCGGATGAATTGAAGAAATTAGAGCTCTTACCAATCCTCTGAATCGGGTTCTCATGTAAACGGCCTTGAATGCCCAGTACACGGCCGTGGCGAGGGCCACGCTGGCCGCGATGTACCAATTGGAAACGCCAAACATCGTGAACCTCGAGGCTTAGGAGGGTTCGCCAAGGTATAACCCGGTAGACGACAAAAGGGAGGGGAGGAAATAATTGGGAAAAAAAAGGGGGACGAAAGAAATCCTACTGCCCACAGGCAGTACGAGAAGAGGTAAAAAAAGCTACATGATGGCACAAGAGATGGCGGGGTATTAGGGTCAAGTTCATCTACGACCTACTAATCCCAGGCTCTACGTAAAGTTACTTTCAGCGCAGAGTACATGTAAACAGACAGAAAATGCCTCTCTTTCTCAATTTTTCTTCATCAGCAAGGGGGGGGGGGGTGTTTTGTATGGCCCCTTCGAGGTGATCGTCCTCCCGCCGGCGACGCATCTTACTGGGGCGGAGTGGGGTGCAATGCATCCTTTTGCCGAACGGTGGGGTCGATGGGATCAGATTAGATGATCTGATAAGATGATTGATAGACATCAGTGGTCCCGGATTGGATGAACTCAGAACGCGTGGCATGGGTAGGAGGGGGGAGGGCGTGGTATGAGTAACGAGCCACGCAGGAAGTTCCCGGAATTATGTCCATTTTGTGATGAATGGGGGATAGCTGGTGGTCAGAAAAAGCGCCGTCGGCCCCATCTCGACGGTTTAGCGCGAATTTGCAAGTTCTTCTCTGCCCTCTTCGACCAGCCAGCCAGTCAACGGCCGAAGGATTCAATTTTGTTTTGTCAACGGTCCGGTCCGCTCATTGGCACTCAGTACTGGACTGGTCGCTGCGGTGGCTGCTCTGCCCCCTTCTCGCCCAGCCACCAGGAGTTGAGGTGGGCGTCTAGAGCTTCACTGTTGCTCCAGTCTCGTACCATGACGCTGTCGGCATATGTCATTCTTTGGGTCTGCTGAATGATATCGTATGTTGTATCCGTAATGTTTTGGTGTGAAGATAGTCCGGCGGAATGTGGGTGGGAGTCGTGGTTGATTGGAGGTGAATCTCATTCTCGGAGACAATCCACATCCGGCCAGTCGAAGAGGTCCACCGCACGCGATGAAGAGGTTCCCAGGAAAGGCGGCATCGGCTCGCGTCTCGAATTATCTTCCTTTGTTTCTGTGGGGAGTCTGCGCCGGCTTGGAGAATCGGTAGCAAATTTCTAGCTCTACCTAGCAGCGCATATGCTCAGGAGCTGTGGGAGCCCAGGTAGGCATTACGTCCTCCATCGTTACGGTTCTGGCTGCTTCGAGGCGATAAGCCAGTTGGTCCACAGGGGAGCAAAAGCGAATGCCCGGTAGCGGGCGTGGCGGGCGTAGCGGGGGAGTTACGTAGTGTGGGGGAAAAAAAGCTGAGAAAGGGAAATCTCTGCCTTAAAATGGAAGACAATGTGCCGCGGACAACGGAACCCCTGCTTCTTCGGCGGATGCTAAGCTTTCTTGGAAAGCGGCACGGCGGCTACGGTCTTGACAGCACCAACAAAGTAATTGCCATTGTTGGACCGACCGGGTCGCCTTATATCCAACGTTGAATGCCACCTCAGCCAGGTCAGTATAGCTGCTGGGAAGCCCTAGTCTCAACGTGGTAAAACTGAAAAATCCTGCATTCATAAAGACCCTTCAGCGAGGCAGAAAAGACAACAAGTCCGCAACGGACCTCGACAAGACTACCTACACAATTCGATAGAAACTGCAAAAGTTCCGAAACCGAGAATCGAACTCGGGGCTATGCCTATCCTCTCACGGAGATGAGAGGGCATCATGTTGGCCACTACACCATATCGGATGTTGATGTCTAGAAACCTGAATTTGGTACCTGAGTATTCTGTGCGGTGGGAGTGGAGCACCGAAGCCGGGCTGGCCCTGGGTCACCTTCTCCCTTGTTGTGTCGATTCTTGACAATGTGCCAGGAAGGCGGCTACTCGCATCATTCCTATCGGTCTGTGGGTCTATGAACCAACGTACAACTGGCGCGCGCGCGCCAAGTCCCATAACCTGGTTGTCCATAGCGATCTGATATGGATGAGCCAAGGCGGCATCCGACGCAGCCAAGAGCGGCACAGCTTCGCAAGGCCCGCATTGCGTCTGGTCGAGTTGGGCGCATCCAAAACTGTCCGTCTCCGCGCTCGGCAGCACCACCCTGGTCTCGTCACGTTGAATATTCAGTCTCAGGCAAGTCAAGCGAAGCAGCCTGTAGCGCCAAAATCACGCCAAATAGCCTCCCACACTGACAGTGAACAAATACAGCTAGAAAACAAAAAGAATCATGACAAGAACGAGATTCGAACTCGCGCGTGTTTCCACACCAGCAGGATCAGTATTTACCTGAAGCTGGCGCCTTAGACCGCTCGGCCATCTTGCCACCACGATGTTTGCGGATGCGGGTTGGGACCCGCTGCGGAATGCCGGCCGGACTGAGGGTCTCAAGATGACGCGCCGGAGCGAGCTCCGCGATCCATGCGGCAATCAGTCACTGGCACGTCAGGAACGAGTAATGAAATGATTGCGTTGCTAGAGAAGTGTCCTGAATTGGAATAAAGACCAGTTACAATCGTGGTATCATCGGAGCCCCTGCTGCTGCATTGACGCCCATCCCTGTCCGTTCATCCCGTGTGCATCCCATGAGGCCAAAACTTTCCTTTTGCCCTATATCAAATTCGAGCGCAGAACGTCTTCGAGAGCATGTAGCTTGCTTAAGCAGTCTTCTTGCCGGTAGCGACCTGTCGGCCCTGGGAGGTGTACCGGACGTAGGCGTACCCGCCGGCCGCAATGACGCCGATGATGACAAAGTTGCCTGTTGGCGAAGGGAGTCAGGAACCGGACGACAAACAGCTACATGGGAGACGTGGCACTTACTCAAGACGAACTTGCCGACTCCGCCGACGACATCGATCGCGCCCTGGAACACATCGGTAATGAGGTTGACGAGGCCGGTGAAGAAGCCGATGATGGCGTTGAAGAAGGTCTGCAGGACGTGGTAAAAGGCGTTGAAAATGGAGGAGAGGAGCTCGTAGATGCTGCTGAAGAGGTCCTGGATCGCGTTGGAGACGGCCATATTGACGGTTGGTGATGTTGGTTTTTGGTGTGTGGGGAACGGGTGAGTTGGGTTTGAAAATCGTCGAGATGCGATGGAGAAAGTGCTGGACTCAAATGAAAGCTTCAGCTTTTGGTTCCGGCCTCTTTCCAACGGGCGATGGGGGTCTGGCCGCACCGTTGACCTTTATGGCAGCAAGCCCACGCGGAGCAAAAACAACGTCCTTGTGACGCGATGCCGTTGCCGCCCAAGGTAAGACATGCCTAACCCCAAGCGAACCAAAGCGACGGGTTAGAGAGGCAGGAGCCGACGCCAGTGACCACCATGTGTGGTTCAAAGTGTCGCCCGTGACGTCTTCATCGTGACGTCACCAGCCACCCGGGCAATGGCGCCAACTTCGTTCCAGCCACGCATCGTGCCGCCTTCCCAATACCTCATGCGGTAAGACGCACAGCAGGTACGTACACCACCACTAACAACCCCAAGATAGGTAAGTAGGTACCTTTTTACAGGCAGGAGGACTGAGCGGAGTGGTTCGTCCGGGCGGGAAGGAAGGGGAACCGACCTTGTCTCTCGTTTGTGGCTGCCGTCATTACGCATTCAAGCCACCTCTGCCCCCGTGCCCCTGTCTCTCCTTAGCTCTTGTCCCAGGAAGGGAGAAGGTATTTGTCCGCCCAGAAACTCTGAGTACCCTCACCATATCATTTTCCCCTTGTTTCCAGTCTTATATCCTGCTTTCAACTCGAGCCATTGCCTACCGAATTAACATACCTACTGTAGCCATGGTATTACCAATCTACTTATATCTGTCGGGCCGAGGAGCTGGATGAAAGGGCACGTAAGGACGCTGGTGATGCTTATCTGGCAATGGACAAGATCGAGGCCATTTGACGAGCTTCGAATGGGTTGGCATTATTTAGTTCAAGTGAGCGCACAATACCACGGGTAAAAGATGTGGGCGCAGGGAAATGAAAACAAAATGGCAATTTCCTCTGCGTGCTTACACTACGTTACTCACTTTACAAATGGCAGCCAGTGGGTGATAGCTAAAGGTACATCAGTGTGCGTGAAGAAGACAAGTAGAGGAATGCCGGAACCTAGTGCATGAGTTCTCTTGAACCAACTCGATTTCGTTCACTGCCTATCTAAGATTCATTCTCTTCTGAGTCTTTCACCTTCGGATGAGGACACCTCTTGGCGCAGTAGTTAAGGCTGCCCACCCTTATACCCTTCACGTCAGGAGCTGGACCCCCGCGGGCCTCTTATTTTTCGAGGTCCTGAGTTCGAGTCCGCTCTCCGAGCCCTTTTTTTGTGCTTTAATACGTGCTTTACCTACCATGGTTTTTATTTCAATTGCGTTGATTAATTATTACATTGACTTATGATTGTTGGCATCTTCGAATTCCTCGCTGGGATTTTGAGGCTCGTAAAACCTTTACGGCTTCAGTTTCTTCACACTGGTATATCACTTGCCATATAAGCCAGCATTATTTTCTCATTCCTTCACCGACCCATACTGTCAGGGCCCTCCCGATCCTTCGGATCATTATCAGAGAGGTCACCTTCCCCATCTCGACGTATTTCCGTCCTGAACTTATTGCCAAGAATCCCGGGACCCTTCCGGCTCTTCAGTATCTGGTGAAAATGGTTTGAAGGACTCAAGCATAGTCTTGGGTCCTTCCGCTTTCGTTTTGGTGGAGGATTGGAGGATGGGAATAGCGGTGTTGAGGTAGGATCTGGGGCACCATACACCAACCTACACTCCCCCATACTCCCAAACATTTCTGCTGGGGGTCGTAGTCAGCTGTTTGTCCTTTACCAACCCAAAGGCCCCACAGCGAACGGATTCGACATGCTCGTAACACCAACAACAGCAATGCCGCCGTCCCCAGACAGAGACGTGTTCAGAATATTCTCCCCTGGCGCGATGAAGGACGGGTAACTCTTGCCATCGGGCGTTGGACCAGCTAGAGAACCAGGAACGAGACTCCAGTTCACGCGCCACGTATAGTACGGAGTATTCAACTTATCCGCCAACCCGATGGCGGCAAGCCCCCCGAGCGTTGGCGGGATCCCCCGGTGAACAACCTGGTGCCATTATTTCCAGACGCGACTATCACCGCTGTCCCGTCCACGACAGCTTAGCAAGCTACAGTAAACAAGCGACACGAGCTTCAGTGCAACTAGCATCAGCTCATGCAAATTCACATTCCACACATACAATCCCCTTTTATCATCAACTTCCTCGACTCGAAGGCAAGGTCAATACCATACCAAACCAAACCATGATCAAAACCACGCCCCTCTCACTCGCAGACATGATAGCAGCCATGAGATCATCCAGATCCTGCGGCCCGGAACGATCGAGGTCGTAAATATCCACCGTCGCGTTCGGCGGCGATAATACTCAGGATGTGCTTCCCATGAGGAAAGCGATACAGTTTTTTGCCGCATAGATATGTGAGATTTTCCCCCCAAGGCATCGTTTCTTGTGACTGGGGCCGTCGTCGTTGGCGATGCAATGCGTTGGCATTCAGTGAGGCGAGTGAGGCCATCTTGGCGAACTCAAGAGATCGAAGTGTAAGAAGCAGTCAGCTTTCCACTGTTCCGTTTCCTCCCTTGCAAGATGAATCGAATAAAAGGCCACGAAATCAAGGAGGTTCGAAGGAGAGTCAGTAGGCAACTGTGGTAGCTAGAAAAGCGTTACTGTTCAGCGTTGAAAAGATTGTTTGGTTTCTCGAGGGCATGTCAGTAACGTGGAATACAACCTCAAAAATTTTGAAACCGCACTTATCTCTTGGATGACCTCGGTGCATTCTGCTAGAAACACATTCACAGCTATAACTTGCTCTGCAGTAATCAAAAAAGCCACCGCAAGGTGAAGCAAGGCAATAAGGAACCCCATGTTTAGAAAGAGTGACTGAAGTAAACAGGAGAATTGCAAAACCTTTTGATCCCAAGCAAACTTCAGAGTCAGTATGGGCTGATTGTGTAGCTCACCTGGTATTTGAAGGAGGTGGTCGAGGGAGATGAAATTACAAGATAATCCCACGCGTCGAGCGGACGCTATATAGAACCCCCTGAATGCCTAGTGAACCATCAAAACTCTATGGAGGATTGATTGAAAGTAACATGGATTGACCACTTATTTTTAAACAAGATTTCAATCAAGCGGGCTGTTCAAAACTCCGTCTTGGTACTTGATTATTGAGAAAAATCACTGCACGAGGTGGTGGTTTGGTATTGGGCCGGATTGTACGTAGGAGATAACAGACTTGAGTAATGATATTGACCCAGCATTTTGACGTAGAAACGAAAACATCAGAATGGTATTCGAGCCAAGCTTTTGCATTGGCAAGCTAAGTACTCTGTATCGAAATGACAACAGGAAATATGATCTAATGAAGAAATCCAACGCTTGCTCTAATGATTCTTTGTGCAGCAACATTGGTACCTTATGTATAGGAGCCCATCCATTGGGGCCAGCTTTAAAAAACCGTCTGACACAGCAGATGTCATCTCACTTTCTCTGTAGCAAATGATCAGTCCGACTCGGCCGAAGTCTCGGGCTGGACCCGCTCCTCAGATAACTTCGGGTTCCTCAACGCGAAAGCGAATCCAACCATGGGCACGCAGATACACAAGCCGGCAATGCACAAAAGCCTCTGCACACCACGGTAGCTATCGATTATTGCGTCTCTGATCTCTCCGCCGATGGGATAATCCACAATGGTCGAAAACGGCGAGTCGTAAACGGCCTCCGCTAACGTCTCATTGGGTTGGAACGCGAGGTTGGACTCGAGAGACGGGTAGAGAAGCTGTGTCCACATCGCCCCCGACAAACAGTTACCAAGGGCGCTACCGACGTTAAAGACCGCCAGGTAGAGACTCGTGACGACAGCGACGTGCTCGCGATCAGAAGACGCCTGGATCGATGCCTGCGTCGGGTACGCGAACAGGCCACCTGCCAAGCCCATGATGATTTGGCCGGTGATGAGGCCGGACTGCGACGCGGAAGATGCTCCTCCGGGGTATAATATGAGAAGGCCGAACGAGGCCGTGAAAATGCAAGCGCCTGTAATGATGATGCCCTTGAGTCTTCGGATCCTGTAAATGACGACGCCCATCAAGACACCGCTGAAAACGCCAAAGAAGGAAAAGAATGACAAGATGCGGGTCGCCGTCTCGATGGGAAAGTCGAATGCTACGACGAGCACGGTGTATAAGTAGTTTCCCTGGGTCGACCAGGCAAAGTTGAGGAGGCTGCGGACGGCCAGGGCTGACCAGACTCCGCGATCTTTGAGGAGGCGGAACGGGATGAGAGGGACCTGAGCATAGCGGCGCTCCCAGAAGACGAACGCCGGAATGCAAAGTAGCCCAAAGGCGAGCGGTACGATGATTCCCGGGGTCTTCCAGTGGCTGACGGTTCCTCCTGCCAGGGTCAGGGGCGCCAGGGTGAACGAAAACGCAGCAATGAGAATAGTGAGGCCGACGGCGTCTAGCTGGTGGAAGAGGTCGACGGTCGCCTTCTTTGATTCGGCATGGCCATCAGCTTTGCGTGAGCGCTGGCCAAAGGAGTAGAGGCTCGTGAGGAGCGGGATGGAGCAGATGGGAAGGATGATGGCCCACATTCCGATGCCCCAGCGCCATGATGTGACTCGCAAGACGGCAGAGGTAACATTGCCGCTGATCCAGGTGTTGAACACGAAAGGAATAGCGGGAATGTAACTGAAGAAGACGCGAGACCGCATCGACGAGAAGTCTGCGACGAGGACCTCGAGGAGGAGGACGATGCAGGTCCAGCCGATTTGATACAGAATGGCGCCGAGGCAGAAGACTTCTACCGAGGACGCGCTGGCCTCGAGGGCGGTCCCGACGACGTAGAATAGGATGGAGGCGGCGATGGTCTCGAAGCGGCCGTAAATGTCAGCGATCTTGGCTGCAGTGGGCTGCGAGGCCACGGCGATGACGCTGCGCAGCACGTTGATTGTCGAGTGCGAGGAGTGTAGGTTGAGGCTAGAGGTGGCGTAGGGCTGGTAGGTTCCCCGCACCTGGCTGTCGAGGCCGTAGGCGTAACCGACCAGGAAGATCCCGACAAAGAGCCAGACGCGCTCCGCACTGCTGATCTGGTTTGCGACGGTATCGGAGTGTCCGACACCGCCCGAGGGCGTATCATGAGTGTGGAGGGTTGCGTCGGCGTGTGCTTGGCCTTGGCTCGGTGCTCCGACGCTGAGGTCGGATTCGAGGAGCGGCGAGGTCTCGCCGCCCGGGGAAGGGCGGCGCTTCGACCATAGTTTCGACATTTCCTCTCCGTCTGTCTCTCTCCCTTGCGTTCTTCTTTTTTCGCGGGAAACCTTGTATGTCTCGGTACTTCTGGAGCGCGCGCTGCGGGCAGAGATGAGGTAAGGGACTATGGGTCTGGGCAACCTATTTTCGTAATGTCTTGCTGACGAATGTCCTCGTGCATTCCAAGTTCAACGACCGATGAAAGCTCGCGACCGTAGCATTCACAGCCGGGCGGGATTAGGAGGAAAGATTCTGCTCGGCTGCGTATCCGTATCGAGCGCCTGCTCAGGGGGGTCAGTCAGCAGGGGTCGTTTGGAAAGAGAGTACCTACGTAGTACGTAGAGAAAGACGGGTGTAACTGGGTCTCCGTACCTTGCAGATTCAAAGATTCCCAGATGGATGGGCAACTCGGCGGCAGAGGTCCATGAGAATGGTGCAGAAGCGACGTTTGACAGCAGCCCTACCGGCGGCCATGATGGGAACATAGACAGGTGCCAGGAAGGATTTCAGTCAACCACCACCCCGGCCTCATGATCAGGGGACCAGAAAATGCTCTGTCAGCAGCCCATGCAGGCGTGGCAGGCGCGGATCGGAGCCTGGAAGGACAAGTGACAAAGTGACAACACATGAGTCCTTTAGGCGACCGATCAGATTAGATCATCTGATAAAGAAAGTGCCCCACAGCAGCGTGACCAATCACGCAATTCGGGATGGTCCGCCGCCCGCCGTAAGCGCCGATTTAATCCGCGGACTCTGCATCTGCAATCTTGGGACACAGCATGAAGTGGCGTAAAGCCAATGCAAACGGCTATATGAATTTAACAAACTTGTCATATTCGATATCGGTGGTTTTCTGATGTTGCAATCACTTGTCTCTGCCTTTGAAGCAGAGTCAGTGTCTCGTCGCTGAGGTTCCTCGTCATTCGTCATAATGACCCGCTAAAAATATCAGCTCCTCGGCCAGAACCTCGGATATTCGGCACATGACTGCTTTAGCCCAACCTTCTCAGCGAAGCTAGAGGTTGGCAGCGGGTGCATAAGGCGTGCTGAGAAGAATATGATTCTCCGCGTACAGGAGATGTTGCGTTTACAAGAAAAATTCAAGAGTTGGCAGTCCCCTAGCTTCACCTGAATAAAGACCCAAATCCAACTTTGAGGGTTTCTTCTCCAGATGCCCACAACGGGCGGGAAGCAAGCACCAGGGGCCTTCAGAGGCTGGCACCGAGACATCCAATGGCACCCGCCCCGCTGATTGGCGCTTTGACTCCGCCATTACGCTAACTAGAAATTGTCCCAAGCCCACAACAAAAACGGCGCTTTTACGCACGATAAAAAAGGCTATGCGTTGTTCTTCCTTTTCACACGCAGGGAGTCAGATTAGGTTCCACGACCTGTCTGTCGGGTCGATTTGACATGTTCACGATGCTATACACTTTTCAGAGCAGCTCCAAGCCACCGCGCCAGCACGCAGATGGCCCCGAGAGCAGATCTTCGCAAAGTACATAATATTCTACCAATCATTCGAGTCGCCAAGGCCGTCAGTCTTGATACGCTCTTAGACTCAGTGATCAACTGCACTCCAGAACCATCTCCCATCTGTGCGATGATGGGATGACTGGATCATCGGCAGGCCTGGTGCAATTCTGAAATCTAGAAATGGGATAGTGTCCCGAGCACTTGAGAGGCCTTGTGCATTTGCCTAATTGCGGCACAAGGAAAGACTCAGCTATTTGGGAAGACACATTACGCAGCAGTGTTCTAGTTCACGTCATGGGGATCTACTAGAGTTATGACAGGTTACCCTCTTATGGGACATCAAGAAAGACATAGAACCGACTTTTATTTTGATCCAGATGCACCTCTCAAACAGCCGCCTGGAATAAATCTCCTTTTAAGCCGCGCCACCGCGACCGCCGACCCCAAACTGTGCCTGAGCCTCCGCAACCCCGGCAGCAATCTGCGGCAGCTCGCGTCCACGGCCCGTAGGCCATGGCATAAACTTGGTCTCGGCCAAGAAACGCAGATACCTTCCAATGTCCTCACGGGTGATACCCTCGCCCGCACTATCATCAATCCCAGTCCAACGCTCAGCATCAGCCTTGAGCACAGCAACGGCGTTCCTGTCATCCAGCTCGGGCGCGCGCGTCGTCGAGGGCAGGTCAGAAGTGGCCATGTGGAACAGTGGCATCAGCGCGCTCTGCTCCTGGTCCTTTTCGATGGCGCCCGCCGACACAAACTCCTCGAGCTGCGTCTTCCACTCCTCGTAGTCGACCTCGGGAACGTCGTAGCCGTAGTAGCTCAGGGTCGAGAGGAACTCGTTCATGCGGAGGCGGGGATGCGCCGTGACGTGGATGACGTTGACGCCCGGGAGAGGGTTGAGCGCCGCGGCGATGACGACCCTGGCGACGTGGTCCACGGGGACCGCGTTGACGGAGTTGACGATACGAGGCCTGGCCTTGAGCTGGACACATCCCTTGCAGAGCCTGATGAGGAAATCATCTGTGTTTGAGACGCCACCGTGGCGGCTGCCGAGGATGTATCCAGGGCGGATCACGGCGCCGCGGAGACCGCGCCTGCCGGCTTCACGGACAAGCTGCTCAGAGACCTACAGGACGGTAAGCTTTGCTTCGCGGACTCAGTCAGTGTGTCAGTAACATACCCATTTGGTCTGGCCGTAACCAGTGCCGAGGCCAACGCGGCTGCCCTGCAAGTCGTCCTCCTCGAGGACCGCTCCCCGGCCAGTTGCGGTCTCCTTGTCAGAAAGGTTGACGTAATGCTCAGTGTCCAGCGTCGAAGTCGAGGACACAAAGGATAGCACCTTGGGCTTTCCTTCGTTACAGAGCTTCATCGCGTCAATGGTAGACAGGACGTTGCTGCGCATCATCTGCTCGTAGCGTGCGATCCAGTGCACGTACGCCGCGTTGTGAACAATCACATCCGCCGTCTCGGCGACTTGCTTCCAGCTAGCATCTTCCAGGCCGAGACGGGGCTTGGACAAGTCACCGAGGACACAGTCGATCCTGTCGGCCCATGAGTCCTGCCACAAGGCGTAGCCCTTGAGTGATCTCGTGAGGCGTTCCTTCGCTGAAGAAGTGTCCTTGACTCCGCGGATGTGCACGAGGAGCTTGGTGTTCTCTCTGCTGAGGATATCCTGGACCAGGTAGGCGCCCAGGAAACCGGTAGCACCAGTGAGGAAGAACGTGACACCGGCGGACGGGCTCAAAGCATCCGGGTTAGCGCTCTGGTACTTGGCGTCGAGTGTATTGACCAGTTCGTCGAGCGACTTGGCGTATACGGCTTCCGCGGCCTTGTCCACAGTGACTGCCTGACCACTGCTGAGGCGGTCGACCTGGGCGCTCAATGCGCTGAGAGTTGGGTTGCCGTAGAGGACGCCGATGGTGATGTCGACGCCCAAGTTCTTGCGAATGTTGAGGAGAAGCTGCTGGGCCAGAAGACTGTGCCCTCCGCAGTCGAAGAAGTCCGAATCAGACCTAAGATTGATTAGCTTTGATTGACCTGTCGGGCACGCGACGGTTTATTTCACGTACTTGATTGTCTTCTCGTTCAGTCCCTTGATGAGGATTGCCCACTGCGACGCAACGGTCTTTTCCGTCTCAGAGAGGGCTTCCCAACTCTTGAGATCCTCTTCTGAGGCGTCCTCCATCATCTCGGTGGTATCAGGGAAGGGAAGAGCCGGGGTATCGACCTTGCCGTTGGGGTTGAGAGGAAGCTTCTTCAGCACGATGTAGGTGGATGGCACCGCGTAGACCGGCAGACGAGCTTTGAGATGGTCTCGCACCTCGGCCTGGATTCTGCGGAACCGCTTTAGATAGACCACGCTCGATCCCATCTCAACGCCCTCGTCTTCAACATCCTCTTGGTTCTGAGCCTCTAGCCAGCGCTTCCACTCCGCGATCTCAGGAACGATGTAGCTGACAAGATTTGGCTCCTCGTTACGATCCCTACGAACAAGCGTCTTGCAGTCTCTGATCAGCGGGCTTCCGCCCAAGTTGGCATCAATTTCGTTGAGTTCAATGCGGAAACCGCGAATCTTGACTTGAGAGTCGATGCGGCCAGACACCTGCACAGCTCCCGAGGGGAGATACTGGCCAAGGTCTCCTGTGCGGTACAACCTGTCACGGGGGCCCTTGTAGTAACGCCGCCAGGGCTCACCCTTCTCGTTGGCCTTGTCGGCTTCCACCCACTTGGCGTTGTCAACAAACCAGTTCTCAATAAACTTCTCCTTATTCTTCTCTGGTTCGCCAAGGTATCCTTCAGCCAAGCCCGCTGCCCTGATGTAGAGCTCGCCGACCTCGCCAACGCCGCACATCTTGTTGTGGTCAGCTTGTGAAACGACGAGGACTTGGACGTTGTGCATTCCCCAGCCTGCGGGAACCACATCCCCAATCGAGTCGAGGGCTGTCGGGTCAGCTTCGGCCGAGGGGATCTCAAAGTACGACACCGCTCGGCTGGTCTCGGTGGTGCCATACATGTTGACGATGGCGCATGAGGGACCCAGCTTGCGAAGCACCTTGCAATCGCGAGTGGTGAGAATGTCGCCAACAAAGAAAACATGCTTCAGGGAAGGGAATGTAGCGGTCGCTCCGCCAACCAGAATCTGCCCCATGGCAGGGGTAAGATGGGTTACGGTCGGTGACCACGCATTCATCCACTCGCTCAGCTTCTCGTGCTGAATATCTTCCTTGGCAGGAATCAGCAGCTGAGCGCCGAGGAATAGTGGCGTCATGATATCTGACCCATTAAGTCAGCATAGATGAGAAGATTTGGGGCAAAGGATCAATATTACCTCGCTGAATGGGGTCATGAGCAATGCCAGAAAGACATGCAAAGACGCTCTCAGATGAGAGGTTGAAACGCTCTGCCATCCAGGGGAAGTATCTTGTCAAGCCGTAATGACGTCCCAACACCGCCTTTGGCTTTCCCTCACTGCCGGATGTATAACTCAGGGTGGGGTTGGAGTCTGGGCCGACAATGACATCGGGAAGAGTCGAGGCCTTGCCTCGTACGGTGGCGAACAGATCCTCGGTCTCCTGCTCGCCACTAGACAGCACGCCGGCGTCACTGAGGCGGAGATTCGGGAGCTGTGTCTTGAGGGACAACTCTTCATCGATGTACTTCTGCACTACGGGAGCAAGAGGACTGCACGAGTCTCGTCAGTAACTTGGGAATCATGAGGCTTCCAGTGTAGGAGTCATCGGAACGGCAAATACGTACCCATTCTCGTCTACGGCCTTGCCGATAGAAATCAGAGCCTTGGGCTGAGAGACTTCCAGATAGACTACTCAAGTCAGCAAGACTGCCTGTTTGACATTGAAAGTCGTACTAACTCTGTTGTCTCTGCGGAGGATAGAGAGGGTCAAGCACCGTTACTGTAGCTCCAGCAGCCTAGCAATGTGAGTCAGCGGGCGTAGCCTGAGTGGGAGAATAGTAAGCCGTACGAGAGTGCCCATGAAAGCGCAGACGAGCTCGACCGAACGGTGGGCGAAGATCATGACAACATCCCCATTGGTGATTCCAGCATCGTGTAGGTGGTTGGCAATCGTGTTGGACGCTTCACTGATCTGACGATACGTGAATGTCCTCGTTGGCGTCCTTGTTAAACGTCAGCAAACGTGGGCCAACGTATAGCAATGCTCGATCCGGGATTCATTTACGTCTGACTCTTGGTCTCGGTCACGCAGGGTCGGTCGGGGTGAGCCTGGGCATTTTTGTGGAATATCTCGTGGATGGCACCGACGTAGCCACTCCAGTCCAGGTCGATCGTGGGGTCAGGGAGGTCGACCATGGTGGCGTTCCGAGGGTATCTAGAATTTCGACTTGGAGTCAGAGAGACGAGTCGAAAGTGAGTCCGAGGCGTCAATTGGGAGCAAGCGAGAGTGTTCAAAATGCTACGACTAGGTCATTGAGCCATAAAATTGAAGAATCACCGAGTAAAGTTTTTGGCCTGGGTGCGTCATGTCGCAAAACAATTGAGTTCTGCCGCTGACTCCGACTTAGGAGGGGTAGTGGGGTAGTTTCCAGGCGGTCTAGCTCTTGGATGCTTTAGTGTTGGCTGGAAGAGGGATCAAATGCAGAGTCAGCTAAAACAGCTTTGATCGTCAGGGCTTCTGATAGGGCGGGCCCAAGTGCCGGGGTGGGGGGTATCACCCGGATTAACCACCAGCCCGGCTTCGGCAATCTGAGTCATCAGCTGCAACTACTTTGGCTGACTCAGTCGCCTTTGTCCTTGGATCACCATGAACACATGACACCCTCTGAACATATCATTCTCTATCGACATGTTGATATAGCTAGAAAACAGCTTCAACCACGTCCTTAGGTGCCTATCATGTAGGAATGATTCACCTGTGATGGGACACCTGTGAGGGGACAGCTCTAGTCCGTGGATCTCAACCCATCGAAAGACCGGTCAAGCCAACCTCATGGCTGGTCCAATGTCTCGCCAGTTGAGCAAATTTGCAACTCGCAGATCTGTTCCTGCAACACTTGCTGTACTGCTATGGCTCCTTTGAAATTACAAATGGCGTTTGATCATGACTAGATGCTTCCTTGGGGTGCTGTCTTTGCCCAAGGCTGGCCAGCACGTATATTTTGGCATAGACCATCAAGGTGCTTGTGAGGCTCGTTCTTTGTCCCGCTGATCATGACTCGCTTAGTTCGTTTCGACATCTGATCTTTCCATTGAGCCCAATTCTGGCTCTTGGCTCGTGTCGAGGAGACGACAGATATGCTCTTGATACTTTCTAAATATAGCGAGATTGTCAGTGCCGAGGTGTGTATGCTGCGGAAGCTCCCAGAAGAACACCCCAAAAAGGTAGGATCTCTGATTTCCCCCGAAGATAATCAAGAGCACTTACTTGGATATGCGCATCGTAGGCGATCACACGACACCGATTATGGGTATGATATGCTCCCGCTGGTCCAGAGGACCGGAGGAGGCTGTGAGAAGATGCACATGTCTGTCACTCATATGTGCAGACACAATTGGATTGATTCCCCCTCAGTTTGATGCATCCCCTAGTCAATGTTGCTTCCTACATGATGACATGTAACCACTTAGCCTCAGGTCTTGGAATCGCTTCCTTGGGCACAACAAAGCGTACTTGGTAGTGCTGCTTCTCTAGATCATCTAGCCAAATTGCGCATCAATATCCGCTGAGAATTACAAGCTCGAATGAAATAATGGGACTGAATAATACTTACTGATAGGGGCCTCGCGCCTTTTAGAGTCCGCTAGTAGAGCAGGAGAGTTGCCGCCGGACACTTCTATGCACCATTGTCCCCTTCGAAATATCTGGCCCCACACTAAGCCTCTCAACTATTCCCGGCACCGGGACGCACAAGAAGACATGGGGTCGGGTTGCCAAGTCTTTGAACCGGGTGCCGTTAGTATACTGGGCAGTCTCGATAGAGACTGGAATTCCGCCAACTTGCTCACCTCAATCATCAACAGATCGAATCTAATAAGCTACGTTGGGATTCTGAGTCGGGCAAAAGGATGATGCTCAAAAATCAGCCCAGTCTTCTGCAACAAGGAACATTTTGCCCCATTCTCTTGTCAGCATTGAGTTCCAGGAACACCGAGTCTGCCCACCCAACGGCAGCCGCGGAACGTTGTCGCGCTGTTTACGGTTCGGTTCATCAGTCAGACACAGATCTGTCGCCATCAGCAACGTCGCATGATCACATCCCTTTCGTCGCAAACTTCGCCGTAGTAGGCAATGGTACATATACAAGCAGAAAAAGGGTGCAATCAATACCTACTAGGTATGGTGGACTATGCTGGCGTCGGGTATTCGTCAAATGCTTGGCATAAATTATCGCGGCTTTGTAGTCGCTGACAGATGGCTCGTCTCGGCAACCAAAATGTAGCTTTGCGAAGTCTTTTTCTCCCAAGAAGATGTGAGTGCGAGATAAGAATTTGGGGTGTCAGAAGACCGCCGCGATCTACCTAGTTTCTTCACACTTTACCCGCACGCCTTTCCGGCTATTAATAACTCCGGACCCCAACTTGCCAGCCTCACAGTTGTCGCGCACTCATGGACTTGTGTACGTTTGTTTATGTTTCACTTTCCCTTATATCCACTTTCAGATTCACGAGACAAGAGAGACAGCACCTACTTCTCCACTAAGAATGTGGCTAGTCATTGCACCCTTGTTCTTCTGGGCGGAACGCAAGTCATTAAGTGAGAACTTTATTATAGTACAATGGAACAAGTTTTCAGTTTCCCGTACTGAACACTCCGCAAAACCCCGTGTTCGAGAAAACACTGGGTAAATTCCCGCTCGGTTGCGGGTTTTATCTAGGAATTATCCCGGATCCCAAACATTTGCTTAAGGCGTAACGAATGGCATTCTGCCCCGTATAGTAACTGTGTCTGGCAAAAGCTCTGTTGGAATAAAACCGCCGAAGTCGTGACTTACATACTATCCAAGATTCACCCGGCCCAGTCCGATGACTTTGAGAGTTTCGCCCCGAGTCCCAAATCGGGTACAAATCTAATTCCGTTACGGGGCTGAACGGTGTCGCCGATGCAAGCCAATACCATCAAGTCCCCCTAAACTTTCAGTCTGACGGAATATGCCAGATTGTGGTGCTTTAAGCGCAAAGGCACCGCCGGGCTCTTATCAATACGGGTCGAAATAATTGAAGCAGAAGGCATGAAGTTTGATGTGCTTTCACGAGGCTTGTTCAGATTGCAGAGTGTAGTCAATAAGGTTATGGGCGAATCGAATTATCCTCCCAACGACCGACCTTGTTAAACTGACCTCGTTGTCATTGCAATCGCGACTACGAGTGAGAAGATATTCTTTAGACTTCCCAACTAGGAAAGCAAAAATACTGAACTCTAATTCAACTAAACGAGCAGACGAGTCGTTTCTCTTTAAAGAGCAACTGTTCGATGTCATTACGTCAAACCCATCTTCGCCAGACGCGATCAACCCTGTCCGCCACGAGATCGTACCTCGTCGCATGAGGAACAAGATCTTGCCCAGCCACTAATAACAATGACACGGTCTGACTCGCAGCAACAATAGCCGAACGCTTGAAGGAAGGACGTTACCGACAACGTGGTACAAAGTGGAAATTTCCCCATCGTGGGTGCAGAACTGCAGGTGCCCATGACTCCAGCAAAGGTGACGCAGCCATTTATGTACGCGCTGGGAAATGACGTGACGGTCCTTAAGAAAAAGTATCTTCTCCTTTTTTTCTCCCTAGAAAAGCCACGTTTGCGCTTAGGGTGCGGCGATTCCGCCATATCGCAATGCTTCCCTACCTTACCGACACCAATTTGGCCACAGTTTGAGAGAATCGGCATGAAAAAAGTCCGTTGAGCGACTCACCGCCTTCATTCTCAGCCTGGTGGTGACTAAGTGCTTTCAATTCCATTGAGAATGGCTTTTCGCTTGTTTCTAATCTCGGTTGAATGCTACCGAGCAGCCTGAAATTCCTGAATTTACGTTGTCTCCTTTCCATCGGGGACCACTTGGTGCTTCTATTAGAGTTTGGAACTACGGTCATCTCCACTCATCAAACCTTATTCCTCACGTGCCTGCTGCTTCCTGTGCGCTGTCTGTTCGCTTGCATGGGCTGCACATCTCGCGTGGGCGTACAGCCAATTTCTTCGTGGACATGGGGGCCCCCGCGTGCTAGCTCACGTTCTGGATGGGTACGCTTCGATGATGATCTCACGCAACGATCGCCTTGTCCGTAGTCCACAGGCGGTCGTTATCAGCCGAAATTCCGACGGCGACGTCGATCATCCTTATGAGCTTCTCTTTTGGCCTGTCATCGCCGAGAAGCTTTCTTAAGCCGATCTCCTAGTGTAGGCTCTTCTACCCCTTGCCCCCCCGACCGAACGGAGGCCTTCGTAGTCTGGCTTGCAGGCACTATGCCGACGGTTGTGGTGACCGTGGTATGGGTTTGGACGAGGGGGCAAATGGAGGAACTGGGCTCGTCAGCCGAACGATCCGGATCCCTGGCCGTTTTGGACCCCAAGTGCGGCGCTCTCTACACTACACATTTCCATGGCTTGGCAGGGTCTCTTCGTCGGGTTTGTCTTGGCATTCTCTTGTCCAGATCATCTCACTCGTCGACTGATTTTAGAGTTCTCGGTCTTCAGCACAGGCTTAGCCAAACATGGCATGGGGCGAGCTGCCATATGGCATCTTGACTGATGAAGAGCGGCATGGTTCTCCTGGCCTTCCCGGACGCCATCCCGCGAGCTACCACGCTGCGCCCGTTGGGCTTCAAGGCCAGGGACGTGACCCCGCGGACGGCGGACTTCTGGCGGCGGACATTAGTCTATCAGTGTTTACCGCTCGCTTGTACAAGTAACGGAGCCAAGCCAAGAGTAAACATTTCTTATAATACATCATGAACAACGTTGTCTTTCTTTCGGCCATCTTTTGGCGGAGGATTAATCTGGGTCCAACGAGCAGAGTCGGCAGGCACGACGGTCATGAAGATCTCATAATCTTTCCAACACCTCGCAACTCTCCGCAACCATGGACGACACACGAATACACACTCTCTCGCCGCTTCCTTCGGGTCTACGACATGGTCTAAAGGCCATCGTCACGCTCTCGTTTTTGTCTCTCGTCACTTCCTTCAGCCTTTTCGTATACCTGGTTGGCAGACTCGCATGCTGGTATCGGAGGACGAGCCCGAAGAAGGAACAACAACGACCAACCACGAGTACACAGACCCCAGTCATTGCTGGCCTACCCCACGAACTCGAGGCCCAGTACAACGCAAACGGGCGGACGAAGCGCTCGAGAGCCCCGAACCAGTTCCTCGTCCTCCTCCTCAACGTTCTTTTCGCCAATGCTATCCAGGCCTGCGCCTTCTTCCTCGACATCATCTGGTTGGTGGAGGACAATATCACCGACGACTCGGCCGCGTGCTGGGCCCAGGGGTGGTTCATCTCCACGGGCGACCTGGCGTCCACTGCTTTTGTGGCTTTCATCGCGGCCCACACCTACCTCACACTTGTGAGAGGCCGCGAGGTCTCATTCAGGGCGTTCTATAGCACAATTGCTTTCTTGTGGTTCTTTGTTCTATTTATGTCTTTCCTCGGGGTCATCATCACCAACAACGGAGCTGACAAGGGCGGCTTCTATGTCCGCGACATCACCTGGGTAGGTCCCCTTCGACTTGAGAGTTTAGTTGTCTATCCGATGCTGACTTCCACATGATAGTGTTGGATCAACTCAGAATACGAGGCTATGCGGATGTATTTGCATTACGCCTGGATGCTGATCTTGATCATCACGGGAACTGTCTCTTATGTCTTGGTCTTTATCCACATCCATCGTGCAGACAAGGCATTGCGATGCGCCAAGAAGGCAGCAGCCGTGGCGGAAGAGGCCTCATACGATGGTATTCTCAGTCCTGCAAGTCTGCCAGCGGTGATTTCACAGCACAACCAAAAAACAGAGGTGCACAAACGCATCCTGTTCTTGTTCTATCCAATCGTCTTCCTCCTGTGTACGGCGCCGCTGGCTCTCGGACGTCTCCTGAGCAGTGGAGGCATCAAGCTCTCGCAAGACTACATCACCTTTGCCGGCTGCATGATCACCTCGAACGGGTGGATCGACGTCCTCATCTTCTCGACGACGCGAAGCGGCCTCCTATTCGATGCGCCCGTCGACGAGCAGAATGTCGGCCTCGACACATTTAGCTTCATGCCGCTGGGCCAGCAGTTTGGTCACAGGGTCTGGATCGAGGGCGGAGCTTCGAAAGCCCACCCCCATCACCGCAAGCCGAGCGTATTCCGGAAATCGTCTCGCCGCGCGAGGTTGGGCTCCGAGGCGAGCCACGACCGCAGCGAGAGCCAGACGTCGTTGCAAGACCGGGATGTGTCTGGCCTCAAGGGCATTCAGATGGAGACCGTCACTCGGATCTTTGTCGAAGAGGTGGGTCCCTCGAAGAGCAAGGAGTACGTCAACCGAACGCTGAACTCGATGCCCTCCGACGAGAGCTTTGGACAGCGCGTGCAGCAGAGCACAGATTCATACAAGTGAAGGGTAAAGTCGTCCTCACTCTCCTGAAACTCAACTCGGGGAATGTACATCACGATGAAGGTGGTGTTTTCCATCTGCAAAGTCGGCGTGACTCACTAGCGGCGGCGGCCGCCATGGTTTCTGCCGTGACGGTGTGGCAGCGAACCTCTGCTGAACACATGAATAGCAGTAGTCTGCCCCACGACATCTTCGCCTGCGTCAATCGAGGAAATCCTCTTCACCATCCATCTGAGTAGATGAAAAATGACGCAGCCTAGTCGGAGCCAAACGAAAAATCTAGTCTTGGACCCAACAACACCCTACAGACAGATTAGGGCGTATTTCGACAAAGAGACAATCACAGTATACCAAGCCTACAACTCCACGATCGCAGAGACAGCCGTCGCATCTCAGAAACTCGACGCGTCTCCAAACTTCAAGCTTACCCGCATGACTTGGATCAAGCCGAGTTGGGCGTGGATGCTCTACCGCGCAGGCTATTCATACAAAGACCGCGGCCAGGAGCGCATTCTGGCGCTCAAGATGACCCATGGCGGCTTCGTCGAACTTCTTCGCCAGGGTGCTCTGACACACGGCGGCGGCGATTTGGATAAAGGCGATGGGCGGGTGCGCGTCCAATGGGACCCTGAACGCGATGTGCGGTTGGAGAAGCTTCCGTATCGTAGTATTCAGATTGGGATTCCTGCTAGCGTCTGTGAAAATTGGGTTGCCGAGGGGATTATTGGTATTGAGGATGTGACGGGTAGGGCGCGAGAATTGAAAAGAGTCTTGGACAAGCAGCCTGGCATTAGGGACGATGAGCTGGTTGAGCTGGGCTTGGTACCTATTGAGAGGGAATTTCCAGTTCCGAAGAAGGTTGGAGATATGTTGGGGATGAATCAGTTTCCTGAAAGTACTTAAATATCAGTAGCAACATCATATACCGGAAATTTTTCTTTATCAGCTCCGTAAGTACGTTCCGGACGTTGGCCGATGGTAATAAGAAAGCCAAGGATGGCTTGCTGAAATATTGTCAGCACTATGCGCTCTAACTCCGGCGCTGAAAACCGATTGCCAGGTTCAACTTCAGTAATAAGCTATGGGTTGTGAGAAGCTATGGCATCCCCGAGCTGAAACTGAGGGGATACTTCAAGGCTTCTGCTATCGAGCAGTCGCGGTATGTGAATAAAATTCGCTCTCGGTGGACGGGGACCCGCCGAACTTCACCCCGTGTTCAGCTCCGGTCTTTCCGCCGGATGGTGGGACCGGCTCACCGGACTTTAGCAACTCAACCGCACCTCTGTTATCTCCAGGTCCACAGGGTTTTCCGCTGTTGTAACTACATGTTGGTTCTCCATCTTTCCTGTCTGACCATCCCTTCCCTGCAGCCAAGTCGGATGAGTCACAGCGCGTCTCTGCTGTGCGACCTGACTGTATCGGGGACACTGGCGATCGTCCTCGTCGGTCGGAGGACAATCACTAATGAATGACATGTCCATCTTGGCCTCACTGGGAATTCAACTTTTGATAGGCCGAATTGCGAAACGATAACTTAGGCACGGAGTACCTACAAAGGTTCCTAAAACTCTGGCTAAAATGGTAATGAGGGGTTCAAAAACTCAGTCTGAAAATCCAAGGAATACGCAGATGCAGATGGGAGTGTATTGTGACACGTCTGTCACAGGCTCTGCTTCACACCGCTTGCGAGAGCTCCAGTTACAGTGTCTCTTTCATCGGTGGACCCTCTTTCTTAGGATACGAGCTTTGCATAGTTTTTCGGATGCTGCCATCCAGCTGCTCTAGGACCAACACGCGTTCTCGACCTGCAGATCTGCATGGGCTGCAGCATGTGGGGCCTGTCAGCAAGTTGCATTCAAGTAGACAGGGATTCTGGATTCTGGATTCTGTAACCATCGTCCATCGACCCAGGTTGACGAAAAGCTAGAGTTATGGCTCTCTGGATCATTGCTGAGACCAGGCAGAAAGGGGCAGTTGAACTCGGATTGCCAAATCACTGGCTTGCCCAAATACCTCCACACATAGGGGGTCATTATTCATTGATTCTGGAATCTGGTAACTCGTCCCCGTATGTCTAGGAATTAAGAAACCAAAGGATTCTTCAGCATCTAATTTCAAGTATTCATGATCCGAATTCAATATATTTTGGCATTCTGTTACCCAAAAGACGTGTCAGGTCGTCCTGGTAAGCGGTGATAAGGCCAGTAGAAGATGGTTCAGCCGTTGTCCTGACTCATGACATGGGGTAGGGCTGTGGAAACAACGGCTATAGCAAAAAGGAAACAACTGACCTGAACGGCCAAAAGCCGAGTTACAGAGTTGATTGAGTCATGGGAGACACCATTACTCTTAACTCCGAGTCGTGCTTTAGATATCGATAATGCACACTGCAAGCGGGATCCGCCACCACGCTAGAAAGGCACCGGCAAGAGTTCGAAAGAAAGCACGGCCCCACCCCCGAAGGAATTTGCATTCCGTCTGGCTGCTGAGAAAAGTGAGCTTGGCCTCTTGGGGATTAATAATAGGCGCTTGTTTGAGATGCCGGTGAGGATGCACACAAATGCAAGCGCCCGTTGGCTGGAAAATACTGTTGGGCCTGTATGTCATCATAGCAAGTGAGTGTGGGGTTTCTCTCACCCCGAGATAAGGCTCTTTCAACGCGGACTTATCGATTCTCTCGGCATTGGTCATGAAGCATTCCCACGGAGCATTTGAGATTTGGTTATGCCTACTCCACAAAGGTCGACACCGCTCCCTTTGAATAAACCCTGCATACCCTGCTTATTCTGTATCAGCCCCCCCCCCCCCCCCCCCCCCCCTGTCTTTGCGCGTGGCGCCCCCCTCCCCCACCTGCGCCGCCGGGGGGGGCGGGGTGGGGCGGCCCCCCCCCCTTTGAAAAAACCCCGCATACCCTGCTTATTCTTGTACAGCCCCCCCCCCCCCCCTCCGCGTCATGTATGTTGGCGGGCCGTCGCGGATTACAAATGGCGCCTCCGTGGAGTGCATGTTGAGTACGCTAACGGGAACGTTGCCGGTGCGGTACATCATGTGGAGCCGCCTTCTCAGCCTTCAAGACTTGACATAATAGTCAGGGTGCCTTCGTCATGCGTATTTGTACGCCAGCTGCTAGACTTTGAGGATTTTAGATCTTGAACGTCAATCCTCTGCCGTTGCTGCCGTCAAACTTCCGCATTCCCTGACTTTTGAAAAGGTCTTGTTCTACAACCCTCACCTCAGCTTCATTGTCGATTTGCGGCATCGTCAACTTGACCAATAGACTTGCGCACGCCGAGATACCCCTGTCCTTCTCATTTCCTAATTCGGCAATAACACCATGGCTGGGGCCGCGAGACTGGAGGAGGATGGCCGCTGGGGAGAGAACGCAGCAGGCGAAATCTCAGTAAACGCCGCCCTGGAGGAGTATCATGATCTCGAGAAGGAGTTGAGCACGTTCCAGCACCGCCATTCCGTAGCATACCAACGAAAGCCGCAAGAACGCGATGGCGACGCCGAAGGAGAGAGCGACTCGACAATTGCGCCCAGTCTCTCGGGCGAAGACGCTTTCGACCTGCCCGACTTTCTCAGAAGGGGAATCATGGACATGCGAACACCCAGCGGCGGACCGGCAAAGCGATTAGGCGTTTCCTTCAAGAACTTGACGGTGAAGGGCATCGAGTCATCGACAAAACAGGTCACGACGTTTCCTCGAGATTTGATAAACACCTTTGGACCGGACTTTTACCACTTCATCACCGGCATCTTTCCCCGGCTCAAACTCCACAAAGAGCCGACCGTCGACCTCATCAGGAACATGACGGGAACGGTGCGACACGGCGAGATCATGCTGGTTCTCGGGCGACCAGGATCCGGATGTTCGACTTTCCTCAAGGCCATCGCCAACCACCGTGACGAGTACGCCAAGGTCGACGGAGAGGTCTACTATGGCGTTATTCCGGCAGAAGATCAGCTGGAGCGATATCGAGGCGAGGTCGTGTACTGCGAAGAAGATGATCGGCATTTCCCGTCCCTCACTGTGTGGCAGACGCTGTGGTTCGCCTTGAAGACGAAGACCCGGAAAAGAGAGCAGTGGACTATTCCCCTGATTCTCGACTCGCTCCTTCAAATGTTTGGCATTGATCATACCAAGAATACGTTGGTCGGCGACGAACACATCAGAGGTAAGCCCCTTGGGATCTCCCCTTCCCAGGTAGTTGGAGAAATTTGAACTGACTCCTTTGCAGGTGTTTCTGGAGGAGAGCGAAAGCGCGTGAGTCTAGCTGAAACGCTAGCCACACGAGCATCTGTCGTTTGCTGGGACAACTCAACCCGAGGACTCGATGCCAGCACAGCCCTCAGTTTCGCAAAGTCACTCCGCGTCTACACCGATGTAAGCGGGCGGACAACCCTCGTGACCCTGTACCAAGCCGGAGAGTCGATTTACGAGTTGATGGACAAGGTTCTTGTAATAGACGACGGGCGTATGCTGTTTCAAGGGCCTGGTGATGAAGCGAAAAAGTACTTTGAGGACTTGGGGTATCTCTGTCCTCCTAGACAGTGAGTGACGGTAAACTATTCCATTACGATGAGGAGATTGAAGCTGACCAATGCGGTCTTCAGAACGACGGCCGACTTTCTCACATCAATCGCCGACAAGAACGCTCGCCACTTCCAACCCGGCCGGGAAGAGGCCGCGCCTAAGACACCAGAGGAGCTCGAACGGGCTTTCCTAGAGAGCGAGCACTACCAGCGTATCCTCCAAGATGTCGAGGAATACGAGCGAGGTAGCAGATCCGCAAACAACGACAAGCACCGCGTATTCGCGGCCACCGTCAAGGAAGCCAAGAGCAAGACCGTAATCGGAGACTCCATCTATACCGTTTCATTTTTCAAGCAAGTGGCCGCCTGCACCAAGCGCCAGGCATGGCTTCTCTGGGGCGACCGGGGTTCTTTCTACACCAAGCTCGCCATCATCGTCGCCAACAGTCTCATCGTCTCGTCACTCTTCTACGGCTCTGGGCAAGACACGTCTTCTGTCTTTGCGAGAGGCGGCGTGGCCTTCTTCTCCATTGCCTTTATCGGATGGCTCCAGTTTGCGGAACTTGTGCCTGCGATTAACGGTAGAACGACGATCGAGAGACAGCGAGTATTTGCCTTTTATAGGCCGTCGGCCGTGGTGATTGCGAGAATGCTCCTGGATTTCCCGTTGATTCTGATCATGACGATCTTGTTCTCCGTGCCCGTCTACTTTCTGGCGCAGTTCGACGTGAACGCCTCCAAGTTCTGGATCTTTACGCTGATTGTGTATACGGCTACCTTTTGCCTCACAACTATGTACCGAATGTTTGCGTCCTTGTCGTCCACCGTTGACGATTCGATCCGGTTTGTCGGTGTTGGTAAGTCAACATGCATCAGAAACAAGCTTCTGCTGTATTTCTAACAGACCTTCTCAGTCCTCAATATCATGTTCATAATGACGGGCTATGTCATCCCCAAACCGAATCTTCTCAGCGACGCCATCTGGTTCGGGTGGATTTACTATATCAACCCCGTTGCCTACGGATTCGAAGCCATCCAAACCAACGAGTTCTTCGGGCGGGAAATGCAATGCAGCGAATCCCAGCTGGTGCCGCGCGGGCCTGGCTCCGACCCCAATTATCAAGGCTGCAGTCTTCCCGGCTCGACTCTCGGCAGTACAATTGTCAGCGGGCCTGATTATTTGCAGGCATCGTATCAATAGTAAGATGATCCGACCGGCACATTCCCAGGCGATAAGATGCTAACAATGCGTAGCTCCAGAGCGAACCTGTGGCGCAACTTTGGTATCATCATTGCTTTCACAGTCTTCTTTCTCGCGATGACCGTCTTGGCCGTCGACACGATCCGATTCAAGGGGTCTGGTGCCCAATCCTTGATCTTTGCGAAACCTCGGAATGAGAAGACTGTGGATCATGAGAAGAGCGAATCTCCCGAGGAGACTGAAGAGACATTTGAGCCCATCGGCGATGGCCAAAGTGCATTCACATTCAAGAACATCAACTACACGGTCCCCTACGGCAACGGCGAACGACAACTCCTAAACGGCGTCTGCGGGTACGCCAAGCCCGGGAAGATGATTGCTCTCATGGGCAGCTCGGGCGCCGGCAAGACGACTCTCCTCAACACTATTGCGCAGAGACAAAAGACTGGCGTCGTAACGGGCGATATGCTCGTGAACGGAGCCAGCTTGGGACCCGAGTTTCAACGAGGCACCGGATTCTGCGAGCAGAGGGATATTCACGAGGGCACCGCGACGATCCGGGAGGCACTGGAGTTCTCTGCGCTGCTTCGACAGGAACGCGCGATCCCGCGCGAGGAGAAGATTGCGTACGTCGACCGGATCATACACCTTCTCGAGTTGGGTAGTTTGCAGCACGCCATCATATCTTCCTTGACAGTGGAGCAGAGGAAGCGAGTAACAATTGGAGTTGAACTTGGTAAGCACTTCATGATCAACGTGTACCAAGGAATATCGTGAGCTGACATACGAGTAGCTGCCAAGCCAAGTCTTTTGCTCTTCTTGGACGAGCCCACGAGTGGCCTCGACAGTCAATCTGCATTCTCCATCGTCCGATTCCTCCGAAAGCTGTGCGACGCCGGCCAGGCCATCATCTGCACCATCCACCAACCCTCCTCCGACCTCATTGAACAATTCGACATGATCCTGGCACTCAACCGGGGTGGAAACACGTTCTACTTTGGACCTGTGGGCACCAACGGCGCCGTCGTCATCGACTACTTTGCGCAGCGAGGCTTCCCCTGTCCCCCGAGCCGCAACGTCGCCGAGTTCATCCTCGAGACAGCATCGCAGCCGTCTATCAAGGACGGCAAGCGCATCGACTGGAACGAGGAGTGGCGCAACTCGCAGGAGCACGGGGCTATTATTGCGGAAATCGATCAGATTACTGCCGAACGACGTGCTCCGCCGGCCAGGTCGACGGCCCAGACGGAGTTTGCAGCCTCGACTACGTATCAGTGCCTCCTCCTCACCAAGAGAATGTTTGTCCAGCATTGGAGAGAGCCTCAGTACATGTATAGCAGGGTGTTTGTCCATACCCTCATGGGCATCTTTAACGGCTTCGTAAGTCTAGGCAACCCCGATTCTCCCTCACTCGATGGACTACGGTAGGAACTGACATCCTTTTTTTTGTTCACAGACATTTTGGATGCTCGGAAACGACATTGCAAGTATGCAAAATCGCATGTTCAGCGCCATCATTCTCATCTTCTTCGTACCTCCTACCGTCGTCAACAGCGTCGTGATCAAGTTCTTCCAAAATCGGGATCTGTGGGAAGACCGCGAACTGCCCAGTCGCACGTACGGCTGGGTTGCATTCTGCACAGCAAACGTTGTCTGCGAGATCCCCATGGCCATCGTCTCTGCCACCATCTACTGGCTGTTATGGTACTTCCCCGTCGGATTCCCGGCCACTTCGTCGGTCTCGGGATACACGTACCTCATGGTTCTTGTTTGGTCTCTATTCCAATCCAGCTGGGGCCAGTGGATTTCCGCCTTCGGGCCATCGTACTCTACCGTATCAAACGTAAGCGCCGTCACATCATCCAAGTTGTCAGCCTTTTTTAACATACTCATCACTAGATTCTCCCCTTCTTCTTCGTCATGATCGCCATCTTCAACGGAATCCTAGTACCATACACATCCATGCCTTCGTTCTGGAGGTACTGGATGTACTACATCAACCCGACGACTTGGTTCAGCCGTGGAGTCCTCTCGGCGGTCCTCCCGCCCGCCGTCGTGCAGTGCAGCTCCGCCGAGTTTGCGAGATTCAACCCGCCTCCGGGGTCGACGTGCGGCCAATACGCCGACCGGTTCGTGAAAGAGGTCGCCATGACGGGGTACCTGGAGAACCCTGACGCAACGTCCAATTGTGGCTACTGCCCGTACAACAAAGGCGGCGAGTACATGCAGACGCTCAACGTCCACAGCAGCGACAAGTGGCCCGCATTTGGGATTCTGATTGCCTTTGCTGTTGCCAACTGGGCTCTTGTATACTTCTTTGTTTACACTACCAGGATTCGGGGATGGTCTTTTGGGATTGCAACGATCACAAGGCAGTCTTCCAAGCTTTTCAGCCGCATTTCTAGACGCGGCAAGAAGGGCACTGGAGAGGGCCCAGAAGCGTGAGTTGCACGGATTAACGTAGAATACGTGTAGATTCTAGCGCAATATCAACGTCAATAACCAATCAAATTCAGCTCGGATAACAAGGCTTAACTTTCTGCGAGAATTCGGTGTGGGGACCTTTGTAAACGTGCGTATGGCGTCACAGCATATCGAGGACTTCTAGTGCATTTCCCCATTCTCAAGGACTTTCAGTCGTTGGACTGAGGCAGAGTTCATCACACTGTGGGCTGATGCAAACATGAATCTGGTAACATCTTTCTCATCACCTAATGCCTAGAGCTTCCGTGAGACACTTCTGTACTCTCTATTTCTGTAGCTATGAGCATTCATCACTCGATTTACTCTTCCCGTGATTGCTCATGTAGCTATCGAGCCACTCAGCCCATCCCAAACGTCACACAGGCTTCCGTAGGATGGCACAAATGTCATTACCCGAAAACGACGAACAAATGAAAATTTGGACGTTCCCGTGCGACAACCCCACTGGCGCTAACTCTAGCGGCTTCTTGCAGACTGAGATCGACGTCTTCAGTCGGGGATTCTGAGACATTCATTCAGACCGCGGCCCGTCGCGCCAGGCAACGTGACCCCATCCCCGGCGCGTCTCGCATGCTCGCAGCACAACAAAATTGGGCTGTGGTCTCTGCAGTCATCATGGCAGGAGCGTGAGATCACAGCTTCTGAGTGATTTTAACGCATTCTTTTTTTTTTTTGCCTTGTCGTTTGGCGTGCATCGCGTTTCGTCATGTCTTTCAACGTACTCGCAGGAGGCGCCATCATCGACGAGAAGCACGATCTCCAGCCCACGTTCGACCATCTCACCAGTGCGTCTCTTCTCAAAGGATTTCCGGTGGCCGCGAAGGTAGAGCGATGGTGCTACCAACACAGATCGCGGGATGACATAGAACCAACGTTGGGGGTGATTTACTTCGACACAGGGAACGACGCGAAAGAGTACCTGCAGATCAAAGCCGAGGTGGCTGCCAAGGTAAGAATGGTACTGTGCCGTCAAATGGAATAGATCGATTAATCTGAATATAGGCTGGTATTCGCTATATATCACACAGACTCCCACCTGACGCATCAGTCGATGAGACACTCGACAAGATTGCCGAATTGAACGAAGATGAAAACACCCACGCTATCCTGGTTCAGCGACCTTTACCGAACCACCTCGAGGAACACGAGATAATGGACAGCATCCACATCATAAAGCATATCGAGGAATTCGCAAAGGGATATGCGACCAACATTGCAGTGGATGCGCTAAGGCGGCTGCTCGACGCCTACCACAAAGCCTGGATGCTCGATCTGACTATTGTCCTTCTGGGAGGGACGAACATCATCACGCCAGGTTTCAAGGCCGACTTGAAGCGCCACCTCCCACACGTCGACATCCTGGAGATGCTGGGTGATGGAATGTCCGAGATCAACCCCCAGCGCCATACAGTTGTCATGACAGAACTCAATAAGGGGGGCATCATCAAACCGAGCATGATAGGGCCGGGTGTTAAGCTGATTGTTGACCTGGGATTCGACGTGATTACCAAGATGGGCGATCTGTATCCTGGCGTGCACGACATCAGAGACCTTGTAGTTGTGCCTACGCCAGGAGGGGTGTTACCCGTGATTATCTGGCTCATGATGGAACGCACAATCAAGGCGAAGGCATGCCTGAAATCATCTCGGAGCTGCTGTCTTCTAGGTGCGCAGTCTGGATGCACAGTTTCTTGAACTGGACATGATGACGGCTCACACTCAAGTATAAGAGACGGTTCATAGCGATTCAATCACTAATTTTGAACATCCAGGCCTCAGTCGCACGGACAGAAAATCCGGGACGTCGAAAGGTTCTATACCTCTTTAACCTCACTGACGCCGATATCAATTCCTTTCTTTAAAGCATTCCCGTGAATCAACCCCAAATATTGCCTGGTATTTGTCGTTCTGATCGTACACGCCTCTCCTTGATTTTCGCCGAAAAGCTTACTCATAGCTTCGATCCAACCTCTTTAGTTTCTAGGACGAAGAAGTAGACTCACACAACAAAAATCACACAAAAGGCTAACGAGTCAGCATCCCATTTGAGCAATGAGAAGTAATAGTATGAGGAGCACTGGGCTTAGTAAAAAAGAAGTTGAAAGTGCCAAACGTGAAAGCCCTCAGCATTCAAGGTGTGATGAGAGCAACGATAAACTTTGTGATGTCAGCAAGGCACTTTAGATGTAAAATCAGAAAAGTCTTGCGAGGGCTGACATTGCTCAACCAACTGGTTTGGATTGCGAGCCCAACAGCATGTGATCGCAGGCCGGGTGGGAAGATCTCTGAAGGCACAATCCAGTTGACGCAGCCGATGCTGAAGGCAAGATTGGCAATGTATGCTCACACACAGAATGCAGCAGCCCAATCAGCCGACTTATTACTTGCCCAATTGTTGACATCATTGGAACGTTTATCGACGCGATTTGAGTGATTGAAACAATTAGAGATGACGTTTGCAAGGAGGATAGTCCAGGGATGGGACAGAACGTGAACAATTGGACCGTTGACCCCCGCGCCAACCATGGCTCCAAGTGTGAGTACTCCCGCCATCTACACCTCATAAGATCGCATTAAACCTCGGGGAATCTTCGCAAGGACACTTATATGCTGATAAAGTTGTTCATCACCAGGACGCCGTTAATTAAACCTTGATCGTAGCTAGGGTACTTTCAATAAGTTGCTTGCTTTTCTACTCGCGGTAGTCAAAGGGGGACGTTACCCAAATAACACAAGGATGATGCTTGCGAATTAAGCAAGAAATAAGATGCGAGATTCATATTTGAGGCCCTTGTAGGCTGGAAATGCTGTTCAGTGCCCATTATTACTGTGACCATGTTGTGACTCGAACCGGCTGCACCATAGGCAACCTCCATCTTGTTGATGATAATAATCAAGGATTATGAGTCGATTGCAGTTAATCATGAAGCAAGGAATCGAAGCCAAGACCCTAAGAAAAAGGTATCTGGGACGGTCCATGCAGTTGATCACTCTTCCGATGGGAAGAGAAGGGAACATGGCGATACATAAAGAAGACGCATCATCGGAGAATTTTCTCCAGACGATACACGTTGTACTCTCTGGGGTCCGGAAAATTACCGGGGAAACTGGGGAAAGTGGATGATACCACGGTGCCGCAAGCCTAGAATTTTGCTGTCGGCACGCCTTGCTCTGACAGTGGAGGCGACGCGGATGCCTTCATCAGATGAATCTAACTCGTAGTTCATCGGCTATGTCCTTGCCGACATGCTTTCGCCATAAACATCGGACGGAATCCTTCGACCAGCGTCCGGAAAAAACCGACTTCACTCCGCTTCGCTCAAGTAGCCTGGCCGCCGTGTCATTGTAAGACCACCGGTCCGTCTTCGGACGTCCCGATGGAGGCCGTGACTTTTCGGACCTCTTTGGCTTCTTAGCCGCGTAAATACGAGCCACATAGTCGCTCGGTGAAATACATAGGCCAATAGAATAGCCATCACTTGGTTTACGACTTCGTCTCTGAGGCAACGACTGTGCTGTCAAGATCACCACAAAACGTGGCATTTGGTGAGTAGAGTATGGGCATTTTTGCAAACATTTACATCAGGCTTTGCGAAGATATTATGCTAACTCAAACGAACCGCTGAGGCCACCACTACTGAGGGCCATGAAAAGACTAGAAGAGTCCGGGGAATACGTAAGCTTTTGTGCCTTAAAGCTTTAAGGAATTCCCTGAGGGCCCCCCGTCTTTCACTATAGGCTTTCTCAAGGTATGTGAGGTTCCTCCACATGCTTCGGCCAAGGTAGTTGGTTGAGAATACCCTCATGCCGGCTTCATAGTCAGGATATTGCGTCGACTCATATTTGAAGAGTTCCCATTGAAAATCAACAATCAAGAGTCAGACGTTCAATATTTCAAGTCCTGGGAAATTCAAACTTTCCTTCAGTGCTAATATTGCATTGATGATGGACAACACTTCATTCATGGGAAATGATGTTAGGTTCACTTACCCTCAACGAAATGCCCCAAAACCTTTGCTCAGGTCCAGCGGCAAAAAAGCTGGAATGGTCACAGCGAAGCCAGAAGTCTGGTGTCGTCAAATTCCAAGTTTAACTCGGCTGATGAACTTACCCCAAAGGCCGCTCAGCCTGACTTACGATGCAGAAGCTGACACCGAGTCTACTTTGCCCACTGGAATCAGACCAAAGTATCAAAAAGCTGACATGATGAAGGGGTCACGACAAAGCACCAAATCGACACTCTTTTTCTTTTTCAGACGCCAGACTCTGCCGTTTACTTCGCAGCAAATATCATGAAAGATCTAAGGATTACACCTCATATGAAGCCTGAGAGTGGTCCTCGTTTTCATGGACCCATTTTGTTTCCAATTCAGGCCAAAAGAATGATCATTAGGGTACATGCATGCTTTCTACCGTCCCTCAAGCTCAAATTGGCCCATTTCAAAGTCAAGGCCTTCAAAAAACGAAGGCACCTAGTCGCACAGACCAGACCAGATTGATCCCAGCATCAAACTTTCAGGGTCAAGTGTGAGGCCATCGTTTGCTCTACTATGTGTTATGTATGAATGTCAATGCATCAACTCGAATTCCCGACCGTCAAAGCCTTGCGCTCTGCCTCTGTTTTAACACACTATTACATATGTATGTAGCCACCAGACAACTTCACAACCCTCGGCATCAACAATGGAATGCGTTCAGACATGAGAGGCAGTGTTGCAATGCGCATTGACCTTTTTTTATCAAGCACGATTTTACCAAAAAGAAATATTCATCTATTTTGGATGAATCGTTCCTCACCAAGATGCCGACTGAGCCGCATGGCATGGGCCACTGGTTTTCTCCTATCCAATTTCATGCTCTTTCGGGGCTAGCCATCTGACGGAAAGCCACAATATTGTCGCCCCTGTCGATGTCAACGCCGCTATTCCTCATTGCGTTATTTCTCAGGCGTTGTGGCCTGACATTGTAAGCCACAGAAATCCAGGCCGCCAATTCTAAACGGCGGAGGACGGGAATGTTGCCGACTTCGGCACTCAATCCATGGTTCGCGCGTTCGGAAGATACAGCAAAACCTGTGGAGATCAGAAAACAAAAGAGTAATATACGGTGATGATAGAAAGGCCCATACGGGTGCTCGGGAGGTGGTCAAAGAGATACTCGAGTTGTAAAAGCTCTGCTTCAACGTGAGTGCACCTCTACTTCAAAGCCTTCTCCTTCCATAGAAACGCCCAAAAGCCGCTCGGGAGACCGTAATATGCGATTTCAAGATGGCTTTTGCTAAAACGGATGTAACGGAAGCGACCGCGCGGCCTCCCGATGAGGGCGACACTCATAGAGCCAGGAACATTTGGGTCCAGGACTATCTAGGCATAAGTGTCTGGCCGGGCTGCCACTAATTAAGCTAGTACCTGGCATGGACTCATAATCTGTGCAATCAGCTTCAAGATCGGCAAAATTTCTTCCGTCCTCGCTTGCGCGGCAGTCTAGTGTATGGTAGACTGGCGCCACGATCAGCGCTCACCTTACCGCTTCTGGTGCTCATGATAACTTCACTTCAATTTTTTTTTTTGCTTTCTGATTCTCCTATCACGGATTGCTTGGTGAATGCAGCCATCATGCTGCGGTATGAGTTTTGCTTCATCATGGAGACAGACAGACCTCCAGCAAATACCTCAGTCAACGTATCGTGGGTCACAACATGGGCAAGGCTTGAAGCGTGTTGGTGCCGCAAATATGACCACGATGAGGCATTATGGAAGACCGAGGGCAAAAGTGCTACCCTAGCAACGCCTTGGAAACATAATATGAGGTATTCTTAGCCATTCCCGCTTCCACGCGACTAACCTTTGACTGGAACAATCAACGCTTTGGCTTGTGGCTCATCGCGTGGTGTATCCGACTCTGAAGTGCACCTGATCAATCTATCTGAGTGTCACTCCTGAGGGAAAGCACTGATGAAGCTTGACACCTACGAATTCTCAATTGCGCATGTCCGAGGGGCAAGACAGTCTTAGTCCGGAGCATCTTATGTTGTGCGATCTTTTGTTCCAATCTTCAGAGTTCTCCCTGGCATCCACATGTGTGGACCACATCGATAATTAGTTTCCCATCTTTTTGGGTTTCTAAGGAATTGAGCTTATTTTGGCCTTAGCTACTCAATAGATTGATCGGCGACATGCAATAGAGGTAAAGCGCATTCTCGTCGTCCGTTCTGTCGGTAACTAACATGTCAAAGGCATGGCGTCTACTCGCTTAGCGCCTTATGATGGAGAAAAGTCAGGGACGTCCCTCAGGTCTCCTCGTCTGCCCAAGCAACTTCATAGGCCAACGACCGATCTCTCACCACTTTGTTGGACTATTGATCGTCAGCCGCCCGTTACCCCCTGCTTTCAACCCCTGCATATCCGAGTCCAGCCCTTACGCAAACTGGGGTTCTCCACCAGGCACGAGGGGGCTGAGCTACCTAAAATCTTCTGTTTTGGGTCCGTGGACTCTCAGCTCCAACTCCCGTGGGCGAGCTGAATTGCTCAATCTGGCAACGGGCAAGGCGGCTGCACGTTGAATCCACGTGGCTCTACCATCGACTGTAGCCAGGAGTACTAGGGACTCAAGCCTAATCCAGCTCGCTGTGCGGCCATAAGGGTCCAGAATCTGTTACCAACAGTCTGGAAAGGATGTCTAGCAAGGGGGTCAGGGACTCTCAGAGCGAGTAGCACACGGCCACCTTTCCCAATACCATGGTCCAGCTCCGTGGTTCAGCTCCGGACCTAGTCCTCCACCGCTTCTTGCCAGCCGCGTGATGTGGAAATGAGATTTCAGCATCAACACTACTTACTGTATGCATCGTGAACATGATGCGAGTCGTGAGGAGAGCCGAGCACTATTGTTGTCGCCGTAAGTGCGATATGAAGCGCAAAAGCAAAAAGATATTGGCTAGACTATGAGGCTAGAGGCATCGTGGATTGAGTACATAAGGACCTCGAATATCCACCATTGTCAACGAAATACCTCAACAGCCAACACAAGCCTCTTCACTCCTTTTCATTCGGTTCAACCCTTGGGCTCCGATACTTAACAGTTCTTGCCTTTAGTCGACCGATCCTGTCTGACAATCAACAACAATAACAATGCGGTCTGCTCCTCTCATCAGCGCCTTTGTCGCGCTCGCCAAGGCCCAAGACCTTGTCTGGCAGGTCATCGACGATGCTCCCGAGCCGCCCCAGACCACAGTCCCCATTGGTGCTACACCGACCATCGTGCCCTACGATGCAAACGCGGCTGCCGCCAGTGTCGTTGCCGAGGTCAATGCCAGCCCTCTCCCCCAGGAGACTGCGCCTGTCAAGTCGGAGAAGAAGCGTCTCGTCGAGCGCGCCGCTTGCGACCCGCAGCCCTCCGGATCCGGCCCCGTCCCGAGCCCCGACACCCCGGCCGCCTTCTTGAGCTCCGCAGACCTTGCGTCGGCTGCCAACAACGCTGCTACCCCCTCTGGTTACTTCAACACCTTCACGAACCTTCAGGGCTCCAGCAGTGCTTATGGCTACATGGGTTACACCACCCTCAGCAGCTACGACACTCAGGCCTGCGCTTCCAACTGTGACGCCATCAACGGCTGCGTTGCTTTCAACATCTACTTTGAGCGCGATCCCACTGTCGTAAGCATCTTACTCCTTCCGTCAATACTTGTGGACATATTCTGACCTCACACAGGAACCCGCCGATGCCTGCCCCAACCCCCCTAGCACCAATGTTATCAAGTGTGTGTTCTGGGGTGGCCCCGTCTACGAGAACACCGCCAACAACCTTGGCCAGTGGCGCAACCAGTTCGAGGTTGTCATTGCCGGATCCAACGGCTACGTTGCCCAGCGCGCCGATCCCCAGCCCGGTTTCAATTCCGCTGTCTACTTGGGAGATAACTCTATCAACGCTCCCCTCGACTGCGCCGGTTACGACACTTTCTTGGGTTCCAAGATCTTCACCGACGGACCTTTCGATCCCTCGCTTTGCGCAGCTGCCTGTACTGCTCAGTCTCAGTACAATCTTGCTCACCCTCCTTCGAACGCCCCCGCCCAGACTTGCCAGTTCTTCAACACCTTCTTTGTCCTGAAGAACGGAGTTCCTGAGGGACAGTACTGCTCTTTGGTACGTTCTATCACTCGTCTAATCTTATTGTGTCATTGAGGCGATCTCTAATAATACACAGTACTCCGAGTCTTGGGACACCAGCTACGCTACCAACAACGGCCAATGGCGTGGCAATGATCACTACACTATCTCCTACAGTTTTTCCTACACCAACGCAACCGACGCCGGAAAGCCCAGAATTCCTTGCGCCGTCGCCAGTGCCAGTTCCGCCATCGTCACCTCCAGCCTTCAGCCTTACTGCTCTTCTCTTCTCGGCTACACGACCCCGGTCGTCACCGCGACCGAGACTGACTTCTCCACTGTCCCTGCCACCACTGTCATCACGACCGTCACTCCTTTGACTACCTCATACAGCACCACCACTCAGCTGGTTGCTGTTACCAAGCAGCTGAAGCGTGACCTGCCTCCTCGTCCCACTACCACTTGCCTTCACGATGATCCCACTCCCCTTGATCACTCCGTCAAGGTCAGACGTGGTCTTTGGGCACGCGATGAGCCTCTTGTCAACGGCACCAAGGATGATGATGGCAACTTCCTTGATGTCGTTGCCCTGCCTGATGTGGCGCCTTCCACAAACGCCACCAGCTCTAGCAGAAAAGCTCGCCGCGATGGTACTCCTGCTGGTCTGGCCGGTTTCTCTGGTACGTATTATTACCCTCCCCATTGAAAGACATGATGCTGACTGCTCGACTCAGGCGATGTCATCTCTTCCGCTTGCTCCCTGCTCGCCACTCCCGTCACCACGACCATAACCGCCTCCGCCACCACTATCCAGACTATCGTGACCGGCGCGGCTTCGAGCACCACCACGGCAGCCACCAGCACCGTCATCGTCGTCCAGACCGTGACTTCGACCACCACCATCAACGTCGCCGCCAGCGCCCCTACCGGCACCATCGGCTACCTCAGCCTCAACCCCATCGTGAACCCCAACTCCCAGTGGGCCCTGTCCGACGATGCCACCCACATGACCGACAACTGGTACAGACAGGGTAGCCGTGAGACCTTCATCGTGGCCGCGGACGGCAGCCTCTACTCTGTCACCCACAACGCCTATTACTACATCTCAACCTCGTCCTCGTACAGCTTGCTCTACTGGTCCAACGACAATACCAAGGCTATGAAGATCTTCTCCTATACCACTCTCCCCGACGGGACCTCCCAGGTCTTCATGAACGCCAATGGCCAGGCCTACCAGTTCTGTATCCGCCCCGCGAACAAGGTCAGCGATGGCAACACGGGCTCTGGTCAGCACATTTATGCCTTCACTGGTGCGACTTCGCCTCTGAGCTACTGCACTACCATCGATTTGATCATTATCCCTGCCTAAGGGACCTGACCATGTGGAAGTTTCAAAAGTAGAAAGGTGGCGCGGCGTTCCAGAGACAGGGGTGAACTCTTCATTTTTCCTAGCCTCTTTGCTTTAGACTTAATATACCAGGCAATAATATTAATATGAAAATCATTTCATAATTCTTTGTTTCGCTTTACTATGTTTTCAATGCGACTACATGGTCTTCGTCTTGCTGCATGCTGGCCGTCATGATGCCCAACACCCTCGCCTTGAAGCAGTGCACCATCATGCTGGCCAGTCCAGCAGCAATAAATGAAGACAGTGGTGGCGGCGGCAAGTGTAGCGAGCCGCCGGGTGAGTCGCCGGACGAAGTCACTCCTCACAGCTACGAGTGGTATGAGCGTTCGTTGTCGCCAGACTTGAAGTCCGGCCCCGAGAACGACGGGATGGCCATAGTGTCAACCCACTCACTTAGGTAAGCCAGCTCCCACAGCGGCTTGAGGAGGATGGTCGACCGACGAGCGTTGCCTTGTCGACTTTTGGGAAGAAGCTCCGGTTCCGATCTGCTTGGAGAAATCGAGTCTGTGAAACATTTCGGGCATGCACAAACATACCAACAAGACAGACTCGCATGAGAGCACTCAGTCTCTACATCACGCATCTGCTTGAAGGACTTGGTGCGAAAGAGCAGATGGGCAAACCTATGCCTGGAGATGCTCGATCGCATCCATAGCCAGTTCCAGTTTCTACCGCAGTTTGACCTGATTTGGACCAAGCTTATTTCCAATCCTCACTTTCTCAGCTGGCAGACTAAGCTGAAGCGAGACCGACGGAATCCATAGTTATCGCGCCGGCGTACAACTTTGCTCATCTGCAGAGTGAAAACCACTCTGCCTTCGACGCCAAAAGTCAATCGGTTTTCAATGACGATAACACGGATCCGAGTATGCGAATGCCAATTAATGCGTTTCCTCTAGTTTTCATGGGGAATATGCTCCTCGTCATGCTGCTTTGGGATTGGACCGCTTCATGCTGAACTCGTTGTTGAAATGAGGGTGGTTGACGAACTTCGGGTGACATCGGTTTTGGGTTATACCGACACTGCGATGCCGAAGACGCAGTTGTACATCAGGTAGCAATAAGGCTGACCATATGTCACTGTCATGAAACATGATAAGAAATGTGCTCAGAAATGACGCAGCGTTCACATGATGACCGCTGATCTACGTGCTCAAACGCTCTCAAAAGACCTCCCATTTCTCTCTATATATAACTAGGCGACCATTGTAATTGTTCAAGCCATTACAAAGTCTACGCAGCTCTCGTACGTCTGCTTCGCCGCGGTTCCAACCCAGAACCATTGCAACACACACTGGCCAGCCTTGGCGCATGTACCCGCGGCGAGGTTGGAGGGCATAGTGACGGGGAAGGCGGTGTTGTTCTCGGGCAGTTGCGCAAGTTTTTCGTCGGCGTAGGTGTCAAAGACAATGAGAGGCTGTCCAATGACCTTGTTTTTCGCCGTGTCGACGATGGAAACATTCATGGGGCCCTCGTGGGGGATCGGAATCTCGGCCTTCATGTTGACGACCTGACCGGCCTTGAAGGTCTGGACGTTGGCCTTATTGTCCTCAAACTTGGCTCCTCGGCAAAGGTCAAGTTGGCCTGTGGAAGTATTGTTAATAAGTTATTCATCCACTTGATAATATGGAGACGGCCTTACATGTTGCAGGAGGGCTGGTGAAATCTTCCAGAGGAATGGTGGGATCAGCTGTCACAGCCTTGACGTTTGCCTGTCCGCACGCTGCAGCCATTGCTGCACCGACACCACGGGGAGGAGGCGAGACGATGTTGCCATGGGCAGAGACCAAAGCGGCGAGCAGCGCCGTGGCAGCAATGATTGAACCGCGCATCTTGAAGTGATTACTTGGGATGTTATTTTACGAGCCTGTGAGAGCGGGAGAGAAGGCGGAGATGTATTCCGGCAAGTTGTAAAGAAAGGACAGTGTTTGAAAAAAGCAGGATTGTAAGAAACGAGTGACCAGCACGATGATGTGAGTGATGAGACAAAGTGAGCAGAGACCGGATGATGCAGCATCAGGGTTATATGTGCGGTCTTGCGACTACAAATACCACAACTCGGTCTCAGCTCGACGACGATGTGATCCTTGTTGCTGACATACAGAGGTGTCAAGGTTCCGACGCCGATGGCCCGGCGATCAAAGCTTTCGAGCATGCCTCCCACCACCCTTACGCTTGCGGAGGCTAACCGTTGGCCGGAAACACGACGACTAATGATGGGACCCTATTCATCTCTCTCCATGTCCCCCACAACCAACTGCAGGTTGCTTTCCCCCAAAAAACACACAAACCGAGGGTGATCCCTGGAGCGAAACATGCGTTTTTTTTGAGGCTCTTCAGGCACGGAAGCAAGAAAAGCTTGGTGGGATCCACGCGGGTGAAACGTCGCAAGTTCTTGAGCCGTTCTGCTTCCGGTGCGGACGGTTGTGGACGTGGTCACAGCTCGCAAAACCTGCGACAAACCCTGTATGGGAGGTTGAGCGTTCGTGCAGCGAGAAAGCAAAATGGCCAGAGGGAATAAGACGTTAACTCCCTCGTAGAGACGCGAGAACCGGCGCTTTGTGTAGGGTTCACGCGAATGCGATAAGGGAATTTGGATTTTTCACGAGTCATCAGGTCATCACAACTGAAGCGTCACCAAGCACGCTAGTTGCAATGCCAAGCTGTCAGTTTGGATGTTGGAACTGTGAAAGATCGAGATGGTGATTGAGACTAAACCGGCGCTCCGGAACACCCCCAGAGTCTTATGTCTCCGGCCATGAGTGGAGACTAAATATCTCCGGCTCGGCGGCCGGGGTTTTCATCTTGGGCGCGCTACGGAGCAAAACTCCTTGCCAACCGGCCCTGGATCTCAACTAACGTCAAGTTGTTGACAGCCTCCCCGTAAGAGATCTTCGAGTCATATGGCTATCTTAAGAAGATTGCCAGCCAGGAACGTGACGTCGTGAGGAGGCGAACACCTACCTACCAAACTACAGCTCCCACTGCACCAACTCCTGTGCCTCACAGTCGACAGACCGGATAAATTCTAACGAGGGGAGGAAGTAAGTACTTCCAGGCCCGCTGACAAGACCGGCCTCCCTTGAGCATTAGCAAAAGCCAAAAAGAAACATGACTAGGGCACCAGAGAGCCCCCCCTCCCCCATCAATTTTTTTTTTTTTTCCGCATTGAAACTCAACCATCCCCTCGCAACTCATTTAGGCTCGAAAGATCTCGAGTTTAAAAGCATAATAAGTGGACTTTGCCCGCAAGTGTCACCCACTTCAAAGCACGGCGCATAAGCTACGGCGTGTGAGCTACGGCGTGTAAGCTACTATTGCGGATCTTTTTGGAGGGGAGTACGGGCGGAGGGGAAGTGGTGCTGTTCCCCGGCGACTTCCCGCAGAAAAAAGAGAAGAGAGGCGAGGGGGCTTGATTATCGATTGGAAATAAGGCAACTTCGTACCATTCCATCCGATGGAATCGAAGGTTTCCTTCCCGCCCGCAACTGTCCGAGCTGTCTTTTAGGAACACAGCACTTGGCATCCTGAGTGGACGGTAAGTATCGGATCCGGCGAAGGTCGTTGACCCTGAATAATGATCGCACTGATTCCTCGGCCCCGCTCGCCTACGCAGGATGCTATCCTATTGACACTGAGGGTGCGGCGTCGAGTCATGAGAGGTGGGAATCATCTGGACAGTGTCTGATCGTGCCTGTTGATGGCAGCTCACGGAAGTGCGAATTTTGCTGAGCCAGTTGCATTTCAAGGCCAGAAAGAAGGTTTTCAAAAGAAAGTTGAAAGATTAAATAGCTGTTTCACGTAATAACGCCTGGGTTTCAATAGTCCACGATGAAGACCTTGGCAATGCATGATATGGATGTAAGAATGCTGCTCGCAAACTCCTGGGAACGGCACGTTGAGCAGACTGACACCAACGAACGCTTCGTAAGTAGTAACGTAACGAAAAGCCTAATGAAAAGAATCATAATATTTAGAATCTCCATGAAGGTCCTCGCTAGGTTCGAGATTCGCCATGCTGGTTGCACGGTATAAGCAGCAAAGGTGCGAATTCACAGACTAGAGGTGATTTGCCAATACATGGAATTGTGCACTCTAACCCACCGCAAAATCCGCTTTGAATGCAGTACAGTCAAGAGAACTTTAAACAAAATGGATTTTCCAGATCGCGGCATTATCGCAATGCACTTTGCTACCCTGATCCAAAAGGATTGTTGCCTGGACCTTGTACCCCACGCGGTCACAACCCGGGACTACTTTTCGAAATTCATCAGTCTATGCTTTTGAAACTTGTCACAATCCATCCAATAAGTTTAAAAGTTTTAACTTGCAGTAAGAAACCTAGTGCGTTGCTGTCCAAAGTAAAGTAATCATTCAATCTCTCAATGTGACAACTTCAAAAGTGAAATAAGTCATTCCGTGCCCAGTGAGGGGTCTGTTACCCGAGCCTTCAAATTTCTCGTAAATCTTGCCTTCTGTCATGTTAAGAACTTGAAAATCTCGATTGGAAATGTTGACAGCTACATTCAAGTCATGAGGTTACTGCTCGCTGGGCAGCTAGCCCCATCTAGGCGGTCGAGAGAAAATGCCGGGTCGACTTGAGGGCGAAGCTGGAGTGCAAAGGTAGAATCAGATACATTGATGAGATGTCCGGATCTCCCACTGAGCCCTAATCTAATGGGTAGCTTGAGGACGGCCTCTCTTACCTTGAAGAACAAACTCGTGTGTTGTCATGGTTAAAGTCAAACCTCAACCATAGACGGAGTATATTTTTAACAGAAGCCAATGAGGTTGGACTCAATCCCTCAAATCGCGGAATCGGGACCGAAGCAAGGCGTCACTTCATCATTTGGCGGGTTTGGGGAAGAATCCCCTACGGGTGTTCAGACTTTAATTGAGTAAGTCAGTCACTTATACACGATTGTAGCGAATGTTATTCCAGGGCAGCGGCTACGCTCATCATACCTCGGGTCACCCACAGCGATGTTGTAAAATCTAGCACCTGCTGAGCTGGCCTTGTGAAAAACCGCAGGATTCCATAAATCAGTTGACAAGTCATGTGTGTTGCGTAAAAGGATTTGCTCTTTGTATATATCCTCGCCGAACGTTTGAAAAATCCATGTGTTCTCCATCTCAGCACCGCCTTCGACAACAGATCAGTGTTTGTTTCTAGAATCTCTCCGTGCATTTAATCAAAGGTCCACACTCTAAAGGCTGACAACAGAGCAACTCACTGAGTTCGTAGTCAAGGTCCTTATCAGAAGGTCATCATAACTAATTGGCGTCGTTGGCGCCATGCAAGAGACTCATCATTTCAGTAGTCCCTCACCAGGCACGACGACACGTAACAGACTGAACTCCGAGGAACTACACGGTCCGGCAGGAGGCCGGTAACTACAGCCGAGAGTACAGGCCATAGAGGCTCCAAGGCAGCCATCAAATTAGTAACTGTACTCACCAGTGGGATGTAATCACTCATCGGCACCACAATAGACTTGGATAATCTAAACTCACAGCATGTCAATGAATAGAGTGACTGAACAAGATCGCGGCAAGTTACTGAACTGGCTTAATTCACACGGTGTATTGGGCATCCCCCATATACATCTCTCGTTCTCTCTCCAGGTCAACCTTGGTCTGTTTAGTGGCGTGTTACGTGTTCCCATGCCCTTAGCCCTGTTCAGCTGTGAATTGCTTAGCAGCCCTTGAGAGCATCCTTCCTGTTCTGCTCGTTCTGCTTGATGCCTCCCTTGAAATCTCCCTCCAGAGTGGTAATGGTGTCAAGGTCACTTTTGTCACCCTTGAGACCCGCTACCAGCTTCTTCTCATCACCCTGCGCTTTTTCGACCTGTAAAACTTGGTTAGCCTCGCGTCTTTACAATCTACGTCTGGAGAGAGGTCGTATGACGACGAACCTTTGCCAAACCATCACGCGCAGCGCTGTTCTTGAGCATAATGCTCTGGTTTTCCACGCGTTGCTTGATGCCACTGTCGACAGTTGCGGCAAGCTTGGTCTTTGCAGCAGCAAAGCCAGACGTGTCGCTGCCAGTTAGGGTCTTCTTCAACGCGCTGAGGTCCTTTAGCTCCTGGTTCTGGATGTCAATGTTCTTTTTTATGCCACTGGCCAACTTCTTGGCAGCATCGCATTCCTCCTTGGTGGGCTTATCGTTTCCATTGTTCTTCGTAGCCTTGGACTTGTTTTTGTCGCCTTTGTTGTTGTTGTTCTTGGATTTCGTAGCCTTGTCGCCGTCCTTGTTGTTCTTGTCGGTGGTGTCTCGCGCGGCAACGGCATCAACCGGCGCCGGCGCAGGCAGAGCAATGACGAAGGTGAAGAAGAGGAAGAGAGAGAGGATGAGCTGAGTGTAACGCATCTTGAGTGCTGTTTGATGGTTCAAGTGGATGGTTTAAGCGATAGACGTGGAGTAGAGAATGTAAGTGGTGAAGAGCCTTTAGTAGTGGGACTTGATGAACTGAAATGGATTTGAGTTGGCGAGTAGAAGTATGTGGTTGTGGTGCTTCTTTGATTCAAATATATAGTCGCATCTTCCGAGTGAATACGGACACGGCCACTTACATCTGCTTTCTTTCCATCGCGTCGTCATCTCAAACGATTAGGCGAACATACTTCGTCCGAGGAGGCCGAAGACCCTAGCCGCCGCACGATGGAAAGCAAGTCAGTTGCAGCGCGTCGCGGTGCTTTCAGGGATCGCTTCGCTCTCGGGTGAAGCTGCAATTCCAAAGGGGGTGACCACAACGGCCCACCCCGCGCGCGCATCGCCGGCTCCGTCCCATGTCTGAACTAAGAAAGACAAGCTTCGGGGTGGATCCCAACGAGAAGAAGGTTTACCCGCAAGTGTTTTGGGCTGATCTTGTCGGCCACTCGCTAACTTGGACCGCCCCGCGTCGCGTTTCACCATTGCTCGCCCCGGGGCTGCTCAGCACCACGAATCCTCTGCAGTACGGACTACAGTGAGTACCCAACGCGCCAGACACCACGCACCAGCGGCACCACACACCCAGCCAGAAGAGTTCCCATCGTGCGAGCTTCGTTGGTGTCCTGTCCTCGTAACTTACGTCTGGCTTTAGGATCACGGGCAACCGACAGATGCGTTGATGATCTGCAGGTGTCGGAAGCTTACCACCACAAGCGCCAGTCATATTTCTAGGCGACAATCAGTTTTTGCGGTCAATCGTCACACGCAGTCGTGTTCCCTCGGTCTGGGCCTCGCTTCTCCGTTCTAACTTCAGTACATTCTTCACTGTGGTGTCAGGTCTACTTCATCTTTTGCCGAATTATAGGTGCCTTCAGACCATCTGCTACAGGTCCGATCTCTTTGCACGATGTGTAGCCACTCGCCCTCTTTTTTGCGTCGATGACTCGCCGGGCTGGCAAAGGGCTGGCGCGTCGTAGTCCGATATGTCCGCCTGCCATGCGATCAGGTTTCAATAGGCATCTATAGACAATCTGCCCATCGCTTCAGCAACCGGACGCGACTTGGACGCATTGTGCTTGGTGGCTTGGTAACAGCAGTAAAGACGCCAAGACCTGTCGGCCTCGTCATCTAGTAATTGTATCGCGTGGACTTGCTCCAGTCGAACAGGAACGGGCACAGAGAAACAGGAATCAAGATTCTTAGATCGATACAGCAATTCGATAAAGTAATAGCTTAAAGACTGTAAAATTAAGCTGAAGTTATTACGCTTCGTCCCCATCGGTACGGTAGCCGCGAGCGGCGTCTGTTTGTCAGAAAGGCACCTGAAATGAACCACACACACACACATGGTGACCTCACTTTCCAGAGTCGATCCAGAGTCAATCCAGAGACAGAACGTGCGTGCAGGAGAGAATACCACAGGACTAGAATCAATCTAGCCCAACGACGAAATCAACGTTTGCCGAGTCTCAGGTTCGCCGATGGGCTGATCTCATAACTGGGACGGACCTTGCATGTGCTGAGGAGCAAGGCGAAAGTTGTCTCTTTCGTTATCCGTAGCATGGAACACGAGGTCTGGAAAGACGCCGCCCGCGGTCTCCTCCGCCGGCCTCCGTCTTTCTCTTTTTTTTCTTTTTCTTTTTTGGTCTTTTTTACCCGCCCTGCCGTTGATCCCCCGCTACCGCTAGCTGGAGGGAAGACAGGGGAGAATTTAAGCTTCTAGTGACATGATTCGAGAACGGCACTACCGCCGTAGCGAGGTCTCAAAGTCGCTTGCAACTCTCGACTAGTGCGAAGACCGCTAAGCCTCCCCTTCATTGCCGTTTTAGCCATGTTGGAGAATTAAGGCTCCGGGACGCTCATTCCACATCATATTGTAATGAAGGGGCAGCAAGGGGGAACTGTATAACCTATCCCACATTGAGTCACCGAATTCACTGGCAACATGAACCGTCCAAAGACTGTGTGCTCTCGGACAATTATCCGCAGGATCGTCGTCGTCCCCACATGCAGCAATCCCGCTAACAATGGGCCTCGCCAAGCAGTCGCCAATGTTGCACCCGTCAAGGTCGTTCGTCGATCCCGTTTCTAGGCGGTCATCGCCATAACGCCTCACATATTATATTGCGTAGCTCTCGCATTACTCGACTGAAGTGCTTCATCAACGGCTTAGCTGCCTCATTGAATGTCCGTTAACACGGGTGGCCAACATGGGCCTGAATGCAGCAAGGTCGAAGTTCTTTTTTTTTACCATACCTTGTCCGTCTCAACCCCGCGTTTAAGCTTGAAGGCATACCCGGCACTAGTCGATGCTTATCGGCGAGGTTCCTGCAGTGCAATAAAGAAGCTGTCCTTGTCTCCGGAGACGGGTAGCAGACCACATGTCAACGGTCTCGTAAAGTTACCATGCTTGCACAGCCTGCTTTCCGCATCTGTCATTTTGTAAGGTGCTGAATGCGGTGAGGGCAGTGGGTGCATCGACGCGGGGAGAATCGAGTCGAAGCTTACTCGTAGATCAAACCAAACCTTCTTATTTGTCAGGCAACCCACTCCTTTCGGGGTGACGCGTGGTCGGAAATCTGGCAAGCTGGATGTCTCAACCCATTTGAGTCGGGGCATCCCAGTCATTGGCCAGCCGCACCAACTCACCGGCCATGCTGTGCTCGATGAGGTAAATTTCCGGACATCTTCTTTGGTGTAAGCCAGCCGATTTCTGACCAAAAGGTGACTGGTGTTCATGTCTCGTATTCCAAACTCCTCTCGGGAAAGGTGACCAGTCACATGATCATGAGAGACAGTGTGCCTTATTACTGTGCGCAGTCAAGGATCTACGACGCCGAACGGCTCCCCTTTCTGTTCCTCTAAGTTTTGAAAAATTCCTAATGACTGGTCTGCTCAATGTAATACGGAAATTCAAAGATTTGCAATCTTATGCCGGCCCCTGCTCATCAATTGTGGTGTTTCCGAGTCTCGTCGCGGATCTTTTGGTTCCTGTTTCTACACTAGACAATACCTAAAAGCGTTGAAATCTTCTTTTGTCACGCTCACTCAAGCTTTTGGGTGAGACGAAGAAATACGATGCCATTATGAAAAAATCGGCGCAATGCAAGAGCGGACAGGGAGCTGTTTCGCATCAAATCTTGGACCCCTTCTTTGCGTGAGACTATAATTAGAGTAATAGAGGCAGAACCAAATGGAGGAGAACTCCTCACGGAGCCTCTGACTGTGCATCAATTCGATAAAGTTTCTCACTTGTTTCTTTTCACGATAGCATCTTCCCATTGCTTCAATTCCTAAGGCGCAAAATCTGACAAGTCTTCTCCGCTAGCTTGTGTTTCCTTGGGCAACTCTGTGTGCGTCTCGAATATGTCGAATGAGCTATCAGAGTCATCGGCAATTTCCTTTGTCGTCGACCTCAGCATTGTCTCAGTGTCATCGAGTTGTACAATTTCTGACCGATTGCTTCCAGAAGCCGGCCCGGACCAAGAGTACCTCGGAGCGCCAGCCCTTCCCGCAGTCCCTTTGCGTTTACCAAAGATGTCGAAATCGGAGCTTGAGTCGCTTATGGTGCCGTCCCCATCTCCGCCCGAGTCAGAAGGGGCAAAGTCGCTGGCCATATCAGTCGGTGCTTTGTTCATCATTAAACCTGGAGAATGAAGGGTGGGTGATTTTCTTTTCTGCAATTTCGATCGGGTTTTGCGCCTTCGTGCCGCCGCGGCTGGTACGCGTATGAGAAGGTTGTGTTCATAGGTAACTTCGAGTCCATCAAGGCTGGGGAATAAGTGCTGGTATCCTGCGTTTGGTCGAACTGACGTCAGGGCCACTTTGACGACTTTCTCATTAAGAAGCTCGGTCGAGATGTTGCTGAGGCGCCCCAACAAAGACTCGAAGTCCCCTTTCTCATCCCCAATCATATTGACATGGTCGACACCCTCGATAACGATGTAAATGATCGAAGAGGGGAGGACGCGCAGGCATTCCACAAAGATCCTCCACGAGAGATCCAAGTCCGTCTTGGCGGCGACGAAGATCTCGGCATTGAAGAGCTCCGGGTCGCCATGCGAAGTCACTGCCGGGAACTTCTGGAGCATGCTGAACAGGAGGCTCTGTACGAGAGCGCGTGGCTTCGGTGCGTCGTCGACTCTACCGCGACGCAGACTCCCAAAATATGACAGCGTGTCGTAGCTGCTCTCCGTGGCCGCCCGCACAATCTTGAGAGATAGGTCTGTCGTCCAACTAGGGCGGCGAGGAATTCCATACCCGTCCACCCACAAAAGGCCAGAGACTTTGCTGCTTAGCCATGTCTGAAACGACGGAAGGCGAAGGACGTTGACGCTCTCAGACAGCTCAGACATCGGCAGCATATCCATTTCAAGGTCAATTTGGTGGAGATCGCAGTCCAGTGGAAGTAGGTCTTGAAAGAAGTCTTCGCATATTTCAAGCCTGGGCGGTTTGAGTAGCGTCTGGTCGAGACTTTGAGATGCTAAATACAATGTTAGAACTCTTAGCGACGAATTCTGATTTCCACACTAACCATCAATTGCCTGAACTCTTCTTTTCCGACTGATGTCATCCCTACGAATGATTTCTTTATTGAATACGTAAGCATTGCATAACCTCTCGAACAGATTCTCAAGCTTTGTTTTACCTTCTAGCACGCCAATAATGCGCCCATGATCTTCTTTTACTTCGACCATATCCCTCTGCAGACTACACTGTCTCTCGAACTGATATATCATGAACTGGACCTCGGCCTCTAGCCTCAAAATGGCATAATTCTCGTCAATGGTCTTGAGAATGGGACCAAGTCTGGTGTCAAAAGGTGTGACTATCGTTTTCAAGGTTTTTACTGGTAATGGGAGAGTTATGTCGTCAGCAGGTTTGAACAGATGGTGTTTTCAGTACGAAGTTCCCATACCCAAGCAGTTGCTACGCAGATACCGCACACAGAATCCCAGGAAATCTGCGATGGAAGCGTAAATTGCCGATGCAGCACCCGTCATCCTCTCGAATGAATAGAATGACAGGAGAAGGCTCACCAGCTCAAGTTTGCTGCCTATACGACCAAGATTGGCGACGATGCCCTCTTTGACCTTTTGATACTCAATTGGAATCATCAGCAATAATTTCATTGTTCCCCAAGCGAGGCTGACCCATTCGGGGTGATGCTGTGCCAATGCGTCCATTACTGCTGCATAGTGAAGAGTAGATTTGCAAAATTGTTGTAAACCAGCCTGGATGTTGCTGCCAAGGCTCCTGTTCTCCTCTTTGACATTAAAAGCCTCCTGCAAGGCATTCGCCTGAAGCAGAACATCCTTGAGTTCGCAGCCGTGCTTGGCCACAATGTCGCGTTTCTGTTGAGAGGCCGCGGCATTGTATTCGGTTACCGCTACTTCCAGTTGCTCGAACTTGTCTATAAGGAATGGGCTCTTTGCCAAGTCAAGCGCCCAGGCAGGTCGGTTTACGTCGGCGGGATTGGCTGGGCTACAAGATGATGACGTTGCCGTATCTAACCTTGTCTCTTCAGCAGTTTGGAGAGTTTTCAAAGACTCTATTAGCTCTACTTCCTCCATGGATTGGAATTCCCGGGTCTTGGTCTTCTCAAGAAGATGACTTAGTTTTCCATCACGAAGCCGGGGTTTTGTGGGTCTTTTTGGAGCTGGATGGCCCAGCCTGATCAATCGTTTCAGCGGGCTGCCCCGGTCTAGGGGCTCGCCGACATTCGATAACGTGTCGTTCATGACGTGATCAATATTTCTGCCTGTGCCGGTGCTTCACGAAGTTCTTTCAGGGAAATCGCTTCCAGGAATGCTCTTTTTGTGTGAAGATCAAGGAGAGAATGGCCGACATATGGGTGGCTTTTTCAATGACTTCATGTTCTCGGAGAGAGGTGATCGTCTGAGGCAATGTGCCATCTGTCAAAGATGGTGTATGGCCTCATAGCCTGCATGACTGCCCAGCTTCCCGTCACTGACGTGGCAACTTGGAATCAGCCTAAATATGCAAGAATTCGACTGCCCTGGCCTACAAAATCAGTGCTACGTTCTAGTGCAGCAATGTTATGCGGCCTGTCTGACCTTCATAAATCAGGCTAACCAATGAAACCGCTGAAGACGTCGAGAAGGCAGCAATTCGTCCACACGAATGGAACTTTCTCAGGGAGTGGGAAGGAGTGAGGTCCCCAATGGTTTTCACAGTATCTGAGAATGATAAGACTGAGTTACACGACAAGGAAGATAATGGTGTATGTGATTTGATAGGATGTCATTCGATGTGAGACGCAGGCTGACTGTTGCCAAGAAGCTGGTCCAATATACGCAGACCATTGCGGGGAGATGAGTGTTTCCCAGGGTATTTTGACCATCTGCACAAGTCTAGGTCCTTTGTACTCATACTTGATGATGCTTGCAAGGCTTTAATATGTACAATGTACATACCAGCTACCCAAAACGGATTGATCCCGCCCGTAGTAGATGGCATGAAGAACAAGGGTGCTTGCGATATAAATGGATGGTCTACATGGCTCGCTTCCTACAGATGACATTCCTGAGGATATTGGTCGTTCATGCTCTAGAGACCTGAAGATTGACCCGCCGGTATGGATTCAGAAACCAAATCGTCACTCAACCTCATCGAACCTGATCGAAACAGATTACACAGTCGCCAAGATACTTCAACTGGCGAGGCTGGTAACTTCATTTTTTCACCTCCGCCACCTCGTATGATGATACCCAACGATGGAGGTGGAATCAGAATCAACCGGTCTCTTTCTTTGACTCCTCCGCCTTCTTCGCCTCCTCTGCGCGAAGTCAATGAAGTAGGTGGATGTGTTGGCATAGTCCATGAATAACGCTTCTCACAAGTCTTAGTTTGGTGTTAATGTAGGCCACGTCACGATACAGTCATACCGAGATCGTCAGGGCCGCTATAGAACGACTAAGCGAAAGGGTATTCCGTCTAAAGGCGAGAAATATGTGGATACAGACCGCGTGCCACAAGTCACATTCTTCCATGCGGTGGACGAGATTGGGAACATCCAGAGTCAAAGGATCGAGGTCGACTGGTGGGAATTCAGCGAGTTTCTAGAGAGCCTTGAAGAGTTTCCCCTTGCTGAGATGGATTCACGGCAAGAAACAACATTCTTTTATCCTTTTGTGTCGCTTTTCTTACGCTTAGATGCGCTTGAAAGGGAATCATCGACAACGGAGGCAAGGTCTCCCATTGCCCACAACAGCACAGCCTCAGCACCCAATATTGGCATTACCAAGGCCATTCTAGGGTTTCTCGGGGAAAATGCCAGTGAAATTCGATCAAGGTTCGATGCGTTGAACTCCGCCAACCCCAGCACTCTGATTCAATACGACAATCTGTGGATGCTTTACAAACCGGGCCAACTTGTCTTCGCAAAGATTTCGGGGCTACATCCGGTTTGCTACATGGTAGACTACCCGACTGTCATCAGGGAACACGATAGCCCGAGCCTGATGAGACTGGAACTGCGCTGCTGGGATATAAATTACAATGCGAGAGTGGGCGCCTTTACGAAACGACGTTCAGCACTTACAATTGACCGTTTCCACGGCGGAATTGCAATCGCAAAACTGGTGTATGTGCCAGAGAGATTTGTGGAAGATCCAGATGCTGTCAAGGCGCAGATACTCGCAAGAGGCCAACACTTCTGGGAAATGAACACAACGTCCAGATTTCAGCAGGTCGTAAGTCACCAAGACCATGGCCAACACAGTTCTTCCATTTTGAGAGTGATTGTGAGTGAAGGAGCTGGGAGTACGATGCACCAAGACCGGCTCAAGAGCATTGAAATTGCCAGGCTTGCCAAAACCGAAGCCATCGAAAAATGGAGTAGACAGGCTAGCGGAGGTTCTGGCTCATCTAGTAGGAATAGGACCTTTGAGCCAGCTGTCAACGTTAATCCAGCTCACCAAGAAGTGAGAGCGACGCGGAGCCAATGGTTTCACAGTTACGACACCATCCCAGCAAGCAGTAAGCCGGATGATTTGGCCCTCATGCTTTGCCCTCACTCGGTAGTTGCTTTCAGCCTCCGCGACAAATCGTGGGGTAAGTTTCCGCATGCACCATTTCACTTCATTGGAACTGACTGGTAGAAAGGTTCGTACCACGTCGCCAGCCTCAAACCGGTTGAGTTTGCAACAAATGCATGGTCGCGGCTAGTTCTGAAAACAGATTATAAAGAAGTCATTTGGGCAATGGTCAAGTCCTATATGGCGCACAGTACTGGATTCCAGGACCTTGTTGAGGGAAAAGGTGATGGTTTGGTTATCCTTCTTCATGGGCCTCCAGGGGTTGGCAAAACCTTGACCGCAGGTACGTGCTGTGTTGTCCTTGTGGTAGAAATGGATCCTGACTTGGTATACAAAGAATGCGTCGCAGAGTCATTCAAGAAGCCTCTTTACATGGTAACCGCTGGAGATCTCGGAACAGATCCTGAGACACTCGAGTCGAAGTTGTCGGATATCTTCAATCGTGCGGTGGAATGGGATGCTATATTGCTGCTAGACGAAGCACACATTTTCCTGCAGGACCGAGACTACGACAATTTGCAGAGAAACGCATTAGTATCCAGTAAGCTGTCCTTAGATCGTCAAACGTAATAGCTTGGAAAACTCCTGATTCACAACGCAGTCTTTCTTCGAACACTGGAATACTTCAACGGCATCATGTTCCTCACTAGCAACCGCGTCGGCGCCTTCGACCAAGCCTTCCAGTCCAGGATCCACATCACAATCGGCATGCCAGAATTCGACGAAGCCCTCCGTAAGGAAGTCTGGAAGATCTTCATCAAAGATCTCGGCCGCCCACGCCGCGACGGATCGCCGGCCCTGCTGTCGCACGACGAGTGTCGCGCCCTGGGCAGCGAGGTCGTCAACTCGTGGGCCTCGCAACCACTCAACGGCCGCCAGATCCGCAACTGTGTCAGGAGTGCCTTGGCGCTAGCGGAGAACAAAGGGACCAAGCCGAACGCAAGCCATTTCAATAACGTCATTAAGCTTGGCAATGCATTTACCCAGTACATGAACAAGTTGCAGAAGGCCGAGGCAGAAGAGATTGCTCAAATCAAGGGCGATCGACTGGCGGCAATGAAGGATCTCATGGCTCGAGATGATGTTCCGTAGGAGAATCCTCTTTCCTTGGAGATTGGCAGCAGTACATTGGAATTATCTTAAGACAAACTCTTCACCCTCAATGAAGTGGGAAACAGTGCCCTTTATCTGACGCATAATATGGTCACATAAGCAGAGCAAATGTTATACTGGACCTAGCTCACTCTGCTCGAGCGATCATTTATTTGAGCTACAACTTGGGGCGTAGGTTGAGCTATCTGAAGTAACGAGAAAGCTTCCACAATCTGTTACGAGGCTGGGAGGGACTTCTGAGGAGAGGGTTGTGATATTGATTAATTGGAATTTAATCTTTGCACCAAGTAGAAAACTTCGATCTTCGCAACTACACCCCGACTAAGTCAACTTGAACTGAGCGTAAAAAGTTCATTAATAGTCGCCACCGGACCTCCATCAATAGATCCTATCTACACATCAAACTAGACCGTCGCAACCTATCCAACATCTCTCCTTCTTTTGTTCTCACATACAATCTGCTGTATTTCCTGGTAAGACAACCACAAGAATGATCAAGATGAAAGCTCTGAGGTTAGAACAAGATAACTCACCTTTCCACGCTATTGAGATAAGGTTGGCTTGACTGACCGGCATATGGATGTGTTGCAAACCTGTCAAAGCCAAGGCTTGGCTTGATCCGGACTTGGCCTCGGAATGATTACAGAGACATGAGTCTCCTTCAAGTACAGGAATGTATTTGCAAAAGAAAATGATTGGATGACCCTAAAGGCTTCATCCTCCATGACAGCCTTGCGGGGTTGCGCAATCGCTTGACACTAGCCTATGCTTGCGGCCCATGCTTGCTGACAGGGAAGCCCAATTCGAGCAAGAGATAACAGAGCATCGAGATTGGCCTGCGACAGAGCTCTCGCCCACCAAGTCGGAACTTGACTCAAACGAGGCGGGGTGGCAGAACTTACAGGAGTTGGGGAAGATACGGCGCGTGACCGCCGTTGCACATGTGTGGTGGCGGGTTCAGAAGCTGTACCGCGAGTTCAGGGTCCACCAGGAGCCCTGTACCGCGGCGCGGAGCCGGACCTCCGGGAAGCGAACTGCAGAGCTAGGTGCTCGGGCGTAACGAACTAATAGAAGAGGTGGCAATCTCTGAACGATGCTGGGTTATCTGGTTAGAATTGCTGAGATGGACATTGACCAAAGTAACCATCACCAATGGAGCAAGCCTCTCGCCGTTAAGCTTTCTCGTGACACAACAAGACGCATGGCTTATGTGGGACGGCCGCACAATCCGGTCAGACTGCGCTGGATGGGTTGGGTGCCAAGATAAGCCAGCTGCATGGCCAAGGAACGGTTCACGGTAGTCTTGCTACTAAGCGGGAGGGCTAATCTGGCAGGCCGGGAATCTAGTTAGCCAAGTACCAAGTCCGCGAGCGATATGGGGTCCGCTGGAGTTGAGACCCGGAATTTGCGGGGAAAGAGACCAAGACGAGCGTTGTCAAAGATGAAGACGGACGGAGATCCCAGTAACGAGTCAGGAAGGAAGCTACGGATGTGGATAGTCTGGGGAAATATTCAACAGAAGGGTTGGTCAGACCAGGGTTCGGGGAGGTCGGCGGCGCTCTGGTTGGCCTGAGGAGGGATGGTGGGTTCGGGAGGGGTGTGATCTGGAGCTTCAACAGAAGAAAAGAGGAGATAAACGTTCCACTATGTGCTGCGATATGGTACCAAGTGCGGTGCTAGAGTTTCTTCGTCGAGTTTCGACATGGCATACAAACATGCATGATTACCGAGGACACGGCGAGTCGTGAAGTTGCGTCGAAAGAAACATATTCCCCTCTTTGCTTCGTTGCTTCGGGCATTTTATTGACTCGAGAGGCCGCTGCACCGACGAGTTGAATGAGACTAAGGTATGTGCTGTTCGCCATCCAACCAACCCCCACTGCCCACGTCCCTGTCTCCAGCGGCTGAGAGACCAGGCGGCTTCGCCAATCTCTGGTCGCTGAGATCCTGCGAGCCCCTTGAAAAGTATCCTGGCCCAAGCGGCGGAGGGCTATTGGTGCAGTGTGCATGTCGCTGACGAGCGGGTTATCTATCCGGGGCAGCACTTCTTAGGGGCCGTCTGCATGCCAAGTGGACGCTGTTCAAGGTAGATGGAGTAGGCGGCAAAGTCCAATATGTCGAGCTAAGGTAGTCTGGCTGCCAATAATCTATGTAAAGCACGCCCAACGTGACTGGACGAGGACGAGGTGGTGACACGAGGGCGGCTTGTAGTGGTCGATGAGACACAAGGGTGGGCTGTGTTGGGAATCTGGTCAGAAGAGGAGGAGATTGAACATTTCGATGTGGCCGTCTTTGACAACTTTTGCATCGGAAAGCTTCGAAAGAAGCCGAGGTCTTCAGGGTCCCGGGTTCAGAGAAGAACAAAACCTGCAAGTATAGACTCTGAGCTGGTTGAGTAACAACAGGTCCGTGGTCATGGACGGCAGACTGAAAGTATATGGCTCCCGCTGGAAAAGGTTCGGTGCATGGCGGAGGAGATGCAGCGACATCTTGGCTCTTTCATCTGGTCTAAACTCAGGGTTTGATTTCGAAGCTCGAGATGTTTGAGGTGGCAGAAACATGGGCAGATGGTGGTGCTTGTGGATGGGCCCATGGTGGTCAATTGATGGCCCAAAGTGGCGAGAGCAGGCATGCGATGGCACGCGAGATGGGACGTCTGTCTTTTGTCCGCATGTGTGCTGGGTGGCCCAGACGGCAGAGTGCATTGAGTTTGGTACCGGTATGCGTTGAGTGCAACCGTGTACGTGGTGGATTGCGGGCGAGGTGGACGAATGTCTCTGAGTCTGCAGATTCGAGTGTGTGGGATATGTGCAGTCACAAGCGGCTATGGTGGGAAAGGGTACGTACCACAGATGGTCGGTTCTGATGCAAGACTGAGGGGGCACGGGGGGCGCCAAGCAGGGGAGGGCAGAAGATGTGCAAGAGGGCAAAAGAAGAGACAGATAAGGTATCCGTAGGTAGGAAACGACGATGAATTACGGCCTAACGCCTCCCAGGAAGATACGCATGACGAATAAGACGGTCTGGAGAGAGACAGGTGGGAAAGAGAGAATCACAGAGACCCGGGGAATGTGAATAGGACCCCTTCTTTCCCGTGCTGGGCCCCTGCCAAAATCCTTCCATCTGCAGCCCAGCTCCTTCCATCTGTGTGGATGGTACAAACGACAACGTGACTTCCACAGCAGCTAGAGCCTACCTTGGGTACCTTGCTTGAGAGGAGGTAGGTGCATTTTGCGAGTGCAGGTGAAAGTGCAGGTGAGAGTCAGACGTCCCGTCGCTCTTTCCCACCTCTGGCGGCTGGTTTGATTACCCCGCAAATCACTCGATTGGGTGACGTCGACAAGCGGGGGTCTGGCTGGTTCAACGCGCTATTCCAGCACTAAGCACTGCGCTAGGTACCCAAGAAGAGCATGGAGGGTACCCGTACTGCGTGCCCGTGCGTACTGCCGTGCCGCCAAGGTGTCTTTGCTGGAAGCAACGCGGAGGCCATCTCATCCATGATTGGGCCATGTGTCTGTGAGCTCGCGCTGGACGGGATGCCGGGATTGTGGTGTCGTGGGCGAGGAAAGTGCTGAGGGTGTGGACGCTGCCGTAGCCTCCGCGCCAACCTTTCCATGCTGAACTAGGCATTTTGGGTCTTCCAGGCTGTCTCTTGGCGGCCCCTTTCCTCCACATATTCTCCATTATCCAGTGCAGGTGCAGGTGCAGGTGCAGGTCCAGGTGTCGTTGCCAGGAATAGTACGAACGGCAAGAACGAGAGCGAGGAAAAGAGAATGACCATCAACATCAGCATCCCTATGCTTGCGTCGGCATCAACCTGTCTTGATCTGCCAACCTGCTCTCTCTCCCTCTCTCTCTGTATCGCTGTATGTCACGCTCTCCACGGAGCTACAATTGCAATACATCAACTTTCAATCAGAAATCCACCACTCCACACAGAGCCACAGGGTACACTCATCACGCCAGCACAGAGACAGCAGCTTGTGTGCTTTCCAACCACTAGAGCAATTATACAGCACACCTCAGTCTGGTCAACAAGTTCCCAATCTAAGTTCCACCCTAGGAACCCGCCGTGCAATCTACCTTCCTCCGTTTGGCGTCGGGCGTTCTCCCCTTTGCCTGCAGATACCCCCATTGCTAGACCGCAAGAAGCCATCGGCCTCTCAAACGCTCGCCGACCGACCGACCGACCGACCATCCGACACCGCATTCGCCTCTTCCCCACACGCACCACCATCCCACCATCACTTGCCTGTCCGGGCTGAGCAAGCAAATCCACGCCATCCGCGCAACATCCAGCAACCAGCCAGCAACCCGCGCCCGGCACCAAAGCACGCACGCACGCAAGCACACACCACCGTTTCAGCCAAACCACTACACTACTCCGTACAGAACAGTGAGAACAACCAGCTGTTCATTCCTTCCCCTCCTCTCAACTCTCTCCAGCCCATTCACTCTGCCAATCTGGCCCTGCCTCCCCCTCTCCCCTGCTACCTACCTACCTGACCGACCTAGGGTGCTGGCACTGTTCCAAGACCTGCCCCGCAAGCTTCGACGTCACTCAATTTAGAGCTTCAACCCGCTTTGCTGCTTGTGCAGGAAGCGCCGCTCAGAGGGGACGCTTACCTCGTCGATCCCCCAGCACAAACGCACAAACGAGGCACAAAGACGAACAAGTCTCTCTTTCTGACTCTCGCCAGGTCAGCAAACCCCTTGATCGACACCTTTCCACGGTGCACTACAGAGGTACGCTCATCCCATCCCTGGCCCTTTCCCTTGTGATCAACCTTTTGTAACCCGCCCCTAGTGTCACCCCAAATCAGTCCATCGGCCGCCTCGATATATAACCACCCTGTTCCACACATCCGCACCCGTCGAATGATTCTCATTCTCCGTTCGATCCCTCTTTCGATTCTTTCCAGATCTCACCCCACGCAAGACGCATCTCCGAAACACAATTTGGACCACCCTCTGACTACCTCAACGCATACAACAACTCGACGCACGACATACCGATAAACCCCGACTACATATACTGCAGCCCCCATCTCGCTCCTTGGCTATTGTCTTTGCCCATCATGTCCACCGACAACTCCAATACCAATCAGAACACCCAGAACAACCCGAACGAAATGCATCGCCAGAGACGCGGATCAGTCACCCAGCAGGCTATTGCCGGTCTCTTCAGAAGCAACTCTACCTCCAACGGCGGTGCATTCCCCGGCACCAGCGACGCTCAGAGAAGGAGACTCTCCGTCACCACGGGTCTAGGCCTCACCGGCACTTCGCCCACCGGTGCCAGTGCCTTCAACTCTCTCCGACGAGGAAGTCTGTCAACCAACTCTAACGACTCCATCGATGAGAATGCAATCGACGAGGAAGAGATCCCCCCCAACGCCCGCACAGCACCCGCCACTCCCTTCACCCGCAGAATGAGCTTTGGAGCTCAGGCAATGCGCACCATGCGTAACAGCGGTGGAAGTCCGGGTTCAAACGGTAATGATCTACCCCCTGCTTCTGCCACTCATGTGCCCAGCACGCCTGTCTCCTTCAACGGACGCAGGAGCGTGCACTCCCCGCGAGGCGTCGGCTCGGTTACGGATACCTCGTCCATCACCGCTGCTCTGTCGTCGGCCAGGCGTCGATCGAGCAGCATTGTACAGGCAAGCATTACAAATAAGCAAAAATCATCTTCTGACGTGTTCTCTCCCCCAGACCAAGGTTTCAACTGGTCCGAGCAGCTTAGATCTCGCGCCGAGAACTCTGTTCAAGGACCACGAGCATCCTTCTCTTTCGGCTCTGGTCTTTCATCTTCGCCTCCTCGCGGCCCCGGCAATGGCGCTGTCCACGACCGCCAGAAGTCAATCTCCGAGATGCCTGCCCCTCCAGCTCAGGCTGCCGCCATGAAGCCCAAGGCCCCCGAGCGACCCAAGCCCGATGCATTCCAAGAGCGCATCCTCAAAGGCGACTTCTACATGGACTGAGAAGTCAACGTCCAGAAAGGCTACTACGACTGACGTTGACTAAGTTGCCATCGTATTGAGCCCCGTCAATGATGGCGTTTCACTGCAAGAGCTATTTTACCACGGAAAACGAGAAAAAGACCATTGAGCGTTTCACAGATTCTGAGCGTCCTTCATCCCTGTCTGTTTTTTTTTTTTTTAACCTGGGGAACACTTTCTATCGACTCAACCCCACGTGGCGTTCGGTTGGTTGTGATGCAGCCCGGTTGCGGCTGCACACTGAGCGGGGAAGCTCCATACCACATGCACATGAGACCGTTGTCTCACATTTTGATCACGGAAGCGGAATGCAACTGCAATTTCACGAGGAGTTTACAAACGGCATGGGGTGTATGGGGGAGGACAATCGCAAATTGCAAGATTTCGGATTCCAAAACAAAGTTGATCCGGGAAAACATGTCTGGCTATTGATTGTGGCCCATCAGATAATGCTGATGGTGTCGAGATCTTGACATGGATTCATGTCTGGCGTACGGAGAGGGGGGAAAGGCTTCTGTATTGTTACATTGCTGGCGGTCACGTGGCGAAAGGCTTGGGGTGGAGGACGGGCTCATCGTGCCGACGGCAGAATGGACAGAATGTGTGTGAAGGCATGGCTATTATGTTTTATGAGGCTGCTGCGATAGGAACAGAGTTTACAGCAGGCTTGACTGGGGAGATGTCAGGTTGCGGGCACACAGCCTGTGCGAGAGGCGGTTGAATGTGCGGCGCCGCACGCCGTGCCTAGCCACCAAGATAGACACGCTCGGACCCCGAATAAAAAGATTCGCAGTCCCTACCCAAAATTTGTCTGTTATCTTCTGAGTGAGACCGCAACTGGCATGGCCAAATACGAAGGATGAGTAACACAAGAGTGCGCGTCTGGGGTCGTGACAACCAATTTCCAAGACACGGATGGTAAGCAGCCACAGCAGCCAAGGAGCTCCCGAACGACAGAGCGTGGGATTAAGCTGGGTCTCCATTCCGGATGGTCGGTATCTCCTTCCCATTCGCCGGGGACCAGGATTGCAAGGTCTCACTAGTCGGCGGCGAATTCGTAGACATTTTACGGCAACACCTCACGGAGCTCTGATATCACATTCCCCCTGCGGAGCAACAGCGGCAGGTCCCATCCCATCCGGGACGGGCGGTCATCAACAGTGCCCATTCCATTTGGAAGCCAATCCCCGACGTGCAAGTAGATGACATAAGCAGATATTTAAGGTACGTGACATTAAATTCTTGGATGATCCATCCTGATGTGCCCCAGCCTTCCAAACATCTACTCCTCGTTTACAGGTATCTCATGGAATAAATAACACATGCAAAATCTTCAAAAAGAGACACCGGGGTGGCGAGTCTGTTTTAGCAGTTTTCAAGACAAGCTTTCCGTCATCTCCTACAGCTCCACTTGAGGCGGAAGGGTCCGAGGAGGTTCGTGGACTCGGTGTCATGGTGCAATTCCAACTCACTGACTCACTCACTCTCACACTCGGTTGAGATGAGCTACTCAGCTCCAATTTCTCCCTCCCCGTTCCAGCCCCTCCAATAGACACTTCTCCCAGTCCCAGGACGGAGCGATATCTCATATCACCCCGCTCGTCGTCTTCACAAGCACAGGATAAATATTCCTGCACCTTCCTCCTCTTGCTTTCCCTCCCGGCTTCTTCCAAAACGGACCCGTGGGGAAGTCTGAAAAGTTACTTTTTTCCCTTCTCCTCCAGGCTCACTCAGTTCCAATTATGCCCTCTCTTCCTTCCCAGAGCCGCATCCCTCTCCCCCTCCCGGATCTAGAATCTCTTGTGATAGTTTCGTATAGATGAAATGGCTGTATAAGTGAGTTGAGTTTGGTGGGCATATCTGAAAGATGTGTCGGTTCCGAGCATCTCCCAATCCCAAACCCCGAAGAGGCTTCAACGGAAGGGGAGTCTGGGGGGGTGAGGGAGCGTATCCTAGTGCCTGGCCCGACTGGGGGAGTACACTAAACTTTTCCCTCGTTCCTCGGAGGAGCCTCGGGGGTTTAAAAAAAAAATGAATAGAGACGGAGGTCCTGGAGATGGCGCGCCCGAAGCTCGGGGCTTTAGGCGTGTAAGCATATCCGATTATCCGACCCGAGAATCTCCAAGTTACTCCTCCAATCGGAAAATAAAAGACCGTTCGGTCGTTCGTCGAATTCACCCCCAAAATCTTGAGCGTTTGTCCAAAACGTCTTTGCTTTCGCTGTGAAATCTGTGCGTAAAACCCGGCGGTAACGAAAGCGGCGCCGAATACAATGTGAATTCTCCCTCCCGCCCCCACCCCCCGGGAACTTTACATGGGAAACATGGGCGGTCCAGAACCACCGGGCATCCCCTCGAACATCTCTCCGAGCCCGCTCATCCCGCTCAGCCACGGATCCTGCGCCATGACGTACCGCATCCCGTTGCTCAAGCTCCCCGGGCTCGTCCCGAACCCCGTCGTAATTTCTTCCAGTGAAAGGTCGTTCGTGAACCCCGGATCGAGCCCGAAAGTTTGTAAATCGTTCCACACAGGGTTCAGCCACGGCGCCACCACCGGCGCCCCGGGCCCAGCTCCAACCCCAGCTCCAACTCCAGCTCCAGCTCCAGCTCCAGCTCCGTCGCCGTTACGCGCCACCGTCGTCGTCGTCGTCGTCGCCGTGCCGCTGGACGCCGCTGTGGCCGGTCCGGAGCCAGGCCCGTCCATGGCGGCAGGCGTCACAGCGCTGGGGTCGTAAAGGAAAGATTGTCGTGACGGAGGGGGATTCCAGAGCATGTTATTCGTCGTCGCCCCACCGCCGCCGGAGCGATCGTTTTGTGTTGCAATCTCTGACAGGAGGTGTAGAGGCGTGTTGGCCGCGGGGTACTCTGGCATCGTCGGGTGCTGCGCCCCCGGCTGATACGCACGTTGCTGCGCCTGCTGCTCCTCGGCGGCGGCGGGTGTTGCGTCTGGCCGCCGGAACGAAGTTTGCGTAGCAGAAGCAGGGGTCTCGGGTTGCGAATTTACGCCCGCGGCGGCGGGACCCTGGAACGATGCATTCCCACCCTCCGGCACAGGAACCCCCGTAACCAGACCCTTACTCTGCTTCAAGAACCAGCTCCTCAACATGACCAGAACAATCAGAAACTTAGCCGCCGGCCGACTCCGATCATCCGACGCCGCGGCGCGGAACTTCTCCAGCAGCGCGTCGAGGTAGTACTCCACCTTCATGTTATCCTTGTCAATGACCTTCCCCAGCTCCGAGCCCGGCGCCGTCGCGGAGAAGTACATCTTGATGAGCACAACGACGGCGTACGCCACGCGCACAAAGTTGAAGACGGGCAGGCAGCGGATGCTGGGCACCTCCATGGCCAAGAATGCCTCGAATATGCCATCAATGGCCGAGAGGCAGGCCGAGAGGGCGTTGATGTGGGAGGTTGTCAGGGTCAGGTTCGGGAGCATGCCGTCCTTGAGCGTTGCCGTGTCAAAGGGTGGGCGGATATCGTCCATTTGGGTGTGGAGGGCGATTTCGTGCATGTACAGCGAGAGGACTTGAAAGGTCATTTTGAGGGTTGCTTTGATCCATAGTCGTCAGTCGCACAGCCCTCGTCATCAATATCTAGTCAACCCATCGCAGGGAAAACTCACAATGCATTTCCTCCTTGGGCACGGAGGCAATATACTTCTCCAAGTCCCTCTCGAGCATCCTCAGCGAATACTGCGTCCTCGCATCCGTAATATTAGGCACCACGGCCGGGTCGTCCATGGAGAACTGGATCCCCACCTCCTCGGCCAGCCGGTGCGTCCACACGAGATGACAGAAATACTTATCCGACGGCGCCGCGTCCGCGCTCGTCTGAAGCGCCTTCATCGACTCCGCCATGAAGCTCGTCCACCGCACCAGGTTCGGCCGGTGCAGCGCCATGGACGTGTTAGCCGCCAGGAAATACGCAGCCAGCCACGCTCGGCGGCACTCGCACGTCGTCGGGTCCGGCGGCGGCGCCCTCTTGAACGGGTGATTCCGCCACTGGTAGGGAACCTGCATTTTTCTCCCCGCCGTACGCCGCCCCAGCCCGATGTCCAGCGCCATCACGGCGCCAATGTGCACGAGCTGGTAAAACTTGAGCTCTTCAAAGTGCTCGGGAGGCCAGTACCAAATCACGGCCACCTGCAGCGCCTGCACAATCTCCAAACTCTTCTCGCCCGTAATGATAATCTTCTCTGCAAAAATCTGCATCAGCTCCTTGACCAGCCTCCGCTGCACGTTGGGGCTCTCGGAGCTCGACGCCGCCATGATGGCCAAAAACAGCAGCGGCTTCACCCGCCGCGTCTCCTCCGCCGTCGCGCCGCGCGGAAACACCACCGCCGGCATGTGCGGTGCCATGAGCGTATTGTACCGTTCAAACAGCTCCGCCGCCTTCTCCGCGCTCAGGATCCCGCGCTCCACAACGTCGGCGTAATCACTGCCCATATGGATCGGAGGCGCCGGCCGGGCTCCGATGCTGCCACCGCCTCCGCCCCCTTCGTGTATATCGCTGCTCGGCGTATCGTCCCCGCGATCCGAAAGCTTCCTCTTTTTCCCTGCGGCGGCGGGCGCCGGGAACGTGATGTGGTCGTACCGTCCCTTCTCCGCCGCGTGCGCCTCGTGCGGATCGAGTCCCTCGACAGATAACCCCGTCCCGGCGACCGTGCTCGAAACCCAACCCCTCGCCAGTCCGTGATCGCCCCATCCCTTCTTATACGGATTCTCGTCTCTCCCCGGCGTGGCCGTGGCGGCTTGCGCACTTCCTCCCAACGGCGCGTTCGTCATTGTAGGCGGCGCCGGCGCCGCCGAGCTTCCACGGGCCTGCAAGCTCGCCGTCAACGCATCAATCTTCTTCTCCAGCTCTGCGACCCTTGAGTCCGTCTTCTTCTGCCTCTTCCTCGTCGGCATCGTCACGACGCAGTTCCGCCCGGCCTTCTTGCACCGCTTACACGGCCCCTCGGCGTCGTTCGGATCCGGCTCGCATCGCACCTTGAGCCCGCGGCACGCCTCGCATGCGCGCGGCCGCTTGGGGTCGTCGGGGTGCCCGCCGTGGAACGCATCGTGCTGCGGCGTCTCGCCGTCGTGCCCCGAGTGAGGCGTATCTGGTGAGTCGGGCTGGTGCTGGTGTTGATGGTGTCCCAGTCCTTGTCCCTCGGGGCTTGCTGCAGCGGCGGCGGCACCTTCGGCATCGTGGTACGCCGCAGCGGCGCCCTGGGGTGGCCCGCTCATGCCATTGCTGCCATTGTTCGATGGTGTCACGCTTCGTAATGCTGGGTCGAGGACTGCAGCGCCGTGATCCATTTCGGGCGGAGCTTGGCGAGATGCAGTACTGAAAACCAATGTCGGATGATCGGTGACGGCGACAGAAAATACCGACAATTGTTCGGCGGAGAGCGCGGAGACTTCTGGCCGATGGATGGAAGCCGGCATTGCCGTCACTAAAAGGTATTAGTCAGCGGCGAAGGCCATGTCTTAGTTCGCTAGCGTGTGCAAATACCACCACCTGAAGGATTGCATTCAAAAGAGTAGTCACCTCTCCCACTGTGTGCATTTGTGAAGCCATCTCAGTCTTCAAGCATGTTGTGAAGAAGAAGTTCGGAAGTTTTTTTAAGCTGAACTAGACATACAGAATGCCAAAGCTGCTCCGTCACTGCATGCGAGCCCGGAGACCATGAGACGAGCTGCCACTCGCAACTCATTACCGTCAACGCCACGCTGAGATCTGTGAAATAGAGCAAATATAACCCACCGAAACCGACCTACAAGACAGCGGCGCCTTGAACAGCAAGTCCTCCCGTGTCCATGTGATACAAATTTTTTTCCTTTGAAGTCATCGTTTGGTGATTCGGATTTCAACTTTGCCATCGCCTCCATCAAACCCCCCCTGTTTAGCTCACTCCAGCTTCGGCTTGCGAACATGCAACAGTTGAAATTCAAGAGGCTTCAATTGTGTAGGTAGTGATCGGTATTAAGTAGGAATGGAGCGCTCGGCGCCTGTCCGGATTGGTGTGATATGTTCGGGTATATTGGCGCCATCATGTCGTCCATGCCCCTAGGGCTGGGATTAATTAAGTAAAACATGCAGAAAATATGCAAGGCATGGTATCAACGCTGCGTGTAAACGAGTGGGTATGTTTGCGGAATCATGAGGTGGAAGTGAGATAGGCGACCAAGTCGACGATAGGCGAGGTACCTTGAAGGTATCTCAGAACTGGGTCTCTTCTCGCAAGCGGCTCTTGGAGCTTTGCGGGTTGAGGCCAACCATGTTGCCCATAAAGATGGCACTCTCGCGTCTTTTAGGCTGGTCGTAGCCTGAAGAACCACTGTCGTACCCGCGGGCCATCTGTTGGTAGCCGTTGGTCTGATATCCAGAAGGCAAGTACTGTGGCTCATATGTTGTGCCACGGCCGACGGGGTAATTCGGTGGTGGCGTGGGAGACGACCGAGCACTCTGCAGGTCCTGTAGTAGAGGAGGGGGTGTGCCACCGGCGCGTTGCTGGCCGGTCATGGCTTCCATCAGTCTCTGGCGATGTGGTGATTGGCTGGACCCCGCTGATGTGGAAGGACGCGCATGTTGAGATGGGTCGTATGAGGGTCGAGTGGGAAGCCCATTGTTCATGGATGGGAGAGAGCCTGACCTCTCTCGGGCCGGTTCTCCGTCGGCGAAGGAAGACGGCAGCTCATACTGTTCGGGTTCCAGGCCGAAGATGCCAAAGTAGTTTTGCAAAAGCAGGGCAAACACCGGGGCCGGGATGTTCAGAGTCGGAGAGAACACAATGCCCACGTTGCGAACCGTCATCTTGTTCATGTCTGCATTGTTGATGATTTTAATCAAGAAGGCAATCAGGTACTTGAGTAAGGTGGCGTTTGCTTGGGGCAGTCTCTGGACCAGTTCGGACACGGCGATTATCTTGTCTCTCTGGTCCGTCATCTCCGTCACGGAGAGGAACTCGAGGTGAAGGTCCCGAGTGAGTATTGTTGTTGGTAGTTCACGGAGATACAACTTCAACAACGACGCCACAGCGTGAATGTCGTAATATGTCTCGTCGGTAACGAGGTTGACGTCGCCCTCGGTGTTGAAGCGCTCGCGAAGCTGTTTGATAACAATGTTCGAGCCGCTCAGGCGGAAAATGCCTTCCTCCAGAATAGCATTCTTAGCATCCAAGTACTGGATGCATCGGTACACTACAGCTGGGAGCGGCACATTGACATCAACAGGATGATTATACCGGACAGCTTCTGCCAAAGGAGCTCCGAAAGCTTGGCGAATAGGTCCCTGATACCCGCCTTGGGGCGGTGTCGACGAGCCGCCTTCGCTTCCACCAAACAGAGAATCCTGGCCATCAGACGAAGATCTCGTCTTGGTGCCAAAACCGAAGAAGCTTCGTTTCTTCAGCTTCTTCTCCTCGTTGATGGGAACGCCAAGACCTGACTTATTGCCCCATTGAGCAGAGTCCGCAATGACTTGCATGTCTCGCGGGGCGGAGATCATCATGGACGGCTGCGAGGACATTCCCATGGGTTCAACAGGAAGGCTGTTCTCTGGAATCTGTCCGGCATTTCTGGGACGTGCAGGTCCGCCGTGGTGAGGAAGGTCGCCTTGAGACGTTGCGTCGTACCTCACACCTATCAGGCTGTCGGATTCAGTAGGCTGATGGTGTTGTGAAGCCGTCTTCTTGTATCGTTGCTTCTTCTTCTCGGCGCGCTCGGCTATGCTAGCGTTCTGGCGGTCTTGGGCGTGCTGCTTCGCGGCATGGGCGTCTTCCTCTTCTGGATCCTTGTAATCGATCCATCGGAGCAAAGCATCGACCCATTGGTCTCTTTCCCTGTCATTCTCGGCGCAAAGCACATGCTTCACATGGCTACTCGAGTCCTTTTTCTTGGGCTCAAGAATTAGGAACGCATGGCGGTACTGATTGTCCACGTCGTCCGAGTTGGCAGACGGTTGCGGTGATTGATTTTCGTTGCTTTGAGACTGTTTGCCGATTTGAGAGCTGGGGAGCTTGATTGTGCCCAAATGAGCGCCCCCGGGCGTTTCGTAGTATTTCAAATGGGGACCATCAAGGACAAAGAAGCGGGCCTTCCAGCCACCAAAGTTCTTACCTCTCTTGGTGAGGTATCCAGTCCTGAAAGGGCGGCCGCCCGGGCCTGTCTTGACCTTAGCCTCCGCCATGCTCTCCATCGAACCGGCGTCATCTGCGTTCGGTGGCAGCGTATGCGTCGACAAGTACTTGCAGAGCTCGAGGGCACTGGCAGTATCCAATGGAGTCTCCAACAGCTCATCCAGATAGTGGTTGAGAGCAAGTCGACGGGCATCGAGCTTAGCAGGCGCGTGGCCGCTGAAAAGTGACCTCTCTGGGGTCTTTGCAGTGAAGACTGGACACTGCTTAAGTCTATGGTCGAGCTTTGCGAGCGAAGCAGAGTCCTTCTCTACCCGCCAAAGCTCACCTGGCTCAGAACGCGAGTATATGGCCAGGGTAAAAACGGGATCCTCTTCCAGTTGTGTCAAAGACATCAAACTTGCTCGAGACGGTTTCATGCGCGAGGACGCAACCTTTACCTTGATTGTCGGCAATACATTCGGCGGAAGGAGCAGGTCAGGGTACTCCTCGGTGGTAAAACCCTTGAAGATGCGGCCGCGTTCCGTAGGACTACCGCGGCTCTTCTCGCTTGCTGAGTCCCATCCCTTCTTGACAATGTTTAAAGGCTGAGGACTCTTGAGAACCAAAGGCTCCGGGCCTGCTGGTGTTTGAAGTGAGTGGCCCGGTGGGAGGGGTATCGGCTGGCGCGGAGGCCGTGGCGACAGAGGTGCAGCAGGAAATGACGAAACACTGGGCGTAGGGCTATCAGATGAGGGCACCCCAATCGGACGCGGGCTTGATGGCAACCCAGGGCTCAGCAAGGGAGCTTCGAGGGTGTTGGCGCTCAGAACTCCTCCTAGCGAAGCCGGGGCATTCTCACGCTGCATTCTTTTCGGTGGGCTTGGTGGCAAACTGGTCGGGGCATCGGGAATGGCTTCGGTCGGTGACGCTGCCTGGCTCTGTGTCGTGCTCTTCTTAGACAAGCTCCTCCTCTCAGCCTCTTGAATAGCCAAGATCTCCCGGTCGTGGTCGTCCTCCTCGCGTGTTCTGCGACGACCACGTTGCTCAGCGCGAACATCATCCACCTCCAAGATGTCGTCGAAATCGGAGTCGGACTCGTCGTCTTCAGGGCCTGGTTGAGCTTGGCTCTGGAGCTGTAAAGGGGCAGGGAGGGGTTTTCGCGGGGGTGGAGCCGGAAATTGTGAGAGTCCTTCGCCGGCGGTGGATGTCGACTCTGGTACCATAGGAGGTTTTGGGGGAGGCATGCTTGGCGGCTGGCTGGGTAGGCTCCGAGATGGTGGGAAGCCAAAATTCAGGGGGAGATCCACGATTTGTTCATCCTCATGCTCCCTCCTCGCCGCCTCCGCGGCTTGTTCCTCGGCATCATGGTCGAACTGGTCATAAGCGTGCTCATGTGCTTTGGGCATCTCATGAGATGGGTCCAACAAAGCCCCAACGGCTGATGGAGGGCCATTGGGCTGGTCTGCGGGAGGGGTGATCGGGTAGGGGGCCATGGACATATCCACGGGCGAATGCTTTTGGCTGTCAGAGTCTAGAGTTGGCGAGTCCGGCGCAACAACCTGTCGTTCCTTGGGGGCGCTGACGTCGACTGTCGGTATTCCTCTGCTGACAGGCATCTTGAGGACCTTGCTGCCAGTTTTGGATCCATCAGCCCCTGTCAGTTCCGGTACTGACATGACTTCTTTCAACTTCTTTCGGTATTTCTCCTTGTCTTTCAACGCCCGTTCCAAATCTTTGTTTAGCCCCAGGATCATGGCTCTCTGCTTGTCGACTAGGCGCCATAACTGCGCGTTCTGTTGCGATTGGGAGTTCTTTTCTTTCAAAAGGTACTGGATTACTGCCTCCGGGCTTCCTGCCGTCTTAATCAACCCCTCAATATCCGTGGGATCAGATTGACTACCAGCCGCGCCTCTGTGCGACTGCGATCTGGTGGAAATCGCTGAGATGGCGGAGTCCATGGAGGAGTTCCGCGGCGCGCCTCTGCCCGCTGAGCCCCGCGATGCAGCGGCCAAGCCTCCGGTAGAAGACATTGGAGATCGGAGGGGGCCTGCGAAAGGCCTAGATATCAATACGGGTTCGGAAGTGCTTCGGTTATCATTCGTAGGGAGCGGTGATATTCTCGGTCTGCTATGACTGTTTCGTCTGTCAGCGGTGTAACGTATGGCGGCGCGGGGAGCGACTGGGGACTGTCGAATCGGGAGTAAGCGACTAGACGCAGACGTACCGTGATGTGCTGCGTTCGGGCGTGGAGGAACAGGACGAATCACTTTGGTAATATGTCTGCGGTTCTCCCGAAAGGTCTACCAGAGAGCGGAAGTCTTCGGTTGGCGTCGTGACGATATCTGGGACAGTTCGCGACCGGTGGGCATGAAATCTTGCCCCGGGTGGGAAGAATGATGACGATCGAGGGGAGAAAGGGCTCGTCGGCGAAGAAACGGCGGTGCTTTCGTGGAGGGGACTGGGTATCGGGCGCCGAGGGGATCTATAGGGTGGAGGAGGGCATCAGTCAATATGCTGCCCAGGCCAGAGCCGCGGATCAAGTCCCACAATATAGCAGGATAGATCTTGAGGCAGCTAGCGAGTCGTCGTTGAGCGAAAAGTCAAAGTAAAAAGAGCCCTGGAGCGCCAAGACGAGCACACGATATCCTCGCAGACCCGGGATCAAGGTAGAGAGGCGTATTCTCTTTCTTTCTCTCTGCGGTTAGGAATCGGTCGTGGGCATGGGCGTGGGCGTGGGCGTGGGCGTGGATAGGCAAGCGAGCGAGTCGCGGGACTGTTTGTCTGGCGGGCGTGCAAAAATCAAGGTGGTAGGGTCAAGGAGAAGAACGAGCAGTAACAGCAGCAGTGGCAAGAAAAAGCAAGGTGCAGAGAAGCAGACAAGCAAACCAGAGCGAAGCAGAGCAGAGCAAAGAGTGGACCATTACTCGTTTGGTAATCAGAGCCCGTGGAGGCCAGTGGAACGTACCTTGGAGATGGAGTAAGAAGAGGACTGGTGGTGCTGCTAGGAATGTGACTGGCAGCGGTAGCGGCAACGATGCTTGTATTGGCGGTGGTGCTATTGCTGATGCTTGCAGGATCCGATGCTGGGATTAACAGGCCTGTCGTGGGGCCATCCTTGGAAGAAGGGGAGTGGGAGGAGACGTCTGCGACCTGCAGCCGGTGAAGAGGATGTTTTTGGTGAGGGAGGCGAGGATGATGAGCAACAGGGGCGACAGCAAGACGCGGAGCAGCGTCAGCAGCAGCAGCGTCAGCAGCAGCAGCAGCAGCAGCAGCAGCAGCAGAAGCAGAAGCAGGGGCGGGTGCAACAACGGGAGGACCAGACGTGGAAGTCGTACCAGAAGCATCAGGATCTGAAGTTGAGCCCTGGGCACTCCGAGTCTGGAGCGCAAGCTGCGACATGGTGGGCAATGCGACGGAAAGACAACTGGCCGGCGGCCCAACTGGGGGTGTACACGTGCAGGGTCAGAGCTTAACGCAGGACAACCTCGCAGCGGTTTCGAGATGCCTGGGTGACCCCGACTACCGTTGCATGTAATAGACCGGCCTCCTTCAGGGTGCAGTGTAGGTATTTTATTTTTGTATCTCGGGAGCGAGCGAAGCCAGCCGGGAAGGGACGAGAACGGGGACCGGAGCCGAGGGGCCAGTCGTGCAAAGCACGGATCGGTAGAGCAGCGTCGACTCTGATCTGACGGGGATTAGCCAGCCAGCCAGCCGAGCAGACAGGTTTTGGCTCTGCTGGGTTGGGCTTTGCAAGTAAAAGGTGTCGTCACGGTTTGCCGTTGTATTGCAGGGCGACCAGGACGTACGCAAGGTAGGACGAGGATGTGAAAGGATGAAAGAGAGGTTGTATCTTCGCCGGGGGGCGAAGAGAAGAGCAGAGCAGAGCAGAGGAGATCAGATGAATGTCGTCCTCCAAGTCCTAAGGGAGGGAGGGGGGCTCGTCTCGAAGTGCCGGATATGCTTTGTGAAAGGAATGCTGCCAGCCGGGCGTGGATGAGACAAGTGCCCGTTGTCTTGGGTAGGTGTGCGCGTGTACGTGTACCGGTATGTGGCCAGTGTGTGTGTGGCGGTGACGGGGGAAATGCTGGACGAGGACCATTGGCTGGCACAGACACAGAGCGAGGCAACTCGGCTATGGACGGAATAGCATCCGCGAGGTGAGGCCGGAAGCAGAGAGACGGTAGGATGTGGCCGTTGGGGTGGCCGAAGTGTAGGTTTTTCTGATGAACAATGCAGTGCAATGCAACGCGAAGGATGGTGGGCCAGGCCAGACAGACCAGCTCCAAAGTCGACCAGCTTTGGAGGAGAATTTGGTGTTGTGGTGGTTTGATCAAAGAAAACCCCCTTATTTCCCGACTTGCCGTTTCCAGCTACTGGCAAAGGGAGGCTGATTCGCGGCGGTTACAGTGGAGCGTAAGGTAGCATTCGACTTGTCAATAAGGCCAGAGGAGAGAGCCTGGAAGTCTGAATACCTTAGAACAGCACGAAATATCATCAGCCCAGTTCAGTCCAGCCAGTTGAGTGCAACTCCAATTCCATCCCATATTCAGGGCAGGTCGGTAGCGGCATTCGCGACTGGACCTTAACTGAAAGGGGGGGAGGGGGGGAACGTACGTACATACACCTAAAAGTTAAATAGGCACTGACAAGTTGCCGGGGAATGGGTGGCCGGTGGAGGGTGGTTCCTTTGCACCAATGACGCTGGGTCAAGGTAAGGTACTTGGGGGATGGGGAGACCAATGGCAACCAGAGAGTGGCAGGAGGATGCCCAAGGTAAGGTAGGCTCGGAATTGGCTGCAGGTGCGGTCCCCTGCTGGTGTGCCGTACCTAGTTGTGTGGGTGGATTCGTGGTTCTTGGAGTTAGCATCTGCCGCTGCAAGATGTTGCCAGAAGGGGAAGGAAGCAGTTGGGATGTGGGATACGCTGGGGGGTTTCCTAAAAGCCTTTCATCCGTTCAAGGGGGAGATTCGGGGAGAGGGCAGGGACGGGGATGATGATGAGGATGCGGACGTGGAGAGGGGAGGAGATGAGGAGGAGGAGGAGCAGGAGGAGCAGGAGGAGCAGGAGGAGCAGGAGGCAGAGATTGGATTGACAACAACCACTGGCAAGCCGCGAAAGAGATGACCTCCCTCCAAAAGCCAAAAAAGGACCATGAGCATTGACCTCGAGCCTCGAGGGCTTATTTTGCATCTCGTCGTTTGCCATCCCTCCCTTCCATCCATCCATCCATCCCTCCCTCCCTGCTCGAATTTGACTGTGCTAGCACCGGCGCAATGATTGCATCCTCCCCGATGGTTGTACACAGACTACAGTATCTCTTTGGCCCCCAAGATGGCCAAGATGGGCGGGAATGACGGCGTCACCTACACGTGCCACTACCAAGCAATTCGAGGTTCGGTGCCCGGTGCGCTGCGCAGAATGATGACAGAGGGTGACGGTTCGCTAGCGAGGAAAGTCCTAGCCTGTCAACCCTGTCAGCCTTTGCCTTTAGTTCACTTACTAAGGATGGTTTAGTATTGGGTTCTTGGGGTTGCGAGAAACGTCTTCATCTCCCAGGATAGCCGGTCTGCCGCTGGTGTGTCAATGGCGAAACCGTCACGCTAGCTCTGTTGTTTGTCGTCGAGGGCCTTGCCGCCAGGATGGCTTTGATGGCGTTCTGGGCCTTTGCCTTCGTACCTATTCTAGATGATTGTTCTTGAATATCTCTGTCTTGCTAGTGTTTCTTCTGTGAGTGAGAAATAAGGATGGAACCTGGAGGCTTACTCAGGTGCTCTACCTACCTCAGGTAGGTACGGTAGGTAGAGCGCCCGTAGGTACCGTCAGTTGCCTTAAGGCAGCATCAATTGACCAGCGCAGACGATATGCTCCTTTGGCTACCACCTTCCATTCCTTTCGGGTAAGGCAACTAACTCTTCCTCTCCCCGCACACATGTGCCATTCTTCGGCTCTTTTCTATTTGACGACACCCTCACCCACGTCTAAATCCTGTCTCGCTACTCCCATCACTCGTGCTGGCCCTCCAATTGAACCCGGTGCCATAGGTAGGTACCTTGCCTTACCAACAACACGAGCACTCACGGCTCCCACATCAGCCACGTGTGCCAGCAGCAGCTTGTCGAACCCACTAATGTGCCCCCAAAGCATCTTCCTCCCATACGCACCCGCCCACGCCCACGCCCACGCCCCGGGAGATTCGTTACGCCAATCTTAAATCTTTTGTCTCGACACTCTATTCGCACCTCGACAGCCTTTCCATGCTTCCGATCCAATGTATCTATCTGTCTGCTTGCGTGCAGATGCCACCAGTCGGTCACCGACATGTCTGACAGTCTGGAACTGCCCGACTCCCTTCAATCTTTGCCATACCAAACAAGACCTTGGCCTCGACCGCTCGGCTCCGGAAAGTACCTCGCCCTCCTCGACGCACCGCAATCCCCCCTTTCGTCCAATGAACTGTCGGCAGCCAACACCAGCAACATGTTGATGTTGCGTAATGCCCCGAATGCGACCATCTACCAGATTGCCAACCCATGGTCATCCTCGCCTTCTCTCCCGAAACACCGGCTTTCTTGAAACATGTCAGTCATGAGTCCGCGTACGACAGATGTCCGTACACGTACACGCGCCGACTGTCGGCTCGAACTCTTCGTCATCCGCTGCTCATCTCTGCGCCGGTTCATCAGCATCGCAAAGGTTAAGTCTCCAAATCGCCGCATTGCACCCGGCTTTGGCCCCATCCACCTTCAGGCATATGCCCATCTTCGGCATCATGCCTGCTGGCTCGTTTTCGGTACCTGACTAGAACTGAGCCTCTGCGCTGGTCAATGATTCTCGCTCCATTCGACGATGAACTCGTCATGCTCATGGCGAGAGCGTGTCCAGTTCCCCGACGACTCCTCCACCACATCCATGCATGCATGGCACGGGACCGGTGGCGCTGTGGGCCGCTCTCACACACCCCAGATTCCTAACGCCACGACCCAAGGCCTTAATTAATCTCAGGGCCAGGGGTCTTAGCTCGGTTTGCTCCAATCATCCCCTTGCGTTCCTGATTTCTTTGGTCCTCATCCCTCTCTGAGGTCCTCAAGTCCCAGACATTTGAAGTCTCCACTCCCAAAATCAGCACTTCAACTCTCAAGAGCAGGGTTGGGTACGGGAAAGTGGCCCCAGCGGTCTCTGATCCAGCCAGGATCGAATCTGCCCGTCATATCAAGAGAAAGAGAAGAGAAACTGTGGGCACTTGGAATGGGATCCATCCGAAACTAGGTACCTAGGATCCTCGCCAGCCACGGTTATCCAGCAAATGCTGTCCACGTCCTCCGTTTGCTGTCGCATTTTACATGCTATTCGCGGCGCGCCCACGGCATTCACTCGACGTGTCGTGTTTCCGTGGGAATGACAAACTCCACAGCGGCCTCGCTGATTTCTGCTTTGAACAGATGCTTCAAACACTGTCTGCCACGTCGCACAATATTGTACCGATCAAGAATGCTGGCTCTTTGCTGTGGGCTGGCTTAGTCTTCCTTTCATTGGTTGGATTCCCACAATCATACACAGTACAGTAGAGTGGCTATCCCCGCCATACTTGGTTTAGCATGTTTATGTGTCATGCAGGAGGCAGCACTTCTTCTGCAGGTACAAACACATCCTTCACCACCAGGAATCACAGCCATTTACTGATACGCTGAACCGGAGCATAGTCGCCAATGGTCGACTGGGAATCATTATGGGCGTTTCTGTCGCTGCGAAACCGCAGGGGACCGATGCTTCTTCCATAATAACCCCACAAATGGAACCCGTGGCAAGATTCATGTATTTGCGCCATCACCTGTGACCGCCTCCCTCCCGCACCGGTCTCCCTTTGATGGTGGCACTCCCGTCACGGGTGCACAACCCCTTCTAGCTGCATACTATGTAATACAGCATCTGCTTTTTCAGAATGACACTCACCTTGGCAGATCTCTATAAGACGATGCCTCTGCTTGTACGCAAAATCCTTTGAGGAATAACTAGTAGTCAAGAAGAAATCCACTCAGTCGACAAATTAGAATTTGATTCAGAGGACAATGGCTTCTCCTCGAGGTAGCTCACCAAGAGCCACACCAAGAGCCATCGAAAATTTATCTGACCCATTCAATCCTCAATCTCCATGAGCATCCGCCGCCAACTCAAGGCTTGGCTCTCTGATGTGCTGCTAAACTACTCCTCAAGTCTGAACCCGAGCGCCTGGGGAAATAACGACGAAACTTCCCAGCCGCAGATTGCTTGCTACAGTCCTGGTGGTGGCAGCGCTCCATCGGTGCCCTTCTGTGCATGAACCATCCAGGCCTTGAAAGACTACACTAGATTCAAGACCAGTTCCCGACCAAATCATAAGGTCACACGACGTAACTAGGGCAGCCGCTCGACCCCCCTCCACCAGCGCCATTCAACTATAGGTACTCAATCGAAGAGTCTAGGCTTTGAAGTTGCCCAAAGTTGCGACGCCGTTGAACCCCGGGATGTGAGCAGCTATTGTTGACTATGTGAAAGCAAGAAGGCATTGGCAACTCGATAACGCCCAGCACAGGCAACGTAAACGGCCAGTCATGATTTGACTGGGAAAGAGCGGTGTCTTCGTCACAGCCTCTGACCTCCGCATATGTTACTAAAATACTAATAGCTGATAAGGAGGGGGAAGAGGATGAGATCAGGCCAGCGATTGGCCTCAAGAGATTCAGATCGTCCTCGCAGTGTACAGTGGAATAAACACCGCGGGAGGCAAACACGGCAACTCGGCGGACCCGCTTGGAACCGGCATTCCGAAGCAAGATGGCAAGATGATTCTCTTCGGCCCCTGAGACTCGCGGGCGCACCTCATCAGTTCTTTTCCAGATCCGGAGAATCGTCCCCGGCCTCGTCGATAAAGTCAATATGGCTATGGCCCTTGATGAGCCAACGAGAGTGCTCGGCGTGGGATGGAGCGAGCACCAGATGGCAGTGAAGAAAGCGGGTCTTCGGAGAGGACAAGCAGGTTCTGATCAGAACTCGAAGCCAATCTAAACTGCAGCGGTCTATTCGTACGGTCTTCACTGTGGCGGCGGTGCAGCTATTCCCGACTCGTTCTGGGGGCGCGAACCAGATGCGAGTATCCGTACCAGGAAACCCCCTCTCCAGCGTTGCTTTTTCCCGTAGCGCCTCGGCGGCCGTTGTTCCTGGATCATGATAGCTGGTGGATCCAGCAATTTCAATCCATTTCCATGAGCACATTCGAGCCACACGCACAAAAGCCCGGGAGCCGCTCATGGCGCACAATTGGATTAAACCACCACGAGATCCATGTCCAGTACGACGATAGAATACTGGGAAATGAAGCAGCCATTGCAATCGGCCTGGCTGGTCCTCGCAACCACCGTGAGACGGCAGAATGAACCTTCATGCCTCCTGAGCCAGAAGCTGCTCTAAACAGGATTCTTCATTCGTGGCTAGTGCCAACCGCCTCGGAAGCCAAGTGCTGAGATCGGCGGAGCCAGCCAATCAAGCTTTGTGGGTGGGCAAAAGGACTTGGACCCTGAGAAAGAAGGGTTTATTCTGTTTTACAATGCAAATTGGAATAGCCCCTCGTCCCAAATGCCACCAAGGCCAAGAAGAAATACCGTCAGAAATCAGGATGCGGTCTTGGTTTGACTGCGGACGGTTGGGACTACTAATCCGCCAGAGCGGCAAAACGCCCTCCTTTGCTCGCTGGAGTAATCCTGATACCACGACAGACTGTGGTTCTGAGCCAACCACCTTGTGGTTCAGATCTGCATTGTTGACCATGTCCAAGAGGGCTTGGCCAAGCATCGGGAAGCTCAAGGTCCGCTCGTGGCGCTACCCACTAATGCACCTCAACAGCTGCAGCTGGCTTTTTGCTCATTGTCGCCCAGTTCTGCAGAACACATCAAGAGCTTGTTTCGTTTGTATGACCAACACTCAAGCTCAATGCAAGGGCTTTGATGCTCCGGACAACGCCAAGCGCCATGATGGCTGAAGACGATTTGGAAATGCGGGGGCTAGAACGAGGCTCTCGTGTTTCTTCTTCAACGGCAATCGGCCAGCTATGTCGGGCACTTCGTCCGATGTCTTGGCGTGCCATTCCCAGCCTCTTGTTCGATGACCTCAAACCGCATGGAACTTTTGACACGCAGTTAATTCCCGGCCGGGATCAAACTTGCCTCTATTCGTACGACGCACATGTGGATTCTTCAAGACCTTGACATCCACAACTCTGTTACTTCTGCCCGAGATGGCGTCTCCGCATCTACAGTGGAACAAACATGCTTGAAAACTTCTGAATTCCTGATCAGTCTTGTACATTGGCTGCAGGATTCCACCATCTTGATTAAGCCTGCCGAGCTTCGAATAGACGCCATTGGCTGATATTAGATATGCTCCTGGGGGATTCGGGCAACTCTAAGATCGATCAGTCGTATCATCACTATGGGATCATTGCCTTTCGACGTCTCTAGCAACAAGTTTCAAGCATCTGTCCCTTGAACCAGCCAGGACCACAGTATCAAATGGATACGGATTCGGGTGACATTCCGACCCTCAATTTCCCGGGGTCAGATAAACTCGGGACGACGACCGCTGGAAGGAAGTGGGAATCCCGTCAGTTGTGCAGCAGATCAACCCATCAACCTCGTCCTGCAATCCGGACTTTTACTAACCCATCCAATAACGACTCGGTATTCTTCCGCAAATGTGGTGAAACATGAAATAAGTCGCTCCCGTGACCGCCAGCCATTTTCAGCTTGAAATCTAGCCGGCGTCGCGGACGCGTTTCAGATGCGCCATCAATCTGACGGGGGAGGTGCTCGTCGCAGAACTTCGCTTCACCACCGCGACCGCCTCAACTAGACCAGGTGAGGCTCAACTATGAGGGTTCCTCACGTGAGCATGTTTATCCAAGTTCATGCGCAACCCTCTTTTTTTTTTTTTTTTTTTTTTGGAGGAAGGAAGAAGAGACTCAAGGCAACATCGTAGGACACGGCTGTCAAGACGCGTTGCGGAGTTGGGATGACGGGTCTAACATTCGGACGGTCCTCCAGTCCCGGCTCCCAGCTTCCGTCGGTGAGATGGATGCGCCGGGTTCGTTAAGCTCAAGGCGTTTCCCAGATCAAGCCTGTCATTCATTTCTCGTTGTCATTGTCACAGACATCCGCGGCAGGGAAAGGCCAGTCGTCGTATGCATACAGTCTAGCTGTCCCTGCTACCACCATGCGAAGCGATTTCGTCACGTGCGACGCAAGACTGGACACCCCGAACTTGATGGTCGAGGCGAATTCCTCGAGTCACGACCGAACTCACCGGCAAGGAAACGGTCCAACGCAAGCTTCGTCTTTCATGTCGTCTCTTGAGAGAGCGCGCCCCATGAGACGCGGATTCCCATGCCGTTTCAACCAAGCGAGCGATCCACAAGTTCAGCTGACAACCCCGACGAGCTAGCCTGTCTCGCAGTGTTACGAGTGAGATGCCTCGTTGGATGACAGCCTCCACGTCGCTTGGGCACATCTAATCATACCGTCTCAAGATCCGGCTCATCGGCCCATCGAGAAGCGGCTAGATAACGGCTACCCCGGCAACCCTAGCCCTTGATCTGATCTGCTGCTACTAACGTGCACCGTGTTGTGTAGTCAGTCCTCCGTAGACGAGACCCGAGGCCGGGGCGGGAAAGCGGGCGAGTGCCGTTCGAAGCCGACCTCTCGGACCTAATACCCACTTGGAAATTGCGCCGGCATACTGTTGGCGACGCCCGAATAACCCGTTTGTCCCGCAGGACCGCACCTGGATGCCATCTCATCACCGTGGCCGACGTACATTTCAGCCTTCTCGATGCACTCTCCAGGAGTGGTTGACCAGACGAGTCCGAATGGACCCGAAATCCCCCAAAGAAGACTGTGGATATTTCTCGGCGGATGCGAGTTCTGTAGCACTACAGCGGCGGCCCCGAAGATAAAAGGCGGAGATCGAAGCGGGACGCGTGGCCTTGTTGCCTTGATCGTCGTAGCACTTGACCCAACTCGAGCTGTAATTACGAAGTGGTGATGACATCACTCGACGGCAGTGCGGCATCGTCGTTGATTGCCTTGCTCGAGATCCGTACAACTGTGCTTGGCGACGAAATAATTGGAGCTTCAAACTGCGAAAGAAGACAAAGACAATCACCATCTCTCGGTCTTGGCTGACATGCTCCGAGCCGTTTTCGCCGTGGGCATTACGAATGTTTGCTATTTAGCGTCGCTTGCGCTAAGTTGGTGCCCGATGTTTGCTGCGATACGCCCGCGATCATGAGGATCTAGGCCTGCCATGTCATCTCAAGAAGGCTTGAGACTTGACGAGGTTTTTCATTGGATTTCGAACCTCTAGCACACGATACCTCTCAACTGCGCAAGCTTGCTGTCGACGACTGATGACAACTGATTCGCCAGGGAGATGCGTTTACAGAGCAAGAAAGGTAAGCAATCAACGGGTCCAGCGCGGGAATTCCTGCGTCAAGGGCCAGGAAGCACGCAAAGCATTGTGATGATTTCCAACATTCAAGTTTGGGCCAGGTTGATCCTCCAGCGAACCCTCCCGCGATGCCTAGATGCGGAGGAGCGGCATCATCGTTCGTGAGACCACGGAGACCAGGGCGGAGCCGATCTGGCGGCCTGGAAACTCGCGATGGAGACTCGGCTGCTGTCGTCGATGGTAAGCATGGGCTCAATGGGGGATCGAAATAGCAAACTTGCTTATCCCAGAAGTCAAGCATTCACCCGAGCGACGTGGTCATCCTTCTACCGGAGGTCGAGAACACGCATTCTTAGGGTTCACGGGAAAGTTTGGCAAGGGAGCACGCGGTCAGAGAAACGATTGTGAGGTTCTTGGCCATCCTGGGTGATGCGAGACAGCAGGCCGGGTCTTGTTGTCAATCGTGTTCGACGATCATCGACGGCGAGAGAACACAGCGAAAGAGCAGAATGTTTCAAAAAGGGTCGCGCAAAACAAAGCCAAGACCTTGCCAAGACCTTATATATAGCCTCAGCCCTGCCAACGCGGACGGGGCCTGCATATCCAAATCATGACGCCGCAAACAGACAAAAGAATGTAACCTCACAGGCCCCGGGGAAAGGGGGCTCGGTCTGGAGTTGTCTCGGGAGCTGATTTATATCCTCGAAATAGACGTTTCGGTCCTCTGGAAATAGAGAAAAGCCACCGATGCAGATATTGAAAAGGTACGATTTACTCATTGACCATCCGCTCTGTGTCATTTTATGGTTCTTATCTCAAGTCACTCTTTCGTCCGGGTTCATACTCTATTCAAAACTCGCTACTCTGAGACGTTGTGCTCCAGGTTTTGCGGCTGTAAGTAGACGGCTGTAAATAGATTGCATCAATTTAATTATCCCACTTGTAGTAATAGTGTCCATGGTATCCATGCACCTGGTCATGATGTATCGACAGTGGTGTTTCGAGGATATCTTCCTACACTGAGATCTCTTTTTTCGGATTGTTGTCATCAACAAGACAAGCTCATTTAACCCTGTTGTTAATCTACCGCTCATGCAGGTCATTTCGAAATTCGGCTGCTTAATCTGCCCAGACAAAGAAATTTGCGCATCGCCTGCGAGCAAGAGACAAGGAAAGGCCTGATTTTCGGGGACGTCTGACTGATTCTCACTGTCTATCACGTACGAGATCTTAGACAGCGACGTGCCAGTCAGGGTTTTGCGAATTTCATGTTGTTTAGGAGATGTAGCAAGGTGTACCGTTTCGCTCCGGGTGCGGCTGGACACGGGGCGGATGAGGGTGAGCTCTGTAGGAGAGCCATAGACTGTACATGGTCCATCAGAGGGACCGTGAGCGAGTTTGTAGCATGCTAGAAGACAGAGGCCAGCCATGAGGCGTCGTCACATTCTCGTCACAAGTATCTCACGAGGGGTGTCAGATCAAAAGTGGTACAAACTTGGAAATTAGACTGAACGATTTGTAAAAGCAGGTGTCATTTCCTAAAATCATCATTATACGTGCCTCTCTCTCTATATCATGACAGGTGTCCCAGTACCGCTTTCGCTAGCCATCGCTTTCTTATCAAACCCAAGTATTCCCAGAAGTAAAACAGAATTCAAGAATCCATCCAAGCGGCGTCGTACCGTCTCATCGTAGCAAGAACCCAAATAACGCCGCGAGGAAAGAGCCACTTAAAACATCGCCAGACATACCCATGAATATCTCAAAGCATATAAACCCCAACAAGGTAGCACAAACTTTCAAATCAACACATAGTACCAGAAAAGAAGTCGGAATCAAAGCACGAGAGCGAGGGCTTCACCGCCTGTAGTTGTACTCCCTCTCCCTCCTCCGGTCAGAGATGGTCACCCTCATCCTCTCCTCTTCGAGCGGCGGGGGCGGCGGCAGCATCCTGGGCGGCGAGTACCTCCTGCCCTCGACGTATCGGAACGTCTCGTACCGCGGCTCTACGGGAACAGGGACGGGGTAGGGCACCCGCACGGGCACGAGCTTCTCCCGCTCGACGTACACCTCCCTGATATCCCTCTCCCTGTCGCGGCTGCCTCTGCGCGAGTGGCTGTGGCTCCTTGACCGGCTGCTCCTGCTCGACTTGCTGCTCTTCACCGAGGGCTCCACGTCGACTGCGATGACCTCAATAGGGGGTAGGGGCTCTGGGACGACGACGACAGGCGGCGGTGGCGGAGGTGGGAGGGGTAAAACGACGGGCGGTGGGGGTGGAGGGGGTTCGACAACCACCGGTGGCGGGGGCGCGGGCTTGACAATGACGGGGGGCGGGGTGGGCTCGCGGGCCGGGATGAAGGTCGTCTTCTTTGTGCGGACGGTGACGGCGCCGTTGGTGGGGGGTTCGAGGTAGAGGCGCTTCTTTGCGCCGTGGTGATGGTGGTGGCGGTGGTGGTGGTGATATTCGTAATATTCCCTTGACGAGGCTGGTGATGATGGTTAGTCAGGTTGTTGCTGATGAGACCTGGCGCAACGTCGTGAGACGTTGACGTCAGGTATTTTGGGGCTTACTCGTACCCATTTTGGACGCCTGGATTCGTGCCAAGGGGGATTTGAAGTGTATGGATGCTTTGACTTGTGCGCCTCTGTCGGCCTACACTTTGTTTCAGTGCGACTGTCGCGATGCCTGGGTTGGTTTTAGGTTGCGGGCGGGCGGGTAGAGGCAGGATGCGTCGTAGATCCGAGGATGGGATGAAGTGTTGCGAGTCTGAGTCTGCGACCCGAGGGATGTGCACTATGGGATATGCGGGAATGCGATCCGCAGGGCAGATGTCGCTCTTCGCAACGCTCTTGTTTCGCCAAGGGGGGGCGTTTTTGTCTTTCTTTGCGACTGAGTGATGTGCAGAGCGCAAAACCCGGGTGAGGGAAAAAAGAATGCTGATCAGCTGGCGCGGGGTGGCTGGCCTTTTTCTGAATGAAGAGGGGAACCGGGAACCAACCAGTGGCGAACGAACGGGTGGGAAGAAGAAGCGTTGGAGCTAAATAAAGGTGTTGCAGTGTCGAATGTCGGTAAGCCGGTGGTGGTGGTGGGAAAGAACAGGGCGAAGCGAGGTGTTTCCTGGCGGGTTGATGGGCGGGAGATTAGCTATTCATATAAAAGTCATCCCACACCAATGAAGAGAAGTCTAGGCCTTCTGGTCCGGCTGCAAGGTAGTGTAGGTATGAACGGGGGTGGGAAGAGGAGTTGGTAGATGGCAGGTTGGATCAAGGTTCTCGTCGCTTCCGAGAAGGATGACTGGGTCTTGCCTGGGTTGCCTACCATAACCTTAGCTGCCTGGCAGTGAGCAGTTGCCCCTCCTTCGCAGCCAACTAATGGGGAAACACCAAGAAACAGTGAACACCACGCCATCCATGCATCTCTTGTTATCGGGCGTGTGTCAGCCCAAAGGTCGCCCAGCGGGAAGGGAACATGCACGTAGGCCGGGCTGCCTTGCATCCCACTTCACCCACAGTGACCCATGGCTTGGACGAGGGGAAACCCGCCGTGTCGCCCAACAGGCGCATGAGGTACGAATACACTCTACGGATACATTACGGAGTACAGCCCACAGCAGATCCGGGACGGCAGCGCCGAGATGCCAGATGGATGCACGCAAGAGTGGGTGTAAGATGCACGGGGATGGAGAAGGAGAATGAGAATGAGGGCGCACGCAAAACACAGCCCGGTCGACGGGGCGGTGCCTTGCCTGACATGCAAATGGATTTCAAGGTCAGGTATCTATCTATGCACTGCTACTTTCATACAGCCAGCTCTGCGCTAAATCCGAAACTCCAAATGGACCATGCGATGCGAGAAAAAGACAATTCCTATTGTTTTTGTGCCAGCGGTGTCAAGTTCAACCAAACCAGAACGTCCCATCCCTTCCTTTCCAACAATCCAAACTCCCCTTCCGTTCCCCCCCTCCCTCTTGCCTACCGTCCATCCATCCATCCATCATCCTCTGTCCTCCGCCCTCTCACAGGTTGTATGCTTGTCACCTGGCACTTCCCTTCGTGTGGTAGACAAGGGTGCGCTATTGGGCAATTGAGGCCCTATGACGCCAGTGGGCACGTCACGCCAAAATCAAGATTCCGAGGCGGTCGGTCACTGCGCTCGCAACTCGCAGCTCGTAGCTCGCTCGGCGCCCACCAACGCGGCACGTCCCTCCCCACCCCCGGCCCAACCACCACTCAGAGAGCGCTCTAAGGGAGGGGGGGTGCTTAGGCCGGCCGAGGCCTGACATGCTCCCTCCCTGATCGCAAAGCGTCGCACCAGACGCAGGAAAAGCTTCCAGACCAGTCATTTCGCTCGAAACACCGCCGCCGCCCCGCGTCTGCAGTCAACTGCCCGTCACCAAGCAGCGGAAGAAACCAAGGTTGTCATCCTTCAAGTCGTCCCCTACTCCGCTTACCTTCTCCGTGGCCTCATCGCCCACCGACCCCAACAGACTGGGGATGCCAGACCATTACCGGGGAGGCTTCCAAAACGCTCCTTTGGGTTCCCCCCCATCTGCCATCTGGGACCACCCCTGATCATGGGGTATGCAGGGCTGAGCTTGTCAGATTGGGTTTGCGTGAGCTGGCAGCAGGCTCCACCGCTCCGCACTCATTCATCGTCCCAACCTTCTGTCTTCTCACCCAAGCATACTACGGTAGCGTTGGTGTAGCTCCAAAACGTCTCTGCAGAGTCTGCCCGGCCTGTTGTTGCTCCCGGTCGTTGGGCTGCAAAGGAGACAACTTGCCTCTTTGCCTTCTTTCCTCTGCAAACCACCTGCAATAAATGGAGCAGAGTCGATGCGGGAGGGCTAGCTGGTCTCAACCGTCCGTTGGGCGCCATCCCACGATGCCAAGCCGATGAACCAACACCGATCTCCCTTCCATCGATCGTCCCCTGCCGCTGGCAGCCCAATCTCCGATATGGCGTGGGCGAGTGAAGCAAACGGCAGTTGGAGTCTAGGCCCAGCCACTTCCGCAAGAAAAGTCGAACCAAGAAGATCCTTGCACCCAGCATCCTGGCTCCAACTCGGGTGCCCCCGAGCTTCCTGGCTTCCGATCCAAGGCAGTTACCGTACTCGGACCAGGGCCGTAATGTAGGTTGTGGTAATGGCGTCGTCTCGTCCCCAAAGTGCCGCGGTACGCGTCCTGGCTTTCCATTCCTCAGGCGCCATGGCTTCGAGCATCCAACCGCCTCGTAAAGCTCTGCTTGGCCGACATTGGTCGACTATACACGGCCTGTGGAGCAGTAATGACCTCGATACCGGCATGCTGCTGGTAGCTAGGCTTTTCGGACATATCCCCGCCGTGCGTGGGAAAATTTGGACTGAGTCTGTCGTCGCCTCGCAATTTTCCAACGAACCAGTCGACGAGGTGTCCCATCTCGCCCATCCACCACAAACCCAGCACAATCGTCAGGATGGTCACGGGTATCGCGGTGGCCCAGTACAGCCATTGCCCGGCCTCCATGTCTCGGATGTCGCTAGAATTCATCCCGAAGACGCTCGAGACGGCGCTCAGGGGCAGGAAGATGATGGTCACAATGGTGAAGGCGTAAATAGCCTGCTCCTGGCGGTCTTTGGTCACCGCCGCATTGTTGAGGTTCTGGTCTCCCGTGTTAGCGTCCTCGTCTTATCCTGGCAACGCCAAAAGCTAAAGCGCGGCCTCGGCTTAACTCACCGTCTGTTCCAAAACATCAGCTTGCTCGGCGTACTCTTCAAAATCCCTGCTCCGCCGCTCCAGAAGCTGTGTGCACTCCGCCGCCAGGAGATCCCTGAAGCCGGCCGCGTCCGTGGACGGAAGCTTGTAAAAGTCGGACACCCCAGCGGCAGCAGCCATGGCCACAGGCTCCAAAAGCGCCTGCTGCACTTCATCGTCATCGGCGGCGTGTCGGCCGCTTCTGCCCAACAGCATGTGAGATTTTGGTGAAGCAGTCTCAAGATAATTGGCGGCCGCGGCAACCCGAGTTCGAGTCGAACGGTGAAGCTTTGCTGCAGCGGATGAACCTTCCTGTCGAGAGGCCAGGATGGAGCTGAAGACGTTGCTTTGCGCAGCTATGGTGCGGTCAACAACGCTTACTTCTTGCCGTAGGAAGTTTATTCGCTGCTGGTAGGAGATATCCGACTGCCCATTCGCAATCTCGTTTTCCTGCTCATAATGTCAGTACATAAGACACAAGGGGCCAAGAAGATTCAACGAGTAAACTAAAACGTACCAATGCTCTGAGATACTCTGAATACGTGTCTGTAATTCCCGCATACTTTCCAGACGTGTTGGACAAGAGGCCATAGCTGATCAAAGACACCACCTCGAGCGGGAGGACGCAAGACCGGTCCAGCAGGTTTAAGTTTGACAGCCGTTCCATAATATGCTTCATGCCGCTCTTGACCAGCGCGTCCGCCACGTCCAGATGGTCCTCCCACATGTGCGTCTCGTGACTCGCGTAGATCAGGCCCATGACCAGATGGAGCCAGGCGCGGATCAGCTCCAGAGGCACGTCAATGTCTAGCCGGTCCGTCGGTTCAGCGTGAGACAGGATGCCCTTGAAAGCGATGACGGGGAGGGCCAGCTGGCGCAGGGCTTTTCTGACCGTCGGGGCGTTTGCGTAGACGGCTTCGCGCCTCGTCTTGTCGAGGCTGTTCGGATGAGGCTCGCTCTCGGTGGTCTCGGGTTGGGGAACCTAAAGAATATGAATTTCCATCCCAACTTGGAAGTGAGACTAACAGTAAAGACTTACTACTGTGACCAAATTCATCACAGCACCCCAGAACCTCTCGGTTGTCGGCCCGTCAAAAAGAGGAGGCAAAAAGAACCTGAACAAAGAGTCAGCCGCGTTAAAAATGTCAACACGCTCCTCATAGTCCTGCTTCCTCCATGACTTCTTCGTATCTTGCATCCGCGCCCCTTGCTGTTCGAGATACTCGTAGACTTCGTTCCTCGTCGACATCTCAGCCTCGAGGTACGCCCGCCGGTCCAGCCCATTGGTCTCGGCCGTCAGGAACTCTTCGACCTCGGATAGCTGTTTCTGGAGCACGATAAAGTTGGGGCCTTCGATGGGGCCGGGCGGGTTCGTCTCGGCCCAGCTGAATACGTGAAACATTTCGTTGTTCTTGTTGGGCTGGCCAGGCGGGAAGCTCATCCGGTTGCCTGCCGACGTCCTGGGTGGCTGGAAGCTACCGGACGACTGCCCGGCGGCGCTGCTTAGACCCTGTTTGAGGGGTCTCAAAATGCCGCTTGGCGGTAGTTGTGGTGGTGTGCTATTACCTATCAGGCCCATGCTCTCATCCTTGAATCAATGCAGACTTACCAGGTTTCCATACTAATCACAACGCTCTTGTGTGAGGTCCTGGCAAACTGAAGTACCTTCCACCACCGCCCCTCCGTCAACAGTCGACCGTTGAAGTGGAAGCGAACTGCCTTTGGCCAGAAATCGGCAAAGTGCGCAATAAAAGCGAACCAGGTCCGGCATTCTTCGAGAGGAAAAGACCACAGCACCGACTCGCCGTGCCGGATCAGTATCCGCCCCGTATCCGCCCCCAGGGTGGGATTTCTCGCCGGCTCCGAGGTCATTATGACGGTTTCGCCGCGCAGGGCCTCCTCGAACATGGAACCGCAGGTGATGAGCAGCGAATCGTCCAGGACGATACACCACAACTGTCGGATGTGGAAGCACATGTCTTTCCCTCCGTTGCCGATCTGCCGCGTTGCCTGCAGCATGTCCCGCTTGCGCGAGTTCCGCGAAAAGGCTGACTGTAGGAGTGTTTGGGGCGGGTAGGCTCCCGGATTTCCGGTGGCCTGGATCCCCGAGTACTCCTCTAGTGAAAAGTATGGGATGCAGAGCCAGGTCGCGGAATGCTTCCCGGACTTCAAAGCCTTGCCCGGGTCTCCTCCGTGCTGGAGGGGAAGTTCGAGGTAGCTAGGTTCCATGTGTTTGACTGTCGTGTCTCGAGAGGTGCGGACGGTCTTGGAGTAGTTCTTTCTCACGTCGGAGAGAAGCTTGCGAATGTCGTTTTGCTCTGACTCGGAGAGCGCGCGCGAGATTTCATTCTGCTCGAGATTTAGCATGCACTATTGAGAAGAACAACGTGCAAGAGAGCAAGACCTACTGTGAACTCATCAAAGTTCATCATGTCCTGCTGCACATGCCTATGAGACAATTAGCGACGCTTCCTCCCCTCAAGCTCACGCCTCACTTACAGCCATCTGAATAATGATTGGCGCCTTTTTTTGGTATCATATACAACATCCAAAGCCGCCGAGTGCACACCGCCCAGTACGCTCTCACCAGTGTACCTGGACTGATACACATGGAGCGCCCGACTCAACGGCGGTTCCTCACCCCTCAGCGTAGAGTCGTCCGAAAACGGAATGTCTAGATCAGAACCATCATCATCTCTTGTCGGGTGAGACGAGGAGCGCGCCGGATCAAAGGCGTACACCTTGCCCGACGTCTCCTCCAAATCGACCCAGTCGTCAGCCTCGCTGATGGGAGTGAGATACTCCTGATCCAGAAAGTCCGGCGGCATGGGGAATCCGGCCATGTCAAGGCTCTGCTCGTCCGACTCGTCCTCCTCGTTGGCCATAACTGACGGCACAAGCTCCTCCGGGTTATGCTGCCTCATCTGCTGCTGCTGCGCCTCTTCTGGTATCGCCGCTGGCAGGACAATACTCTGCTGCTGGGTGGCGGGCATATCATACACCACGGGCACCGAAAGCGGTGTCTTGGCTCGTCGCCTGGGCGCCAACGACTCCAGAGGTGGTGTGAAGCGTTCCAGAGGCGATGTGAAGCGGTCCAGAGGCGATGTGAAGCGTTCCAGAGGCGATGTGAAGCGCACCGAGGGCGAAACGACCCTCTGGCTCCTCTGGCTCCTGTGACTCCTCTGCCGTCCCGGAGCTCTGGGTGGCGGCGTGGGCGGCACGGGCTCGTAGATGGGATCCCCCTTGCGAAACTCCTCAATCAGCTGGACGAGGTGCGCCGTCTGGGCTTCTCTGCTGCTGTACTGGCTCCGGAGGCTCTGGGCTGATGCTCGTGTTGAGAAGAGGGACTGGCCTCCCCGTCGGCGAGGTTGTATTGAAGGATCGTATTGTGACATTATGAAGGTTTCGCACACTGTAGCAACTGTGGACAGCCTTGCTGTTTCCTTGCCGTGATACAGTGTAAAGTCTGTGGTTGGTGTGTAAGTGTCGTTGGGCTTTTCTTGCTCCCCTGGTCTTAATCGAGTCGAGATAATATCTTCTTTCTCCAAACGGCAAGGTGGTATTCTGCAATTATCGATAGATTGCAAACAAGCGAAACGCCTCTCAAGACCGGTGGCGCCTCTGCAACAGCCAAGATGATGCACACCACTTAAATATAATGCTTGCAATAATACGGATACTAGCAGCAGCAAATCACAACAGCAAAAAAGCTGCACATCAACCCAGCCCGGCCCACAACCGCCAGCCACCCGGTGTTGTCATGAGGGAGGGCAGGGCCGACACTAACACGGAGCCCGCAAGCGCCGTTGCCATCAGTTACTGCCATGGCGCCAGTCTGAGCGCTGGTGGCTTCTTGCCCAGGCACAGGGCCAAGCACGCCAGGAACCGTCAGTCACCACAGGTTCCACCCCGCCGCACGGAGGACGGGACCGTTAGCGGATCCATCCAATGCCTCCCCCGCCATCTCCAGCGGCGAAACACGGGTAACCTTAGCTGCAAAATGGGCCTAACCGGCACCAAGGTGCTGAGCCCAGCCATTGCCGGGTCAGCGTTGTAGGCTCACATCTGGCTCATCTTACTCTTCACTCAGCAGTACAGATTTTCGTAGCAAGGACGTTCACGGTTACGTAGCCTCATAGGCTAATTCATCTTGTGCTCAGATATCTTATTCATTAGTGCCTTTCTCTGAAGACGACAGTGAGTATCTGAGTCCTTTTGCATCCGAGTATCCGTTCTGAAAACCGAGATCCCTTGACTCCAGACCTGCAAATCATGGGAGTATCGTGAAATGACATGTCCCAGAACCGAAAATCGATAGGGTATTCCTTTTTCTCCGTATCCGTAGCCATGGCCGATCGTGCCAACAAGAGTAAATGAAAGCAAAACAAGCAAGTTAAACGCGTGCGGTTGTCAATGGTTCTCAAAGACCTCGTTTATCCGCGTTCCAAACATAGTCCGTCGTGTCCGGCTCACATGAAATTTGTTTGGGCGGCTTACTCTTTGGAGAATCCCCTCACATGCATGTCGTGGAAAAAAAGAAAAATCGTCATGTGCCGGCGGTTCCATTCAATCTCTCCCATTCGCGTAGAAGTACTGGTCCGGAAGGTCCAATATGAGATATGGTCAAGTTATCTTTCCGTCCACCAGCCTCTGCCGCAGTGACACAAGCAAAGTCGAAAGCCGTACTGACGTAAAGTCATTCAATCATAAGAAAAGAGAAAAGAGAAAAGAGAAAAGAATCGATCGTCAATGTCGAAAGACAAGAATTAGCCTCCGCGGTGCCAACATGAAATAATCGAGCCGTCGAAGCATGGTATCGAGAACGACCATGACCCACATGAATCCCAAAAGTAGATGAGTATCCAGCGTAGGCAAGAAAGGGCTGTACCATCCAAATGGGCAGAGGTTCAAAGCTCGGTGCTTCGTCGGGAGAAAATGTCACCTTAGCGCGCGAAAGGGTAACCAGGATCAAGACCACAGCCGGAAAGGCGGCGGCACATCTCGTCAACAGACTCCTGGTGGAATGGCACATTGGCAGGACCAGACAAGGCAGGACGCGAAGACGGACCGGCGGCGTCGGCAGGCTCCTCGTAGTAGAAGCGGCTCTCGTCGACCTTTTCCTCTGCCCACTCCATATTCTCATCAAAGATCTTGGGGAAGTCGGGAAGCAGGCCCTCGTGGTAGAACTCCTCCCACTCGGAACGCCAGGGGAAGGGAAGGCTCTCCCAGAGATTCTTGATCAGCTTGAACGAGGGCTGACGGCGCAGAAAAGGAAGAACGACGGTCGCCACCTTGGCAAGAGCAACCTTCATCTCCTTGAGGTCGTCGATGTAAGGGTTGTCGAGGTACAAGTGGACCAAGGCCATTCGGAACGGAATCTCAAAGCCGGCCAACTTGTCAAAGTCGGTGACCTGGTAGTAGAAGTATCGGCCGCCGAGCGCGACGCGGTACACCTCATACGCCTCCAGCATGTTGTCGAGCTGGAACTTGAAGAGCGACGAGACGCCGAAGCGAAACGCCGGGCCATGGAACATGGCGTTGTATAAGATGGGTCGACTGTCCCAGATATCATCTTGGCTCAATCGATTGCCGGGAAGCTCTGCCAATGATTAGATTAGACGAAAATTTGTTTCAATCAGTCGCGGCCGTTACTTACCGCCATTGTAGATGAAGAAGATGAGAGGACTGAGATAAGACATCGTGCAGTCTCTCATGTCGAGATGAGTACCGCCGTTCTGTTCCACCGAAGAAAGAAATTAGAAAACTGGGAATCTTGCATCGAACAGAAAAGCCAAGCTTACCGCATCGGCCGGAGGAAGCAACTCGGCCAATTTCGGCGCGTCTGAGGTGAGGATGTCGCGATGACAACCGATCATGGTGCCCTCCTTGAGAGTGAGGAACACGTTGTGGGATTCCCGGTTAAGGAGGAGCCTAGAGGAGGAAAAAGAGGGCAAAGTTAGTGATTTTTTTTTTTGCTTTTGTTAGGTCCGAGACTTACTCCGCGCGATGGTCTCGCTCAAGCGAGGCGATCATGGCTCTTCTGAGCGCCCCGTCCTTAGCCGAAGCCTCGGACGAGGCGCCAGTCGCCTCCTCTTCGGTCGGGATCGCCAGTCCCTTCCCCTTCTCCTCCTTGATCTCCTCGTCCGCCGGAAGCGGGACGTTGGCCGCGTCGATAGCGGCAGCAGAAGCAGCCGCGCCAGCAGCAGCCGACGAAGAGCTGACCATGGAAATGGCAGGAATCTCCGGCAGAAGCCACTGACGGGCCGCCTCCGCCACCGCCTTCTTCGCAGCAAGCTTCTCCTGTCTCTTCTGGTTGACCATCTCGGCGATGGTGGTGGTATCACGGTTGAGAATCGTGATGGGTGGAGGAGAAGAGGAAGATGGGTCGCTCCCCCTCAAAAGGGAAGAGACAACACCACCCTCCTCAACTTCTCCCGCCGAGATGGGGCCAGAGGGAGGGCTGGGGCTTCCAGCCGGTGAGGCTGCGATATTCTGCCCCTGCCCCTCATCCCCATTATATCCCGTGAGGGATGGGAAGTCAGCGGCGGAGGGCAGGGGAGGAGGCGGGCTTTGGCTGGGAGATTGTGAGTCTACTAAGAACTCTTGGCGAAGAGGACTGGGATTGGGCGTTGTGCCCGTGGCGACGATCTGAGCCCACGAGCGAGGGGCCATAGTGGGTGAGTGGGTGAGTGGTGGTAGTGATTGCGTGTGACGAGCGGACGAAGCAACTGGATGAATGTTAACAATGCCAAAGGTCAGACGAGATAGAAATCTTAGATCAGAATCTTACAGATATGAAATGTGGTGAAAGGGTTTTGTTGTCGTGTGAAGCAAGAGAAAAGTGCGAACAGAGTTGATTATGACAGGGAAAGGGAAAGAGCCGGGTAGGGAAAAAATATTTTTCAAAGGCTCTGATTCATGATGTATAGGAAGGTGCTCACTAGCATGCCACTTATGAGGTTGCTTAGGAGCGCTTTAGAAGTATTCCGGTCATGAAAAGTGCGTATTCTAGGCATGGCTGTTTATACTTCACTTCGTCTCACTTACCTAGGTGTCCAGGCACTGAAGATGAGATGAGTCGCGCCTACCTGATGAGATATGAAGACCCAAGAGGTAATAAAGGGCATTAATTAGATAAATTGAGGTAAATTCGTCATAAGGAACGGTTGATCCTTTGAGTGATCAAGAGCTTGCTTATCCATGAGCGGTTTCTGTCTCCTGAGAATCTCTAACTCGAGGTCATCCAGACCTCAACTAAGCAAAATCAAAACGAAATTCGGACATGGAATATCTAAAAGTATCCGATTTTTAATGTTTCAGGGTCCGGTCCGACAGATTCCAGATCCTAGGCGGGGAAGGGGGGGTTGGTCCTCTTTATGTCGAGGACATCATACTGACGAAAGCTTTGCTGAAAGCCGGATCAGCAAGCCCCAACCTTGTACAAGGAAAGAACCATTAGCGATTGTCTTCTATGCATCAAAGACCCGGGTGTCTCCGTAGTTGTTTGTCCAAGACAAACTCGAATAGCTGTCCAGAGTCTTTGTTAATTTGGGTGGTCATTTTTATATAGTTAGCCTATGGGATACTCGGAGACCAAACCCAAGCAAAGAACAATCGCCAAGCCCGTTCTCCGTCCCCTTCCCCATATATTAGATCCATCACTTGCATGAAGCCAGCGGAAGCCACTTTCGTGCCCGCTGCAAGGGGTATTTCCCCGATGCTCCCGAAGCGCGTCGCAGAAACCTCAGGGATGTCATTACCACGAGTCAACATGATTTTCTTTCTCCCTTCAACGACAGATATGACTGGTACGACTAACGGGGGAAAAAAAAGTCGAGTGACACATCGAGCATAGACATGAGAAAAATCGATGTGAGATGGGGCATTCATAGCAACAAGACGATGATGAGCAAGATGCCATGTCGTCGAGCGTCTTACATAAGCGGCAGGTGGAAGCACCTTTCGGAGGGGTCCGGCCGAGACCGAAGTAATGGAGGCAGGTACGAAGCACTCTGCAACAATCCATAAGGTACAAGCTCGCGGGCCCAAATCTCTGGCGAATAGGCGATTTAAGGTGAAAACTGACAACTTGCTGCACCCCCCGGCCCCGTAACACATCTGAGTCCCGCAAGCTGCCAATTGAGTTTGGTCGGAAGGGAGACCAGTTCCAAGGACTGGCCGATCTCTACGGCAAGCCACCCCGCCCGTTACTACCCCCGCGGCGCCTTGTGGGGGGCCCCCCCAAAGGACGGACTTGCTGCATGATCCATGGGCCCGAAAGCTTCGGCCACCAATTTCCACATTCGAATGAGTGGGGATATCGGCAACATCTTCAGGTCCGAGAAACGTAGCCTCTGCCTCTTGATTTTGACATTGAGGAAAACAATTAACAGGCTCCATCACTAAATCACAATATGTAGAAATGCATCGACAGTCGAATTAAAGAAAGATAGAGCGAACGACGATATCGACCACCTGAAGACTCGCAGTTCGTCCCCAGCTAACTTACACATACATTCAATTGTCCAAATGAGCTCATCACAAGGCAACCGAGCCCTCTGGCTGTCATCATACACCAAGCCCCTCAAGATCGTCAACCTCCCAATGCCAGGTGCTCCCACAGGTACAGTCGTTGCAAAGATTTCTCCAGGCGCCAATCGTGCCCTAAGGTACACACACCTAGCCCATACCGGCCACCACCCGCAGCTCAACATCCACCCGCCCTTCGTCCTGAACCTCAACGCCATCGGCCCGGGTGCCGCGAACGTCAAGCCGGGCGACCTCGCACACATCGACGCCACCACCCGCGGCCGCGATGAGCCCGTCAACGTCATGGTCAAGATCGGACACCTCGCCGGCGTCGGCAACGCGGGCCAGAAGCTCTTGAAGGAGTGGGGCGACGGCTCCCCGCAGTAGTACCAAAAGGTGCCCCTCGAGAACGTCTGCCCGCTCAACGAGTAGCGCCTCATCGGCGAGCTCGGCTACGATTTCGCGGCGCTGAGCTCCATCGCACAATACTCCGTCGCCGCGGGTGCACTCCAAGAAGCAGCCGACATCAAACTAGCCGAGAACATTGTCGATGGCTCCTCAGGCGGCTAATTTGGCTGCCCGGCCGTTGACACTGTCGGCGCCAACGTCATCGCCTTGGCTCGCAGGGATGCGCGCCAAGCTCGGCGACAATCCGCACCTCGAGACGGCGGTGATGACGGGCGACGCCGAAGTCGACGCGCGCGATCTTCGCGGCCATACATAATGGCCCCGGCGTGGACATTTGCAATGACTGGACGCCCGGCGAGCGGTGCGCACGCTGAAGCGCGAGGGGCGGGTGATTCTCAGCGACGAGGCGAGCGAGACGCTGTCGAAGTCATACGCCGTCTTTGGGCTGAAGAAACTGAAGCTTCTGGCTAAGTGGATATGCAAGCGGTCGACGCTGTTGCAGGCGATTTGCATGACTGAGGAAGGCTAATTGAGGATCGGGAGGGAGAGCGGAGCGGGGATCAATGTTTCTCGTTGGATGAGCACCACGAGGCGAGTCGTGCCATTATCTTTTGACTGACGGCCCTTCTATTGCGCCTTTTGGGCCCCTGTCTTGCGTCGATCTGCTTGATTTCCTACACTTTGTAGACCACACCACAGTTGTTTTTGTAAAGTCGAACGACTCGAATGAGAATCCTAGTACGATGAGTAAGATTGGAGCTCAGCTTATCGGCTAGCTGTGACTCGCAAGTAGGGAAAGGCAGCTTTGATTTTTATCCAAAATCACTATTGTTATGACATTTCATGTACAAGGCTTTCTCACTCGAAGCAGACAACAAGGTTGTGTTTCTCCATCTCATTCCCGTCTCATCCCACCAGATGGGTTAAAAAAAAAAAGAGTTTGGACGTTATTCTCCATACTCGTTTTCACGATGAAACTGCGAATACCACAGAGAAAAGGAGGTTCCGTGAACGCTGGCCCTGTAAGGTAGGATAAACCAATTCCGTTTGAGCCCCCTTTCGTTTGTCACATCAGCAAGGCACTGGAAGCGGTTGCAGTAGCAGGATTGGATGACTACGTGACTACCTACCTGCGACCTCGCATGAATTCCGGGTCGCTACGTCATGAATGGTCGAACGTCCCCGGTCTGTTTGTCCACGTTGTGTTGGACCATCTCCCCCCACGCGCGGACGCTCCGGCTACTTGCATCTTGGGTTTCAGTTCGATCGGCGTGACCAACTTGATGTCCATTGCAGCAGTGCTGGAGATAAGACGAGCTAGAAGAGCGGCTCATAGATTCTGCATGTACTCATTGAGAAACGATCTTCTAGATTTCACGTCTTCCCCTCCATCGGCTGAAGATGGTGTTCTCGTCAACTCGTCACAGGTATTCAAATGGATACACAAACTGGAGGTGGTGTATACTACAGGCGCCAGTACTCTCGTAATCTCTGCGTTTGTCTCTCATGTTAGTGCCGGCGGCAAGCTGCCCAGTGTTGTTTTCATGTCAAAATCACAGTCCAACACCAGCTCCCAGGCATCTTCATGCCTCAATTCTTCACCATGGATACGGGGTTTCTGAGAATATCTGCAGCTCGGAACACCCATTCTCATCACTCATCACATCTCAGTCAGAGCCAAGTGAGATTCACCCGAACTGAAGGTCTGTGCGTTGGCCGCGGGTGCTGGCTCCCGGCCGTACTCTAACGTGTCTACAGGGTGAAAGATCCCTGCTCCCGCTCCAGCATGACAAGGAGAGGGGTTGCTTGCCACCTGGGCACGCTGAGGTGGGCTTGGGGTGTTGGCCCGGGTGGACGCTCCAGCGCCAGCCCAGAGGCACCTGGGTAGGTACCTTCCAAGTTGGGCGGGGGGAAGGGGCTAACCTAGGTAAGGAAGCGATCCTTCCTCTACCCACCGATCCAACCGCTGGGTGGCAAGGTACCTTACCTTAATTAATTCCAACCTCAGGTAACCTCCCCGAGCGGCTGGCTGCTCGATATCTCCCACGCCCATCTCGCTTTTTTTTGACATCACCTCTTGCTCAGGCTGACCGTCTGTCGTTGGCTTTTGGACGGCGCTACGTCCAGTCTCCACCGCTCGACAACGGAAGGAGCTAGTAGCCGGGTTTGCTGGCCTTTGGCGATTGTTCCTGCGTCATCTCGGCGTCTTGCAACACCCACGCACGCGACACCCCCGACTCTCATCGCCCAGGATCCGTCATATCGCGACGCGAAACACTGGCCTTGGCACTACTTGCATTCGCTTGCTGAAGCATCGCCGATATCGCTTGAGCATACCCAACCTTGCTCTTGCCGCAGAAGTCGTCCATCGGCGCAACTCATTCCTCTTCATCGCTTTAGTAAGCAACCCGCCTCGACGCGGTCTCCTCGGATCCCGTTTGCTCATCTCATCCAGGTAGTTGAAAGTCATCATGGCGAACAACTCACCCACACCCGCCGACCCGATGGCCGCAGCCACGAATGCCATGATGATGTCCATCCAGGCCTACGTCCGTACCGCCGTCGCCGCGGAGACTGCAAATGCCCAGCCGACCGCAGATCAGCCCGGCCAATTAGCTACCCTCCAGAGTCGTCTCGAGACGGCCAATCAGGAGAACTCTGACCTGAGGGATAGAATCAAGCAGACTGAGAGTAAGAAGTCCACTCGCCACATTCGCAAGCGCACGTTTATTTCCGCTCCAATGTCTACAGCGAACACTGACATAGAACAAGCAGGCGAGAGAGACACCGTCAAGGCTGCCTTCTCCTCTTATCTGGGCTTCCCTCTCCCAGACTCGAAACATTCCCGCCATTCGCAGAGCAAGGGCAGCAAATTCCCTCAGTTCAAGAACTTCCCCGTCGAGATCCGGATGAAGATCTGGAAGCTTGCTCTCCCCGCCGGCCGGGTCTTTGACCTCTCCAATGTCGACGCTCACTTCTCCCGCGTTCTCCGGGCCCCCATCGCCAACAACAACGGCGCACCTAACCCCGCCTTGGTCCTGCGCCAGGCCTCGGGCCTCACCGAGATGAGCTTGACCGCTCACAAGACGCCCAAGCTCCGTCTCGCGTGCAAAGAAGCCAACAAGGCGTTCCTCGAGGCTGGTGGCTTCGAGTTCGGGTTGTTCGGGGGCGCCTATAAGGGCCTCTGGTTCAACTACTCTGAAGACATTCTCTACGTCCGCGAGGAGCCCCGCTCCTGGACAAACCTCGACATGTCACGCATCATCCGTGTCGCTTTCCCACACAATAGGTTCATGTGCAAAGCCGACGCCACGGCCAAGATGGACCTCATCCTTGACCATTTCACGTCCTGCAAGGAGGTCATCCTCATGCAAACCATGGAATGGGATATCCGCTCCTGCCTGGCAAGCCCGCGCCTGCCCGCCAAGCTCTTCCCACTACGGGACAACGACCCGATCAGCACCCACGAATACCCGAAGGAGCTCTCCGACGACATCGGTTGCGTTGCAGCCTGGGGTGACGTAAAGCGCATCGTTGGCCATATTTGGGAGGACCACGTTGTCAGTGTGAAGCATCTCAGTGCAGGCCGGATTCCCAAGTTCTCCGGTATTGAAGTGCTCAGAGCCCGCCCAAGCTACTTCGACTAGACTGATAGCTTGACTAATTTCTGGGTGAGTTTCACATGATTCAGTGGGATTCTGACATGTGCCATATTCCGGCATACATTGGGAGAAGGGGCGTTGGGTTCGATTTTTTCTTCGTACGAAAACAAGTCACATACCAATTGATATCCACTAAGTACCTATACTCATTTTTTGTGTGGATTCGCCATCTTTGTCAACAAACAAGCTGGTAATCCCCGCAACTTCTCATTCACATACCTCGGTTAGAGTAGCATGGATGGCAGAGACTATACCTCGCCTTCATTTGCCCTCCATACTCATGATTCTTGCGACGAGAGCCTGGAGGGGCCATTCGAATGGCCTCCGCTTGACCGAGATGATCGAGCACAAATTATGAGAGTTGAGAGATCAATAAGCCATGTCTTGTTGAGTGTCCACTGCAGCAGGCGAGGTGTATATATATCTCTCTCTAATTTATTTGACGCAAATTGCCGCCAAGGAGGCAGACGACGCCGCCAGTAAGTAAATCGTGGCCAGAGTCGTCGACGGAGACTATAAAGATTCGATGATTCCCTCACTAGTCGTGACAAGGTTAGATGTTGACAGCCCTCAGGCTAACGTTATCAAAGTCGTCTTCAACGACACAGCGTCTGTCGGAGTCAAGACAGACGGTTTCTACCTAGATACATATGAAAGACCTTACTCAGCTGTCCCCATGACCATCTGGTATTCTGAAGACCTCCACAGCCCCCAGTATCAAAGGCCCCTTATTCCTGGCCTGTCGGCGTTTTCGAGGATGAGCTCCTGCCTCATCTCCAACATCCTGCCGTTGAGTTCAGCTCAGGTGAGATAACTCGTTCCCTCCAGCTCCGGAAATTGCGGTCTCATAACGGGCCATTTTCTCTTCAATTGGGAGATGATGTCGTCGTCTTTTATACGGCGGATCACTGGAGCTGTCGCCGGGAAGTTTTCCATGTCGAACTCGCCAACTCCATGCCGCGTGTACAGGTACAGCGCGACGATGAGATGACGGCATGCAGCGAATTTCACATCGACAAAAGCAACTTCCAAAAAGAATAGCATTGCGGCATCAAAAGGTACATAGATCTTTCTCATGTCCTTAAGCCATGAGTAGCACCACTGGTAGATTTCCGCATAATACACTGCGTCTTGGGCGTCGTTGTAACTTGTACCAGGGGCCTCGGATACTGGAGTTGTCTAAATAGCCAAAGGTGACCCACCGAAATATACGCCTGGTACGCGCCCTTGCATGCTTCTCTCACAAGTGGAGGAGGGTACTCGCGGAAGAGTCGCGTTGCTTTATCGGAGTTTCCGACTTGATTTTCGTACGGCTCATACACCCTTGGGGCAGGGAGGGCTGCGAACCAGATTTTTTAGTTGGAAGTCTGGAGGGAAGTTCCTGAACTATGGGAAAGCCATATCTCTGGATTGTGCTACCTACCACTTCCTGGGCCTCAATGTGTAGTCAGCAATATGATCAGGTTTTTGAGCGAACCGAAGCCTGAACAGCCCACCAGTAGCCTCAAATAGGTAGCCCACCTGTGTTTTATGAATTCGTGGAGGTCATCGAACTGTGTTCTCAGAAGTCAGCTTTTATGTTCAACATTGAACAAAATCTTCATGGCGAACCCGGCTTGGCGATCTGACTGATCTGATCGGCCCGGAAGGGGTGATGTAAATGGGACGGGATCAAACTTGAATGACAGGAGTAAAGATACGGTGACGACTTGGCTGCTTTGAGTTTGCTGTCTTCTGAAGGGGTGAAAAAGTGAAAAGACTCAGCTCACCTGACACGCGTTGTTCTTGTGGGTTGCCGCGGAGAAGAGCAAGAAGTTTCAAAAACGGCAGGCAGTTTGAACGGGGCACTGTATTCGGCAGGTTTCTTTTTTGAGTATAAAAATTAAGAAAATTGGGTGATACTGGGAGCTTGACTCTTGCGATGGCAATATAGATCTTGTCCAATAATTGTGTAGTCGAGCCAAACGACTCAGAGTCCATTGACGAGTACGGCCCAGTCACATTGACGAAGAAAGAAAAATGCCCATTACAATCAACGACATCGCGACAGGAGTCTTGGCAGGCTCTCGACTCTTGTGTATCTTGAGTCGCAATCGCTTGCGCTCCAAGACCTGTTGCTCCTGTGCGAGAAATATTGGCCAGAACCGTGGCTAGCATCGTCACTACCATCATTGGCCAAGAACTTAGTAGAGCTGAGAGTATCGTCGGCGGGATCAGTGGAAGGTCCGATGGCCTCGTTGCAAGGAAGAGAGTACATAGGCTGTAGTGATCTCTTCGGGTGTGGCGGCAGCAGGCTTGCCAGTCTTGCCACGGTCTTTCCACTTCGCCAAAAGGCTTTTAGTCCTCTGGGTCGCGTTATACATGTCAGTCCAACGTCTCTTTCAAGGGCTATCACATTGACCGAGAGGAAAACACGCAAGTTTCGGAGGTACATCAATAATGAAGTAAAGATTTTCCTCTTGTATTTGGGGCCTTGGTCTCCCTCAGGATAGTTGGGCCGGATGGGTCTAGCCGTCTATTTCCTTGGACGAGGCGGTCGAAACGATCATGACAGCACAACCCACTGTCGGAGCTGCTTGGCTTCTGTCTCTCCACTGAGAATCTGCATTGAACGAGACTCTCAATACATCATGAAAGGCCTGCGGAAAACCTCTACGGCCCGGAATATGACGCGTTTCTTGTCCTCGTCCTGGTGAAAAAACTCCTCCAGTTCGGCTCTATGCTGATCCCAGGTCTTCATTTTGCCCTTTCCCCAGTCGTCCAAGTCCACTACCTCAGCGCAGACGCGCTCCTCGCCATCATTTATGGCGTAGAAGACTGGTATAGTATTCTTCAGCTCTTGGGGAGTCGGTCCTCTGTTCACCACTGCGGGAGCTCCGCGAGGCTGGTAGGCGATCGTAAGGTTGTCGCAACCCCAACAATCGCCCGTGAGGATGTCAGCGCAATCATTCGGATTGAGGACGATCGCGTCTCCAATGACAACGTTCTTAACCTGCAAGACGTTTTGGTCCGACCACTGCCTGAAGTTGGAGATGTACATGGCGTCCAACTTGTCATTGTACCAAATCGATCCGAATGTTCCGTGCTTCATATCGTCCTCGTTATAGCCGAAACGGAACTTGCCCACCTGCATACAGAATGCGCGAGCCTCCCTGTTGACTTCTCTGAGGACTGGGGGCGCCCAGTGCTGATAGAATTGAATGCATCTTGGGTCGTAAGGCACATGATCATCGTATGACTTTGGTTCGTAAATTCTGCCAGGCGGAAGGCAGAGGTTCCAGATCTTGCGCTTGAGCTCGATCGGGAGTGATCAAAGTAGCAGGTTTGGTCTTCGACGACTTCATCAACGGTCAGAAGCTTTCATTGAGGACTGTAAGGAGTTCAAATACCTTGACTGAGAGCGCAATGAGCATTGTTGACCTTCTTGACGGAAGCGACAACGTTGCTTATGGCTGCTAGAAGGTTGGCGATTGCGGCTTGCTGGAATTGGGGATGCAGGTGGCAAGCCACGATACCGCCTGTGGCCATCAGAAGCTGAGAAATCTCATTATTCTCATTGTTGGACTCATGGATGATGGGAGGGATCTTGCTTGCGGCCTCCAGTAGGCCGGAGATGGCGGCCTGTTGTTTGTCGGGTTGCTGGAAGGAAGAGATGATGGTACTGGTGGACGCCAGGATGTCAGAGATCAGATTGTTCTTCTTTAGGAACAGTTCCATCTGATCATCGGGCTCAGGTTGCAGGTTAGAATCCATCTTGATGGCCTTGGCGTCCGAGGTGAGGTGGTTTACTCTATCCACCTCGATGGTAGTGATATTATCAAAGTCTAAAAGCCTTAAAATGAGCAGAATTAGGTCTTGAATCCCTAAATATGTTTTCGCCGGCCGCTTTGGAATGAAAAGTCTTTCAATGGAGCGGTGGACTTCGATTGAACGTCAAATCAGAGTGAGCACGTAAGGCAAGAAGGGCCAGTATCAAGCAGGAACAGTTGGCATTTGTCCCCTAACTTACAGTCCAACGAGTTCATCTCATTCTCTCTTTATCGGATACAATTGTTAAAGTTTCTGAGATGAAAAGTGAATGGAGTTGCCAAATCTTGGCTGCTAACAAGGAAAATGATATTTACATCTTTTGTTGCTACCTGTGTGATGTGGACTGCCTGAGGTCTTGTTCATGCCAGGCGTTACCCTTGACTTCAACCAGAACTGCCTCACGTATCACTTCAGCTCCCAAATTTCTATTCTAATTTATGAGGAGCGATGTTTGAGCCGTGCCGGCCTTACTGGGAAATCCTGGTAGCACCTTTCTCCTACCTTCTACGCTCCCAAACTCCCTCCACACCATCGCCCACTTCACCCTCCCACAACTGGGTTTCAGCCACTTCCTTTCCACTTTGATACATCCTCAATGCAGCCTTCTTTTCCAGATTACCAGACCAAAGTTTATTCTCTTCCCTCACCAACCGAAGAACTCGGTTGTCATCCCTGAAAATCAGCCACAGGTCAACCAAGATGGGCGAGTCGATAGAGCTCGTGAAGAGCTTGACTGACAGTCTTGACTTCTTGACGTCATCTCCAAAGTTTGGACCCAATAGTCGAAGAATTTCTCTCAACTGGCAAAGCTGTAAGTCGTGAAGGATGCCCTTGTGGCAAATGTCACCCAAGCGAAGGGCCTCAAAGGTCAGTATCTTCACTTATGAGTAGCATATACCACCAGGAAGCTAACCACGACAAAATGGCACCAGGGACCCGAGAGACATTGGCGAAAATCATGACCTGTAGATCAAGCTCATGAAAAAACAGGCCGAGATGATGCTCTCGAAACCACAGGGACAGAAATCATCTTCTGGTGCGTCTTTTCCTCCTAATTTTACTAGACATATTTGTACTAGACGACCATGGCATAGACTTGCCTAAGTAACAGCTGCAGGTTTCCCAAAATTCGGTTGAAACCCTGTTGATATCCAGGAGCTCATTTGGGAAATGGCACTGCCAGATCATCGCGTCCTTGAGACAGATGGAAATTTCGCAGTCAATCGCCTCGATCACAATCTTCATTGACGTGTCGGGTCTCCAGTGATCCGAACCGTGTGCAAAGAAGTTTGGGAGTTAACGGATGAAAATTGATCATTTGTCAATGGATGGAAGTTTACGGCAGTGGAGGGAACCTGTTTTAACCCCAACAAGGACGCCATCATCATCCATAGTCCCCAAAAACCCGAATCCCTAGGGTAACTGTGGGACTGCCAGCCTAAGATCATCGCCGTTGACTGGGCTTACTTTGCAGAAACCAAAGACTTTAGGACTATCTTAAAGTGTGCCTTCGATTATCGAAGTTGCCGAAAGGTAGTCGTCCTCCTTTCAGTCCGAGGACAATTGGCAATACAAGAATGGGAAAGCGCCAAAGCTGTTCAGCCTTCAGCCCAACGAAGTTATCGGGTCAGTTTGAGGGCTTGATAAGCCGGACAGGTTTTATTATTCCTTTGAAAGTACTTGGGGAGAGTTGAAGGACACGATAGAGACCTGCTGGAACCGCAGCAACAAGTATTCTGTTAAGGAGGATGGGGACTTATCTACCCTGGAGGGAATGGAAATGATCATGTGCAAGGAGGATCAGACATCTCATGACTAGAAAACAACACAGACGGAACGATAAATATCATGAGAAGGAAACACATAACGCAGAAGAACATTGATGGTATATCTCACTAATCAGGATACGTTGCTTGTTGCGACTCATTGATGAAGGTCTGTTCTCACGACATTGAGTTGTTTGCTTTTCTCACATGGGTTGAGGGCTGAATCATTCATCAATTTTGGAAGCGCAGTTTGCTGTAAAAAAAAAGAAGCAAACGACTTCAAACCGGAAGGTGACTTTCTAACCGTGTCAAGTCCGTCTTTCTGAGATATGCAAGCTGGGCCCACAAGGTCGAGTCGCGTAGGCCCGATAATCATGCAAGCTGATAAGTTTGCAATGAAATCTTTTCATCCCTTCTATTTCATTTTTCCTGGTAATTCTCTGTAAAAATACGCTGAAGATTACTTGGTGGGAATTCGTAGCTTCCTTCTTCTCTGTGTGTACAGCTAAGAGCTCACGAATCCTCCAACCGTCCATTCCCTCCAAATTCTGCTGTGCTGCTCAGAATTAGGTAACGAGCCTGCTAACAAGTACTTCATGAAGCTGAGAAAGTATTGGCGCGGTGGGTGAGAACGATACTGACATTTGCGTCTCCGTGAGGGCCGCCTTGACGGCTGAATCCTACCTCGATGACGCCTATAGTCAATCTTACACGTCACCCATCAACGGTAGCATCCAATACTCCAGTACAGGAAATTCAAGTGAAGTACCAGGCTTGATGCATTTGAAATGGTGTCTACATGCCCAATATAAAATTCAATGGGTCCCCCGCAGAATGAAGGAATTAAGCAAAAGTACGAGATATGGTCAATCCATGACGTGAGCGCGCTTGAAGGCCTTGATTATCCAGGTGATTATCGTTTTGTCATTTTGGTCTGGTCGTACAAAGTTTTCAAGGGCTGGCTGTGCTAAGCGGTTTGCGTAATATTGATTGTGTGGGTGACTACGCTCGGATTTCAAGGGATATAGCCTTTCAAATCCAACCTCGAGGTTCTTTGTGTATTCAAAACCGATTAGCCAAACTTGGATACCCAAGACCAAACGGAACTTTAGATGAGGCTAGCAATAAGAGGATGGAGTGTGACAGCTTCTGTTTGTGATAACCTTGTGGTTCGTTTTGAAAACAATGCTTATGTGACAGTAGCAAATTAAACAAAGGCAGTGTTTGTGTTGGATTTCTTTTTAGGACACTGAAAGATGTTAATGAAATTGCCATTAGAAACGAAAAGATTACGAGCAAGTATGCCTGTGCTCTTTCATGTGGGAGTAGCACTCACATCCCCAAGTCTCGTCAATTTGGTGGTGGGTCAACTCTGCCTGTTGCGCGGTTCCAGATAATTGTCCAAGCCGTCTAGACTCGAGTGATTCTATAAGAGCTATGTGATCCCACCCTCTGACGACAATAACTGGAGAACGCCTCAGACAGCACAACATTCATTCAAGCCAGCTACTCTCCCATGCTTCCCTCTTGCTAATCCACTATCACTACAATTTTCTTTGAAACGGTAGCGGCCATCATGTTCGCCAATACCCTCACTCTTTTTCTTGCTCTTTCCCCCTTGGCTGCAGACCTTGTGGTTGGAGAAGCCGTATCCTACGTAACAACCTCACCCAACGAGGCCCAAGAGTTTTCATCGTCGACCAAAAGTCCTGGAGCCACATGGACTACCTCTATCATCCCTCGCTCCTCTGGTGAGCCCACCGGGCTGCCTATCGACAGTCTCATTTTCTATGCCGAAGAGACCTCCACCGCCGCCCCTGCCCTTAAGGGGAGAGTCAATGTTGCCATCAACGTGCAGCAGAGAATCTGCAACAACGAAGCCGACTTCAATCCCCACCCGCCCATCCACTCCGACAAGCAGAAAAAGGGCGCTGACTACTTTTGCAACAACTACGCCGGCATCATGGAGTCTGGCATGAGGTCTCTCCGCGTCGAGTGGCATGACGAATTTGGTGGCCGCCATCATTTCAAAGTCTCCTGGGCCGAGGGTTGTATCGCAAATGGGGGCACGCAGCATATCCGGTATCCCAACGGACTTCAAAACACCAACCCCACCTGCAATGACTTGATGAAGGACAATTACTTACAATGTGAGTGTTTTTATTTATCTGCCTTCTCGAACTTCCTCTTGAGAAGAGATGTTGTTGCTGATACAGTATCGTTCTAGGTAACAACGGTGGCGTCGGTGGTAAAGTCCAGGCGGGCTGCCTCATTTACGCTTACAATGGAGGAATCGTCGCGGGCAGAGATTATGAAGCTATTGGACTGTGGTAAGCGGGCTATCAAGATAACTGTCGGATTGGAAGCCCAATTCGACCTCGAGTCAGCGCAAGCGCAGGGGCCATCTGAGGGCCTCTATATCAGCTTTCAACTGACGGTCTAACCTCCGGTCAGAACCTCTCTTTTCCACTTCACGCAGAGATCAATATACAGTTAATTGACCCTTCGTCACCAAGGCTCGACTCGAACAAATTACCCTGTGATACGTAAACCAACAGGTGTTCTTTCAAGGCAAATGCAATTGGGGGATCGAAGCGGGACAGATGTAATTTCCTACTAAAACTTTCCCCGTGGCAATGCCTCACAAGAAACGGCGTTTCAAACGGACAAACTTCTCGGAAGACCCCAAGTAAACAAAACCACAGTAAACGGCTTGCCTGGTAGACCACAATTTGGGCTCTGAATGAACGGGTAGTACTGGGCAACAGGGCAGAAGTTACGAGAGCAAACCAAAGCTTGAAAAGTGTGACTGGTAAACACATCTAAATTCTGAAATGGAAACTGTGATAGCAATCAATCATTGTTCGATGCGAGCCGCAGGCAAAAAGAAGGTTGCTTGCAGTGAGGTAAGGTACTTTGTGGGATAATGGCCATTTGTTTGCCCTGCATCACGGGGAGATATCACTGAGGTACCTAAGGTACCTTAGTCTCCAAAGGGCATGGTGCGGGGTAGAGGAGCTAAGGTCCTTTGGTAAGGTGCCTTAAGGTAGGTACGTACTGAGGTTGGTTAGCCTGCCGTGCCTGCCTTGCATGCGTCGTCGCGGGGCAGCTTTCTTCTACCTAAGTTCCATCATCAACAACATCACCCTCCCATTCTACCTACCGACCCGAACCCTGCAATCTTTGGAGCCGCAAAGATGTCTACGGTTCACATCAAGTCGGCAGCGGAGTTTCAGAAACTCTTGTCGAGCTCCCGCATTGTCGTCGCTGACTGTGAGTACTACCCGATCGCCGAGTTGACTGCAACCCTACCTCCCCATCCTAGGTGACGCCAATGAAGCCATCGACAGCCCGGACGCTTTGTGGTGACGGTTCCCTTGCTGCTCCACAAAGCACCCGCCATGTTCTCATGGCTTCAACCAGGAAACCATTGGGCCCCTCGTGGAACGCGTCCACGATGGAACTGACGTGCTGACAAATGGATTCCAGTCTACGCCGATTGGTGCGGTCCCTGCAAAGCCATCGCGCCCCTCTACGAGCAACTCTCCTCGTCCCTGTCCCGCAAAAACGTCGTCACCTTTGTCAAGATCGATGTCGAGTCCCAGAAGGAGATCGCCTCCGCCTACAGCATCACTTCCCTCCCGACTTTCATGATCTTCCGCGAAGGCAAGACGATTGAGAAGGTCCAAGGCGCCGACCCCCGCAAGCTCCAAGAGGTGGTTAAGAGGCTGGCAAAGGAGGTCTCTGAGGGTGATTCCGGATCTGGCGAGGCATCTGGCAGCTCGAGCGGAGGCAACTGGAGAGGCGCAGAGTTTCCTCGCGGCTATGGCGACGTTACGGGTCAGATCGAGCCCAAGGGCTGCGAGCTGCTGAATGCCGACGAGGACTTTGGTCCTGTCAAGGTCTTGTTCGACCCGTCCAAGCCCAGCGCGCTTGCTAAGAAAGAGGGAGCGAAGGATTGGGTTGAGAGTGGTGCTGATGACCAGCTCCTGTTGTTCATGCCCTTCCAGTCCATGATCAAGCTGCACACCCTTCAGGTACGATTGAAGGACAGTTCCCAAACAGGGCGTCCAGTTGCTAATGTACCTCACAGCTCACCTCTCTGCCTCCCACCGACAATGACGACGACGAGGCTCCCATGCGCCCCGGCACCATCCATCTTTACACGAACAAGCCGCATAACCTCGATTTTAGCGAAGCCGACGATACCCCTCCCACGCAGGCCATTGAGCTCACTGAGAAGGACTGGAACGCTGACGGCACCGCCAACATTGGCCTCCGTTTCGTCAAGTTCCAGAACATCAACAGCTTGATCATTTATGTGGCCAAGGGTGACGGCGACGGTGAAAAGGTGCGTCTCGACCGCGTGCGCCTCATTGGCGAGTCGGGCGAGAAGAGAGAAATGGGCAAGCTGGAGAAGATTGGTGACGAGGCTGGTGAATAGAATTACCCGGAAGGTCATTGAATTCGGGCCAGTGGAGACGATGAAGAAGAAACTTTCGCACTCAAGGTCCTTCGCAACGAAGATTATGAATAGAGCAATAGGCATAGAGGCCTCCGGTAATTGCTTGTGCCGGAGGCTCAAGAATCACAATCAATGAACCATACGTTGAACAGTAGGGTCAGGCAATTCTGATTTGCCACGCATAGATATGTGTGCATTCAGACGGTTATGCGTGATTTTGCTGGAGCGCGCGTGGCGGGCCAAGCCAGGAAGCAGTCACGAGTCGAGTGTGACAAGAACACTCCGACTCAAGCTCAACTGCGAGGCAAATTTTGACCGCGCAGAGCAGACTCCTCCCTGGGCAATATCGCATTCACTTTGCGAGTTCTGACAGGAACCTGGCTTGAAGGTTTGGATATGTCCGGCCTGTCGATCGCGACCCAACCCGCTAACGGGCGAAAAGGATCTATGATGGACAAGGCCGGCTGCAATTAAAATTCGATCTGGGGCACGATTGACGCCATGAATTCACCGACTTAGGAATTCCAGCAACAGGGGAAACTGTAACGAATCGTGCCAGCCGCACGAAGAAAAAAAGAAGAAAAAAAGAGCTCTGTGTGAAAGCCGCGACCAAAAAATCTTTTTTATATCGTGAGATGGGTCTGCACGTCCGCCCGGAGTGGATCCGGAGGCACTAGGGTGCCGGAGGAACCTTTTCGCGGACCAAAGGAAAATGGAATAGCCGCGGCAGGCTCCGCGGGCTGGTTGTGCGCTGGTTGCAGTCCCCGACTCACCAATTCCCACGTCGTGTTGGCGGACCTGGTCAGTGCGCCTGAAGTCCACTCAAACGCCCAGTCTCCACAGTTTTCACTCAGTGTGCGACGAGCAGCATATCGGAGGTGAGCCAACTAGATGACACCCCCCAGTCGTCATCCAAAGTCCATCAAAACACTGCGAACGTCCAGCCAGCAACAAATGAAGACACCACCTTCTCGGTCTCACTCAAGCCATCGCGTGCGCCGAGCTTACTATACTACACTTGCCCACTTCATCAAACGAAACATGCGGATTCCGGCTTGCGCAACGCAACATACCCCCCCAATAAGCCATGTTGACCAGGGCTGAAAGAAGCGGCTACCATGCACGGGTGACGGGTCAGCTAGGCAAAGCCAAGAGTGCCGAATGCCAAGGGGTGTCGTCCGCGCAGGGGGGCCTAGGATACGACATATGAGCGGGATACGGAGTACCTCACCAGCCGGTCACTCACCCAACGTCGTCCAGTGCCCGCCCTATCAAGTCCCCTTCAGATTGATTGAGCCTGCGCCTGTGGTGACTCTAGTGAGGCAGCGGAGACCCAACCTGAGGTGGCAGGAGGCAACGCAATATGCTTAACAAACTCCTTATCCGCATTCGTATCGTTCGCCCGATCCCAAAGCCTCAAGCAAACGACCTGGGACCCCGTACCCACCCACGACCGAGCGCTTCGGAGCCCCTCCCTTCCCTCGTCGTCTGTCGCTCTCGGCAAGCTCCTTAGTCCTGACCACATCCGCCCCTCTTCCGATGCCACCACTTCCCCGAACTGCCCCCGGCCAACCTCTTGGCACCTAAGCCGTCTGCCATCTCGTTGGAACCCTGCGGTCACCTTGCAGCGCCGTGGGATGGTTCGAATGACGGCACACCGATCATTCCAAACTCGCGCCTGCGCAAGCTCGAGTGGCTAGCAAATCGCCCGCGTATGGGATCACGACTCGTCACCAGATTACGTCCGGCGCTTCTCGTTGTCCGCCAAATTTAGAATTCGCGCCATGTCTATCGCGGGCTTCCGGCGGCTCAAATTGTTAGTCGATCGGTGCGCTTTTTCGCAGCTCCGCCACGCCACGCCAGACACTGGGGACCCATTTCACATATTGCTTTCGCCATTCTTAAGAGGCCCGAATATCGACGTGCATCGCCCGCTCTGACATCGGTGCGTAATTAACTGCCGGCACGATTACCTGATGTGGCAGTCATGGCGGCCAATAGTCCATTTGTTGCGGCGTACCGGTCGTGACATCCCACGTTGCTTTTGCCCACTAACGACACCGCAGGGACGGTAGATGACCATACCTTACCTTAGTCTAGTCAAAACTGACAGCCATCAGATGATCCGGTCTAGCCCCAGTTTCACCAGTGTGATGGGGAGTCTCCGGACGGCTCACAAAACCAGCTAACATCCGCCGTTCGCAAGTCAGAGTCTGGTTGCGTTTCCTTGCGTTTCACTTTCTTCCCTGTCAAGAAGCTCCTCTCCTTCGGATACGATTCAGAACGCAGCTCGCTCCGCTCCGAGCAACCCCGTCTCATTGGTGTCGTCCCATCAGCAAACTCGTCAACCTGCGAAGCTGTCAGGTCTCGAAGATAGACTCCCCTCACCCACCTTGAACCCTCCACCCCGGCGCGATCCTCGAAACAAACTCGTATCTTCATTTATGCGAGATCTCTCGGGCCGCTAGTCGAAACGTTAAACGAGTGGGTATCGTGGTCCTATATTTCAACGCCAACCTCCCCGTCGGGGACGTTCGTCTCGTTTTCTTGCGTGCCTGCCCATCTGCCCGGCCGTTGCGCGGTCGCTGTCTGAGTGTTTGGCCCCGTCAATCATTAGAGTTGCCCCAGCCAGAGATCATCCATCTGGCCTTAAAGAAGATCGACCGCCAGGTTCCCAACCTCATTTGTGTCTTTGTAGATCTCTGCTGCGATGCAACCCGGCCTCAGCGTCACACACAGATCAACATGCCCTCAACATTATTTACGGCTTTTTCGAAGGAGTTCCCAAAACCCACAGTCACCGGCGAGGCATTCCCAATGATGAGATTGCCGTTGGAGATCCGATGGATGATATGGGAGTACGCTCTCCCAGATGCACGGGTGTACGAAGTCATGGACTCGCCGAATGCAAGCCAGAAGACCCCCGCAGCAGCTGGACTCATGTTCGCCAATGTTCGAGATGAACCACCACCAGCGCTGGGCGCGGTATGCCACGAGACGAGGGTGTATGTATTACAACGCTACCGACCTCTCGCTCTCTCGGCCACGACGAAATATGTCGACCTGTCGCGCGATATCCTGTTGCTCGAGCCGTACTTGCTGGTCAAGCGGCTGCTCCGAACACTGCAGTTCTTCAGCCAAACTCCCCTTGTGCGAGACAACCTCAGTCGGCTTGCGTTCGGAACATCGTACGGACTGTATACTGGCATCTGCCACCCGGTGCTCAGTTGGAAAGTCTCCAAGTCCAACATGACTACGCTGCTTGCCCGTCTGGCCAAGTTCCCCAGATTGAGGAAGCTCCTCTTTGTCGTTCATCAAGAGTTCCAATTCGACTTTGACGTTCGGCCTCCTTATGCCACATCTCACATGAACTACCCAGACCCGCAACGCCCCCAGCTGGTGCACCAAGGGTATCGCTTCAAGTTCGACATTGAATCACAGCTCAACTACACCCAACCCCGGCACCCGCACTCCAATGAGTTTCTATACTACCCCCTGGACGTTGACGACGACAAGGACGACTGCTTCGACAAGGATGACGTGGAAAACGAAGGCGATCTGTTCGAGTCGTGGCCCACAAACGACGACTGGCGACGCTTTCGGCGGAGGTTTCAAAGGTCTATCCATCTCGTAGGGAAGGGCTCACCAGGATGTCAGCGGCCAAAGGTCATGCCCAAGCTGGAGGGTGCGAGTCTCTTATGGAAATACAGCAAGGCACAGCGTTACTAATGCACTTTTGGACCGGCGCACTTGGGATGTGGAGTTTGGGGGCTTGCATGCATTTTCTATACCCTCTTTAGATTTTAACTTGATCTCCCTAGCTCAGGCGCAATACAGCGGCATTTGGGCCTCCACTTTCTGTTTCAATTTTTTTTCTTTTTTTCAGACTGCATAAAGAACAGATGACGAGGTACGATTTCCGAGACATATGCTGGGAATCGCAGTATTGGACAAGTATTCGGCACGCGTTCCAAGCAAATATTCAATGTAATTACTGCCGAGATGCTAGACGCGCTTCTCTGTCATTATCCATGTCTCATCATAACCATCGTGAGGCCCTACTCCAATAGCGTTCATACTGTGCGTACACCTTCCTTCCCTTTTCCAGGCCGTACGCACAATTCTGGCCCCAGCGGTCCGGTATGAGATATACGACCACCGCAAGAATACACACTAGAGCCAGGGTGAGAATCGCCCAATGGGCGAAATGACACATCCTCGCCGCCTCCTCTCTAACCACCTCTGCTCCGGTCGCCGCTCCGGCGTCCAGACATAGCTGGTTGTCGGGAGCGGTATCATAGTCCCCGACGTCAAAGTCGGGGAACGGCTCGGTGTAAGCACTCGAGTCGTCATCGGAGCAGCCCAAATCCTCTTGCTCAACGACCCTCTTCTCTACGTCAGGTCTCTGTCGGCCATCAGCGTACTTTTCGTATTCCATGCTCTCTTTGTCAAGGTCACTGACGGAGGACGGGGAAGAGCTTTGCTGCTCTGCAGTTGCGTTCGCGGCGCGGACACCCAAAGCCCACTGGATCAAGTGATTGTCTAGGTGGAGGCGGGGCAGCGGCGAGGAAGAGACAGGCAATGGAAGACGAAAGTCAGCGAGCTCCTCCCCGTCTCCGACATCAGCGTTGGCGTTGAGAAGTCCGTTTCTCTCAGGACGTCTCTCGAGTCTGGGACCCCTGAGCCCGTCGTCGAGGTAAGAGAATGCCCTGATGCAAGGTTCCGCACGACAGAGAGGTTCCTCGTCCGGATTCACATAGCGAAATCTGGGGTGTCTGGGCTTGAGGCGGGGGCTCCTGCAGCCGTAGCTTGATAAGTGTCGCCCGTTGAAGTCGACCTCTTCGAAGGATGTCCAGTCTATGTTGTAAGGGGACGCCGAAAAGGCGTTGCAGTCGATGTAACGGGGTCTGTTGGGCGTCCAGACGGTGAATTGATTCGTTTGGCGCGTGCTTGTTCGCACGGAGCGGGGACGGCTGGGGTTCCTTGGGTCGTGGTCAGGAGTCCAGGTAATGTGTCTCCTCAGAGAGGGTCGAGGATCCTCAATCTGGGCGGAGACCGATCTTTCTTTGGAGATCTGAATGGCGACACTAGTCGGATCAGATGATTGTGGTTGAGATTCCTCAGTCTTTTTGCTGGAGGTGTACAAGGAGGCGGGATACTTGTAAGAAGGGAATGTTTGCTCATATAAAGCCTTGGTGACGGCGTCAGCTCTGGCAGCTGACTGAATCATCGCTTGTATTTCTTCTTGATTTGGTGCATCGTTGAGTTCTTCAAGATACTCATCTGATTCATCCTCTTCGTCGATACTTGGAAGAGCGATGGATGCGGCTCTTGGGTAAGTGGACCGATCTCGCCAGGATCGTGGAAACTTGGCTAAGAAGGTGGCCATGGTTTTTGATGAACAATTGGGTCACAAGTGAGCTGATCTGATGAGTGTTTGATCTGATGAGTGTAGAAGTGGTAAGTCTTGTGTGTTGTCTATTTGAGAGTCTTCAGTGTGCCCATTAGACGAGGACCATAAACTTATATTGTGAGCATCATGCTGCCGGAGATAGGTCTTTGACTTTTCATTATCCAAGATGGTAAGTTGCGGTATCGTCTACTTTAAACTATAGTTGTACAAAGATTCTGCGTCGAACCAGATTGCCGAAAATTTAGTGACCTGGATAGCTCTGTTGAACGTGACTCTTGGACAAGCTGGGACCTTCCTCTTCAACTCTCAAAATGGGGCCTGTCCTTTCGATTCTGTGATACTTGGGGAGGGAAGGAAGGTCCTTAGGTCTCATCTCCTTCACTCTTGTCATTAAGCGAGCAGGGGCAGGCGGCCGAGTGGTTTGCACTCTACCTGGATGTAGGAGCTTTGGACTCGAGGTGCCAGCCAGTCCACCAAATCGTGACTAGAAGCCTCGTAGCTAATGAACGGACTCCCTACTCTCCAGAATTCAGCTTGGGAGAGTGCATGCTTTCACCGATACTCTTTTCCTCGTGAATCGTGCCATTCGTGAATTATCTAACCGAAGAGTTCAGGGCCAAAAGGTAGGCGATCAAGTATATGTGAATCATGAACATCTGTCCCGTGACGAAGGAGTGGGCTGTGGTGATGCCGAATCCGAACCAGCTGGCAGTCGCGATATTGTAGTGAGGTCCCGGCCATCCCAACCCACCATTCCACCAACGTAAGAGCATAAGAATACGGCGATGGCCGTGGCGCCGTACATCTCGCCCTCCCCGTACCACATAGCGATGCAGTACTCGCTAACGAAGGCGGCCAAAATAAGACAGCTTGAGAGGTTGAGAACGAGATAGATCAAGAAGCCCTCGCCATCCGGTCCATCCGGGCTTGTTCAATTGGAGGTAGAAAGTTTGGGGCCCATCTTTGGAAGAGAAGTAGAGTCGGTCTGTTGGCATCATGTGTCGTCTCTCAAGATTGTCGTCGTCGAGCCGAGGGCTGAGGGCTGAGACATAGCGCTAGACTTGCAACAAGATTTAGAAGGTTGACAACACAGATGAGGGTGTCAGGTTCGACCATGATGAATGATTTTGATAAAGTCAGGTAAATGGATGGACTGCGAAGCCTGCTTGGGTACAATGTAGCTCGTCAGATATTTACGGAGAAAGACAATGATTCAGTCGTGTGTTTCAAGGTACAGTTCAGCCCACAGAGACCGCATTTCGGTAGAGTGTACAGGATACCATGATGGTCACTTTCGCTGATTTGCCTCCCCAAAACGAGTGAAGCGTCCAACCTTGAGGGCTCAAATGTCTTGTGCCGCACTGGAAGAAGAAAGCTGAGCCCGCGCCGTACCCTCGTCAGCAGAACGGTTCTTTTGCGGCAGCGGCTCCTCTTTCGAGTTCTCCAGAGCCTTGAGGACCCGCCCCATGAACCCAGTCACCGACTCGAGCCAGAACCCGACGTGGAAGCCGCTGAGGAGGTAAAAACCCCGTCCCAGGACCTGCCCGATGCCGAACGTCCAGCTCGGTATTGTGATCGCGTACACGAGCGTGGCAGTGAACCCCAGGATGCTGCCGAGAAGACGCCGGTGTCCCGTGCGGGGCCAGACGTCGTACATCGTGATGATCACCCCGACTCCTGAGACGAGGAAGAGGGAGACGGCGGGTACTGCGAGCAGTAGCTTGGGCTCCTCGTCGCCAGAGGGTGATATTCTCACCGAGAGGCTGCCAATCGTCGCTAGTGTTGCCAAGTTGATAAAGTACTAGGTTGCGAAATAGTTTTCGGGTGGCATGGACTCAACATTCCGCGTGTTCCTAGCGATGGGAGTGGCTGGCTTCGCTGTTGGGGCACCTATGGAACTCGGTGTGGGCCCATCACCGCGTGTTGTAGGCCCTGCTCGTGAAGCAGGCGTTGAAGTCGAAGTCATAGTGTTGTCGTCCGAGATAAAAGATTCGGGAGACAATGAGATGTTTGACGGCGATGTTGACCTATAAAATCTTTAGATATATAAGATGGGAATGAAGAAGATGATGGTTGGGCATAGCGTAAGCATCGTGTGGATCAAGGTACTTATGTGTGATTTGAATCACCCGGCGGCAACTTCGTGCCGGTAACTTGGCTCGGCGGCCTCCAAATCCTTCATAAGCCGGGCGCTGAGCAGGCCGAAATTGGACCCATTGAGACTAACTTGCCTAGAAGCCAAGTTTGCGCCATGAGTCCAGATTGGGTTGCCTGTATTGTCCGGCTTTTTGTTGACTTCTCTATGGTTTTCACACTCAGCTTGGCTTGCTACTGTGTAGTTTGGTTAAGTTTTCGAGAGCGCCCAACGAAAAGAACGGGGGCAGCCCGGCTAAGTAGCTAGTCAAAACTCCACCGAGGTGGCATAGGCTGACTGGATCTTCGAGAGGGAAAAAGCGCCCGGAAGGTGTCATTAACTGTCTAATGCTTGCTACTCTATCAAGATTGCGATTTGACCATGAAAATCTGTGAAACATGTCAGTGAGCATACACATCGAGAGTGTTCGAGCGACGCCAAAACGTACCGCGTTCAATGCCTTGTCATCCATAGTCGCCATCCTCTTCTGCGCAATCCACCGTGATCTCACGGCGTGGTGGCCTCTGAGCACCGGCGTGGAAGTACCGCTAACCGTCGGTGTTGTCGACGTGGACTCGCGAGACGCCTCCTTCTTTGCGCGCTTCTCCTCCTTGCGGCGCTTCTTCTCCTCTTTCCTCGCAGCCTTCTCGGCATCGTTCTCTCCCTTGCGCTTCTTCTTTAATGACTTATCGTCAGAGGAATCCTCTTCATCGCCGGCTTCCTTCTTCGCCTTTTTGTTCTTCTTGTCTTTTCTCGACTTCTTCTCCGTCTCGTCCTGGGTATCTTCTGATGCATCCTCCTTTGCAGACTTTGATTTGCGCTTCTTGTCCTTCTTTTCGCTCGTTGAGGTCTCTTCGCCGTCGGCCTCAGCCTTCAGCTTCTTGGAGGCCTTCTTCTCCTCCTTCCTCCGCTTCTTCTTCGCCTTCTCATCCTCGGATGAAGATTCGTCTTCGCTCGACTCTTCGGCCTTGCGCTTCTTCGACTTGTTGCTCGATTCGGGGGCTATCGGGACGTCCTCCATCTTGACGTCATCGTCGTCGCTGTCCTCCCCCTTGGGATCGGCCGTGGGTTCTTCCTTGATCTTGTCGCCAACGAGGAATCCGCCGCTGACGAATCGCATAGGTCCAAACTTATTGTCGCAATATAGGGTGCTCTTCAGTGCCGTGCGAGCCTCCTGCTCCTTCGCAATGACCTCGGTTGATTTGCCGTTCAACCGTCCCAAGAGGTCGGAGAAAACGTCCATGCCGGTGACCCTGTCATCCCTTGCCTGCTTGAAACCAAGACCGAGCATGTCGTCCTTGAGGGCTACGCGGATGAATGAGGCATTGGCCGCAGTGTGGTGCACCGCGTGTGCGGCGTCCTTTGCACCGAGGTACTGGCCAGGTTCCCAGCCCTGTGATCGCAGGATCTTCTGGCCGAAGGAGTCGAGGTCCTTGGTCCATTTTGTGTTGTTGGGATCCTTGCCGATCTTCCGGCGACTGTAGCGAAAAGTCAGTACCTTCTGAGACGAGGAAGGCGCATTAAAATGTGAATCTTACGTCTTCGCCTGTGCCAGACCCATCTTTGCGTTTTGACGGGTGCCGACCGGTTGTGATGGAAAATGGGAATTTTCGAGATGCGATAAGAGACGCAGGCCGAAGCCATTATCGTAGAAAAAATTTGGTGGGGTCCCTGTCTGGGATGCGGCTAATCCCTGTAATCTGCAATCTGCATCCGAGGTAGATCCGACCCACCGAGACTCACCGAGACGACCAAGGTGAGCAGTCCCAACATCACCAGCTTATTCCACCCATAGTGTTTTACGATGCGCACGGCAAAAGAAAGAGCCTGCACACACTTTTGAAGAGTGTTTTTTATTAGAAAAATATATTGTAGATATTCACAGTGTATATAAAAAATTGCTCGAAATGACAAAAGAGTTCACTCCCCGGTGGGAGCTACATCTCTGGTGCACTTGCTGGGAATCGAACTCGGGGGTGCCTGTCGTCGAGTAGGCTCGGTCCATACCATACCGCCAAACGGCAGTTTGACCTGACCTCACAAGCCTGTGAGGCGCCTGCTGCCGTTGGTGACAGGAATGGTCTTGGACATACCTATAAGGGGTTCGGCCTTCGATTGCATGGAACCACAGAGAACCATGGGAGGAAGCAATGGACTGCCCGGTGCAGCGCCACGCGTGTCCATCCATGGTTCTCACTATCTTTCTCTCCCCCACTGCCACCCCTTTCAGAACCTTGAGAGTGAGCACATTGACTGAGCAATTCTCGCACGCCCACCTTAACCGCTGCCATTTGGTGACAGCACCAAGCCAAATCAAACTTTGCTCCCTTCCTTACTCTTCCAGTTGACTCGGCCCAGCCAAGTCTGTTGAAACATTGCCGACACTATACGCCCACAGCCGTCAAGGTTCCTCTTACCGGGCAACAGCGAGAACAATCCCTGCCCGGTCTGTCGAAAAAATATGTACCTATTTCTACGCATTTCTACGCATAATATTCATGGTGGAATTCGACAACACGAACACATGGCCAACGAACTAGGATAATCGTGACTAACAGTATTATGTCTTTGGGATCAGTCTACGCTTCTACGCGGATATTCGAGGAAAAGGAAATCAAATCCACTCTTCAGAAGGGGTAACATAACATCACCTAGCGCAGGACAGTCTACTACGTGCTTGAATTCGCAGGCAAATAAGGCTTAGAAGAGTCGTAATGAATTCTCTATTCCCCAACGCCATATGAAGTGTGCTCGGTTCGTACTGTACACAAGAATTATCGTCGCATGGATTCGCACCATCGTTCATCTCCTCGTTCAGCGTCTATACCGTGAAGCCGAACCCCTTCATGCAAGCTCGGTACTGGTCGATCGTGGACAGGCAGTCCTTGGATGGCTCGGCGGCGTTGGAGAAGAGCATGCACTCGTCACGCTTTGCCTTCTCGTCCTTGCACACGCAGCAGGGCTGTGAATGCGTCAGCTCGTCACTACTATTTACGTTCATCGTGTTATGGTCATCGATGGATGCGTCAGGGGTTCGTGCGCACCTTGGGCTTGGAAGCTTCCTGGCTGGCAGGCAGCGCAGCGGCCGGGGTGGCGATTGAGGCTGTGGACAGAGTATGTTAGCCATTGAGCGTTGACGAGAGGATTACCGTTATTCCTTACGAAAAGTAGCAGCTTGGGATGCCATTTTGAAAGGAAAGCGAGTGTCGGGCGGTTCGGTAGGTGATTTGCGACAGGATGTGAAAGGTGGAAAAAGGTCGCTATAGAGATAGTCTTGATCGAACCACTTTTTTTTCCGCTGACCTCACCAAAGTTGTCGCATTTGTCAGTCGCTCCAATTTCGGGAGACTTCGGCGCCATGGCCAATCACGCCTTCGGAAAGTCACGTGTGTTGGTGGCCATCTCGCGAGATCTTCAAATTTTCCTGTCCAAAGCACCTGAAACTCAGAATCCATTGAAGTTCATGTACTTAGTTGAAGTGCTTTTCCTGTTCTTGAGGCTCGAGCCACTACAGCTTGGGTTTTCCGGAGAGGACGCACTGAGGCCAGGAGGTTGGTGAGCCAGTCGGCGTGGGACCGTTTCGACGGAGACCGCCCGCGTTGCGGGGTTCCGATTACCCCCGGAAAGTGGAGACTTTGAATGCCGGATCTTTATTAGATCGGAGAGCTCTTGTGCCGCTACCAAAACTATTAACCGTACTTATTATTAGGGATTGTCATTCATTCGTGTTGTTGGGCTTATTCCCAGCTCTTACCTAGAAGACATATGTTGAAATGATCTGTACGGAGTAATGTTGTCGGCATGAATTTAGTCCGTTCTGACTTCCATCCTACATACTAATGGCCATCGAATGTGGGAATTAAATGGCTAGTACATTTTCAGCTTGATTGCGATGAGCTAACTTTTGAGATGTCTCGATAGCAAGCTTCTTCCAAATAGGAACCATCGGAAACAATTCAGGGCCTGGTGTTGTCGGAAGTTCCATCCTAACACACCGAACTAGAAGCAGCAGCGATGTTGTCCATTGAAGGAACACTGGCTCTCGCCGAGTCTCACAATGATTTCGCCGACGTGATTCGACCGGAGCTCATTCGTGTGATATTGTTGACCATTTTCGCAGCTTCAACGGGCCAGCCCACTTCAGGTCAGTGCTTGGGACAAGGACACAGCCATCAAACAGATTCGGGGCATCATGGCCAGGATCATCGAGGCCAAGTTTGCCGCCAAACCCTCCCATCAGCTTCACCCTACGTCAAAGAGGATATACTCGTCCCAACGCGATGTGGCGCCTCGTTCGTTGTTATTATTCATGAGCACAAGGCCGTTGCCGATGATGGCTGCCCTCTTCTGATAGCGTTCCACGGCAGCGGATTCGTCATGGGCGATTTGGAGAGCATTCTGCCAGTTCTTTACAACATTTAGTAGCATTACGGTGAACGTGGACTATCGTTTGGCTCCAGAGCACTCCTTTCCTGTCCCCGTACACGATTGCTGATGTAGTAGAATAGGTAGGCTACCTACATTGGCATAACTGGTTGCTTGTTAATATGAGACTGAATAAAAGCAGACCGTCGAGAATGCGAAAAGTATCGGAATCAACCTATCCTAGCGCTCCCTCATCGGCGGCGAGAGCGCAGGCACCGACTTGGCTTTGGGTATCACTCGCCTTTCCGAAGAGTAGGACTCGTTAAAGCCGACTGGTATATTCTCATCCACCTCTGGAGCAGTTACCGAAGATACCGTCCCCGAGAAGTACCGAGATCGTTTCTTGAGTCTGAAGCAAAAACCCAACGCTCCAGTCGTAGCCGCAGACTATATAGTCATCAAAAGTGAGATCACAATCAACCTGCATTCTGGAGGCTTCAGATAAAACCATTATAGCCATGTACAAGCCGGAATCGACAAGCCCGCTGGCGTATCCTCTTGCCTCACCCGAACTGGCCGGCATCCCCAAAACGTATTTCCAGGCTTTTGGGTATGATCCGGTCAGAGACTGCACTCTCATCACGGAGCAAAGTTGGAAAGATGCGGGAACACCAATGAAACTGAATATCTACCCCGGTCTGCCTCAGTTCTTTTGGGGACTGCTTCCTCAAGCAGATTCCAGCAAGAAACACCAGCAAGACCAAAAAGCCAGTCTTGAACAGTTGCTGAATGAGGACTTGACGTAATGAGGACTTACACCGGGTACAAATAAGTCCATCTTCCTCTCATTCCTCTCACCAGAATATTTGTGGCTCGGAAGCTTTTTGCAGAATCAGTTAAGAATTTATTCAGACAGAAACTCCCTCATTGGATGTGACGAGACAAAATGCCGCGCCGATGAATGCCGTTACAATTGAACGCGTCGTTGAAAAAAGAAAGTTTAACTGGCGATAGATCATAGGGGCGTCATCCCTGGAAATGCGGTGGTTCGGACCCCTGTAAGCTCCTAATTTCTGTGGAACACCCCTGCAAGCTCTCAACGCGCTCCCGCCCAGCAGACGCGACGACTACGGGAAGGAAAGGGGGTCGCCTCCGACTTGACATCACCGCGAACCTCTCCATTCTGCCATTGCACCGTCTCCCATCCCCAAGAAGGCGCCAGCTCTCACGAGCACCTCTGTTTCATCATGGCACCCAAATCCAAACCGCCCGAAAAGAAGCAGCAGTCGCTCACAAACTTCTTCCAGCCAAAGACCGTCAATGGCCTCGCCGCCGCCTTCCAAAAGTCGCAATCGGAAGCCGCCCGATCGAGCCCACCCGAGTCGCCAGAATCCTCGCGCAAGCGCCCTCTAGAGGAAGACATCGAAAGCGGCAGCAAGCGACCGGAGAAGAACACCAAGAGAGCAAAGGGAGACAAGAGTGAGAAGGCCAATGCTGTGGACCAGGGGAAGAGCTCCTTCTTCACACCAGGAACCCAGCCGCCGGCGTCCGAGTCTGAGCCCAAGTCCAAAGCATCTGCAACTTCCGCTAGGACGGGACGGTTCGCCTACAGCCAGAGCTCAGATGTGAATGAGGAGGAAGTGGAGGATGAGGATTCGTCCACGAAGCGGCGCAAGGAGGAGCTACACAAAAAGTTCGTCAAGAAGCTGGGCCACCCGGACAGCATGCTGTGGCGGCGCCGGAGGGAGGACGACAAGGAAGCTGCCGATGGGGAGGAGGGTGAAGAAGATGATGATGACGAGGCCTCGCCGCCCCCCAAGGCGAAGAAGGGCGGCGCAAGAGCAAACAAGAAGCTCACGCCCATGGAGATCCAGTTCCTCGACATCAAGCGTAAGCATCTGGATACAGTCCTCATCGTCGAAGTCGGCTACAAGTTCCGATTCTTTGGCGAAGACGCCCGTATTGCCGCCAAGGCGCTCAGTATCGTGTGCATACCTGGCAAGTATCGCTACGACGAGCACCCCTCTGAAGCACATCTGGAGCGCTTCGCCTCTGCGAGCATTCCGGTACATCGCCTGCCCGTCCATGCCAAGCGCCTCGTTGCTGCTGGTCACAAGGTCGGCGTAGTCCGTCAGATTGAAACGGCTGCCCTAAAAAAGGCCGGCGACAACCGCAACGCTCCGTTTATCCGGAAGTTGACCAACGTCTATACCAAGGGCACCTACATCGACGAAAATGGCGAACTCGAAACAGGTGGCGACGGCGGGGCTCCATCGGGTGGCTATCTGCTCTGCATCACCGAGTCTCCTAGCAAGGGGCAAGGCACCGACGAGAAGGTCGAGGTTGGCATAGTAGCTGTGCAGCCAACCACGGGAGACATCATCTACGACACCTTTGAGGACGGCTTCATGCGCAGTGAAATCGAGACCCGGTTGCTGCACATTTCGCCATGCGAGTTCGTCATTGTCGGCGACCTCACAAAGGGATCCGATAAGCTCGTCCAGCACCTCTCGGGGAGCAGCACAAATGTCTTTGGAGACCGCAGCCGCGTCGAGCGCGTCCCCCGCTCCAAGACCATGGCCGCCGAGGCCTACTCGCACGTAACACAGTTCTACGCCGACAAGCTGCAGCAGACACCCGACGCCGCCGCTTCGGCCCTCCTGGAGCGCATCCTCCACCTTCCCGAGCCCGTCACGGTCTGCCTCTCCGCCATGATCAACCACCTGAAAGAATACGGCCTCGAGCACGTCTTCGACCTCACAAAGAACTTCACCAGCTTCTCCGCGCGCCAGCACATGCTCCTAAACGGAACGACGCTCGAGGCTCTCGAAGTCTACCGTAATGCCACCGACCACTCCGAGCGTGGCTCCCTCTTCTGGGCCCTTGACAAGACCACCACGCGTTTCGGCCAGCGCCTCCTCCGCAAATGGGTAGGCCGACCTCTACTCGACGTCTTCCGTCTCGAAGAACGCGTCGCCGCCGTCCAGGAACTCGTCGACGAGCAGTCCTCCGCCAAGGTCGACCGGCTAGAGACACTTCTCGCCGGCACCAAGACCGACCTAGAGCGCAGTCTCATCCGCATCTACTACGGCAAGTGTACCCGCCCCGAACTCCTCTCCGTCCTCCAAACCCTCCAGCGCATCGCCATACAATACCCAACCGTCAAGTCGGCCGAAGCAACGGGCTTCGCTTCCCCCCTCATCGCCTCCGCCGTCCTCTCCCTACCCCAGATCCTTGACCTCGTCGTCTTCCACCTCGACAAGATCAACCCCGAGGCCGCCCGCAAAGACGACAAGTACAACTTCTTCCGCGAATCAGAACAAACCGAGGACATTGAAGACCACAAAATGGGCATCGTCTCCGTCGAACAATCCCTCGACGAGCACCGCGCCGACGCAGCCTCCTCCCTCAAACGCAAGAAGCCTGTCGACTACGTCACCGTCTCGGGCATCGAGTTCCTCATCGAGGTACCCAACACAGACCTCAAATCCGTCCCGGCCTCCTGGATCAAGATCTCGGGCACAAAGAAGCTCTCCCGCTTCCACACACCCGCCGTCGTCCGCCTCATTGCCGAGCGAGACCAGCACCGCGAAGCCCTCGCCGCCGCCTGCGACGCCGCCTTCTCCTCTCTGTTACAGACAATCGCAGACGCCTACCAACCCCTCCGCGACGCCGTCTCCTCCCTCGCAACCCTCGACTGCCTCCTCTCCCTCTCCCGCGTCGCCGCCCTCCCAGGCTACAGCAAACCGACCTTCCTCCCCGCCTCCACCAAACCCACAATCTCAATCGCCCAAGGCCGCCACCCTATCGCAGAACATACCCTCTCAGACCCCTACATCCCCTTCACAACAACCCTCTCCTCCCCATCCCCGCTAGCCCACCTCATAACAGGCCCCAATATGGGCGGCAAATCCTCCTTCGTCCGCGCCGTCGCCCTCCTCGTCCTCCTCGCCCAAATAGGCTCCTTTGTCCCCGCCGACGCCTTCCAACTCACCCTCGCCGACGCAATCCACGTCCGCATGGGCGCCCGCGACAATCTCGCCGCCGGCGAATCAACCTTCATGGTCGAGGTCTCGGAAACGGCCCGCATCCTCCGCGCCGCCACCCCGCGCTCCCTCGTCATCCTCGACGAGCTAGGCAGGGGCACCTCCACTTACGACGGCGCCGCTATCGCCCACGCTGTCCTCGACCACGTCGTCCGCGAAAACAGGTGTCTTACCCTTTTCATCACACACTACCAGAACCTCGCTCGCCTGGCCGAGGGAATCGGCGAAGGCCTCGTCAAGAACGTCCACATGCGCTTCACCGCTACCCGCAAAGCTGGGACCGGGGCGGAGGAAGGCGACGTCGATGCGGATGACGCGGGTGCTGATGAGGAGATTACTTTCTTGTACGAAGTTGGAGAGGGAGTTGCGCACAGGTCGTACGGACTGAATGTGGCTCGTCTCGCTCGCATACCCCGCAAGGTCATTGATGTTGCCTCGCAGAGGTCGCACGAGATGGAACAAGATGTAAGGATCCGGAGATTAAGGGGTACAGCTCGTCTTCTCGTTGAAGTACTGGAGACGAACCCCGACCAGATTGATCATTTGATCTCAAACATAGAGCAATTGTAGTCAAACTTTCACGGACAATAACGTTAACATCCGTATGAAACTCTGTTTATTTCTCAAATGTATGTCCCCCCCCCCCCTAATTGACGCGGTATGACTGTGAATGACCGTAACTGCGTTGTCTGTAGCCTCCCTTGCCTCTCGAAACAAAAAGTCGATGGGTAAAGTCCTAGAAAACTGACGGAGCTCTTTGCAGTGCCACCGCATATGAATGTTTCACCACATTCCCCCTTTCGCCGTGCTTGCAAATACCAAGCAAGCCTAGCAGTATGATCTTATTCTCGCTTTCTCAACCCCCTTGTATTCCGCTCCGATCCTCATAGGCGAGGCTCCGCAAGCGAGCCTAGTTAATTCCGGTGGAAAGCTCGCCACACGTCGTACAGAGCCCCAAGAGGTCTGATGATGGATTGGGACGCGGGTGACGATTGCGTATTTACTCGAACAACTATGGAAATTTAGCACTTTCCAACCTCGAAACAACTTGAAAGTCAGACTCACTTGGAAAGAAAAAACGAAAAAACGAAACCCAGATGAAGAGTCTTTTGACTCCCGAGATCCGCATACCCAACTTCCTCGCCATGGTGGGCTTGTCATGAGCACATGCCGCGAAAGGGAATGTCATCAAGTTGCGTAATTAGACTCTGTCTCCATACATACCCGCGTCCTGGGCGTGGTTATGATCGCTGGTGCCGAAAGTATTCGTCATGGGCATCGCCTGATGGTAGAACATCTGCTGCTGGTTGTGGTTGGCATTGATGGGGTTGAATCCATGGTGGGTAGGGCGCGAGATCGGTTGAGGCCATGGGACCGGGTTGAAGTGCGTGAGTATGTCAGGCACATATCCCTGGTAGAAGTTGGGGTTGAACGTATTGACATTGGTCATTCCGGCCTGGTTCAAGTGAGCGTTTCCGCCACCAAAGTAATCTCCACCTGCCATCTTCTGTTCCTGCAAAACATGGTTATTTTCCTTTCCTGTAAACATTCGGCGCGGAAGTTGCTTCGCAGCTGGAGTAGGAGAGGCCATGCTCAGATTCGAGTTCGCGTTCATCGACCGGAGGGGCATACGATTGCGGACGTCGAATCTGCGCACAAAGGGGTCAATAAACAACAGTACTAACATATTGAGACTTAGTATGGATGAACCTGATTTCATCCTCCATCGCACCCGGAAACTTGTTGGCTATAATCAGAGTCAGTGGGTGGGCGAGGAAAACAGACGTAATTCAGGAAAACTTACTGGCAGCGATGCCATCGTGGAAAACGTCGGCGGAATCTTGAGCAGGAATGGTGAAGTGACGGTGGGGAGGGTACTGGCTGAAGTGTGGCTCGTCATCGACATGAGACTCATCAAGCTGAACATCGAGCTCGGCATAGGCGGAAGTTTCGGCGTCACCATCGGCGCTGCTGGCGTTGTCGCTTGTGACTTCGAACTTCTCCGAAAGGGACTGGATGTTGAGCTCGGGCATCTCCTCCTGCTTGTAAAGAGAATTCTTGGGTTGCATAGCCGAAGCAGGAGAGGCTTGAGGGGTGGCTTCGTCAGTGGGTTCCTCCTTGACAACGACCTCCGAGGCATTGTCATCCTCCTCTGCTGCACGGCTGCGTCTTTGACGACGTCTGGGCTTCTTTGCAACCTATTAGAAGGGTTCAAATAGTTAGTAGATTGCTTCCCGTCCAAACAACATATGGCTTGACTAACCGGAGTTCCCTCAACGGAAGGTGCATCATAGACATCACGAGTTCTCTCGAATTCCAAGTCGAGGTTGGCCACCATCTCAGTGGTAGTGATTGCCTGAGATGAAAGCTCCATCTTGCGGACCACAGAAGCGTCTTTGCGCTGGTTCCGCTGCTTCTTCTGGTCAGGGGTGGCGGCATCAAAGATACCCATGCCCGGCCAGACGGTACCCTTGAGTCTAGCAGCCTCCAAGTCGTCCGAGGCCCATTCAGTGGCGTCATCGGTGGGAGTCGACGCAGAGACATCGTCACGATCGCCGTAGTATGTGATGGCCTGTTGCTGACCAAGAAGTCGACCAGTGGGAGGGGGCGTAAACATGGAGACATGGTCAGCCTCGCGCTTGACAAGGATCGAATGAGCCTTCTTTCTCTTCAAAGACTAATGGAGTAAGCACATGAAAAGAGAATCGCTCAAGAAGCGGCCTACCTGAGAAATTGGCTGTCCAGATCGTGCGGTACCCTTCGCCTTCTCATCCTTGGCCCTGAGACGCTCCGCAAGCATACGCTCGATGCCATTGTCTTTATACCACTTGTCGTATGTGGTAATTGCCTCCGAGGCGGCAAGATCATCATTGGCGCGGATTCTCACATCGTTCTGGGTTTGGAGGTGGCCCTTAGAGCTGAGGTGGGTCAGGAGATGGGAGAGGTCGGAGAAACGCGGTGTGTTCGGGCAGACAATGCAGACGAGGGGAATCCGAGGACTGGCCGAGGGCTTGGGGTCGGAGCTCTTGGAGCCAGACGCTTTGCTGCTGGTCTTGATCATCAACGGCTTGTCGATCTTGAGGGGCTTGAGTGGCTTGGATGTCTTGGATACTTTGGGCGCCTTGATGGGGCTAACACCGTCGGCCTCTTGGGCTGCAACGGCGGCCATGTTCTATCCAGGGTCAGCATTTGAAGCCCAAAATTAATGCATGGAGCCAGTCGTTACTGACTAGCCGTCTTTCCATGGTTTAAACAGAGCGAGTGGGGTGGAAGACAGACTTGTCTGCTCGTGGTAACCAAAACACAAAATCAGGGGAGGAAAAGAACGACAGATATTCCGAAAGTCAACAGGTAGACGGAGGGCAGCACCCAGCGATGAAAGCAAAGGAGTGAAGTTGGGATGCTCAAGGGAAATGGGAGGTGGCAATGGGAGCAAGGGGTGGCTGTGATGGGAGGAGGAATGTCGACGTAGAGAGTATCCGACGAAAGAACGGATGTATCGACACCAGCTGTCGGAACAGCCCAGGGTGTGGGCATAGACTCCAAATAGGAGAAGGGATGGACTCACGGCCTCAGCAGCAAGAGCTGCCTGACGTTTGGGTGCCATTTCGGAAAGACAGGGACAATGATGTTATCCATAGTAACAACAAGCCTGTCGTCCCAAAAGAACGGAGAAGGTACGCCGGGATGGGATTGAAATGCGGGAAGAAGTATCTCTTGTCGTTCTGGTGCTCTGGTGCTCTTGCCTGCAACTCCTTCGTCAGTAACGGAAACTTCAGGAAAGAAGGAAGCTGTGATCTTTCCCAATATTTAGGAAACCGGTGGAGTAAGGGCAGAGTCCGGTCTTGTCACGGTGACATTTCACCTGACGGGACGGAGCATTGTCGTTCCAAGGCAATGGTACTGGCAGGTACCGGCGCTTCGGGCCCCAAGCCTCCGGCCTGAGCATGTCAGGTCGTCGCCGACCATGTACCTGTTGGCACGGGAGATCGGCGGCAATTTGACGCTGAAATATGTGTCCGATTTGTGGCCCCGACCGTGATGCAACAGACAAGCCTCAACCGCTGGAAGAAGGTGGATGACTTACCTAAGTACCACGGTTTGAGCTCAGATTGGGAGATCAGCCGTCGAGTCTGAAAAACACGGACACAAGACGGGCTATTTTGCGTTGGCGATGTAATGTCAGACTGGTTTTGTTAGTAAAGGTATCCCTCCAGAAAATTGTGACTGTCAAGTAAAATGCTCACAGAATGTCCTTAATACCGCCAAAAAAAGACTCTCTGAGAAGAATCGCGTATGTTGCTGGATTTCTCTGCTGGCTGATAGATCTTGTCGTCAACCCAAGGAACTAAATTGATTCTGTAATGAAACGTCAAGTAAGTAAGAGTTGACCAAGACGTTTGATGTGGTGGATGGTAGATGAGAGGAATAAAATTTTGAGGTCCATCCTTGAGGAAAGAAAAGAGAAGAGACTGGAGCGGATAGAAGAAGCTCAGGGCTGTTGGTCCGTCTCAGCTGTAAGACCAAGAGGGCGGGGGCAGAGACTAGCTCTCGCCGTTCCAGATTGAACAGAACTGGCGGGATCAGCGACTGGTTCTTGCCTTTCCAGATTGAACAGGACTGGCGACTGGCGGGATCAGAGATTGGCTCTCGCCACTTCAGGTTGAACAGGACTGGCGGGTGCTTTATGACCCGCATATATCTGTTATGACGAGAGCAGATGCTTGCTCTCGACTTTGAAGTCTTGAAAAGACAGGCGGGAGCTTCCTGGATCACACAGATCTATGCGGGTCATGAAGCTTGCTTCATTTCAGTTGTATCAAGGGTAGTAGAAGCTTCAGGAACTCCACATATCTGTTTTGGCGGGAGCAAAGACTAGCTCTCGCTATCTCTGTGTTGAAAAAAAAAAAAAGGGGGGGGGGGGAACGCGGGCGCCCCACGGCGGCGGAGCAGCCGTCGGCACTCGGCCCGGGGGGGGCCGGGGGGAGAGCGAGGAAGGGCCGGGGAGGTCGTGATGTGAGAAAAAAAAAAGGGGGGGGGGGGGAGCTCAGGGGCACACTTTAAAGTGACTCTCGTCTCGTGTGCATGACAGAACGTAAAAGAAGAAAACCAGAAAAGAGGGATCAAGCACTTGCAATTGCAAATACAATGTGAGTGTACTACCGAAATACATGGTCGTAATCAAACACTACAGCTCTCACCTGCTTTACAGTGAACTGACCAGCCACATTCTCAGGGATTTGTTAAAGACTAACAAAGGAGAATCAGATCTCAAGCTTTCGTTCGTTCTGTACCATAGGACCGTCCACTTGGACAGGGCAGATGAGAACGGGAGTTTTGGTGCTATGCCAGTCTTCACTCAGACTTTGGGGATTCTTCTGATATTCAGGCATAGAGCCAGCAAAAAAAAATGCAGGGACAAGTCATAGAGGGAAACAGTTGCGATGAAAGCCGTTTTCGGACGAAGCATCCGAAAAGTGAAAGGTTTCGACGAAACGTGCAATGCGATGAGAGTGATTACTCGATGAAATATCTGCAGCGAACAGAAAAGAATTTGGTGGTGAGAGTCATTTAGGATGGGGAGGGCAGTGAAGTACGGGCAAAAGTGAAGGAGATTCCAGCAGGAGAAGAAAAAAAAGAAAGATCATAATTTGAAAGACGCTGGTGCAAAAGAAAACAGGATGACAGCACATAAAGATGGTCATACACAAATGAAGCCAAAGACGGTGTTGTTTGGTGATGAATTTGAAATGGAATAAACAGCACCACGTACCTAGTTCCTGAATTTGAAGGGTCCAGGGCTTTGAATCAGGTTCAGGTACTCCAAGTTCTTCGTATCGATGCGAATCTGCGAATTGCTGGGCATCCCCTGCTGGATGGCGGAGGAGGATGAGGATCTTTCCTGAAAGCGGTGCTTGGTGGTATGTGTTCGCGAAGCAGACGCGATCGTAGTGGTACAGTCGGTTCTCTCTTGAGAAAAAATTGACAGATGCGATGAGGTTGTACAACTCGTTATTCGACGAAATGGGAGTGGTGGAACAGGTTTGGTATTCGAAGCAGAGAGTACCTGGGCAGGCGACCGAACGAAGTTGTCGACGGACAAGATGTGGCAGTGGCTGACGAAATCTCCCAGAGGTTAAAGATCTCAAGACTTCCGACGTGATGGACAAGGAAGAAGCAAGGTTTGTTGTGGTGATGGAGGAGGGCGGGTGGGCGGACGAGAAAGGGAGACGGGATGGGATGGGACGCGTCTGGTAGGCCGCTCGGTGAGCAGAGGGGCGGTCGCCTGTGGTGCAGGGCAAGATCACCACGGCGCTAAGCCCACACCGATAATTTGAGCACGTGACTGGGTGGTTTGAAGCCGAAATAGGATGAGGGGCGGGCGGTGTGAGGAGTCCCGGTGCGCGGGTCCGACTTGAAGGTTGAGCTGGCGAGGTAGGTATAGCGCGCCGGGGGGTCGCGTGTGCCAAATTCTCGCGGGCGGGGTGGTATGAGATGGGAATGGGGTCGGATATCTGAGGACTACTAGAACTCATAGATGATACCACTGGTAGCCCTTGATTTCTGGAGAACCTTACGTACGATGAGGAAAGCAGAACAAGCTACAAGAGGTGTTTGGCCAGGCCCAAGGATGTAATGACTACAGCTGCATAGCGGTAGCGCGTCGGTTTCTACTGCTCGAGATTCTCATGTTACTTCGATCATACAACGATGTACACTTGATTGGATGGCATCCCAAGGTGCCCGAGAGCTGACGATGGATTACTTCATGTATCATTAGCTTGTTTTCGTGAGTAATTGAAGCGGCGGAAGTAATCGGGGGTTGGCTCGTTGCAAGTCGCAGATCGAACCACGTAGCCCTTGAAGAAGCCAACGCTTTTTCTCCCTTCTCGCCTTGAATGCTTACTTCCTTGCCCCCCTTATATGTTGTGAGATTGCAAGACCTGTATGCATGCGCATGGTACGTCAACGTGTACGTCGACAAGCAGGTGTCTACCTTGAGCCACGAGCCACCATTTCGTTAGGCGACGCAAACTTATTCCCTTTCGAAAGCCCATTACGGCTTCCTACCCAGCACTCTGTCAATCGTCGGCTTGGGCATGCAGTATACCGGATCCACCGCCACCGTCCCCGGGTACCCAAGCAGGCTGAGGCCCGTCATACCAAAGCACGTATGCCACACATCGACTGTATTGCCAGGCCGGTCCGAGATACCTCCCAGCTCCTGATCCTGACACCTCAAAATGAAAGCAATAAGCTTCTGCCGATCAATCCAGTGCGTGCGCCCAATAATCTCCAAGCTGCTCAACACCCACCAACTGTAGCACACATCCTCGTCCTTCTCCGGCCGTCCGTTGAGACCGCCCGCCGCGACCTGCCGCTCGCTGAGCCACCGCCCAAGTTTGTCAGTCTCGACGAGATCCAGCCGCCCCGCGATAGCGAGCGCCGCGACGCAGGTGAAGATCTGCCCGGAATGCGACTCGTCGCCGGGGCTCACCCCATACCCGCCGTCAAAGTTGGTGCAGGCGACAATATGCTCTACGGCTTTGTCGACGTCCACGAGCGATAAGAGACCCAGGAGAGAGAGGGCATTCAGTGCGCCATAAAGGAAGCGGGTGTCCTCCTCGCCCCATTCGTCGCCAGCAAACGTACCGCTGTCACGGTTCTGGAGATCTGCGATGACTGGGATGCATTTGTTAGCGCTGCCCAAGCCTGTGAGAAAAAATAAAAGTGCCGGGGATGTACTCACACTTGCCTACTTGCGCCTTCCCCTTGCCTCGAGACTCCAGATCGTCCAGGGCATCGATCATGACTATGATCTGTACAGCACTAACTGTGTAAAGCATATGGGCGTCGTGGCCAGGCGCAGCACCGAAGCCTCCGTTCTCATGTTGACATGAGAGAACAAAATCAATCGTTTCAGCGCGGGGAAGGGCTTCAGGATGTCCGAGTAGGTGTAGTGCAACAAGGCCCCAGTAGAGACCGTTGAGGCGCAGGTGCTCCGTCAACCAGTAGTCGTACTCGTCTTTGCGGGTATCTAGACTTTGGACGTATTTCACATGAGCCGCTGTTGCCAGCTTGAGCTCATCTGGTAGACTCTCAAATTGGGCCGCCATGACCTTCTAGCCCCCGTCGCACTGATCCGATGTATGGCAGATGATATCGAGAAAGGCTGGTAACAATCAAAGTTAGCTCGACCTCTACGGTAGTAGACAGGCGAGGAAGGATGGAAGAGGTGAAGTCGTTCGCTTAGGTAATGATGTCAAGGGCCGGTACACAAGGTTCCGCCGACTGCCGGCCGTGAATGTGGGGTGGCCTCACCGAGGTATGTAACCTACCCCATGCTGAACGGAGCCGAACGTGACGTCTTAGTTGCCCGAAAACTTCTGGTCGTAATCTCGTTGGTGAGAACTTCGTTTGTGACGTGCCGTGGTACCACATTGATTTGTCTAGATACTTTCCTCAACTTGCGGCCTGCTGAAATGTCAAAATATTCGCTGAAATTGAAGATACAGAAGCGCAATTTATGACCGAGAGAGAGAATTTGGCTCAACCTCGCCTACCATTCACTCAACTGGACTAGCCCGAGCTCTTTGCCAAACCTAACAAGTCTACCAGGCATAGAGTTACAGCAGTCAAAGCATTGCGACTAAATTGGATCATTTGTCGTAATCTGGTACTCTTTCTGACTCCATTCTTGACATCCTCATCCAACCGGACTGCAAGTAACTACCTCCGTCAGCATGAGGAGGATGATACTTAGTACGGCCATTGGTCACGGCCGATGGCCACCTCACAGTAACTTGCCGGCCAATAACGTCGATTTTGCGTTGTCCTGGATGGGTAGCGAGATGGCGGGAAAACACATTAGGCTTTGGGATCGACGACGAGGAAACGCCCCTTTCCCAATCTCATCCCGATGGTGAGGATTACGCAAGACTCATCACTAGGGATCGCAAGGCAGACGGGATCCACGGCCTTAGAAAGCGGAAAATCGAGAGGGAGCGACTGGCAGCTGGAAATGGTGCAGGCTTGATCCTGCGAATAGCCTCATGCCGCTGGGCGAACTATGACATATCGGGCACCCCCTTTTTGAGATGACATGGGCCAGACTAGCTCTCCCGAGTATTAGCGGTTTTGGGCCCAAATCTGCGCATGGGGACTCTGAAGACGGGTCCCTCCTCGCGGCTTACGTGCCATCTCCGTATTGACGGCGGGATCCAGGTCAGGACGACGGAGGCAAAGCCACGCTGCCACGCCGCCATGTGCGCGTACCAACCTTTTTCTGGGTCTCTCCCGGACACCGTTCGGGGCGTTGTTGACATTGAGCCCAGCAGCCCAGTGGCCAGTGCTGCCAGTCCACCCTCGCGGGGCTTTTCCCAGCGTTTGTCGAGGAAACACTACCGAGTTTCAGAGTGATCGGTCGTGTGCCTGAACTAAGCTCTTTTCGGACTGAGGCGGTGCATCTTGCTGCTCGGCCCTGTGCGAATTTTGACTCGGTTGACGGAAACGAAGTAAGCCCCGAATGCAAGTTTGATGTGCTAGTGATTGTGTTCATCCATGATACGGCTTCAAGTCATTGGCATCCTGCCATTCGCATATCTGGGGCAGCTATACGTTAGTACTAAAGATACCTTGCGACCAGGCGCTGTTTATAAGCCCATCAGAGTTGAATTCGCCACTTCATATCCAAGACAGATCGCCGCGGCAGGTGCGTAATGCAGCGATGATTATCATTGCCACAAGACCAACTTCCGAAATTCGATGTGTGTTCACGGGGCACCTGGGAATTCTTGACAACGCGCAGTCTCGCAGATGGCAATATGCTGAGAGTTGAATGCAGTGATGTATAAGCTCCGGGCTATGGCCAAATCACAGTGCGTGACTGAATCCGTAGACACCATCTATGAGTGACTCCAACCGTCTTCGTATGTTGATGCTGGGGAAGGTTTGCACGATAAGGCATGTGTAGATAGCCATAAATGCCCAGAACTGGCTGATGTGGGTGCTTTACTACTTGCGTGTGTTTTCTTTGTCGACAAATGTCTAGGCAAGAGCGCTATAAGGCTGACTGCACACCCAAGGGAATTCAATTCTCACATTGCGGACAACAGCTGTTGACTTCAGCGATGGCGCCTGTCAAACCACCTTCATTGACATCTCGGGACTTGATACCAGCGAGAATGACGACAGCACCAGCATATAGTTCGGCAGAGTTTCTACCCCTTCTGCGCCATGACCGTCGTCTCGTCCCTCCGAATAACTTTGCTCAAAAATAGCCCTCTGACCATGGAGGGTGCACGTTTTCGGCACAGTCTTGGAGATAAGGCTTGAGCCGGCACGTCGAGGTTACCCTTGACGTGCTCGGTTCGAAACGAAAGCCAGGTAAGTGTTATGGTTGGTTGCCGACCAGTCTGAGGCTTACGACATGGGAGGCGATACTATGCTAGATGGCTTCGTTTGCCTGTGCTTTGCAGATGGGCGTGCAGTAGCACGACTCCTTGCCGTCAGATCAATGGACAGTCGGTAAGCTTCTTGTCGGGCCAGCGAGGCAAGTTGAGTGAGTCGAGCCGAGCTCGCCGTTGGATGAAGCAAGAGGATCTTCGACTCCGGCTTCTAATCGCTCTGGAAGGGTCTGAACGTGCAGAAGAACCACACAAAATGCGTCGGTAGCGTGCTGGCTGCGTCGCGACTTGTCACATCATGCCAGATCAGTATGTTGCTCCGTTTTCTGTCGGCACCACCTAGCCTCGTCTTGAAAGTGTTCTGACCACATCATATTCCATTTGACGGGTGCCTCAGCCTTCATACCCTGCCTCACCTTCGAGGTAATCTGCTCGTGGTCAGTCACCTGAACATGGGTAGCGCGTATCGGGGTTCGGAGATGCCGTCATCACAACATATAACGGCGCACAGCTTGATGCCCGAGCGATGGGACAACAGACGGCCGCAATGCTGCGGAGGCACTGACCATGCTGGCGTGTGTCGCCAACCATTGTAACGGTAGCGCACTAGGGCGACTAAAAAGGCTGCCGAATTCGAAGGGGGTTCAGAAGCTGTACGATGAGCTTACGCACAGCTAAAAACTCATATAGGCAGCTGCGAACAGCGAGCACCCCTGGTGTTGCTCGCATTCCGGGCAATCCAAAACGTGGCTATCCTAGAATCAGATGTGTTTCAAAAATTTGACCGCCGGGTAGTACCTAGTGTAGGCGACGTCTGCGAGTTGAATAGGGCATTCATTCAATGCCTTGGCATGGGGCACTGACGGAGCCGCCGACCAGCAACATTCCCTCCAGCTCATCATAAGCTTGTCAAAGACAGATGAAGACGCGGTCGTCGCGATCGGAGCGAGTTCACTCCGTTTGCCTAGGCTATGCCGTGTGCTGAATCTAAGCCTGCCGCTTGCGAATACGAATCGTGACACCGATGAGGAGAGCATCGATAGGCTTGAATTTTTTTTTTTTTTTTTTGACGCGAACAATGCGCCCAAGCTGATGACCACCAGTAATAAAGGGTCTCTTGGTTGTCATTCTTTGAGGAAGAGCTTGGGATGCTGACCTGAGGGTGAGGCGGCATCGTTGACTCTGCGACCTAAGACGGCTCGTTCAGAATGGTCCTTGACTGGTATGGCCTCCCAATAGCTTGAGCAATATCAACGTCAAACAGACGTGCGCTGCCCAAATCGACACTACAGGAGGGCCGGACTCCGATCTGTGCGCAGCGACTGATGAATAGACTGCCAAGCGGCGAGCCGTTGGCCGTCCTAGTCGTGGTCGACTAAGGCTGTTGACGCAACTAGGCCGCAAACAGCTCCAGTTCCTCGGACGTCTTGGGTGGTAGACCGGTTGAGGTAATTGCAGTGACGAGGGATAATGGACCGAGCAAGGAGGTAGATTGAAGAATGTATCGGTCTCAATGGCCAGAGCCGCAATGAGGCCTGACCGGTGATATACGGTACCAATCTGCCAGGGAAGACATCCAAGCCGCAGAGCCCGAAATATGCGACAAGGTAATTAAAGAGAGTTGAGCAACGAGATGAAGTCATTCTGAAATCCCGTGCCGGGTAGCGTGAGGCCGACATCAGGAGGGTGCTGGTTAGTTCAGCAAATGATGTTAGTAGGGAGGCAAATGAAGTTTGATGCGCCATCATTGGGAGTCTGGGAGACACCTAAGGTAAGGTACTCACTCCGTAGACCCGACAGCCCATTAAGCACAGCCCGAGGCCGCTAAGCCTGGACGCGCCCCCACAGCGGCCTGCCCAACGTTCTCACCCGGTGCCTGTCGGGATTAACACCAATGAGAAGCGCCTTCTCTCCCTGTCGTGCCGCGTTGTGCCCCCCATTCTTTCCTCTGGGTGTCGATGGCTATGCCTGTCATTACCCCCCGACCATCTTTCCTACCTCCGCCAGGCCCCGTTCAGGGTCGGATCCACACCAGGCCAGTGACAGATTTCCCGAGTCCCCCCTCTTTTACTCATCCCCCACCCACCCAAAGCCAACCGGACCAGCCTACCTAAGCACCTAAGGTACGGAAATACGCCCATTTCCGGTCGTCTCTCACCACTGTCTGAGGACCACTGGTGACTCCACAGTCTCTCCCCTCTTTTTTCGCAGGAACTCGACTTAGCAAGCGCTTGCGCTCTTGGTTTGGTAGGCTCTCCCACCCATGTAACTGTACCTTACAGATCGTGTGCTTGGCTCCCGGTCCCAGGTATATACATTGTACATACAGGCACAGACATAGGTAAGTTAGACACGCCTTGCTCCTGTAACCTTAGTATCCGTACTGACTGCCCACGGTCTCCCTCCGGTACTCTGTGGTACGGAGTACCCATCAAGTCTTGGCCATCTCTGCCTTTCTTCTAGGTTTCTTTCTTGTCCGAAGCTCTCCCCTGGCCCCCCCTCCCCCTCCTCCCATCTCGCAGTCATTCTGCCCGTTGTTAGTGCTTGATACATCCTTCACATCCACACACCCAGCCCTTTGCAGCCACTTGGCCATTGGTGCACAGGACTACAATAGGGAGCAACCCAGAAAAGGTCAAGCCAAAGCCCGTATCTTGGGTCCCCCAAGTTGCAACGCCCATCCCATAGTTGCATCAGCCTCCTTTACACGG